CTGATTTTAACAAACAGAAAAGGAAAAAATGAAAAAAAAACTAAACAAAAACAGTGCAACATTAAAATTGTAAGTGTGTCTGTGTCTGGGGGCTGTGTGTGTGTGTGTGTGTGTGTCTTTGGGCCTGTGTGTGTGTGTGTGTGTGGCTGTAGGCCTGTGTGTGTGTGTGTGTCTTTGGGCCTGTGTGTGTGTGTGGCTGTGGGCCTGTGTGTGTGTGTGTGTGTGGCTGTGAGCCTGTGTGTGTGTGTGTGTGTCTTTGGGCCTGTGTGTGTGTGTCTTTGGGCCTGTGTGTGTGTGTGTGTGTGGCTGTGAGCCTGTGTGTGTGTGTGTGTGTGTCTTTGGGGATGTGTGTGTGTGTGTCTTTGGGCCTGTGTGTGTGGCTGTGAGCCTGTGTGTGTGTGTCTTTGGGCCTTTGTGTGTGTGTCTTTGGGCCTGTGTGTGTGTGTGTATCTTTGGGCCTGTGTGTGTGTGTGTGTGTGGCTGTGGGCCTGTGTGTGTCTTTGGGCCTGTGTGTGTGTGTGGCTGTGAGCCTATGTGTGTGTGTGTCTTTGGGCCTGTGTGTGTGTGTATCTTTGGGCCTGTGTGTGTGTGTGTGTGTGTGGCTGTGGGCCTGTGTGTGTCTTTGGGCCTGTGTGTGTGTGTGTGTCTTTGGGCCTGTGTGTGTGTGTGTGTGTGGCTGTGGGCCTGTGTGTGGCTGTGAGCCTATGTGTGTGTGTGTGTCTTTGGGCCTGTGTGTGTGTGTCTTTGGGCCTGTGTGTGTGTGTGTGTGTGTCTTTGGGCCTGTGTGTGTGTGTGTGCTGTGGTGCCTGTGTGTGTGTGTGTCTTTGGGCCTGTGTGTGTGTGTGTGTCTTTGGGCCTGTGTGTGTGTGTGTCTTTGGGCCTGTGTGTGTGTGTGTTTGGCTTTGGCTGTGTGTGTGTGTGTGTGTGTGTGTGTGCTTTGGGCCTGTGTGTGTGTGTCTTTGGGCCTGTGGTGTGTGTGTGTCTTTGGGCCTGTGTGTGTGTGTGTCCTTTGGGCCTGTGTGTGTGTGTGTGTGTGGCTGTGAGCCTGTGTGTGTGTGTGTGTGTGTGTGTCTTTGGGCCTGTGTGTGTGTGTTTCTTTGGGCCTGTGTGTGTGGCTGTGAGCCTGTGTGTGTGTGTGTGTGTGTCTTTGGGCCTGTGTGTGTGTGTGTGTGTGTGTCTGTGAGCCTGTGTGTGTGTGTGTTTCTTTGGGCCTGTGTGTGTGTGTGTGTGCTGTGTGAGCCTGTGTGTGTGTGTGTCTTTGGGCCTGTGTGTGTGTGTGTGTGGCTGTGAGCCTGTGTGTGTGTGTGTGTCTTTGGGCCTGTGTGTGTGTGTGGCTGTGAGCCTGTGTGTGTGTGTGTGTCTTTGGGCCTGTGTGTGTGTGTGTGTCTTGGGCCTGTGTGTGTGTGTGTCTTTGGGCCTGTGTGTGTGTGTGTGTGTGTCTTTGGGCCTGTGTGTGTGTGTGTGTGTGGCTGTGAGCCTGTGTGTGTGTGTGTGTCTTTGGGCCTGTGTGTGTGTGTGTGTGGCTGTGAGCCTGTGTGTGTGTGTCTTTGGGCCTGTGTGTGTGTGTGTCTTTAGGCCTGTGTGTGTGTGTGTGTGTGTCTTTGGGCCTGTGTGTGTGTGTGTGTGTCTTTGGGCCTGTGTGTGTGTGTGTCTTTGGGCCTGTGTGTGTGTGTGTGTGGCTGTGAGCCTGTGTGTGTGTGTGTGTGTGTCTTTGGGCCTGTGTGTGTGTGTGTGTGTGTGTGGCTGTGAGCCTGTGTGTGTGTGTGTGTGTGTGTGTGTGTGTGTGTCTTTGGGCCTGTGTGTGTGTGTGGCTGTGAGCCTGTGTGTGTGTGTCTTTGGGCCTGTGTGTGTGTGTGTGTGTGGCTGTGAGCCTGTGTGTGTGTGTGTGTGTGTCTTTGGGCCCGTGTGTGTGTGTGTGTGTGGCTGTGAGCCTGTGTGTGTGTGTGTGTCTTTGGGCCTGTGTGTGTGTGTGTATGTCTTTGGGCCTGTGTGTGTGTGTGTCTTTGGGCCTGTGTGTGTGTGTGTCTTTGGGCCTGTGTGTGTTTGTCTTTGGGCCTGTGTGTGTGTGTGTGTGTCTTTGGGCCTGTGTGTGTGTGTGTGTGTGTGTGTGTGTGTCTTTGGGGCTGTGTGTGTTTGTCTTTGGGCCTGTGTGTGTGTCTTTGGGCCTGTGTGTGTGTGTGTGTGTGTCTTTGGGCCTGTGTGTGTTTGTCTTTGAGCCTGTGTGTGTGTCTTTGGGCCTGTGTGTGTGTGTGTGTCTTTGGGCCTGTGTGTGTTTGTCTTTGGGCCTGTGTGTGTGTATGTCTTTGGGCCTGTGTGTGTGTGTGTGTCTTTGGGCCTGTGTGTGTGTATGTCTTTGGGCCTGTGTGTGTGTGTGTGTGGCACAGGGCAGAAAAAGCACAGTCCTTTGATGCTATAATAAAGCACCTGGTTTAGAAAATATGACCCTAAAACTCTTACTAGTGCACTTTTATTTTCAGAAGCTGATGAGGAGCAGAAAACCACACGTCTTCCTATTTGTCCTGAAGCTTGATCGCTTCACAGAGGAACAGGAGAAAGCTCTGAGGACAGCGATGAGAGCTGTGGGAGAAGAGCATCTGATCAGAAGTCTCCTGCTCTTCACTGGAGCAGAAGCTTTAGGAACCAAGACTCTAGAGCAGTTCATAAATGAAGATCCAAACAGTCCTCTGGTGAAGGTAGTGCAGGAGTTTGGAGGCAGAGTTCATATGTTCAGTAACACTACAGGAGGACCAGAGAAGAACCAGCAGAGGAACCAGAGCAACGAGCAGCAGGTCCTTCAGCTCATGAGCAAAATCCAACAAATTTGTCACAGTCAGTACTGAGTCAATATATGCAACTTTTATCTACTTTTGATTGTACCAGCTTATCTTCACATGTGCAATCCAGAGTGTAGATTCAGCTGAGACTGTGTTCTTCCTGCAGAGAACCAACAGAACATGGGGATGATTGAGAGACCGGAGGTGGTGCGTCTGGTCCTTCTGGGTTTGCCTGGAGCAGGGAAGAGCTCCTCTGGAAACACCATCCTGGGCTCTATGGTCTTTGGTGCAGGATGTGGCTTTGATCCTATGACTGCACAGACCTTGGGGGCATCAGCTGAGGTGGGCTGGCGGCGGGTCACTGTGGTAGACACTCCAGGGTTCAACAACCAGAATTTGAAAGCATCTGTTTTTTTTACTCAGATCATGGAGTCTGTTGAGATGGTTGGAGAAACAGGTTTTAATGCTTTTGTGTTAGTGGTCCCTCTTGGACGCCTTCAAAAAGAGAGCTGTCTGCTGTTAACTCTGATGTCTCTTCTGTTTGAGGTGTCTCTAAACTATTTCACTGTGCTCTTCACTCGTGGAGATGATGCAGAGGGACAGGGCATTAATGAATTGATTAGATCTAATGAAACAGTGAAGGAGCTGGTGTCTAAGTGTGGAGGCAGGTATTCTGTGTTCAATAACAAACAGAGAGATGACCTAAGTCAGGTCCAGAGCCTGCTCAGAGTCATAGACCAGATGCACTCAACGAATCATGGAAAGTTTTATACTGCAGAGACACTGGTCAGAAATCAACAATCACTGATGGAAAATCCAGCTAAACTGAAGAAGTTCCTTCAGGACAATGGCCTGCCCCTCTCTTTACTCCCTCAGAAAAGATCCCAATTCAGTGTCAGAAATACGTTTAGACAATTTATCGAATGGATCAGACATATTATTAACTGGATTGTTGAGAGAATAAACAGATTGGCACATGGAGCAGAAAGACTTAGGTCTAGTTCCACTCCAGTTCCAGTCTGATGTCCCAGGTTATTGGGAAACCTTTAAAGCATGTGAACTATTTTATACTTTAAACTGTTTTATTACATTTGTTTGTTTTAGTGTCCCATTTGTGGAGCAATGTTTTTTTTTTTTTTTTTTTTTTGGGGGGGGGGGGACATAGATATAAATCAACTGTAGTATATAAGCACTTGTAGGAATGGTAAGCTCACCACACACTGCAGGAGAATTTGCCAGATTTAGGCTGCGATTTGCTTCTTCTCGAGTTCATGGCCCGACTTTGTGTCTTTGTGTGTGTTCATCCACATTATCCATAGAATTTGTCCTCTGCAAATAATGACCCCAGTGCCCAAAACCGCACCGTGAATCCAGTTTGAGGTGTTATTTAAAAGTAAAAAGGTGGGAGTAGTTCCTCACGTGTGTTTGTTTACGGATCGAGCTGAAGCTGCAGATTCTCCACTGTGACTCTACTTCCTGTGGACTTTATCGCCAATCTTTTATGCTTTAAAAATCCTGTATCTGAAGTTTTGCTCCATATTTCACAAATAATAATCACACAGTTTGGACTTGGATCTAAACTAGAAGTGCAGAGTCTGATCTTTGAAAACTTAAGAGTCTCAGAGCGACTGGTTTTACTGGAAACAGGAAACAGCTGACGCCATCACAGCCTCACACATTTAGATCCTGAAGTGTGTGATTTATACTGCATAGCTGTAATACTGTTTATTTTCTGTTGCTAATATGACTAAACAATTCATTTTTGCATTAATTAAGTGTTTAATGACAAATTCTGGTTTTATTTGTGCTTTTATAGATTGATATGTGTAGCCCTCTGAATAAAGTTCTACATTAATTTGTGAGGCCTCTTGCTGAAAAAGATCGGAACCAATGATCGGAGCATCACAACAGCGGAGCAAGCCGAAAAATCTAGGCATCTTCCCTGTTCACAAATGCACAACGCTCCTCCCTCTGCACCTGCCCCCCTGCACCCGCCCCTTTGTTCCTGCCCCTCTGCACATTTAGCACAAACTAAATAGTCAGTACTGATGCTAAAATAGGCTGAAGTACGTTTGTTTTGTTTCATTTGACGCTGGCTTCTGCATAAACCACAGTGCTGCTCTGTGATTGGTTAGTCTTGTGCCGAGCCTGTCACACGCAAACGCTTCAGCCACAGCTGTTCAGGGCCACGCCTCATTTCTCTTTCCTCCATTTTTCAGCTGTTAATCAACTGTGTCATGTCAAGTGTTGTCCGAAAGAAAACCACGAAGTGAAGGAGTGAACCCGAGGGAGGTTTCAGGAGCAAACGCCAGAGAAAAGAATCAAACTTTATCAGTCTCAGTGAGGAGTTTAGCTCCTCTCTCCTCTGTGTCTCCTCTGTGGGCGAGTTTTCATCACACATTTCCTGCAGAATAGAGGAGAAGGAAGCGAGGAAAGAGAAACGAGACACGGCCCCTGTGGTGTTTGTGCTCCAGCGCTGTCATCATTACATAGATGAAGGGCCTCCAACCTGAAGTAAAAATAAGTACAATTTGGTTATTTAAATACCTATTACCGTTGTACATGCCTGACTTTGTGCACTAATAAATGTATAATAGTTTGTTTTATAACTGTACCTCAACTAAAGTCCATGGCTCTTATATTTACTTAATTTCTTGTGCTAAAAAGTTAAAACTAGTATCTCTCTGGCATTTGTGTTTAGTGAAAGTGCTCAGCAGAGGAAAAAGGCTGATCTTTAGATATTTTGTTTGACTTGTATTTGAAATTCTTGTATTTTTGTTTTTGTTTTTGCCCATTTTCACATGTATACAATATTTATCTAGTAGAATGAAAAGCTTAAAGCTTAGAAACTAGTTTCTAGTTTGTGTCTTTGTCATAAAATATAAAATGCATTTTTGTCCTAAAGTAATTGTAGCATTTGTCTAATATTTCTATGAATCATTTTCTCTAGTTCTATTTATTCTAAAATGTTTTCCGTACACATTCGTAGAAAAGATGACTGACAAAAAAATTAGCAATTTGTATTGATTTCAATAACTTATTACATAATTATTGCATTTTACTTTGTTCTTTTGTGCTGCAGAAATGGCGATCAGACTCAGAAATCACAGACGCCACAAAGGTTTAGTAATAAAGAGATTTTAACTTACAAAGCTAAATCAAAGTGACAGAAAACAGTTTTTACCACTGATTTCAGTCCTCATCGTTCAGAAATGATCTGATTAAATCTGTTTTGAGTAGAATTAACTGTAAAGTGTGGTGTAGTGTGCTCGCAGCCACTTGAGGACGCACTACAGCAGCTCTGTTTAATCTGGTGAACTTCAGTCCACTTTATTTCTGTAGCACATTTCATAAACAAACTGTTTCCAAAGTGCTGGTCAAATATATAATAATAACAACAATAATAATATAATGATAAAATAAACGCTCAGATTTAATCACACTAGTCTTAACAGCAAAAAAAAAAAAAAAAAAAAGAAAAAAGAAAGAAAGAAAAAAGAAATAAACAGCAAAATAAAATATGAGCAAACCATAGAAAAGCAATAAATAAATAAAACCAATAAAACAGATTAAAAATAATAGCCAGAGATTAAAAGTGGCTGTAAAATGTTATTTCTTTACATAAAAAATCTAAACCAACTCTATTAGTCCAGTTCCTTAAATACATTTTTTAACCTTAGTGGGAATTTTTGGGGGATTTGCTAAACTATATATTTTTGTAATAGTTATAGTATATGGAGTCAGAAAATCAATGTTTGCATTTGCCCAGATGTTTATATGGCGGCCATATTGAATAATTAAAAAAAAAAAGGCCGCCAAAAATCTCTTTTTGGAATATCTCAGCCTCTGAATAAATTGAAATGTTGATTTTAACGCTAAACCCACATTTTCAGGGTCAGGGAATCAAATGGTGCTAGTTACAAAGCTGTAAGACCTACCCACATTAACCCTGTGTTAGGTTTCCATCACCATCTATTGTGTTAACGGGTCGGTTTTGACCCGTGTCCTAAATCAGCTGTAAAATACACTTAAAGTAATTATCTATCATCAAATTTGTTTCTCATCTCTTGGTTACCTTGTTAGGCTTCCTTTTCCATGAAATAGTTGGTTTTAATGTCTTTGGTGGGGGCTTCAGCTCCTATTTTTGTCAGTATACCCCTCTATTTCAATACAAAGAAAATGGTAAAATGAACCTCAAGAGAGTGTTACTTGACTTTTACTGAGGGGTATTAGAACACATCTCTAAAATAGATTTGTTTTATTTTTTTCCATTTTAATGTTCTTAACTATAGTAACATCTATGGTGTTACGGGTCGATTTCGACCTGTATATATTTACAATGAGAAAGAGGCTAAAAAGGTTTTTTTTTTTAACAACTGAGCTTCATTATCAACTGCTATTACTACTTGGGCAAACCTGACACCTCTTCCCTTTACAGTCAGGTGAATTGAGTGGGGTTGTGGCTGTGGTTGTTGTGGTTGGTGTTGAGGCACGGCTGGCTGAGGAGGACGCTGGTGTGGATGGTCTTTGTGGTGTGGTGTGGTGTGGATGGAGCTAGGGGAGCCCCACAGTTGTCTGACCAAGGCCTTAAGGCCTTCTGGATCTCAGGAAACCGTCTCTCTTTGCTCAGCATGCACCCTGAATTTCCCAGGTCCTCAAGAAAAATTCTCTGCTTGTATTTTTTGTTTGAGTTCCACCCTTGGTCGATGTGGGTCCACAACACAAATGCATTATATGCAGACGCATCAACCATGTTGTTGAACACAGCCATGGCCATCTTCTGGTCATTCGCTGGCAAGTGTAGGTGACAGTCAGCTTGTCCAAGTTGTCCAATCTGCCTTTGTTTTTGTTATAGTCGAGGATAATTGTGGGCTTTCCTGATGACACGGCTGCATCTTTTTGGAGAGAAGACAAAAGTACCACACTCAGTATTTTCTTTGGACAACAGAAGACAACAGTGGTGGTGTCTGTAAAAGTAAATCTTGAGGAAAGTGAAGCCCTGCCTTTCACCTGCGAGATTTCAGCAGGCAGCTTAGGTTTATTTTTCTTTACCATGCCCACTATAGTAAGTTTCCTCCTAAGAACCTCTTGTCCAAGGTCATAGCTGGTAAAAAAGTTGTCACAAGAGATATTGTGACCCTGCAATCCAGTATTCATATCAAGGACCACATGTTTTCCTTGTTTTTTTCTCAGGGATGCCACTCCCAGCACTGCCTGTGTGTGTGCAGGTAAACAGGAAAACAAGACAAAATGAGACTCCCCCAAAGCTCAAATTATTGGAAGAGGAGCTGGTTATCACTGATTTGACTGACAGTTCATTTATGATTTCAGTTTTGGTTATAATTATTGCTTTTTAATCAAATTTTTATAACCGGGTTGAAACCGACCCTAACACCACAAAGGGTATATTTTTAACCAGAGCAATTTAAAATTAAAAAAATAAAAAAAATAAATAAAATAAAATAAATTGTTGAAATAGAAATTCCTGACAAAGTCAAAAAGCCTTGATGCAATAAACTAACCCTGTGTGGTTCTTTTATACATTTTAAACCTAAAACGGGTCGGTGGCGACCCTAACACAAGAGGAAGGTTAACCCTTAGATGCATAAGTGGGTCAAAAATGACCCAGTTTGGTTGTTTTCTTGCAATTTCATTGTAATATTCACATGTAATACTCAACGTTTCTCTAAAAACATGTTTTTTTATTATCCTGTTGAAATATATCAACAATATGGGTAAAACAAATTATAAAGATCACATGCAGTTGGTCAGATAACTCAAAGAGTTTAAAAGTAGCTAATTTAAAATGTGGATGTTGAATGTCAACACACACATTTAGACACAATATGATTATGCAACCTTTTTATTAAATTTTCTATACATCATCACTCATACCCACATTGTTGATGTATTTCAACAGGATAATAAAAAAATACATGTTTTTGGAGGAACATGGAGTATTACATGTGAATATTACAGTGAAATTGCAAGAAAACAACCAAACCGGGTCATTTTTGACCCACTTATGCTCTAAGGGTTAATGTGGGTAGGTCTTACAGCTTTGTAACTAGCACCATTTGATTCCCCGACCCTGAAAATGTGGGTTTAGCAGTTAAAATTAACATTTCAACTTATTCAGAGGCTGAGACATTTCAAAAAGTGATTTTTGGCGGCCATTTAAAAAAAAAAAAAATCAATATGGCCGCCATATAAACATCTGGGCAAATGCAAACATTGATTTTCTGACTCCATAAACTTTCCTTTCCAAAAATATATAGTTTAGCAAATCCCCCAAAAATTCCCACTAAGGTTAAAAAATGAATATAAGGAACTATTTGTGCACATCGTCTTTCTAAAGGGTTACTTTTGGAGGGATGAATACACACGACTGATTTGAAGGGAATAATATTTCAAGTCTTAATGTTGACTTTAATGTCAAACATAACACTTTTTGTTTGACACTCACATGCGAAAATGTGGTTCTATTTCCACTGAATAGTAGATAAGAGTTCTTTTGTTTAGTTTTGTTTTGTTTTGCATAAAAATCTCTTCCTGTTTGAGCTCCTCCCTTGTGTCTGTATTTAGACATTTTCAGGGTTGTGTTGTAGCCTGTACCTGGTCAGTCTGTGTAAACTGTGACTGTAGCTGAATTCTTTCTGAGAGGATTTGACTGCATTGAGAATCTGCTGCAGAAGTGAGTCTTACAAAAGTTTTGGAAGAAAACCTTGATGAAGACACATTACGTTTTTATGTGAGTTTGATCTACAGAGTTTCTCATCGATTTACTCTGTTTATTTTTGACAGCATGAAGCCAAAACCACTGCAAAAAAAAAGACCCCACAGCTGTGCTCTTGGACATGGGCTCCCTGACTGAAGAACTGGTAAAACAAATCTCTATATCCATAGAAATTACAATAATGTAATTTGTGTAATTTGAATCAAGATTATTATTATTTAAATTAATATGAAGGAACATGTAAATAATGACAACATTTTCTGACCAGACAGTTCCTTCTACTTTCTGAATCCAAAAGGGTCTGAAATTTGACCATAGAGTGTTAAATTTTAGAAGATCTATCCACAGCCACTCCTGTGTATCATGGGTCTCTAAAATGCAGAAGACATCTCTCGATAATTCTTGTAAATTTCAGAACAAAATATGTGATTTCTTTTACCTACGGCTCCAGATCCACTCGTCTTTATGAAGTTATTTTCAAATTGTGTGGTTCTGGCTGGACATTTAAATGATAAAGCAGTGTTGATTGGTCACTTATACTTAAATCTGAACTGCGCCACACATGATCCTTTTAAAGACCTGAGGAATGTTTCCTGTCAGGTCCAACTAGTCTCCGCATGTTCACTCACTTTGATTTTGTCTGATAAAGTCCATGAGGAAGTACTTTGTCTTCTATGTCTCTTCTGCCTCCCACACCAGCCTCTACTCACCCCACACCTCTCCTCTGTTCTCTTCTCTCAGATATGTTTAGATCCTCTGTTCCTGGTTCTTCTCGGTCACACTGGTGTTGGGAAAAGTGCTTCAGGAAACACCATCCTCCGGACAGTGGGGTTTGAGTCGAAGCGTTCCTTCAGATCAGTGACCACAGAGATCTCTGAGCAGACAGGGACAGTGGGCGGTCAGGAGGTCACAGTAGTGGACACTTCTGGAATAATGAACTCTTTTCAGGACGTCAGAAAGTTCTGCCAGGTGAGTATGTTCAGTTTATTTTGGCACAACACACAACAGTCACTCAATCACAATAACTGATTTGATCAAACTCAAAAGAAAAAAAACTGAAAAGAAAACAATCCAACATTAACCTGGCTCTTGTTAGATTGGTGAGAACAGCCCTGGGAAAAATTCTACACATCACTCTGTTGTGCTGGCTAAAAGCTTTAGAAACCAATGATAAATTCACATAAAGACTTCCCTCTGATTGGTCGATGCATCATAACCACAGACTGTATAAAGATATTAACTAAGTGAATGTGACGTCACCAACAGCAACAGCCAACTTGCGCCGCTCAAAATGCTCAAAATGCATGAATCGCGCCACCCAATTAGAACTTTATTCGTGTGTCAACACGCCTTTACATAGGGTAACTTGTAAATCATTCGCCTTGTTTGCATCAGATGTGTGCAGTACAGCCTTTTACTTTCAAGAGCTGATGAGGAGCAGAAAACCACACGTTTTCCTGTTTGTCCTGAAGATTGACCGCTTCACAGAGGAACAATACGAGGCTCTGAGGACCACGATGAGAGCTGTGGGAGAAGAGGGTCTGAGCAGAGCTCTCCTGCTCTTCACTGGAGCAGATGCTTTAGGAACCATGACTCTGGAGCAGTTCATAAATGAAGACCCAGACAGTCCTCTGGTGAAGATGGTGCATAAGTTTAGAGGCAGAGTTCATATGTTCAACAACACTCCAGGAGGACCAGAGAAGAACCAGCAGCAGGTCCTGCAGCTCATGAGCAAGATCCAACAAATGAGTCAAGGTCAGTAGTATTTAGAGCCATATTAAAAATATTGATATCACGATATATCATCACATGATGATCACGATATGTCGTCTTGGCAGCACATGTATCAATATGAGGTTCTGTAAAATGATGCTGTTTCATTATAAATGTCAGAGTTCTACATTTCACCTCCTCCTTACTGCTGCTGAAGCTGAATCTGAGGGTTGAGATGATTCACAAGGACTTTGTGTTCTGATGTTCAGGACATTTTAGACTTAGAGATTGTGCTGCATTTTAGTATCAACACTGTGTCCAGATATGTACATGCAGTGTTGGGGAGTAACAGATTACATGTACCGGAGTTACGTAATCAGAGTACAAATTATGTGTAACTGTATTCAGTTACAGTTACTATTTTAATTTTTTGTTCCTGTTTTCACATTTCAGGCTATATCCCTTTTTTTTTTTCTGTAATTCCACTCATTGCCGGAAACTAAACCAGGTCTAAAACAGGATTTAACAGGACTAAATCATGCTGCATGGACCGTGTCTTCTCGTCTTCTATCAATAATATTTTTAATACGGTTCAGTAAAGTCTGGGCTTTTTATTTTCTTTTATCAGACAAAACATCTTATGTGAAGATATCGTAGTCGTTGTTTCTCTCCAGCAAATCAAGTAATCCAAAATATTCAGATTACGTTACTCACCTTAAGTAATTTAATGTATTCTGTTACAAACTACATTTTGGGGTATGTATGTCTGTAATCTGTAGGGGAATACATTTTAAAAGGAACCTTCCCAACACTGGTACTTGGCAATACTCAGCAGAACTACTGAACTCTGTACTTTTAGCTACATTTTCATTGAACCATCTTCTCTTCACATGTGCAGGAGTCAGACCAGTGAGACCTGAGGCAGCTCCAGAGGCAGCTCCAGAGGCAGCTCTTCAGCACCAGGGCCCAGGTAATATCACCTGAGTCAAGTCTGTGTTTGGAGTCAACTGAGACTGTGATGTTCTTCCTGCAGAAAACCAACAGAACCCACAGAGACTGGAGGGAGCCTGGAGACTGGAGGAGGTGCGTCTGGTTCTTCTGGGTTTGCCTGGAGCAGGGAAGAGCTCCTTTGGAAACACCATCCTGGGCTCTGAGGTCTTTAAAGCAAGTTGTAACTTTGACCCTGTGACCTTAGAGACCAGGAAGAGATCAGCTGAGGTGGACGGGCGCCGGGTCACTGTGGTGGACACTCCGGGGGTTTCTGATAGAAGTCTTAAACCAAAGCAGTTATTTGAACAGATCATGTCGTCCATTGAAAAAGCAGCTCCAGGGCCACATGCCTTTGTGATCGTGGTGCGGATCGGCAGGATCTCTGAGGCTGACTGGCTCCTGTTTGAGCTTGTGCACAAACTGTTTTACAAAGATGCATTAAAAGTCTGCCTGGTCCTGTTCACTCACGGAGATCTGCTGAGGGGTTGTAACATTGACAATATGATTAAAAAAAATGCCAAGGTCCAGGAGCTGGTGTCTAAATGTAAAGGGAGGTACAGTGTGTTTCACAAGAGACTCTCAGAAGGGCAGGAGCAGAGGCAGGTGCAGAGGCAGGAGCAGGTGAGGAGGCTACTCTCTGTGGTTGACAGAATGATCAGAGAAAACCAAGGACAGCAGCACTACACCTCAAAGATGTTTAAAAATGTTCACTTCCTGCCCCTGCAGCTCTCCATCCAGTGGCACGAGGTTAAGGACTGGTTTATTGAGAAAGTTGGGGAAATCTCAAAGAAATCTGACACAGGAGACAGCAGCGGCTGAGTGTTTTTATCTAGTTAATCTCCTTTGGTGCAAAACTAGACTACACAGGACTAGACCAGGATTATGGGTTTAGAAAATACATTTTGAAAATGTTAAAACTGTTAAATGTAAAAAAATATCATGGGGAGGAAGTGCTCAGTTTTCTGCAACTAAAACCTGGAACAGATTGGCCCCAGCTCTGACTCTGTGTAAATCCAGTCTCAAAACTCTTCTGTTTAGCTGCAGATGACTGAAGGTTTTTACTCTGCACTCATCTCTCTTCTTTTTTAATTTAAATTTTATAATGTTGATTTATGTTCTGATTTGTTTGTATTGTGATTTGAATGTCTTTCTTATTCTGTAAAACATTTTGAATTGCTTTGTGAATAAATTGTGCTTTACAAATAAACTTTTTATTATTATTTTATTATTATTATTTATTTCACTGACATGTTTGGGCGGTAGGACTTTGTCTTCGTCAGAGGTGTCACTGCGACGTGTCTGATCAGATGTGCTTCAGGTGGGATCTGACCCATCGGACTGAGCATGCCTGCTGTCTCGTGGTGGTCTCTGGAGAAGTCAGATTCCAATCCACACATAACGTATACAGATGAGAGTGAGAGAACATTTTACACAAAGAAAAAGGAGTGTGAGAAGGAAACAACCACACAGCAAAAAGATCTGAAAACAAAAAAGACCTAACCCCAACGCAGGAAAACCGAAAGGCTGTAATATCTGACCACTGTGAAAGGGAAAACCATGTCTGGACTGAGCCAAAATAGTAAGAACAGAAGAGCACCAACGGACCATCAACAAAAACGAGAGGATGTTTGCCTCGGTTCACAGTTTATTGCAGTTTTCAGAATTCTGTACGTTAACACAATTTCAATGTACATTTCTGGAGCTCCACAGTGATGCGCCCTCTGCTTCCGTACATTTTCCCTCTGATTTTCCCACAGACTTTCCCAAATATTCAAATATTAAGGTTAAATTTACTTCTGGAACCAGGGGGCACTCAGACGTTAAAGCATTACCTGGATGTGGACTCCGTCATTCTTCAAACTCACCTGACCTGCTGTCCAGACCTGAGTCAATAAGGCCCTGTCTCATTTCTCTTTCCTCGCTTCCTTCTCCTTGATTCCTCCATTTTCCAGCTGTCAATCAAATGTGTTGTATTACGTGTCGTCCCAAAGAAAACCACAGAATGAAGCAGTGAACCTGAGGGAGTCTTAAGGAGCCGACGCCAGAGAAAAGAATCAAACTTTATCAGTCTCAGTGAGGAGTTTAGATCCTCTCTCCTCTGTGTGTCTCCTCTGTGGGTGAGTCTTCACACATTTCCTGCAGAATCAAGGAGAAGGAGGCGAGGAAAGAGAAACAAGACAAGCCCCTGTGGTGTTTGTTCTCCAGCGTTCAAGTTTTTACATATTATTGTCCTCGTTACATAGAGGAAGGGCCTCCAACCTGAAGTAAAAATAAGTACAATTTGATTAATGAAATACCTAGTACATGTATCATTTTGATGCCTGACTTTGTCAGTGTTGGGAAGTTTACTTTTAAATGTATTCTCTTACAGATTACAGATTACATACCCCAACATGTAGTTTGTAACATAATCCATTAAATTACTTAAAGTGAGTAATGTAATCTGAATACTTTGAATTACTTGAAATTGTTATGCTTTTTAAAACGACATGAACGTACCAACCACATCCTGAAAATTCTTATTTGTTTTCTTCAAATTGTCTGTTGAGCCCAAGTCTCCATGAACAGACTTTTGTTTGCTGTAGAGAAGCAAAGACGAGGATGTTTTATCTGCTAAAAGACACAAAAAGTCCAGTCTTTCCTTAACCAGATTAAAAAATATTATTGATAGAGAAATTATTTTTATATGAGATCACTGCAGCTTTACATTATGTCCATCCTACTGTTAGTGTCATATTGTTTAGACCTGGTTTAGTCCTGGTTTAGTCCTGGTTTTAGTCCTGGTTTTAGTCCTGGTTTATTCCTGGTTTTAGTCCTGCTTTAGCCCAAAATGTGAAAACAGGAAAATACCACCATGTAATCCATTTATTTTAACAAAGTAACTGTAATCTAATTACCACTCACTGAAACAGTAACTGTAACTGAATACAGTTACTCATAATTTGTACTCTGATTACGTAACTCCGGTACATGTAATCTGTTACTCCACAGCACTGGACATTGTGCAGTAAAATTAGTAAAAGTAAAATTCTCTACTATACATGCTCAATAAAATATACAGCATATTATTCAGCCGACTGTTTGTGTTTCAATGCATTTTCTTTGAAGTCAAATGTCTTTTTTATCATTTGTTTACTGTTCTAATGTTGATGTTCTGTTTTTTGTATCTGGTCTTTACATTTTATACCTCATTTGCACAAAAGCTCAGCTCTGGTGTCCATAACTATACAAGCCTCTGACCTCTGTGAAGTTTATGTGTGTGTTTTTTATGCTGTTTTCTGTGACTGCAAACAGAATTACCCCTTGAGGATAAATAAAATTTCTAACCTTCTCACTGTCACAAATGAATTAGCAAATGTAAAACTGTTTTACCAAGTAACAGGTCTGGATAAACTGTGAGTTCACCATGTTTCACTTCACTACGACAACAAAAGCACCTGAACACAACACACTCGTAATTTCCACTTCACAAGAGGAAAGAATCATCTTTCCCACACCCTTTTCAGTACCAATCATCAATAAAATACCACTTTTAAATCTTACACACATTTTACCCCATAAACACGTTTTTATCCAGATTTCTCCAAATCGACCCAATTTGCAACTTCTGTCTGTCACACCCTGAAAACGTTCTTCACTTATTTTTCCTCATGCCTCGTTAGCTCCACCTACTGGAAACAATTAGATGTTTTTCTCTCCCAGAACTTACACGTCCCAATAATCCTCAAAGAAGAAAATATCATTACGCTCTACACATCAAAATGCAAAAATTAAAAAACAAATTAATTAATGTATTCTTCTTGGCAAATACCACAACCATAGAGCAAAATTCTCAAAAGCGAAACCTTATTTTCCATTACTACTAACACAGGGGTGTCCAAACTTTTTTCATCAAGGGCCACATCTCTAAACACAGATGAAGCAGAGGGCTGATCGAGGGCCGTAGACTGGTGCTCAGTACAGGGAATAATTGAAATATGTGTATGTTTAACACATTAAAATGGATCATTGGTCTTTATTCACACTAAGATCTTTAAAACCACACAGTAAATATTAAATATTTGCTTTATCAAGGCAGATTTTCAAAAAACTTGCAGTAAAAAATTATTTTTTAATTGATGTAAGGTCATTTGGGCCAATTCACCTGGAAGCCTAAGGGCCAAGAAAAATTTGTCTGAGGGCCACATTTGGCCCACAGGACATAGTTTGGACATGTCTGTACTAACAGAAATAAATCATTATTTTTAATCGATTCAACATTTATCCTGCAAAAAGGCTACTTCAATAACCAACCTCTACAGAGACTTAATTCATAATTAGATAAATCTTCTCCTCAGCCCTCAATTCAGTCACTGATGCCTCTTTCATTTCAGTTAGTTTCTTTTATTAGGTTTGATATACTGTCATTTATGTTAATTTATGTTTCCAATCTTTTTTCCTCTTTGTTTTGAATAATTCTGAATGTCTGCTTTATGTGTTAATTTTGTATACATTGTATATATGTAGCATAAATCAATAAAAGGAGGAGTTGGAGGACGTGTCTGGGGTGAAGGAAGTCTGGGAGTCCCTGTTTAGACTAATGCCCCCCGCGACCCGACCCCAGATAAGCGGAAGAAAAAGGATGGATGGATATATATATATATATATATATATATATATATCCATCCATCCTTTTTCTTCCGCTTATCTGGGGTCGGGTCGCGGGGGGCATTAGTCTAAACAGGGGGCCGAGGACTAGTGAGTGTGGGAACCACTGTCCAGGATGAAACATCCAAGCTCCTTGAGTACATCAAGGACAAGGCCCCGGCAGATGAGGTGCTCAGAGAATGTCTCAGACAGTGGGGTCCAGAGGAAGAGGTGCTGGAGGGACCATCATGGCAGGACAAACCCCTACATGGGGCGTACCACCGGAACATAACTGAAGTGGCTGATATCAAGAAATCCTACCAATGGCTTGAGAGGGCTGGTCTGAAGGACAGCACAGAGGCACTGATCCTGGCTGCTCAGGAGCAGGCCCTGGGCACTCGAGCAATAGAGGCCCAGATCTACCACACCAGACAAGACCCACGGTGTAGACTGTGCAAAGAGGCTCCTGAGACAGTCCAGCACATAACTGCAGGGTGTAAGATGCTGGCAGGGAAAGCATACATGGAGCGACATAACCAAGTTGCGGGCATAGTGTACAGAAACATCTGTGCAGAGTACGGGCTGGAAACCCCAGGATCAAGGTGGGAAACACCTCCAAAGGTTGTGGAGAATGACCGAGCCAAGATCCTGTGGGACTTCCAGATACAGACTGACAGAATGGTGATGGCGAACCAACCAGACATAGTGGTGGTGGATAAGAAACAGAGCAGAGCCGTGGTGGTTGACATCGCAATACCAAGCGATGGTAATATCAGGAAAAAGGAACACGAGAAGCTAGAGAAATACCAGGGGCTCAAGGAAGAGCTGGAGAGAGCCTGGAAAGTAAAGGCATCAGTGGTGCCTGTGGTGATCGGACACTCGGGGCTGTAACCCCCAAACTGGAAGAGTGGCTACAACAGATACCGGGAAAAAACAATGGACATCTCAGTCCAGAAAAGTGCAGTACTGGGAACAGCAAAGATACTGCGCAGAACTCTCAAGCTCCCAGGCCTCTGGTAGAGGACCCGAGCTCAATGAGGGTGAGAGACCTACCACCGTGGAAGGTGAGAAACACATTTTTTTTATTTTTTTATATATATATATATATATATATATATATATATATATATATATATATATATATATATATATATATATATATATATATATATATATATATATATATATATATATATAATAAATAAAATAAATACAATACAATACAATACATTACAATACAATACAATAACATACCTAACAAACATACCATAACATAAAAAAACATAACATAACATAAAAAACATAACATAAAACATAACATAACATAAAACATAACATACCATAACATAACAAACCAAACATAACATACCATAACATAAAAAACATAACATAACATAACATAAAACATAACATAACATAACATAACATAACATAACATAACATAACATAACATAACATAACATAACATAAAAACATAACATAAAACATAACATAACATAAAACATAACATACCATAACATAACAAACCAAACATAACATACCATAACATAAAAAACATAACATAACATAACATAAAACATAACATAACATAACATAACATAAAACATAACATAACAAACTAAACATAACATAACATAAACATAACATAACATAAAACATAACATAAAAAACATAACATAACATAAAACATAACATACCATAACATAACAAACCAAACATAACATACCATAACATAAAAAACATAACATAACATAAAAAACATAACATAAAACATAACATAAAACATAACATACCATAACATAACAAACCAAACATAACATACCATAACATAAAACATAACAAGCATAAAACATAACATAACATAAAACATAACATAACAGAAAACACACCATACCATACCATAACATAACAAACATAACATAAAACATAACCTACCATAACATAACAAACATAACATAACATACCATACCATAACATAAAACATAACATACCATAACATAAAACATAACATAACATAACATAAAACATAAACCATACCATACCATACCATAACATAACATATAACATACCATAACATAACATATAACATAACATAAAACATACCATAACTTTCCCACACCACGTGAAGGCAGCATAGCGCTCAGACCCGCCTCGTGCACTGGAAGTGGAGGTGACGTGAGGCGCGCGCGCGGTTTAACTTCAGTGTTCAGAGTTCAGAGTCCAGTTTCCAGTGTCCTCCTCATCATCATCTCCTCTTCATCTTCTTCAACCCGCTCCTCTTCACTAGACACGGATAAACTCACTAAAGTCCCTCCTGAAGACTCTCTCTGACCCGGAGGACCCCGCAGCTCCCCTCGGCTCACACCCCGCACTCATCCCGCCTTCAGCGCACTCAGCCCGGGCACACACATGGCGACTCCCCCGAAGAGAGCGCGGAGCTCCGGAGCCCGCAGAAAACACCTCAAAGTCTCCATCGAGGGAAACATCGGTGAGTCCCGGAACCGCACCAGAACCGGGGGAAAATCCGGGTCTAAAGTCTGGGTTTTGGTCTGTGTTTTGGTCCAGGTTTGGTCCGTCTTTGGTCCTGTTTGTGATGAAGAAATTAGGCGCCAAATCCTCAGTGTTTATCTCAAAAACGCGGCTAAAATCAGATTAAAAGACAAATCCAAATAAAAAACTAAACTGCAGTGGTTTTAGAAATGCTCAATTTTGCTTCTTAAGTAAAAGTACATATATTTTATTACTTATTTTTAATTTTATTTTGACTTGTACATTTACTTAATATAATTCTGCCTCATTTAACTCCTGTCTCGCTCTTTTTTGATACTTATTTAGAATTTATTATTACCATTTATAGTTTTTTACTCATATTTTTTACTTATAGTGATGTGTGAGCTACTGTGTAGAAAAATACCTTTAGTACAGTACCTGTTTAAAAATGTACTTTAAGAGTAAAAAGTAAAAGTATTTTGTGAAGATTTTGAGATCTAATAACTTGATGTAGTGTTTTTGATACAAATTTGTGCTGAATTTTGTTTGTCAGCTGTTTTTATTTGTATATTTTTGTTACTCAAATCATGAATGTGTTAAAAAATAATGTAAAGGAGTAAAAGTAAAAAGTATTCAATGTAAAGTACCGATACCTCAAAACTATACTTACTACTGTACATTCCTACTTTTAATTTGACTTAACTGAGTGATTATTTTCTACAATTATTATAATTTTCTACAATTATATCTTGAATTTATTCAATTACCGGTGTTTTTATTTCTCAATTATCTCATAAATGTATTAACATGAGTTGCCATGGCGATAGTTAAATGAAATGTCACACTGTAGAACATTCCTGAAAACTATAACATCTACATGGAGTCAGGCAAATGATGGACCCTCTACTAAAAAAGTTACACAGTGCACCTTTAAGTAGAGGTTTTTGTTATTAAGTTTGTTTATTTGTGTATTAGTGTGTATTTGTGTGTTTTTAAAGTTTATCCTCTGTATGTTTGTGTGTTTTTAGTATATGTTTATGTGTTTTTAGTGTTGTGTACTCTTTGTGTTTTTAATGTGTGTTTTTAGCGTTGTTTACCCTCTGTGTGTTTGTGTGTTTTTAATGTATGTTTGTGTGTTTTTAGTGTGTTGTTTACCCTCTGTGTGTTTGTGTGTTTTTAGTTTGTGTGTTTTTAGTGTGTGTTTGTTGGTGTTTTAGTGTGTGTTTACCCTCTGTGTGTTTGTGTGTTTTTAATGTATGTTTGTGTGTTTTTAGTGTGTTGTTTACCCTCTGTGTGTTTGTGTGTTTTTAGTTTGTGTGTTTTTAGTGTGTGTTTGTTGGTGTTTTAGTGTGTGTTTACCCTCTGTGTGTTTGTGTGTTTTTAATGTATGTTTGTGTGTTTTTAGTGTGTTGTTTACCCTCTGTTTTTAGCTTGTGTGTTTTTAGTGTGTGTTTGTTTGTGTTTTAGTGTGTGTTTACCCTCTGTGTGTTTGTTTGTGTTTTAGTGTGTTATTTACTCTCTTTATGTTTGTGTGTTTTTAGTGTGTTGTTTACTTTCTTTGTGTTTGTGTGTTTTTAGCAGCAGGAAAGTCGACGTTTGTGCGACTCCTGGAGCAGACGAGTGACGACTGGGAGGTGATTCCAGAGCCCATCGCCAAGTGGTGCAACGTGCACACGGACAAAGAGGATATATATGAGGTACTACTACTACTACTACTACTACTACTACTACTACTACTATTATTACTACTACAATCTGAGCTCAGACAAGCACAGATGAAAAATGTATAAAAGTATCAGGGACAGGGGCAAAATGATGAAAATTTGGGAAAAATTCAACACCCATGCTGTTCAAAGGTGTGTGTTTATTATACGTGGAATTCAGGAAATGCATCAGTATCATGTCTCAGGAGCTGTTGTTGTGTTGTGTTCTTAATGCTGTGTGTGTGTTTCAGGAGTTGAGCTCTTCTCAGAAAAGTGGAGGGAACCTGCTGCAGATGCTCTACAGTAAACCCACACGCTGGTCCTACACCTTCCAGGTCAGTACTACTACTGTAGTACTACTATACCACTACTATTAATACTACTACTATACCACTACTATTAATACTACTGTGACTACAGTGCTTCTAGTTGTATATTTTTTGTGTATTGTGTATATTTAGTTGTATATTTTGTGTACTTTCAGTCGTACGCGTGCCTGAGCAGAGTTCGCTCTCAGCTGCAGCCTCCGTCTCTCAAACTACAAGAATCTGACCGACCAGTGCAGTTCTACGAGAGATCTGTGTACTCTGACAGGTACTACGACTGCAGTACTACTACTGCTACTGTTACTACTACTACTACTACTACTGCTACTGCACTACAAGAGATCTGTGTACTCTGATAGATCTTATTCCTAATAATAGTAATTCTACTACTGCAGTACTACTACTGCTAATACTGCCCTGCCGTACTGGAAGGGCAGAAAAGCTGTCAGTCTGTTTTACGAGGTAACGGCTCTTAACCCCGGGTCTAAACCTGGTCTAACCCTGGTCTCTCCCTGGTCTCTCCCTGTCTCTGCAGGTACGTGTTTGCCTCTACTCTGTTCGAGAACCAGAGCCTGACAGAGACTGAGTGGTCCGTGTATCAGGACTGGCACCAGTGGACCCTGGACCAGTTCAGCCCAGACTTAAACCTGGACGCCATCGTGTACCTGAGGGCAGAGCCAGAGGTGAGGACTGCCAGTACTACTATGAATACTACTACTACTATGAATTCTACTATGAGTACTACTGCTACTGCAGCATCATGTACCTGAGGGCATGGCTGAAGGACAGTATTCCAACAAAACGGACAGATCTCGTGTCTGTGTAAAAATCTTTTCTTTAGTGCAGATATGTCTTAAACAGTAATCATGTACTTTGTGTATTTTCCAGATCTGTGTATATGTATGTACTTGTACTGTACCTGTGTGTACTTATACTGTGTACTTTCAGAGGTGTATACAGAGGCTACTGCACAGAGGCCGAGAGGAGGAGCAGGACATTCCTCTGGAGTATCTCCAACAGCTGCACCTTAAACACGAGGCCTGGCTCTACCACAGGACGCTCAGGTACTGCACTACTACTGTGTGTGTGTGTGTGTGTGTGTGTACTGTGTACTGTGTACTGTGTACTGTACTGTACTGTAGTACTCTGTGTGTGTTTTCAGGCTGGACTTTGAGTATCTGAACCACATCCCCATTTTAGTCCTGGACGTGAACCAGGACTTCAAGAACGACCGGATCCTCCAGCACGGACTGATGGACCAGGTACAAATACAAATACAAATACTACTACTACTACTACTACTACTACTACTACTACTACTACTACTACTACTACTACTACTACTAGTAGTTACTAGTAGCAGTAGCAGTAATTACTAATACTGTAAACATGTTTCCTGTTCTGACTCTGGACTCTTGTGTGTTTTTCAGGTCAAAGACTTCCTGTCCACACTTTAGGATCTGTGCTCTGATTGGTCGGCTCAGTCTGATTTAGTAAACTCTCAAACCTCACCTGAAACGTCACAAACTCAGAACTTTTATGTGTTTTTAAAGCTCCGATATCTGACCCCTTTATGCATTAAGTTGTGTTTTTATGTTGTTTTCTCATCACAAACAAACCAGAGGAGTTTTCCATCAGAGGTTTAACAAAACCAGACTTATCCTGAAATCCTGAGCTGAATCTAACGCCAACATTAGTTTAAACCTCAAGTCGTTCCATGACAGAAATAAGCCTCATCATTTTAATTAAATAATGACCATGGGCTTTTATATGGTTTGTGCCTTTGTGATCAGTGCAGCGTCCACACACACGTGTGTCTCGTGTGTAGGAGTTTATAGACTGTAAAACTCTGTAAACACACAACTATAAAAGTCACTTTTTAAACTCTATCACACACACATGTGTGTTTAAACTCTATCACGCACACAGATGTTTTTCTGACACAGGTGTGTGGTGCACGTGCTGAAACTTTTGACTCATCTGTTTTAAATCAGGGCTCAAATCCAGGGCTGAAAAAATGATTCTAGTGAAGATGTGTGGAGTTTAAACACAGTGGAGCACTTCCTGTATCACCACATGACATCACAAGTTGGAACAGAGTGTTTTCAGTTTGAGAGAAGAACTAAATAAACCTAAATCTGCAGGTTTGTGTTAAACTTGTGAATGAAACGAAGCAAAACTCCAGGTTTGTGACGAGGAAACGACATTAAAACATAAATCAGACGACGGTGTCTTACGGAGCTTTTTCATCATTTCATTTTTATAATAATTTATTTCAAGTTTTTAAAATGTAAAATTGTAAAAATGAGTTTGGACTTAGAATCTTAGACAGAAATTATTTTGTAAAGTGTGAAATCATGTCTTAAATGTTCCAGTGAGATTTTAAAGCACTTACAGTATTTGAACATGTGACCTGGTTTATGGTTCAGATCTGTGATTCTTCCACAAAAACCGGCACAAAGTTCAGCCTCTTTGGTTAGACCTGGTTTTCTCAGCTTGTTACATTTGCTTTGTGTCTTTATTAGTGTTTTTTTTTTTTTTTTTTTTTTTTAAACTTGTATGTTTTAACTTTTTTTGGTGCTGTTTTTGTCCATTACAGTGTTGACAGTGAACGCTTCGTGTTGTGTTCAAAGACTGTGGAAAAATACACAATAAACAAATGGAACTGTCTCCCCTGGCTCTACTCCTCTTCTCTTCTCTTCTGTTTCTCTCTTCTCTTCTGTTTCTTCTGTTCTGTTTCTTCTATTTTGTTTCTCTTCCTCTTTTCTGCTCCTCTTTTGTTTCTCTCTTTTCTTTTCTTCTCTTATGTAAATAGCATGAGGTGTGGATGCAATTCAGGGTAAATGTTTTTTGATGGACACCATAAAGGTCTGTTAAAAATCAAATATTTTCTCTTGTGTTTCTTCTGTTTCTCTCTTCGTCTCTTCTCCTTTGTTCATGTCTTCAGGGTGCAGTACCGCTCTCTCTCCGCTGTGCGTCGCTGGCGTCTGTTATTGTCCCAGATCTCGTTTTGTCTCGCGTTGTTTCGCCGCCCCCTTTCTTTTACGTCAGGGAAACGCGGTGACGTCGCGGTGACATTGGGTGAAAGTGACCGGCACCTCGCGAGCTCCACGTTTCACCGACACAAACCGAGCCGAACCGAACCTAACAGAGCCGAACCGGACCGCACCGAGGGACTATGGACCCAGAGCCCCGCCGCAAGCCTCCGACCCCCGGGTGAGTCTGCTCCGTTTCCACGCTGAAGGAGCTCCTCGTGCGGCCTCACGGTCAGCTGGGCCCGTGAGCTCCGGTCCGGTCCGGTCCACTGGCACCGAACCGACAGCGTTTATCAGACTTTAGCTCGGGTTAGGGCGGGTTTAACTCTGGTTTAGTCTGGGATTAATCCTGGTTTGTCTCTGATTTAGTACATGTTTAGTCCTCTGGTTTAGAACCGGTTTTGTCGCGGTTTATACGTGGTTTAGTCCTGGTTTAGTTCTCAGATTTAGTCCCTGTTTGACATGGTTTTGTCCTTATTTAGACTTGGTTTAGTCCTGGTTTAGACCTGGTTTAGTCTTCTGGTTTAGACATGGATTAGTCCTGGTGTAGTCCTGGTGTAGTCCTGGCGTAGACTTGGTTTAGACTTGGTTCAGTTCTGGTTCAGTCCTGGTTTAGTCCTGGTTTGGTCCTGGTACTCGTCAGGTTTTTGGGCCTGTGTGTCCTTCACCATTTTTCACGAGTTATTTTATGATCTTGAATCACATATGTTTATTTATTTTTAGATTTATTTTCCAATTTGAAATGAACTCTTCGTGTCTTGGCTGCGCTGGGTCGGGGTCGGGCTAAAACTGTTCACAAGAAAACACTCAGCAGTCCCGTGAGTTCAGTCGGGTTCAGTCGGGTTCTGGCAGATTCTGGTGGATCGTGGTGGGTTTTTGGGGTACTCCCAGTGCATGTTTTTAAGATCTAATGTACTGCTCCTGTGGGACTTGGGGTGAGACAGGGGTTTGCAAAATTATAGAAATATCGATATATGGTATTGTTTAATTTGATGATGCAGTATCGGTATTGTGCGCTGCTTTATTGATTTGTGTTTGTGTTTGTCAAACTCTGTGACCGTTGTTTTGTTTAGAGGAAGGAAACTGTGAGCGTTGCACAAACCAGACTCAGGTCGAGTTTTAAAGCTGCAGCGTGCCCATGGAGATGCTATCACTTTGTCTGGAATGTTCTACAGTTCGGCATTAAACCTTTCTATCATCACAGAGACCAAACCAGATCAAGTTCCAGGTCAGATCTGTGGTCAGAATGTTTGTTTTTCCAGGTATTTTTGAGCCGTAAACCCACCTGTAATTGAATAAATGTAAAGTCGAGCCATTTAAAGTCACACTGCGGAACATTCCAGGCAGAGCAGTGACATATCCATAGAAACAAGCAGGTGTCAGACTCCCAAATGAAAAGTTACACAGTGCAACTTTATTTGTATAGTGCAATTCATACACAAAGTCATTCAAACAGACGATTATTTGACTAAGAAATGATTGCGATAAACGATAATTGATATTTTGAGACAATTTTCAACTATTCTAATGACGATGAAATAAAAACACAAATACACCCGTTTAAAGATCAATAAAGTTTACTTTCTGAAGAACATTTAATACAGGTACTGGAAGACAAACAAAAACAACAGGCCTAAAGAAAACAAGACGTGTGAACAGAAGAACAGTTGAATAAACCAGTTCTGAACCACACGTAACCAAAACAATAAAATAAAAGTTATCATGTGATTAATTAGTTTATTGATTATCATTACAGGCCTGATTCAAAGTGCAAGAAATACAGTAAAACTACAAGACAAACAAATGCAAAACAAAAAACATAAATAATCATCATGACATTAACATTAAAAGAGAAGATTTTAATAAAGACTTTTAGAAACTTTGAACCTCAGCACAGCCTGTAAACTGATTGATTTATTGATTACATGACTCAGCTCTGGTCACATGACTCTGTCTCGGGTTCATTCGTCTGCTCTCCTCACGCTCAGTCATATTTTTATTTCTTTAGGAGGCCGTTACCAGGTCACACGGTTCGTCTTTGTACAATAAACTCTTGTTAAAGTGAAAGTTTACAATTAGGGGTGAGCAGAAATATCAAAATATCAATATCCTGTATACCAGACATGTCAAACTCAGGCCCAGGGGCCAAATTTGTCCCGTGAGATCATATCAAATCTGTATTAGAGCTGCCCTCCGCCTACAGATCGACTATAGAGACATGATTTATTTAAAATGTTGTTATTATTTTATATTCTGCTTGTTCTAGATTCAATGTTTAACCAAAATTATTATTAAACATTTATTTGAATTAAATATCCTGAAAAAAGAGAAAACATGCAGATGTTGTTGACATTTTTCAATTAATATTTAGTTTGACCCACGACTTAGTCCCAGTTTTTAATTTTGGCCTGTTAGTTTGAGTTTGACTCTCCTGCTGTATCGTTTAATGTGATGATTCGGTATCAATATCGTGGGCTGATGTATCGATATATCGATATATTCCCATTTAGGTCCTTCCACACCAAATCTCTGAATGCTCCGCTCGACCATCTCTGGTTTGACTGAATAAATTCTAGGAGCTTCACAAACTTTCCAACAGGAAAAGTGCCAATTTTTTTCTCCCAACTCCTTATAGTTTTGTCATTAAAAATATTTAGTCAACTCCCCCCTGACCTTTTTTGAGTAGAGTTTTCCGAGGAGCCACTTTCAGATTTCTGTATTTAAAATAGAATCTGGACTTTTAGACATGTGCTTTTAGCTAATCACAGATTTCTGGGGGCTTGAATTTGCTTGAAAATTCTCCTCTTCAAATATTAGAATGTTTTCTGAGCTTCTGAAAGCTCGGACACAACATTTTCAAAAGTTCATGATGCAAAAAGAAGTCAGAACAGCATCACAAATGTTGAATATGTTAAAAACAGACGTGTAGTCTTTCTAAAATGGTCCATTTTATGTTGGTGGGTGCTTAATTTTTTTGGTATAACATGGTAAAGATGGCACCAATTTATTTATTTTTTCCCATTTTGAACACTTCATATCTTGTAGATCGTTCATCACAGAGGCTCAGTTTTAAAATAAAGTCCACAATGGCGTGTGGGGAAGGTTTATGTTCAATATCAAACCTCTGTCTTTGAAACTGCACTTTCCACAGTCCTTCAAAGACGCCCTCAGATTTGAAGAGGAGAATTTTCAAGCAAATTCAAGCCCCAAGAAATCTGTGATAAACCAAAAGTACATGTGTAAAAGTCCAGATTCTATAAGAACATTTGATAAATTTTAACCCTGGAAAATTTGAAGGACCGACCTTCAATAGTTTTTTAGATACAACAATCTGAAAGTGGCTCCTTGGAAAACTCAAAACCGGTCAGGGCAGAGTTCACAAAATATTTTTAAATGACAAAACTATAAGGAGCTGGGAGATAAAATTTGGGATTTTTCTTATTGGAAAGTTTGTGAACCTTCTAGAATTTTTTCAGTCAGATCTGAGATGGTCGAGTGGGGCATTCAGAGAATTGACGTGGAATGACCCATTTATGTTCAGGACCAATACTGGTATCGGTGCATCTCTACTTTTTTAGAATCCAGACGTGCCAAAATGAGGCTCTCGTTTGGATGTTAGTCCCGGGATCAGATTTCTGCCGCGTTGTAAAGTTTGTGTAATTGTTGTTGTTGTGTAAAAGTGCAGAGATGAGAGGTCGGCTGTTTGTGGTCACGTTCCTGCAGCTGTGTTTGTCTGAGCGTCTGTTTTTCCAGCTCTTATCTCTAAACTCCGATGGACTTCGTGATACGTTCAAGGCCCCGCTCTTTACGATGCATTTAGGGCGCGAGTGAGAGTGGGACTCGGGAGCGCCGCCGTGATTTCGTCAGGAGGAGATAGAAGAACTATGAAACCGGAGAAACAAAGAAATACTCAAGTCAAAAGTAAAAGTATCACATGATAAAAAAAAAGTCCTAGAATAAAAGTATTAAAGTACCAGTTTAAAAATGTAATTAAAGAGTACAACATCAAAGCGTTTCGCAGATTTTGAGCTCTAAATAACTTCAAATTGACTGATTTTGATGAAGAAGTTAGTTTTTTTCCCCCCGAACTGTTTTTTCTTTGTATATATTAGTTTGCTCAACAATAAACTGTTAAAAATAAACCTTCAGGCTTCGCAGCAGGTCTCACAGATTAACAAAAAATACTTTTACTTTCCAGTCCTGCTCAAAAATGTAGTGAAGTAGAAAGTACTCTCAAAACTCTCAAGTACATTTTACAGCAGATACTTTTTACTTTTACTTCACTACATTTAAGAAAAGTACAGATAACTTATGTGGTGTAATAAAAAACAAAAAAAAAAACAAAAACATGACTATTAACTATTAAACTATTAAAAGCTGCAGATAGGCTGTAGAGACATGATTTATTTAAAATGTTATTATTTAATATTCTGCTTGTTCTGGATTCAACGTTTAAGCAAAACTATTGTTAAACATGTATTTGAATAAGAAAAGGTTTAACATTACATATTTTTCAATAAATATTTAGTTTAGCCCACGACTTAGTCCCAGTTTTTAATTTTGGCTTCTGTGAATTTGAGTTTGACACCGCTGAGATAGAGGGCGAGCCTTTGGGAACAGTTACACGTCCATAAAACATAAACCATTGTCCGTTTATTAGTGCACAAAGTTGGGCTGCAAAATTACACATTTAATGGTGGTAAGACACATAAACAAGCACGGCACAATAGTATAATTCTGAAATCCAAAGAGCAAAGAGGCGCTTCAAACTGAATATGGGACAAATATTCAGTTATTTACAAGAAACGTGTTCAAATCTCACGACGAGTTTAAACGAAAAAACATTAAAAACACAAAAATCATGTTTGGACTTAATACAGATTTGTATTTTACAGCTAAACGGAAAAAAAGGAGAAGTGAAAGAGGGAAGAGAGAAAGAGAAAGCTTTATTTTTTACAATGTTTTGTTGTGTCACGAGCCTAAGTCTTTAAACTGCTCGCTCAGCTCGGGGTCAAAGGTGAAACACGCGCGGCTCCGGCTGGTTTGTGTGTGCTGCACCGGGGGTCACGTGGGTGCACGTGGGTGCGCTCAGCTGATGGTGTCTGGAGCGCGCGCGCGCGCGGGGGGGCGTCGTGAGCGCGCAGACTCTACGTGCTACGGACAGATACGGAAAATGGCGGAGCAGCAGCGAGACACGAACCGGCTCCAAAACACGAGGTAAAGACGGATTTAACACGGGGACGACGGGGACGGGACAGTCTGGAGTTAGTCCCGGTTTAAACCTGGATTAGACCCGGTTTGGACCTGTTCTAGTCCCGGTTCAGACCCGGTTTAGATCAGATAACAGGCTGCGGAGCCTCTTTCCAGGAAAAACTCCGGCGCCAGCAACGACTCAGGAAAAAAACAAAACATAAAAACACTTCCGAATCACGCTTTAATATTGTTTAATAATGTGGAATTCTTGCTATTTATGTTCGGTGCATGTTTTGACCCGGTTCGTGTGAGTTCGGCGCATGTTTTGACCCGGTTCGTGTGAGTTCGGTGCATTTCTTGAGCTTCTTGACTCGTTTCATGTGAGTTCGGTGCAATTTGGTCCCGGTTCGTGTGAGTTCTGTGCATGTTTTTACCCATATTCGTGAATTTGGTGCATGTTTTGACTCTGTTCATGTGAGTTTGGTGCATTTTGGTCCCGGTTCGTGTGAATTTGGTGCATGTTTTGACCCTGTTCATGTGAGATTGGTGTATTTCTTGAGACACTTGACCCGGTTCGTGTGGGTTCGGTGCATGTTTTGTCTCGGAGAAGGTTCGTGCAGACGAGTCAAACCTAAAAACATTCTTTGTTACTGCGGGTTTTGTTTTCGGTTTTATTAAATGAGGAGAATACAGAGCTGCTTTTTTATTTATTTATTTATTAATTGATTCTTTTTTTTTTTTTGTGAGACCCGTAGTCTGGTTCTGGTTCTGGTTCGGGCTTTGTGCAGAAAATGAGCAGGAAAAAAAATGGAATTCTGCAGGGGGAAAAAAAAAATTTAATAAAAATGTAAAAACACGCTGATGACGGATGACGCAACACGCACGCGGTTTACGTAAGGTGAACCCAACACTGGTCCTTTGTGCAGCCTGAGACCCGCTTCATTTCACTCTTTCATCACGACCAAAACCGCACACACAAACGGAACCGCCCCCTCCAAGGGTCACTTCGCAGACTTTTGACCTCTGATCCAGACCCAGTTTGGAGCCGGAGTCCCGTGTCTCTGCAGATTTAGACTGAACCAATGATCTGACCTGGATTTACACAAGACATGTCCAAGGTTTTTGACAAGTCTGATCTAGACCAAGACTAGACCAAGACTAGACCAAGACTAGACCAAGACTAGACCAAGACTAGACCAAGACTAGACCAAGACTAGACCAAGACTAGACCAAGACTAGACCAAAATGAAACTCTGACTAAACCAGGGCTAAACTAGGTGTCCCTATTTCTAACCAATTTGATCTAAACCAGGTCTAAATCAGGTCTAAACCAGGACTAAACAAAGACTGAACCAGGACTATATCAGGGCTAAACCAGGACTGAACCACGAATAAACCAGGACATATATCAGGTCTAAAACAAAGTGTCCCTATTTCTGACCAGTCTGATCTAAACCAGGACTGAAGCAGGTCTAAACCGGGACCATATCGGGTCTAAATCAGATCTGAACCAGGACTAAATCAGATCTGAACCAGGACTAAACCAGGACTAAAATAGGTCTAAACCAGGACTAAACCAGGTGTCCCTTTTTCTGACCAGTCTGATGTAAACCAGGACTAAACCAAGTCTAGAAATAAGTCAAAACCAGGACTAAACCAAGTCTAAAATAAGTCAAAACCAGGTGTTTGTTTTTGAGTCAAACTAATAATATTTGTCCATCTTTACTGTCGGCAGGATCAGACTTGTCAGAAAAACAAACACACACAAGGAGTTTAGAGTTCAGAATGGCCACAGTTTCCCTCTTTTCTGTTTTTTTCTTTTTTTTTTCTAATCACCTCTCGACCCGCTGGCTCTGACCCAGTTTGGAAATCTGCTCGGCCTGGACTCTTCCTCACGAGCTCTCAGTTAATCCTTTTGTAACTGTGTTTGTGAAGTGTCTCTGAGTGTCCACAAAAGCAAGATTAAAGTCTGATTTATTATTATTTGTGCACAGTGGAGTCTTTTTGGTCATGGAGCCTCTTCAGGGTTTGAGAAAAGAGGGACAAAACTCTGAACGTTTTACTTTTTCCTCTTAAAATACCTCGACAAGATGGAAAAGTGTTACAACTGTTATTTCTTCTTGTAGTCTGCAGTGAAACGCAGCAAAGGATCATGGTCTATGTAGTTCCCTCTTGTTTTTTACTGATATATGGAAATGTACAGAATGTGGTCTGGACCAGGTCTACACTAGGTCTGAGTCAGGGCTAGGCCAGGTCTAAAACTGGTCTAAACCCAGTCTACACCAGTTCTACACCAGGTCTGGGCCAGGTCTGAACAAGGACTATCCCAGGACTATCTCAGGACTATCCTGGGTCTGAACCAGGTCTGAACCAGGTCTGAACCAGGCTGAACCAGGGCTGAACCAGGGCTGAACCAGGGCTGAACCAGGGCTGAACCAGGGCTGAACCAGGGCTGAACCAGGGCTGAACCAGGTCTGAACTCTGCTGAGGTCTCTCTAGTGGAATTTTTCTGACTTATCTTAATGTTCATGTAATAGGGGGCTGAGGTTACGTCATGAAACCTCCTGACCTCATCCCTCGACCCGGACTCTAGAGGGTTCTGAAAGGTTCTGGAGGTTCTGAGGGGCTGTGTGTGGGAGGGCATCTGGCTTAGGGAGACACAGTGATAACAGCAGCCGCTCCCTCAGGTTTTCACAAGTTTTAAAGCTGATTTTTAGGATTTAAATGTCGGATCAGAGACCAGACCGGACGGAGACTCAGGGCGTGGACTCGATCAGCTGTGAGTCCCGATAAACCCAGCTCAACTCGGACTACGTCAAAACTATAACTTTATCAGAAGTAAACCAGAACTAGACCTCAGCTGGGTCCTATCTGTCTCCCACACACACGGGGGCCTAGGGACTGAACTAGGACCTAAAACCAGGTCTAAAGCCACATCCAAGACTAAACCTGGACTAAAAACAGCTGTGGTCTGGACTTGTGTCACAGACCAGACCAGGATCTGGGATTGAATGGACTCAATCAGGCCTAAACCAGATCTAATCCAGGTCTAATCCCGGTCTGAGCCTGGTATAGTTCACCTCTGAGCCTGCTTTAGTCCAGTTGTGATTCTGGTTTGATCCTAGTCTGATCCGGGTTTAGTCCTTCTCTGATCCACCTGGTGAACCTCAGACCTGAGTCAGAGTCCAGACTAAACCAAAGCTAAATCTGGACCTTGTTTAGACCTTGTTTAGACCTTGTTTAGACCTTGTTTAGACCGGACTTAGACCGGACTTAGACCGGACTTAGACCGGACTTAGACCGGACTTAGACCGGACTTAGACCAGCTTCAGGATCAGTTTTAGAGACAGAGTTGTTCCTCTGGAGTCTGGACTTCACCTGGACTCTGTGGGCAGGATCAGGACTCTGGTCTGGTCTTTGTTGGATCTTCTGTCTCAATTCTAATGTTTCTTCACTTCTGTTCATAACGTGCAGCTCCAGATCTGAAAACTGTCACGATGTTCTTGATGTTCCTCTGTCACAGAGACGAGCTTCAGGTGGAAACACAGAACTAGAATCAGATCTGAACCTGAACCCAAGATGCCGTCATGTTGTTTTCAGTGGTCTGTGTCATCGGCTGATTGGCCCAAAAATAATTTTCTTTTCCACATTTACTTCTTGAATCCGGGCGAACTCCTCCCACTCGTGTGACTTCTGTAACTTGCACGGCGTGGAGCTTTTGGACCAATCAGAGTGAGAACTGCTAGAGCCGAGCGAGCGCGCCTCAGAGTCTGACAAATAACTTTTAGACGCTTTGAGGATTTAAACATTTTAACAAGTTTATGTTGTGAAAATAGAAAATAATCCTACAGAATCTGACCTTTGTGAAAGTCGGATGCCCTGTCAGAACATGGGCAGGATGAATTCCCAAAATGCTTTGTGTTCTGTGGGAGAATTCTTTCTGACCTGCAGTACCTGGAGCGGCCACTAGTTGGTCTGGAGCTGGGAAAAGAGGGAGGGACTTATCCAGGTTTTATCATAGATCCACTTTGGAAACACGGCGTGGAAATTAACATCATATTTTTGTATTTTTGTCTGTGTGCAGTTCCAGTATGGACCTGTGGGGGCAGTGCAGCCGGGCGCAGCAGCTGTTGGAGGACGCTGTGAGCGGAATCTTGAAGACGGAGAAAGAACTGAGACAAAACGCCACTGAGGTCAGACACACACACATCTGTAGACACACACACACATCTGTACACACACACATATTTTGTTGGTGTGTTCAGCTCTCACATAATAAACCTTTGTCACAATGGCCGGAAGTGTCGCACGGTGAGGTTACGAAACTTCCTGTTAATGGTTTTCTTTGGCAAATGAAGAGAATGCAGAATACACTGAACATTTCCACAGACATTTTGCAACAGAAAACCATTAACCCAAAGTTCCACAAACCTACACGGCCGAACTGTCACTGAAATTCCAGCGTGAAGAAGAAACCGTGACCTTTCTGACCCTCGTGCACTTCGGGTCAGCTCACGTTTCGCTCATGTTTCACTGGTTCGCGTTGGGGGCTGGGGCGTCTCCGGACTCGTCGGGGCACATTTAAGGAGCTGTTTTCTGCAGAAACCCAAAATAAAGACGCAGCTCGTGTTTCTCCGTGTTGCTCATCTCCAGAAACCACAGACGGAGATTAGAGATGCAGACCACAATGAGATCTGTGTCTGTCTGAGCCACGGGTCAAATGTGACTAAAGAGAGAAGAGAGGTGGAGGAGGAGAGGAAAAGAGGGGAGGGAGGAGGAGAGAGGGAGGAGCATGTGAGTCTCAACAGGTATAACTGACCTTAGACCACAGAGGATGGACAGAAAGAGGAGAAATACAGAGAGAGCAGACAAAGAACCTGATTGAGAAAACGCAGGACCAGCTCTAACCTGTTTTAGGTGAGAAACTTACTCTGAAATACTTTAATGACTCGTTACACACAGAAGAGCTCATGTTTTAAACTCTTAATGATGGAGGGATGAGGCCGGAGGGATGAGACTGGGTTCATTTTGTGTTATCGTCGTCGTTCTTTTGGTTTGTTTTTGCTGGAAGTCTGAATCACAGTCTCCTCTCAGGTTTATACTTCACACAGGGCAGGTTCAGGACTTCGAACTTCTGTGTGTATTCTGTCGGTGTCTGTGTTTCATTTCTCTTTCCTCGATTCCTTCTCGAGTTTTCTCCTCGATGCTCCATTTTTCAGCTGTTACTCAAGTCTGTCATATTAAGTTTTGTCCCAAAGAAAACCACAGAAGAAAGAAGTCAAGTTAAGGAGGAAAGAATCAAACTTTATCAGTCTCAGTGAGGAGTTTAGATCCTCTCTCCTCCCTGCGTCTCCTCTGTGGGCGAGACTTCTTCACCCATTTCCTGCAGAATCGAGAGGGAGAAGGAATGAGACGCAGAGTTTATTCCTGTGTACCTGTCCTCACCTTCACCTGTCTCTGTCCTCACGTTCACCTGTCTTTATTGTGTGCAGGTGTGCGGGCAGGTGCAGAGCCTGATGAGTCGCCAGCAGGAGGCGTTGCGCTGCAGGGAGCTGTGGCTGCTCGGACAGATTGAGATCCTGGAACAAGTGAAGAGTGAAACGCTTCAGCAGCAGCTCCTGCAAATCACACGGGTAAATGTACTAAATATATAAACCAGGAGTGGGCCACATGAGAAACAGAAAATATTGTGAATGCCAAAGTGTTTAACTCAATTCTGCATAATGTGAATTGTATTTCTTTAAAAAAGTAGTGAATATTGTTTTGACCAGTTGGTCAGACTGGGAAGAGTTTGTTTTTACTAAGTAATGAAAAAGTGAGGCTGCCGAACAAAAAATGTCTTAAAAAACACGTCTAAAATAAAAGCAGTGCAGCTTTAGTTCAGGCATGAGGTAAAATTTATAATATGTTTATTTTGTAATTCCAAATGAGCTTAAACGGGCCAGTCAGAGTCGAACAAAGAGCCGTGTGTGACCCCGGAGCTGGACAAGGCCTCGAGTAAATATAGCATGTAAAGAGAGAGATGAGCAGAAAAACTGTTGACTAAAGCTGTGATGTTCTTTAGAGCGACGTGTTTAAGAGCTCAGATCCTCTCACCTGTTGGAGTTCAGATCAGTCAGGTCTTTCTGGTCAGATTGTGGTCAAAACAAAACTCAGATTAAAGTTTCACGTGTTAATGTTCTGTCCACAGCTCAGAGCTCAGCTGGATCTGATCTCAGACCAGCTCCGCAAGCAGCCAATCAGCAACGACGTGAGGAACCACCTGACCAATCAGCTGACAGCGCTCCTGGACAGGTGAGACTCACACCGGACTGTCTCAGGTCTAAATGTGAACTAGACCGGACCTGACCCAGGACTGCTCTGCTGCTTCACTGAGGTGTTTAACTGTTTGTTTGTGTTCAGCGTGGCGACCCTCGGCCTGACCCCGGAGGAGACCCCTGACCTCTATTTCCATGGGGACACTCGCTCTTTACGCTCCACCATTACATCATTCGGAGCTGTAACATCATCCGCCCACAGCCCCGCCCCCAAGAGACAGGCGAGTGCTCTGACTTTGGATTTTAGTGTCCAGATTAAAACTTAAACTAAATCTCAGTGTGTTTTCCTCCACAGAAGACAGAGGGCGCTCTGAGCCAGTGGCTGCTGGGGGCGGAGCCACAGTCCTTTGCCAAGGGTTACGAGAGCGGCGAGACACGGGATTGGCTGGCGACATGTTTACAGCCACAGGTGAGTGAGACACACCTGTGCAGGAGGAGAGGGGGAGGGGCTCACGAGGGCAGTGACAGGAGCAGAGTCCCAGATTAAGAAAAATAGGAATCTGAGTCCAACATTTCCAGAACCAGTTTCACAGCTGAAATTCTGACCCCAGTCAAGTTTGTAGACCGACTTCTGACTCATAAAAACAGGAACAGAGTTTCTGAGATCACATGAAGGCAGCGTCAGACTGGGTCAGACTGGGTCAGACTGGGTCAGACTGGGTCAGACTGGGTCAGACTGGGTCAGACTGGGTCAGACTGGGTGGTTGTGGAGTTTGTCATTAGGCTCATAAACAGTAGTTTTATAGTGTTTTTATGGCTGTTGTTTCCTGTGATTTATCAGATCACTATCTGTGTGTGTGTATACGTGCGTTTATGTGTGTCGAGGTCATAAAGGAGGGTCAGATCGGGTTAGAACTTTTACTCTCGTAGAAGTGTTTATTTTGATGTGAAGGGTCAGACTGGGTGAGGGTGACTCCAGGTGATGAAGAACAGACGAGTTTGAATGAAGGGTTGTGGTCCTGTGTGTGTGTGTGTGTGTGTGTATAGAACACAGGCAGGGATCAGGCGCTGAGCATCTGTCAGTGAAACGTGTGATTGGTCTGTTATTAATGTTCACATCTTGATTTGGGAAAAAATAGTGAAATAAAAACCCCAGGATCATGTAGAGCAGTTCAGAGAGTTCAAACCAACATTTGAAGATCAGAATGAGGAGCAAAGTGAATTGGAGCCATGAGGCGAGCGGTTTGTCTCTGTCCAGTGACGTGTGCAGTTTAGACCAGCAGCAGTGATTAAATGAGATCCAGATTCTGTAATAATTGTTTACTCGTTAATTTGACTCCGCCCTCTTCCTGTTGCAGACTTGGGTCCAGACTCGGCCTTCCTTCGACATGTTCGCGGCGTGGGGGCAGCTGCTCGACCTGGAGGCGTGGCTCGTGAAAGAGACCGCACCCCTCTCCTCGTCTAACCCCGCCCACGATGACGGCCTTAGCAACAGAGCACGGAGCATCAGCTGCAGCACTTCCTCTTCCTTTGAGGAGATCGACCAATCGGAGCTGAGCTCAGAGGAGATGGACCAATCGGAGGCGTGCGAGTCCTGGGGGGCGGTGCTTCGGCCCTTTGAAGAGCGCTGGGACAGCTCTGATTGGCTGCTGCCCCGAGACTGCTCCTCCTGTAAACGCCCACAGCGCCCCCTGGAGATCGAGAACCTGGGGAACGCGCTCGGGAAGCTCAAGTGCCTCAAGAACCAGAACCTCCAGAGTCCAAACCAGGACCAGACCCCCCTCAAGACCCAAGACAAGACCCAGGACCAGACCGAAGACCGGACCAAAGACCAGACCCAGACCCCGAAGAAGGAGCCGACAGAGAAGAGCCGCCGCAGCGAGGCACTGGAGGCGTGGCTTCAGCAGGTCAGTCTGTCACCCTCCTGAGGTTTCTAAAAGAACAAGGAAGCGGCAGGTCTCCTTTCCTCGCTCCTTTCCTTGCTCCTTTCCTCACTTCACTGATCAGTTCAGACCGTCCTTGTCATGGCTGATGGTGACACGCGTCTGGGTGACTGAGAAGGAAAGGATGGGCCTCATGTGAGATTAACACACTCCTCTCTGTCCTCTCAGTTCTGTGTGTGTCCTGCAGGTGGCGCTGGTGTCTCATTGTGTTGTTGTTCTGTGTGTGCTGGTGTGTGTTGTTTGTGTGTTCTGTTCTGTGTGTGTCCTGCAGGTGGCGCTGGTGTCTCATTGTGTTGTTGTTGTTCTGTATGTGTCCTGTAGGTGGCGCCAGTGCAGCAGGTGTGTCGCGCTAACGAGCCGTGTTCTTCTCTGAGGAGCTGCGTCTGTGACGAGAACTGTGGCCGCGACGCTCTGAGGGCGTGGCTACTGCGGCGAGAGGGGCGGGACAAGAACGGGGTCAAGACCACGCCCACCTGTGACAAGGACACGCCCACCTGTGACAAGGACACGCCCACTAAAGAGAAGGACACGCCCACTAAAGAGAGAGACACGCCCACTAAAGAAAAAGACACGCCCACTGTGAAGAAGATGCCGCTGTCCTACAGTGAGAGAGAAGAGAAGGTGAGTGTCCCTGCAGCAAAGTCCAGACCGGGATCATAACCAGATTTAGTCCAGACCAGGATCATAATGCCAGACATACACAGCTCAAACTGAACGACTGAATCTCAGGGCGTAGAAGTTCACAGCTCATGATTCATGTTCTCACACTGTATGATCTGATTGGAAGCGAGAGGCGACTGGATTTCAAACAGGTTTGATTTTCTTGCGACCTGTGATTGCCGATCGGGAGCTGGTCGTGTGGTATTAATCAGTTCTCATTATCCCATATACACTAAACGAAGCACGACACACAATTACACGAACGCTCTGCCCAATCCCTAAAACTGTTGCAGGAGTGAAAAATCGTCTCAAAAAACTCAAAAAGGGCCAAAAATCACAGTGTACGCTTGGTTTAGCCAGACTTAGTCCAGACTGGGATCATAACCAGATAGAAGTTTGCCAAAATTGTGAAATGAAAGATTATTCTGAAGTTTACTCCTGACTCTCAAAGCGGGACACTGATTCAAATGGAATTATTCTTAAATAATAAACCCTAATGAGAATGAATGTGTGAAGGGGCGGCCCTCGGATCGTGACCTCTCCGTTGTGAAACAGTCTCCTGACCCTTTTCACCTTTTGTTCCAGGTCCAGGCGATCCTCGAGGCTTGGCTCCACCCCCTGACCTCCAGCCCCGCCTCCTCCTGCTCCAGCCCCGCCCCCCCTGTTTCCATGGAGACCTCTGACAGCTGTCCCTTCCAGCGCCCCCTGCAGGCAGACCTGTGGGTGGTGCCGCCAAAGACCCCGGCCAATCAGACGCCAGAGCCCGCCGCTAGCCCCGCCGCTAGCCCTGCCCCCAGCACAAGCCCCGCCCCCAGCACACCTGAGGAAGAGGAGGAGGACAGGTGGCTGCTGCGGAAACGCTCCAGTGCTCAGGTGAGACTCGGGAAATGTGACAGAACCTGAGGAATTATAGCTAAAATTTCAAACTTGACTTCTACACCCAAAACTCGATACTGATTTTCAGAATTAAATGTTTCTTTTCTGTTCAGGAGCGAGCGATGCCGGTCGTCTGTGACCTTTTCTCCTGCATGAAACTCAACAAAGACAAAGACCTGTGGCTGCACTCGCCCCCTCTACAGGTGAGGACGACTCCTGACACACACACGGGAGGGCATCTGACACATGCAGGGAGATGTCTGTACTCATGTTTTTTTCTGTTCATTTCAGATGTGAGAGGAGGAGGAGGAGCAGGAGGAGAAGAGGAGGAAGACTCTGACACTTTGCTGAAATCGCACACTTTTGCCTTTAACTAAAACGCCACAGAAATCCACAAACTGATCTAAGAATCTGTGACCTGAGGCTGTGTCCGAACGTCCACACTGTCCCTGCAGGGGGCGCCATTTACAACTCGCACGTATCGAGTTCTGTCCAAAAAGTCCAGGGAGCCAAAAAGTAGAGCACTCAATTTCCCACAATCCACCTGTAAAAGTGGATCGTCCAGCGCTGGTCAGTAGGGGTCTGTACAGAGCACAGAACAAGACAGATTCTGAATAAAACGCTCTTCAAGGTGAACTTTAAGAGGGTTTATTCAGGTTGGAGTTACCATGGAGATGCTATTGCTTTGCCTGTAATGTTCCGCAGTATGGTTTTAAACTTGTAGATGTTTTTATAGCTTAGAAATATCTTTTAAAAGGCCGCCACACTCTACAGGACAGTTTACCAGATTTTGGTTGCGATTTCTTTTCTCCACGTGACCCGACTTTGTGTCTTCGGCCACATCCACACTAGTTCGTATTCGAGTTGTTTTCGTTGCGGATGCAGTGTTCGTTCACACTAATCTGATGGAAAACGGCTCCAGAGACGGAACAATCTGGCGCCTACAGCTCCCACAAATTCATCTGAGTACAGATCTGATCCGGCACTGTGGACGCCTGAAAACGTTGCTGTAGGTCTGTGCACCGCAAAGTAATTCAGTGCCAAAACACTTAAGAGGCGAGAATATGTGTCCATTTATATAAAGGTGTGTCTATGTGTACGACCTGCAGACGTATAATCTCTGAAAAGTTTAACACGAACCATCTCCAACACGACAGAAACACAGAACAGACTCGCCATCAACAGAACACCCCTCTGTCACAGAAAGAACACTCAGATTCCACTGAGTCGTGTCCTGATGCTGCTCAGCTTCTGTCGAACTAAAGGACACAAGGAAAGCTGTTTTTTTGAGCCTCAGTTTATGCAAATGAGTTGTGTGGTTTTAAATTTTGTTTCTGTAAATCATAAACAAATGTGCTCAAAGCTGTGTGGATAGGGAAGGCTTAAGGACACAGAAATTACATGTCTGGATGCAAATCGACTCATTTCAGTTTAAACACAGCCTTCGTGTGTCATCTTGTAACCACCAAACATCAGCAACGTTATGGTAACAGCCGATAAAACAGAGCGTTGGGGGTAGAGGAGCGACGGACACAGAGACCCAAGATACAAACTCAAGAAACCGCAAAAATAATGATTAGACTTTATTCCTCACCTCTCTTAAAGCGGTAAATTTAAAGTGCAGCGTCTCATCCACATTATCCATAGAAGTTATTCTCCGCAAATAATGACCCCAGTCCACAAAACCAAACCGTGAATCCAGTTTGAGGCATTCTTTAAAAGTAAAAATGTGGGAGTAGTTCCTCACGTGTGTCTGTGGAGAATCTGGATCTTCAACTCGATCCGTAAACAGGGACTCGACTTCCTGTGGACTTTATCTCCAATCATTTATGCTTTAAAAATCCTGTATCTGAAGTTTTGCACCACATTTTGCAAATATTAATAACACAGTTTTGACTTTAAACGCACTGTCGGCAGGAAAAAACTGACACAAACTTTATATCTTGTGGTCCGCAGACAGATCCCGCTGAAGTCTTTGTGATCGGAGATTTTAAGTCTCATCAGATTATCTTCGTGTCTGTGGTGTGAGCTTTTTGTCGCAAGTTTAAAAATCGTTTAAGACCCTCCCCAAAAAAAAAATCCTGTGGTGTGTGGCGTCTGCTGCTTGTTTCTAGGCAGATTGAGAAGTTTTAATGCCGTACTTTGGAACATCGAGGGTAAAGCGAAAACGTCTCTGGGTGTGGGAGACGTTCGGACCCAGCCTGAGAAACTCTGATCTAACAAGCTAAACTTTAAAATGTAAAATGTCAAATTCAGATGTATTATGTGTAATATGTGAAGCTTAAATCTGACTCACGGGAGGGCATCTGACTCGCCGCGGGGGACGAACAGCATCTGACCCGCCGATGACCTGTCCGTGGTTTATTTTCTTACGCTCAGATGATATTTATGTAGCCTCGAACTCGCTTCCCGTCCCGTGACTCGGAGCTGAGCCGTGATTTTTTTTTTTCTCTTTAGGATTTTTGTTTTTATTTAGAATTTTAATGAATGGGGTTTAGGGGCTCGGCTTCTGCTAAAACGGATGATGTCACTTCCTGCTGCTGTGATTCTCTACAGTCAATAAAGACGTCGTCCAAAAAAAAAAAAGAAGTGTGTGTGTGTTTTGTTTTTGTTTTTCTTATTTAGATAAAATGTGAAGATGCAGAACGTGGGTTGGAGGAGAAGGACAGTGTTTCCAGATTGGGCGGGTGTCTGTCCATTTTTGACGATGTCGGGTGGGAGGGGAAGCTTTAGGTGGGCAGATATTTGGGCGACTTTCAACAAGTTTGGGTGTTTTTTTTGTTTTCACACCAATCAATACGATATGAAATAACAATAAAGCAAGAAACCACATGGGACTTTGACTCGTGTTCAGTTTTATGGAGGCACAAATGAACGGACACTAGGCTGCATTATTTGCCCCAATGTCAGAAATTCAACTTGTACCCAATTTTAAAATGTGACGAAACCAATTAAAAGAAAATCTGGAATATTTGTTCCAGTTGAATATTTGTTCAGTTGAATAAAACCGAGTCCACCGAGCCAGTTCCAAGTTCCATCCTCACGCCATCCATAAAGCTCTGATAGAAGTTTTTCTCAAATAACTTCAAAAAATGATCAATTTAGGGCCATGGTGTCAATGAAAGTTGAATATAAATGTTGCTATTGTGCATCTCTTGGTCCCAATTTTATATTTCTGTCTTCAGAACTTTCTAAGATTTGACAATTTTGTTTTTTTCATAATTATCCAGTAAAAACAAAGGCCAAAGATGAAATGAGTGAATAAAGTTTGTTCTTTCTGTAGTGATCAGAAACTGCATAAAAAAAAAGTGGAGCAAGTGAGTGAGTGTGACAGTAAGAGTGTGACTCAGTGACAGGTACGGCTCAGGGTTTCCAGAAAGAATAAGAATGTTATTAAAGAAAAACAGATTTTTCAGCTCAGATTTAAGGCCACAGGCGCTAAAATTCCAGAGGTTTGGTGGACCCAGTAAACATCAAGAGAATTTCAGGAAATTTCACAGAACTTTACTTTAGCAAGTGTAAAAAACTGATACTAGGTACAGATTGATTTAAAAAAAAAAATTCAAAAACTTGGGTAAATGATGCTCCCTAACAGACGTTGTCTACGTTCAGACCTCTCGGTGTTTTCAGCTGCTGCACAGATTCAGTTTCTCGATGTTTGAGTCTCTGGTTCTGTGTTTGCAGATGTTCTTGTCGTAGCCGAGACTGTAGTCGACCGTTGATGATATTCATTTTTATGTGTGATGAAAACACTGTTCGACTTTTTACCAAAGGTATTACAGAACACATGGTTCCCAAGGTCATGGAAATCCTGAAAAAGTCATGGAATTATAGTATCTCTTTCACACAACTGCAGTGTTCTCTTAAGTTTTCATGAGTCTGTTCTGATTATTTCTGAATGTCTTGGTGCTTTTTGTTTAAAAGAGACGACAATAAATGCACTGACAGGATTTTGAATGTTCAAAAACTATAATCCCAAACCATAAGGGGAGAGGAAAGAGTTCACATTTCAGATTTAACCCTGATCAATTCTACACATGGAGGTGCTGTAAAGTCGTGGAAAATTCCCTTTAGGTCATGAAAAACTTGTGAAAATGTTTTGAAATTTTGTCAGTGGAAAAAAAAATCTTGATAACATGTTTTCTGAATTTTCTCTCATGTTTTTTTTTTTTTTTAGAAAGCCAATAGATTACGTTACAACAGGTTTATTCAATTATTTGACTAAATTACTTTTTTTTTCTGTGATAAATGAAAATACTGTTCTACATTTAACATGTTTTCTCAATCTTGGTAATGTTTTTAAAAAGCCCAACAATGGATCACACATGGTTTGTTCAAAGATTAAATGTTTCTGTGACTAAACATTGACAAAAACCTCCCAATCTGGCAACACTGGAGGAAGAGACGGACAGAAAAAGAGAGGATCAGATGATTCACTCGAGACACTTGGCTGTTCTTTCTTGTTGCTTTATTTCAAACACTCTGAAACATTTCCACATCTCTCCAGATCATATTTACACCTCTGCTGCCGGGTTCTGTTCTGTTCTGTTCGATTCAACACATATTAGTTAAAGCTGCATTGAGTAACTTTTCTGGTGGAGGGTCCGTCACATTGTTTGCTTGGTCTGGAATGTTTCACAGTACGGCATTACACTTTTCTGTCACCACGGAGACCAAACCAGACCAAGTTACAGTCAGGATGTCTGTTTTGTAGCGATTTTTGAGCTATAAAACCACCTGTAAATGAATAAATGTAAAGTTTTGCTGTGGAACATTCCAGGCAGAGCAATGACGTGTCCATAGAAACAAGCAGGTGATGGAAGCACCATCAGAAAAGTTACACAGTGCAGCTTTAAAGTTGAGTTTCTCCTATAGCCTGTTGTTATGCTGTTGTACCAGAGGGGGGCAGTCTTGTATCACAAAACCTTTACATTTGGAAGTTGTTTCAGTCGCAGTAGTTCTGAGCTTCTCTTTCAGCATTTTTGAAATCACGTTTTACTCGAGTAACATATTTATTGAAAGTACACATGCAGCTAAAGGACGGGTCAAACGCAGCAGGAGGATGGGTCAAACGCGCCGATCCAAACGGGTTTGAATCTGAAGAACTGCAGCAGCTTTTACTGATGTGCAAATATAAACAAAAGAACAAAAGAGAGAAACGGTCTCTCCTGGTGTGGTTCAGTCCCTTCTGTGCCTCTGGTTCAGTCCTGGTTTAGTCCTGGTTCAGTCCTGGTTCAGTCCTGGTTTAGACCTGGTTCAGTACTGGTTTAGACCTGGTTCAGTCTTTGTTCAGACCTGGTTCAGTCCTGGTTTAGACCTGGTTCAGTCTTTGTTCAGACCTGGTTTAGACCCAGTTTAGTCCTGGTTTAGTTCTGGTTCAGTCCTGGTTTAGATCCAGTTTAGTCCTGATTTACTCCTGGTTTAGTCCTAGTTTAATCCTGGTTTAGTCTTGGTTTAGACCTGGTTCAGTCTTGGTTCAGACCTGGTTCAGACCTGGTTCAGACCTGGTTCAGACCTAGTTTAGACCCAGTTTAGTCCTGGTTTAGTCTTGGTTTAGTCCTAGTTCAGTCCTGGTTTATTCCTGGTTCAGTCCTGGTTCAGTCCTGTTTTAGTCCTGGTCTAGTCCTGGTCTTGGTCCTGTTATAAGTCCATAGTGGGGTCTAGTCTTCGTCTCTTTTCTCGGAGTAGCTCTTGGATTCGTTTGTTCTGAGTTCTTTCACCAAATCGCGGCGTTTTCCTCGGCACAAAGTCACTCTGCGTCGCCACGGGAACGCCCACCACGCGGTACTGCACCTCAGGGCCAGTAGGGGGCGCAGGGGAGGCCCTGGTCTCAGCTCGGGACGGTTTCCGTGGTCGTTTTGGGGTTCTTTTGCTTGTTGTTGTGGTTACCGTTGTTGTTGTTGTTGTTGTTTGCGGTGATGTTGTGGTGTAAACTGTTGTCGGAGCCTCCGTCCAATCAGAGCTCTCCGTCCCGAAGCTGGAGAAGTCGTCGTAATCGTCCTCGTACTCGACGTAAACAAAGTCTGTGATGTCCTCAGGAGGCGGGGCCTCTGTGGTGATGTCGTCAGGGGGAGGGGCTTCTGTGGTGATGTCGTCAGGGGGCGGGGCTTCTGTGGTGACAACTCGAGAGGGCGGGGCTTCTGTGGTGATGTCATCAGGGGGCGGGGCCTCTGTGGTGATGTTGTCAGGGGGCGGGGCCTCTGTGGTGACAACGTGAGGGGGCGGGGCCTCTATAGTGATGTCATCAGGGGGAGGAGTGGTTAAACTGAGAGAGAAAAAAAAATTACTCATACTAATTACTTCAAAAGTCCTGATTTAGTCCTCGTTCAGTCCCGGTGTAGTCCCGGTGTAGTCCTGGTTTAGCCCTGGTTTGGTCTTGTTTCAGTCTTGTTTCAGTCTCAGTTTAGTCTTAGTTTAGGCCCGGTTTAGACCCGGTTTAGATGCGGTTTAGACACGGTTTAGTCCTAATTTAGTCCTGGTTCAATCCTAGTTTAGTCTTGGTTCAGTCCTGGTTTAGTTTCTGACCTGGTCTCTTCTCTCCTGGACGGTGGGTCTGTGCTGTTATTATGGGATGTTGACGAGTTTAAGGTGGTCTGATTATCTGTCTGGTGGTTTAAGGTGGACTGGATTTGGTTTAAGGTGTACTGGGTCTGGTTTAAGTCGGTGTTGTTGAGTTTCCCACAGGACACGCAGCACATGACTCTGTATCCGGGCAGGGAGCAGTACCGGGTCAGAACCTCCATTTGACAGAACACCGAGCGGTCGCCACGGCAACGCTGCTCTGAAAAACAAAATAACACGATGGTCAACGACACGATCGAAAATACACAGAGACACAAACAGCCTAAACCGAGAGAATCACCATCAACTGCAGGAAAAAACTGGAGATATTCAAACATTTCAACACAGAAGGAAAGAAGAAAAACACATGCAGAAAGTTCTCTCTCTTTGTGGAGATCCTAAATGATCTTCAATAAAATAAACACAGCCAGAAAACAGGACTAAAGAGAATCAGAAACCAGGAGAAAAGGTTTAATTATTCCTTAGATGACTGCTGTTTCTGAGAACGTGAAATCACAGCCTATTTCAAACCAACAAACACTTTAAGACAGAAACTGGTCGACCCAAAGGATAAAACACAGATGAGCAACTCAGGACCCCAGTCTAATGTGCATCTCCATCTCAAAGACACTAACCACTCCTCTGAGGACAGGGAGGTACAGATCTGAGCCAGAGAAAAGAACTGGCTTGAGAGGAGAGTTTTTGTTAAGAAAGACAATCCTTCTCTGAACAGAAACGGAGAAAGTCTGCTATTTACAACTCAGCCCTAAATCAAAACAAAGAAATCAGTATTCACAGCCTGTTCCCACTTAGTGCAGTTCAATCCATGCATCACAAATTTGGAACTTCCGGTCATCTCACAATTCATACTGGGAAGGATCCTTAGAAAAAGTGAGCATCAAACCTCCATGTTTGTTTTCCCAGTGGGATGTGTCTATTGACAAAGTCAATCTTTTCAAGTCTTTTGAACCATTTCCCTTTTGTTTCTGGTTCTGATATTGTCATATTTTAGTTTTGGGATTCGGACATCGTAATTGTGTGGTTGTTGGATCCTAACAGCGGAAAACAACTCGAGAAATTTGTTTGCAAACTCCATAAATGCAAAAGTGTGTGACTCAAACCTCTGTTCAAACTGTTTTTCTTCCCAACGGAATTGAAAAACAGTGAAAGGTGAAGGTGATGGACAGGATTGATCCACAGGAAGAACCAAAAAGGAAACATTTGACTGCCTAAGAAATCATCCCGATTTTGCAGAGAATAAAAGACAAAATGTCGACTTTGACAATAGAGACATCCCACTGGGAAATCAAACATGGTGATTTGATGCTCACTTTTTCGGATGCTTCGAAAATTCAGGATGCATGTATTGGCTGAGCTAACAAACAGAAACCGTAAACAAGTGTGTGTGTTAGTTTCAGTGTAGTTTCAGCGTAGTTAGCTCCTTCTTCAGGCAGATATAAGGAAGTGTCACCAGAGTCTGACCAGAACTGAAGAAGCAGCTTATTATCATTATTATTATTATTATTAAGACACTTTGATCCATTTTAAACACATCTGAGCCTGGGTCATTTCTCTGTGATTAGTTCTTAGAGAAAACTTTGGCTTCTGTCATATAAATAAATAAAACAGGTCTCTGAAATAAACAGAAGAAAACTGACGCTCTGAACACACAAATATAAACATATAGAAGTATAAAATATAAAAAAAATACTGACTGGAGCGAGGAGTCACGTCTGGAGTCGATCTGGACAACCAGCGCACAATGGAGTTCTTCTGCTCTCCTGAAACACACAGACCAACAGGGGGCGCTATGAGACACACTGAACACTTTACTCGTGTTGCTGTGTTGTCCGTTCTCTCAGTTAAAGCTGTGTAAAGGATTATCTTCAGTTGTTTAATTTTACATTTGCCAGGTTTACATGATCACTTTAATTCCAACTAAAAATAATTAAATTCTAATAAAAATTTAAGACCATGTAAATCTAAACTTCAATTTGGAATTATTATTATTATTATTTCCATGGTACCTCGAAGGAGAATATTCCTAGGAGAATAATTCAGAACTATTTAATTTAGAACAATTAATTCATTATAAAAAATAAAAAAAACATCATATAACGTGGCTGTGATGGTGCTGTGCTCTGATTGGCTGACGCATACCGGAGCAGGGCGGGGCCAGGCAGGTCTTCGTTGTGATTGGCTGAGGACCAGTACAGTTTCCAGGTACCCCGTCAGGTGAGAGACACTTCACCTGTCGCTCCTGCGTCCCCGAGCCGCCGCAGGTCACAGAGCACTGGAGAACACAAACACACAGAGCGGAACAGATCAAACCGAAGAACGTGACAGGTCAGAGGTCAAAGGTCACGGTAACAGTAGTAGTAATAGTAGTAGTAGTAGTAGCCCCTCCCTCCTCCTGATTGGCTCTCACCTGTCCCCAGGCTCCGCCCCTCCACACGGCGGGGCAGCTGTGGCGGTTGCAGCTCCTCTTGCTCTCTGGTTTGTCCGTGGAGCAGAGTTTGGAGGGGACAGAGCGCTGCTGCCCCCCGGAGGAGACCTGCTGACACGACACCCAGCGCCTCTGCCACCCTGACGCCCCACAGGAGGCGCTACAGGTCTGCCAGGGTCCCACCACCCACCTGCACACGCCAAAGGGAGGGCATCTGGGTTAGAGAGACTTACACGGGAGGGCATCTGGGTTTAAAGCATTTTTACATTTGAAAGTAAAGTTACAAGCAGCAGTTAGGATTTATAGTACTGGTACACGTCTTACTCTGGTTTAGTAGTAGTATTCATAGTATTCGTAGTATTAGTAGTATTTGTAATATTCTTACTCTGGGGTGGAGCAGTCTTCTCTGTTACATAAGCGGCTGATGGCTCGGGGTTTGGTAATGTTGGAGCAGAACATTCGATGAACCATTTTCCCGTCGGCTTTTCTCCTGCAGCCGAAGCGAGTGTACTGTCGCCCTGGAAACAACAAACAAATAAATGATGTCATGACATTGACATAGTTTTCCAAATGATATGATCATGTTCCAGTGATATTCAGAGAGAACATGACTCTGACTCTACAGTGGAAGGAGCTTCAGTCCAGAACCTTCAGGGGTTTGGAGCAAAGTGGCCCAGGGGCCAAAAGCGGCCGTCGTGACTTCTGCTAAATTGTAATTCTCCCACTACAACCTGATAACAGCACAGAGCTTTGTGATACAGACTTACATTTATGCCTCAGGTCAGTTGAAGCTGTGTCAAATCTGAATCATGCAGACGCCCCCTGCTGGTTTAACGTGTCTGTGCAGTGAAACTCTGACAGAATCTGACTCTGACGTCCAGATCCTTCAGGGTTTAGTGTTTGTAGTTTCAGAGGTTTGAGTCCAGCTGGTCGGACACAGACCTGAGACACAGTGTGTGCTCCAGTGTGGAGCAGCTTCTGGTGTGCAGTGTCAGCCAATCAGAACACAGCGTGTGTCTAACAGACTGTGTGTGCAGTGATTTATGGGAAATGCATTTTTCAGTGACTTTTGACACAGTTGGGATTAAACTAATGCAGCAGCAGTAGCAATAGTACTTGTAGTATATGAAGTATATGTAGTATTAGTACTCGTAGTACTTGCAGTACCTCCTCCGCAGGGCCGGGAGCAGGAGGACCACTTCTTCAGGGCCCACTCGTAGAACATGGCGTCCTCCAGCAGCAGGTTTGAGTCCAGACCCGAGCGCAGCGCCTCCTGCAGGACGTATTTATACGACACCGTGACTTTACCCGAGCTGTGAGAACCGTGAGAGCGAACCTGAGGAGAAAAAAATATATATATAAATATATGATACACTGTAGTATATCTCTATATGTTTATATATTCACCATGAGCAGGACGCTGGAGCTCAGGGGGCCGGATGTCTGCACAGACTCCACCCCCTCCTCATTTACATACTGCCAGGCCACGCCCCCCTCCACCAGCCCGCGGGATTCTGGGAGATGATGTTCGTCATTCAGGAACACATGACCAGTGTCCATGTTCTTCACCGCTGCAAAAGACGTCAGAGACCAGTTTAAAACCAGGACTAAACCAGGACTAAACTAGGTTTAAAACCAGGACTAAACCAGGACTGAACCCGGACTAAACCAAGACCGAAACAAGACCTAAACAGAACTAACCCAGGACTAACCCAGGACTAAACCAGGACTAAACCAGGACTAAACCAGGTCTGTACCGAGGACGTGTGGTGTGGACTTGAACTCTTGGACCAGCAGGTGACGTGCTCCTTTGGGGATCTCCAGGATTTTGAGGAAACCTAAAAGCACAAAAGTGTAGAGGAGGTTTCAGGGGTCAGAGGTCAGGGGTCAGAGGTCAGGGGTGAGAAGTCAGGGGTCAGAGGTCAGGAGTCAGTATTTTAACAATATTTAGAGCAGTATTTTGAGCAAGTTTCTGTACCGTTTTTGCGCGTGCTCCTGGTGAAATTCCCTTTGATGACTTTGCAGCTGGAGTTGTCTCCTCCGCAGACGCCACAGCGATCCTCGGCTTGGTCTGACGCGATCTGTCCGTCACAGCCCACGTGCTAAAAACAAACCACAAACACATTTAAATACAAAGAGACGAAGCACAGAGAGAAAACACTCTGGTCTGATCTGCTCCTCGCTCTCGATCCGTGTCTCCACCACATCCGCCCACATCATCATATGATCTTCTTTATTGTATAACAGTGTTGTGACTTTGCTGCTGAAGTGGTTGCTATCATAACAGTTGTGAAATTCCCTAGTGTATTGTCATGATTTACAAGCACAAAGTAAAAATTAAAACCTAAAAAACGGCCAAACTGGGAATTAAATTGTAAAAGGTCGAGTAAAATCTTAAATATACTGATCTTAAAGGTGCACTGTGTAACTTTGTGATCCATCACCTTGTTTGTGTCTACTGAGACCTCATTGCTCTGCCTGGAATGTTCCACAGTGTGACATTAAACAGCTCGACTTTACATTTATTCAATTACAGGTGATTTTATAGCTCAAAAATGCCCCCAAAAATATGGAATAAATGTTGAAATTGTTCAAAGTTCAAATAGTTCAAAGACGTTTTAAAACATCAAGCAAAAACTGATAAATCAAAATACCAAAATCAAACAAAAACACAAAAAATAAAATAAATATATTTACAATCAAATTATTTGTGTAATCATGTAAAATATCTGTCTATGCCCCTTTGGAAGCATTTTGTTTTTGTTGCACGTCTGTCTCAGTTTTGTTTGGTGATGTTTTCTTTGGTTCTGATTCTTTTTCTCATTTTACCTTTTTCTTTCAGTTTTGGTACAGGTGTGACAGGTGTGACAGATGGGCGGGGCTTACATGGTGCATTCTCATTGGCTCATTTACGTTTGACGGACAGCTGGGCCTGGGGCTCCTGATGCTGTTGTGGACGTTTCCTACTGTAATTTTGGCGACTGAAACAAGTTTGTCCAGAACTTCCTCTGTACAGAATCACGTTGTAGCACTAAAACTTCAGCAGGAAATATCCACAACAGGTTCAGGAGCTCCAGGCTCAGCTGTCCGTCAAACATAAATGTACCAATGAGAATGCACCACGGAAACCCCACCCACCTGTCACACCTGTACCAAAACTGAACCAAAAAATCAAACCAGAAAAATCAGAACCAAAGAAAACGGCATCAAAAAAAAAAAATAATAATAATAAAAAATTGAGAAAAATGCAGAACAAAAATAAAAGAGACAAAGACAGATATTTTACAAAATTACACAAATAATCAGACTGCAATCTTATATATTTCTATTTTAAAATATTTTATTTATGTTTTTGTTTGATTTTTTTATTTGGTATTTTGATTTATAATTTTTTGCTTTGTGTTTTAAAAGCGTCTTTGAACTATAAATTGATTCCACAGAAAAGCTGACTGTGAGCGGGGTCGCCTCTCCACAGATTTATTTATTTATCTCATAAAGTATAAAAAGATATCAACAGTGTCACAACATCAAACACACAAGAAATGAATGAAAAGGAGCAGAAAGAAGAATAATCTTATATTATCTCCACAGATCTGACCTGTAACTTGATCTGGTTTGGTCTCTGTGACGATAGAAATGTTTAATGCCGTACTGTGAAACATTCCAGACAAAGCACTAACATTTGATGGACCCTTCGCCTGAAAAGTTACACCATGCAGCTTTAAGTGTTTTGGTTAAATGGTGCAGACTCTTAATGCAAACCGAGTATGGACCTCACAGTCTCCTCTCACGCACACGCTGTGCTGGTCCTCGTAAGAACACAAAGTCCCATCATGCACCACTCGGCCCATGTCCACCACGGCGCCCGTCTCCGTGGAAACGCAGAACAGACGGCATCGCTCGTCGGCTGAAACGACACAAAGACTTTTACTCGAATATACAACAATAAAAACACGTACGGAGCCCCACAGAGCCCCCCGAGTCTGGGAGTAAGTTTCAGAGAAGATCAGAGATTGAACACAAGAGTTGAACTTTTATTTAAAATCTGTTTCTGAAACTAGACCAGACGTCCCTGTTTATCCAGGACAGTCCCAGTTTTGAGCCTGTGTCTCCTGTCCCAGCAGATTTATACAAAACCAGTGATTTATCCAGTTTTAAACAAGAAATGTCCCAGGTGTTTCTCTGTTTGACCAATCTGATCCTGCCAACAGTTAAGAGACATAAACGGTCATTTGTTTGGGTAAAATACAGAAAAGCTGCTTAAAAACGACCAAAACACAAAGAAAATGTGACTATACCGACTCATGTATGGGCCGAGTGCAGAATAGTTTTCCTTAATTCCACGCTCGTTTCACAAGTTTATAATTAAAAATCACCACAAACCGAGAATGTCCCAGTTCTTGATTTTGAAAATCCCCAGAGCCACCGGAAGAACCTCACCGAGCTAAAGACAAATCTGGGATCATGAGATATTGAGCTCAGCCCACTGACATGAATGAGCGGTCATTTTGAAACCCCAGGGCTTGGGTTAGCCGCCGCGATGACTTTGACCTGTTAATCTAGAATGTATAAATGCAATGAACGCGTCTCTGTGTCTCCTCTTGCTGGTTTGTTTGTTTGTTTGTTTGTTTGTCTGTTCCACGCATAACTCTCGAACCGCTCATCCAACTGATCTCAAATTTGAAGGAAGTCGTCCTCACGGTACAGGAGTGTGCAGCGCCAAGTTTCATGTCGTTAGGATGAAAAATGCCAAAGATCTCGCTCAATCACACAACAGCCACATAACAGCCAATGTGTCATGAACGTGAAACTGAGTCTGCTGAAGCCAGAGACACTCGCTTTTGGTCGCTGCACGACAGACCAGGTGCCGTGAAACTGAGACAGACGCTGCACAGAGCTCTCGGCGGCCAAACGAGGCTGCACTGGGAATCCATAAACAATTTCTGAAGTTATTGCTGGTGACTCTAGGAATCCATAAGTCTTCTCTGTTGTGCACAAGTATTTGAAATTTTCCAAAAGTCTGTAGTGAAAATTAATGGATAAACGTACTTCCAGAACCAAAGCGAGGCCACGGGAAGCTCTGTTACTGTGACGACGCAGAGGTCACATGATTCAGGGTGAACAATGAGTAAAATTAAAACAGTTTAAACTTTGACTTTAAAAACCAGGTGGAGCTGCACTTACGGTCCGGATGCTCTAGGGGGAGCCAGTGGTGTTTGGTTCCGTTGTGCTCAAAAAATGGGTTCCACACTTTACACTGCTCGGCCCTGAAGAACAACAGTGAGCGTTAGTCTCTGTTAGAAGGGCAGACGGATTGAAGAGACAATAAGCGATAAAACTAAAACTCGTTTATGTCACAAAAACCCTAAAAACGATTCTTAATGTAGAATATAGAAATAAGTAGTTAGGACATAATAGAATAAGTCACAGAAGTGATTTGAAATAAAATGTGAAGAAAAAGAAAACTATTTGAGAAAAAATTACAGAAATTTTGAGGAAAAATTAAAAGTGAGAAAGACATTTGTTATAAATGAACCACAAACAAAGGCTTCTGATTGGCTCTTTAGTTCAGTCCTGGTTTAGACCTGGTTTAGACCTGGTTTAGACCTGGTTTAGTAATGGTTAAGTCCTGGTTCAGTCCTGGTTTAGACCTGGTTTAGACCTGGTTCAGTCCTGGTTTAGACCTGGTTTAGTCCTGGTTCAGTCCTGGTTCAGTCCTGGTTTAGACCTGGTTAGGTCCTGGTTAAGTCCTGGTTTAGTCCTGGTTTAATCCTGGTTGAGTCCTGGTTTAGTCTTGGTTCAGTCCTGGTTAAGTCCTGGTTTAGCCCTGGTTTAGACCTGGTTTAGTTCTGGTCCAGGTCTTAGTCCTCACCTGAAGTCCGTGAGCGGGGGACAGTCCGTGTCCTGGTTGCAGAGTCTGAACTCATAGCTGTTTCCAAAGCAGGGGCGCCCCCCGTTGGCTGGCCTGAGAACAGCAGACAGAGAGGAGAGCTGTGATTGGCTCAGACTGTGACCTCACCCGCAGCGAAGCCTCTGATTGGCTGCGAGCTGTGGCCGAGCCCTCTGATTGGCCGTACCTGGGGCTGTCGCAGATCCTGGTCCTGAACTGGACTCCGGAGCGGCAGGAGCGGGAGCAGGGGCCAAAGGGACCCCAGGTGCCCCACGAGCCGTGAGTGCGCATCATGTGAGGGGCCAGGTACACGCAGCTGCCACGGAAACAGTGCTGGAGACAGTCGCCGCGGAAACAGGGAGGTCAACAAACAGTCGCCATGGAAACAGAGAGATAAACACACAAATAAACAAAAGCAGTGGTGCAGTAAGAAGAGATCATAGACTGTCCTGGTCCTGGTTTAGTCCTGGTTTAGTCCTGGTTCAGTACCTGTCCTGGTCCACACTGGGTCCCGTCCAGAGGAGGTCCTTTCTTGGTCTTGCAGTAAAACGGGTCGTTGTAGTGACTGCACCAGAGCCGAGCGCATGGGTCCACCACTGTGTACTGCAAAAAGTACATAGAGTACACAATAAGTACTACAAATATACACAATATACACACATCAGAGCCGAGTACACAAGCCTACCAGTGTGTACTGCAAAAGTACACAATAAGTACACACATATACACATGGTACTCACATTACTACATGTAGTAGTAGCAGTAGTAGTAGTAGTGGTAGTATTCACAGTAGTACATGTAATAGTAATAGTAGTAGTAGTAGTAGTAGTAGTAGTACTCACAGTAGTACATGTAGTAGTAGTACTCACAGTAGTACATGTAGTAGTAGTACTCACAGTAGTACATGTAGTAGTAGTACTCACAGTAGGACATGTACTAGTAGTACTCACAGTAGGACATGTAGTAGTAGTACTCACAGTAGTACATGTAGTAAACCCGGGGCCCCAGTCGTATTGACACTGTTGGTTCATGGAGAAGCCGAATCCCGGGAGCTGAGGCTGAGGAGGCCACGACGGAAGGAACGGATCATCTCTGAGACACTCGTACGTACTACAACACACAAAGAGTCAGATGCCCTGCCAATGTGTCATATGCCCTCCCCGTGTGTGTGTCAGATGCCCTTCCTTACTGCAGGTACTGGTGCAGTTCTCTCCATGAGCACCTGGACCAGTGGTATCTGTAGAAAGACGCCTGGACCTGAGGAGACATGATGCTTCCCAGGTGAACGTCGTCATCGCAGTCGTTGGCGTCTCCGTCGTGCTCCATCCCCAGACTGAAACACACACATTAAAGTACACAAACACAAACACAAACACACACACACCACACACATTAAAGTGTGTTAAAGTGAAGGAAACACACACACAGACACTGTAAACTGAAGGAACACATGGCAAAGGAGAAATTCAGTTTATAAACTGGACAAATGTTGTTTGGTCATTTTTTGGCTTCTTCAGTTGTGGTCAGACTCTGGTGGACACTTTCTTATAACTGCCTGAAGGAGGACACACTGAAACTGTTGTTAGCGTCTTCTTAGCGTGTTTTTAGGATATTGTTAGCATGTCCTTAGCATGTTCTTAGCATGTTTTTAGAATGTTCTTAGCATGGTTTTAGCGTGTTGTTAGAGTGTTGTTAGTGTTTTTAGCATGTTGTTAGTAGTTTTAGCAAGTTCTTAGCATGTTATTAGCATGTTTTAGCATGTTGTTAGCGTGTTATTAGCTTCAGGAGTGAATTTAATGTTGGATCTACAGCATTAATAAACGCAGTAAAAGGTTCAAAATTTTAAATTTAGATTTTAGAAAAGTTATAAATAACAGAACGATGCTAGTGTGTGGGTGGAGTGCCTGGATACGAAGCCAAGACTCTGTTCAAATTGTTGTTGAACATTCTGACCAGAACTGAAGAGATTTTACACACATCTCAAGGAACCGTACAAACACACGCAGGCACACACACACACACACACACACACACACATACACACACACACACACACACATACACACACACACACACACACACACGCACACACACACACACACACACACACACACACGCTTTACAGGACACTTGTGTAAAATGTAGAACTTTGTGTAGTTGTGATGTTTTTATTTTCATTGATTACTGCTTCAGCCACTACAGCCTTACTACAGTCTGTAACCGAACTGTTCTGAGGAACTGTGACCAGGACTGAACCTACTTGTGGGTTAATATTGTATTGTGAACATGTTTTTAGCATGTTGTTAGCATGTTTGTAGCATGTTAATGGCATGTTTTTAGTGTGTTGTTAGCGTGTTGTTAGCTTGTCTTAGCCTGGTTTTAGCGTGTTATTAGTGTGTTATTAGTGTGTTATTAGTGTGTTATTAGTGTGTTATTAGCGTGTTATTAGTGTGTTCTTAGCCTGGTTTTAGCTTGTTATTAGTGTGTTGTTTGCGTGTTGTTAATGTGTAGCATTATGATCTCACACATGTCCGGTCTCGTGAGCTGCAACGAACGCCGAGGAGAAACCGTCGTCCATCACCAGAACACAACTCCGAATGAGACGACACATCCCCGTGACCGGAGCGTAACCTGGAACAGACACAACACACACTGTTAAACACACACACACAACACACTAACACACACAACACACTGTTAAACACACACAAACACACACACAACACACTTTTAAACACACACACACAACACACTAACACACTAACACACACAACACACTGTTAAACACACACAGACACACACACAACACACTGTTAAACACACAGACACTAACGCAGACACAGAGACTATTAAACACACACAGACACACATCCCTGTAACACACACAAAACACACAACACACTGTTAAACACACAGACACTAACGCAGACACAGAGACTATTAAACACACACAGACACACATCCCTGTAACACACACAAAACACACAACACACTGTTAAACACACAGACTGTGTTAGACTGATCTCTGGTCTCTTGTCTGGTCTTTGGTCTGATCTTGTTCTCTTGTCTGGTTTTTGGTCTCTGGTCTTGGTCTCTGGTCTTGGTCTCTGGTCTGGTCTTTGGTCTCTGGTCTCTAGTCTAGTCTGGTCCCTTGTCTGGTCTTTGGTCTCTGGTCTTGGTCTTTGATCTCTGGTCTTGGTCTTTGGTCTGGTCTTTGGTCTCTGGTCTTGGTCTCTGGTCTTAGTCTCTGGTCTGGTCTTAGGTCTCTGGTCTTGGTCTCTGGTCTGGTCTCTTGTCTGGTCTCTTGTCTGGTTTTTGGTCTCTGGTCTTTGTCCTGGTCTTGGTCTCTGCTCTAGTCTTGGTCTCTGGTCTGGTCTTGGTCTCTGGTCTTGGTCTCTGGTCTGGTCTCTGGTCTGGTCTTGGTCTCTGGTCTTGGTCTCTGGTCTTGGTCTCTGGTCTGGTCTCTGGTCTGGTCTTTGGTCTCTGGTCTTGGTCTCTGGTCTGGTCTTGGTCTCTAGTCTGGTCTTGGTCTCTGGTCTGGTCTTTGTCCTGGTCTTGGTCTCTGCTCTAGTCTTGGTCTCTGGTCTCTGGTCTTTGGTCTCTGGTCTTGGTCTCTGGTCTTGGTCTCTTGTCTGGTCTCTGGTCTGATCTCTGGTCTTGGTCTCTGGTCTGGGTCTTGGTCTCTGGTCTGGTCTTGGTCTCTGGTCTGGTCTTTGTCCTGGTCTTGGTCTCTGCTCTAGTCTTGGTCTCTGGTCTGATCTCTGGTCTTGGTCTCTGGTCCTGGTCTTGGTCTCTGGTCCTGGTGTGGTCCCTGGTCTCACCCTGCATGCCGGAGGGTCCAAACTCCTGTCTGCTCAGGTAGATGGTGTGGTCGTGCCTCAGGTCTTCTCTCTGGTCTCTCTGGTGGAGGTACGACCAGGTGCACACGTTCTGCAGACTCTTCTGAGGATCCCCCACCGAGATCAGCTCCTGGGACTGAACAAGACCGGGTCAGAACCAGGACTAAACCAGGACTAAACCAAGACTAAAAACAGGACTGACACAGGACTAAACATATATATCAGTACTACATAAGGTAGTAGTAGTAGTAGTAGTAGTAGTAGTAGTAGTAGTAGTAGTAGTAGTAGTACCTTGGTGGGGGAGAGCAGGATGATCTGCACCAGGACGATGTTGATATTTGCTCCGAGAGACGGCTCCTGATAAATCTCATTCACCTGAAACACACCAGGGGGCGCTACAGTCACTTACACACACACCACAGTTACATACACACACACCACAGTCACATACACACACACACCACAGTCACATACACACACACCACAGTTACATACACACACACCACAGTCACATACACACACACACACACACTCACACCATAGTCACATACAAACACCACAGTCACATACACACACCACAGTCACATACACACACACACCACAGTCACATACACACACCACAGTCACATACACACACCACAGTCACATACACACACCACAGTCACACACACACACCACAGTCACATACACACACACACACACAGTCACACACACACACACACCACAGTCACATACAAACACCACAGTCACATACACACACCACAGTCACATACACACACCAAAGTCACATACACACACCACAGACACACAGAAACACACACACACACACACACACACACTACAGTCACATACACACACACACTACAGTCACATACACACACATCACAGTCACATACACACACACCACAGTCACACACACACACACACTACAGTCGCATACACACACCACAGTCACATACACACACACCACAGTCGCATACACCCCCCCCCACACACACACACACACCACAGTCGCATACACACACCACAGTCACACACACACACCACAGTCACATACACACACACACACCACAGTCACATACACACACCACAGTCACATACGCACACACCACACATCACATACACACACCAAAGTCACATACACACACCAGACACACAGAAACACACACACACACACACACACTACAGTCACATACACACACACCACAGTCACATACACACACCACAGTCACACACACACACACACCACAGTCGCATACACACACCACAGTCACATACACACACACCACAGTCACACACACACACCACAGTCGCATACACACACCACAGTCACATACACACACACCACAGTCACATACACACACCACAGTCACACACACACACCACAGTCACATACACACACCACAGTCACATACACACACACACCACAGTCACATACACACACACCACAGTCACATACACACACCACAGTCACATACACACACCACAGTCACACACACACACACCACAGTCACATACACACACCACAGTCACATACACACACACCACAGTCGCATACACACACCACAGTCACATACACACACCACAGTCACATACACACACCACAGTCACATACACACACCAGGGGGCGCTACAGTGTGTGTGTGTGTGTGTGTGTGTGTGTGTGTGTGTGTGTGGTACGTACAATGTGCATGAAGGTCAGGAGGTATCTCTGGACGTTCTCTCGGCCGTGGAACAAGAGAACGGAGTAATCCACCGCCAACAGAACCTGCACACACGCACACACATGTACACAAACGCACACACACAGACACACAACACACAAAAATGATCAAATATAATATCATACAAGGTTAAAAATAATACATACAAATCCACCTCCAACAGAACCTTCACACACATATATTTATAGTCTTTGGTCTCACCTCAATGTGGAACAGTTCTACCTCTCTGGACCTCCTCCTCCTCAGGGTCTGGACCGGGTCAGAACCAGACCCGAGAGAGACCGGGTCAGACCAGGACCTGAGCCTCTGGACCTCAGGAGCCAAGACCGGACCTAAACCAGACCAGACACAGACCGGGATCAGAAGGTTCAAGAGGAGCAGAACCAGAGGAGCAGAGTAGGCAGGAGCAGACAGGAGCAGGCAGGAGCAAGCAGGTGTAGGCAGGAGCAGACAGGAACAGACAGCAGCTGGCAGGAGCAGACAGGTGTAGGCAGGAGCAGACAGGAGCAGACATAAACATGCACCTTTTGTGGTGTCAGAAAATCCTGTTCAGTTTTGAGTTTGAAATCAAAATGTTAAACAGATGTGTTTTATTTGGTCTTGTTCATATTTAAGGAAAAGATTTGAGTCCAAACCAGACTCATAAAAGACTTTAGTCCCAGTCCAGGATCAGAACCAGGACTTTGGGACCTGGAAAAAAAAGAACCGAGTCCTGGGCTCATGTCAGACTCACCTCTGAGGAAGTCTGTGGGCGGGACCTCTTGTGCTGCACTCTGATTGGCTGGGTTCTGGTCCGGTCTCAGGTCTGAGTCTCTGTAGACCACATGGTCCTGGTCTGATCCAGAGCAGTTCTTCAAAATGGGTTCAATGTAAAAGTCTCCAAAAGGACTCAGGATCACGCCCTCCTGAAACACACACATTTAAACATATTATGGAAAATATAACATATAAGATAAGATAAGATCATCCTTTATTGTCTCCCATCGGAGAAATTTGTCTTGGGACAGGGGGTAACATGTTTTATCAAAAAACAGGACAACACAACACAAAGCAGCACATAAACAAACACCATAAAACAAAGTAAATATGAGACCAGTATGACCACGAGTGATGCACCAACAGGACCCTTAAATTATCCTTAACAGGCAAGCCCTTGCATTCTTCTATTCTATTAATTATTGCACATTTCCTAAGCCTATGTGCAGTTTTGATTGCACATTCCCTAAGCCTATGTGCAGTTTTGATTGCACATTCCCTAAGCCTATGTGCAGTTTTAGTTATAATTATTGCACATTCCCTTAGCCTATGTGCAGATTTTATTATTGCACATTCCTTAAGCCTATGTGTAGCTTTAATGGCACATTCCCTACACCTATGTGCAGTTTTGATTGCACAATCCCTAAGCCTTTTATAATTATTTTTTAACTGCATTATCTGAGTTTAGCAGATTAACAGCTAGTGGCACAAAAGAATGTTTGAATCTGTTCAGTTTACAGTTTGGGACCCTGTACCTTCTGCCTGATGGCATCAACTCAAACTGACTGTGAAGAACATGGGTTGGGTCATTGATCACCTTCCTGCTGAGCTTCCTCACAGTCTCCTCAAAAATTTGCTGAAGTGAGCTTGGGGCCACACCCATTATTTTACCTGCTCTTTTAGTCAAGGTAAAAATCTGTGCTTTAAGTTTGACTGACAGGTTACCAAACCATGTTGACATGCCATAGCGTAAGATAGATTCTATGCATGCTTTATAAAACAACAGCATTACATTGGTGTCAACTCCATGTAACCTAAGCCGTCTTAAAAAATAGAGACGCTGGCTGATTCTTGAGCAGACAGACTGTACCTGCTGGCTCCATTGGAGCTGAGAATCAAATAACACACCCAAGTACTTATAACATGTCACCTGCTCTATGTCCTCCCCCTGATATTAATGGGGCTGTGGTCCCCGACAGATTTGGGATCAAAAATGATCTCCTTTGTCTTTTCCACATTTAAGACAAGGTTATGCTCCTCACACCAATGCACCACTTCATCAATTCCTGTCCTGTAGCTGATGGCATCTGTGCTTTTACTGAGTAAACTAAGAATAGCTGTGTCATCAGAAAATTTAATTATATAGTTGTTTACCTGTATACTCCTGCACGCATTGGTGTACAAAGTGAAAAGAAGAGGTGAGCTAACACAGCCCTGTGGTGCCCCAGTGCTGACAACCTGAATATCTGACAGCGCTGAGTTAACCTTAACTTGTTGCTGTCTCCCTGTAAGTAATGCCCAATACCACTTAATAACATGACTGTTAACACCCAGATCTAACAGCTTCTTCAGCAGAATGCTCGGTAATATTGTATTAAATGCTGAGCTAAAATCCATGAATCACTTATATGATCTATATAAATATACAACACAACAGTCAGAGATAAACACAAATGTTCTGTTTACAGTTATAGGATATATATGTGTAATATTCACACTGTAACTTGCCCACCGCAGATGCACATTTTAGAAAACCTGATATTTCCAATTTTATATTATAAATACATAAACACTGGGCTGTGGGACACACCAATGTGACAGTATGATAGTACGAGGGATGTAACAAAAAACTAAATATCGTGATATCGTATCGTCAGAGTTCTCACAATAATATCATGGACCATCACCACTGTTGGGCAAGTTACTTTAAAACTGTAATGCGTTATTTATTACTTATTACTGTCATTTCAAAGTAATTCGTTACATTACAATATTACTGCATTTAAAATGTAAGGCATTACATTACTATTGCATTACTTTAAGTTACTCTCACCAAAATAACTGCGAAAAAGCTGAACTTTTGAGCCGTATATGGACTGAACCAGGACTAAACAAGGTCTAAACCAGGACTAAACCAGAGCTGAACCAGGATTAAACCAGGACTATAACAGGACTAACCTCAGACTGATTCCAGGACTGAAGAGGAGGACTAAACCAGAACTGAACTAGGACTAAAACAGGACTCACTGTCAGGATGGGCTCGAAGGTGACCGCAGGAGAAAGGACCGGCTTTGCTCCGCACCTCATGGAGGAAAGAGCTGCTGTCGCCCGATCGCGCTTTATGGACCCTGCTGCTCGGGCTCACAGTCCTGATTTCAGCAACTATTTGCGGGTACAAGACCCGGTGCAAAACTCTGCTACAGCGCGTAACTCCTACCTTCCTTCAACGTGTCCAGAAGTCCAACTTTTTGTGCGATGGTTTGCATCGTCCTCTGTCTTTTGGGTGTGAGCGCAGGAGACTTTGTCGGTGCAGAACATTTCGTCGACGTTGTGGGTTTTGTCGGAGAGAAAACTTGCAGACATACAGCACTTCAGAATCACACTGCTAGAGATTGAACATTTATTTAAATTTGGCAGCTGAACATATTCTGTACTGTACTGTAGAGGAGACAGGAGTCCCTTAGCCGATCAGGACACAGCGGGAGGAACGCAATACGTGTTCATACTATTATTATTTTAATAGATCCATGGTTCATACACTAAAAACAAAAGGCATGCAAAATTGCACAAAAAAAAAAAAAAAAAAAATTCTAAAAATCAGCGAAACAGCGAGACCGCGAAAAGTGAATCGCGTTAGACGGAGGGACGACTGTAAACCAGGTCTAAACCAGAAGTGACCCAGGTCTAAACCAGGTCTAAACAGCGTGGAGTTCTGCGTCGGTCCTTTCACCCGCGGTTAACTGAAGATCTATCCGGCCGCGTCTCCGGCGTTTCACCGCTGCTGATTTCACGGTGATTTTAGCGAATTTCTATGAAGAAAAACCCACCACTTCAATCCAGGTTAAAAAAGCATTGTAACGCGCGTTACTCACATTTGTACCAAGTAAAATATTACAAATTTTCCCCCTGTAATGCCTTACATTACTGCGTTACAGCAAAAATCAACGCATTACTGTAATACATTACTTTTATAATACATTACTCCCAACACTGACCATCACAATATATCGAATTACAAGTGTCTTTGCTTAAATGAAGAGTTATGGTGCAGAAATAGATTTAAAAAAAAAGACCATGATCCTTTGCTCCATATCAGTGCAGACGACAAGAAGAAATAACAGTTCTAAGCATTAGTTCTAAGATTCTAACAGTACTAAGGATTAAGTCTTGTCAAGGCATTTTAAGAGGAAAAAGTAGAATATTAACAGTTTTGTTAGCCTCCTCCAAATATCTAAATAATAATAATAATAATAATAATAATAATAATACTTAAAATATTGTACAGAGAGATATTGTTACATCCCTAATCGTGAGCTTTCCCACGATATCGCAATAAATATCATACCGTGAGGTTCATACTGTGACGATATATTGTGAGACTTGGATATCATTTCACACCAGATAATACAGTTGAAATAAATATTATCTATAACTATCTATCTACTGTATATATGTATATATAAATGTGTGTGTGTGCATAAATACATTTTAAATGTACATTACCAGTCCTTTGCAGATGCTGAACGCCGCTGTGATGCGCGAGTCGTTGGAGGCATGTCCTGAGTACAAACATTGCTGTTCTGTGATTGGCTCAGACACCCCTGACTCCTCCCACAGGAGGGTGGCGCCCGGAGCCGTAATCCGCGTGCTGATTCGCAGATGCAGCCGTAGCTCCTTCCCCTGCAGCGTCAGGTTGTAGAACACTTCCTGTTCCGGGGGGCGGGACCAGGGGGCGTGTCTTTTGTGCCGAGGGGCGGAGTCAGGCAGGGCACGCCCGTCTGAGTCTGTTCTGATTGGACGAACCACTGCGAAGTCCGACAGGAAGTGATGTAATCTCTCTGCAAAAGAAATGACATCATCAGTTTGATTTAGAATTATTATGAAAGATTATGATTTACAGATGTGCGTTTATATATTTGTATATATCAGGAGAGTCAAACTCAAACTCACAGAGGCCAAAATTAAAAACTGGGACTAAGTTGTGGGCCAAACTAACTATTTATTAGAAAATTCTGCATGTTTTCTTTTCTTTTAAGATATGTAATTTTAAACCTTTTCTTATTCAAATAAATGTTTAATAATAATTTTGCTTGAATCCAGAACAAGCAAAATTATAAAATAATAACATTTTAAATAAATAATGTGTCTATAGTCGATCTGTAGCTGGCGGACAGCTCTAATACAGATTTGATATGATCTTGTGGGTCAAATAAATTATATCATGGGCCAAATTTGGCCCCTGGGCCTGAGATCGACATGTCTGGTGTGTGTGTGTGTGCGTGTGTGTATATATATATATATATATATATATATATATATATATATACATATATATTAGGGGTGTCAAATTATCGCGTTAATTGCGATGAATTAATTACAGTCATATTTAGCTCGTTATGTTTTTTAATCGCATTAATCTCATTTTTAATCTCTAACTTTAGTGTTTCTGTATGTGAGTTGCTTTATTATAAAACCTGTTTTTATGTGTTGTTGGGACAACAACACACACACACACACACAAAAACACATTTATACATTTTTTTATTTCGGCAATTCCACTCATTGTCGGAAACCCACACAAAACGCGTGCAGTAAGAGCGACGTTTATGGCGTCAGTCGCACAATGGACGAGGTCGAAGAGCCAGTAGAACAGAGGCAGCAGTGCACAGGTAAAAACGCATTCGTGTCTTGGAAATTATTCTCCCGACGTGAAATATAAAAGAAAATAACAAATATAATATCGCCTACAACTTAAATGTCACTGGTGAAAACAACCTGCATAGACTCATGATGTCTGCACTACTGTCCTATACACAAACACACACAAACACACACACAAACACACACACACAAACACACACACAAACACACACAAACACACACAAACACACACACACAAACACACGCAAACACACACAAACACACAAACACACACAAACACAAACACAAACACAAACACACACCTTCATCATCGTCATTAACCTGAGGCGCGGACCACGTTTCCTTCCGTAGTCACTGCGCGGACACCGACGTGCTGCCGTGAGCCGCGTGTGGATCGTGTTTTCTCGCGTACGCTGCATAAACCGTGCTTCCTCCTGTGCGCCTCTAAACCAGAACTAACACCAAGACTAAAACCAGGACTAATTCAGTCCAGGACTAAACCAGGACTAAACCAGGTCTAAACCAGGACTAAACCAGGACTAAACCAGAAATAAAACCAGGACTAAAACCAGGACTAAACCAGGACTAAACCAGGACTAAACCAGAACTAACACCAGGACTAAAACCAGGATTAATCCATTCCAGGACTAAACTAGGACTAAAGTAGGACTAAAGTAGGTCTAAACCAGGACTAAAACAAGGACTAAAACCAGTGATCTCATATATAAAGCATTTCTCTATCAATAATATTTTTAATATGGTTAAGGAAAGACTGGACTTTTTATTGTCTTTAAGTCGACAAAAGTTATTATGTTCAGATTTCCTCGTCTTTGCTACTTTACAGCAAACAGTTTCTTATTCATGGAGACTTGGGCTCAACAGCCAATTTGGAGAGATTTGTTAAACAATAAATGACTTTTAAAGTCACTTTTTTAAATCTATATCAGTCTTTTGATCTGCCACAATAATGTAATAATGAATTTAAATGAAAATACCTCAAATTGAAGGCTTTTCTCAGCAATTTTTAGGTGAGATTAATTAGATTAATTAATTACAGATCATAATTAATTAATCTCTCAATTTTTTTAATCGCATGACAGCACTAATATATATATATATATGTATATATATGTGAGTGTGTGTGTGTGAAGTGTGTGAAGTGTGTGTGTGTGTGCGTGTGTGAGTGTGTGTGTGTGTGAGTGTGTGTGCGTGTGTCTGTGTGTGTGAAGTGTGTCTGTGTGTGTGTGTGTGTGTATGTGTGTGTGAAGTGTGTGTGTGCTCAGGAGCTGCTCAGTCAAGGCGAGTTTTTCCTCTGACTCAAACTCAAACTCCAGATTTAATGCTTTAATACAGCTCAGACCTGATCCTGTCCTGGACTGTCTGGTCTTTAGTCTGGGTTCAGTCCTGGTGTAGTCCTGGTCTAGTACTGGTCTAGTCCTGGTTTAGTCCTAGGTTAGTTTTGGTTTAGTCTTGGTTTAGTTTTGGTTTGGTTTAGTCTCAGAGGAGTTCAGTGGAATCTCAGACACGTTTCATCTTTTTCTTTTTTCTTTTTTCTGTCTTTCCATTGAGTCTGGAATCTGAGTCTGAAGAGAACACACAGCTCCACCCCCCTGCCCCCCAGCCCCTCTGCCCCCTCACTCTCCTCTCTCTCCTCTCTCCCTCTCTTCTCTTACCCCTTCCCTCTGTCTGCTCCGCCTTTCTCTCTCAGATGCAGAGGGTCAAACTTCACTTTGACCTTCACTTCACCTTTGACCTGAGTCGTTCATAAAGTTCCCTCACTCTCCTTCCTCTGGGGTATTAACTGTAACACAGAACATATTTTTTTACTTTTACTCTTTTGAACTTGCTATATTCGGTTTTGAGGCTCTAAATCTTCCCACCCTTTGCTCCACATAGGGCCCTGGAGAGATCGCTAGATTACCCAAACATGCATGGACGACTCTCAGACCTCTTCAGGCAGGTTTTTGATGAGGAACAACGAGAAAGAGACAAAAGTACATTAGTCAGAAGAGCTCTTGTTTACGTCGCTGCAGAGCCCTGTTTAATGTCACATATTTACCGTATTTTCCAGACTATAGGGCGCACTCAAAACCTCCAACCCCATCAAAAAACGACCATGCGTGCCACAATCCAGAGCGCCCTATACACGAATCCACACGAGTGTCCCAGCATGACTTCAGTAAACTACAAACACACAACACCCCCAGAACACGCAAACACACACGGAGCAGACAGCGACCGCATAGCGAAACACAATCGCAGACACACTCATCACTCCACACCGACGAGGAACGGAACAGAGGAACGAACCGAAAAAGGGAGTGCAATGTGCCACTTCTAGACACAACTGAACAACTGAGTCACTGCGAACACGCCGACAATCCAGCGGTCCCAGACAGCACCCTCCCTACACACAGTGCTGGGGAGTAACAGATTACATGTACCAGAGTTACATAATCAGAGTACAGTTTCAGTGAGTGGTAATTGGATTACAGTTACTTTGTTGAAATAAATGGATTCCACGGCGGGATTTTCCTGTTTTCATGTTTTGGGCTATATCCCTTTTTTTTTCCTTTTTTTTTTTTTTCCATAATTCCACTTATTGCCGGACACTAAATCAGATCTAAATCCAGGTCTAAACCAGGACTAAAACCAAGTCAAACCAGGTCTAAAACCAGTTCTAAACCAGGGCTAAATCAGGACTAAAACCAGGTCTAAACTAGATCTAAACCAGGACTAAACCAGGGCTAAACCAGGACTAAACCAGGACTAAAACCAGGTCTAAACCAGGACTAAAACCAGGTCTAAACTAGATCTACACCAGGGCTAAACCAGGTCTAAACCAGGACTAAACCAGGACTAGACCAGACCTAAACCAGACCTAAACCAGGACTAAACCAGGATTAAACCAGACCTAAACCAGGTCTAAACCAGGACTAGACCAAACCTAAACCAGACCTAAACCAGACCTAAACCAGGACTAAACCAGGACTAAACACAGGTCTAAACTAGATCTAAACCAGGTCAAAAACCAGGTCTAAACCAGGACTGAACCAGGACTAAAACAGTATATAACAGGACAATGCCGTGTGGACCATGTCTCTTCGTCTTCTATCAATGATATTTTTAATATGGTTCAGTAAAGTCTGGGCTTTTTATTTTCTTTTATCAGACAAAACATCTTATGTGAAGATTTCCTCATCTTTGCTTCTCTACAGCAAATCAAGTAATCCAAAGTATTCAGATTACGTTACTCACTTTAAGTAATTTAATGGATTACGTTACAAACTACATTTTGGGGTATGTAATCTGTAGGGGAATACATTTTAAAAGTCACCTTCCCAACACTGTCTACACACCACAATGGAACAAAACCCAGAGTCACCGTGAACCCATCCAACTATTGTGTTTCCTTTAAAGTTCGGTGCGGTTTATTTGTGAAAAAAAGTTTCAAAATAGACCATTCAATAACAGCGCGCCTTATAATCCAGAGCACCTAATAGTGCAGAAAATACAGTAATGTTAGAATATTTAAAGTCTTTAAAAACATGATGTGTGAGCTCCTGTGTCCAAATCATTTCCCTTGTGGATTAATAAAGTTTGTCGAAGTCTAAAACGATGATGACACTTCAGCATTTCATTAAAAACCCAGAACTGAAGAAGCAGCTTGGACGAGCTGCAAAAAGTCTTTGATCAAAAACATTTCTCCAGTCATCGTGAACTGAATTTCTTCTTTGCTATTTCATTAAAAAAAAAAATCCACAAACCTCATTCTTTAAAGACGTAAAACTGAAAAGAAAATCTGAGCTGCACATGTGGACTTAAATTCTATTGCTCAGTTATTTACAATCTTTTCTAGGGGAACCATCATTTTTGTCCAGGCTAGTTTCATTAGCTTATTTATTTATTTATTTTTTTTATAATTCTTTTGAACAACAAATGAAAAACAGTGACTGATTTTCATTGGTTATTTTTTCAGGATTTAAAAAAAATATATATTATTGCTTTTCTCAGTTTCAGGTTACTTCAGTGAAAATTGTCCATGTTTCTTTCATTACCTGGGGGGTACCAACAATTTTCCCCACGTCTGTAAATAGTCTTTGGTCTCACCTCAGCTTGGATCAGTTCTACCTCTCTGGACCTCCTCTTGGACCCGAGAGAGACCGAGTCAGACCGGGACCTGAGCCTCTGGACCTCAGGAGCCAAGACAGGTGTGTGTTAGCTCATGTGTCCAAATAATTTCCCTTGTGGATTAATAAAGTTTGTCTAAGTCGAAGTCTAAAACGATGACGACACTAGCACAGCATTTCATTAAAAACCCAGAACTGAAGAAGCAGCTTGGATGATCTGGAAAATGTCTTTGATCAAAAACATGAATTGAATTTCTCCTTTGCTATTTCATTTAAAAAATCCACAAACCTGATTCTTTAAAGACATAAAACTGAAAATAAAATCTGAGCTGCACCTGTGGACTTAAACATCACTGGCTTCTGACCTGAGGCTCTGACCTGAGACTGTATGAAGAAATGGACTAAGGGTCTGTTTACACGGTAACGCTTGTGGGTAAAAACGACAAAATTACAACGACACTGGAAGCGCCTTTCTTTTAGACTAGGGTGGCCATATTTCAGTTTTTGAAAACCCGGACACCTGACTGGGGGTGGGAGGTGGAGCCTCGACATTGAGCTACTCTCACCTTGCAACCTGTGCACATGGCCTCCCACTTGTCTTGATCAGGACGGAAAACGGAAAATCTCTTGTACAAGTCATTGTTAAATGTGCATTTGTGTTTGGGTATGTTGCAGACTGACCGACTGTTTGTGTCTCGCTCCTTCTGAGTCACAGGTGGTACGAGAGATGCTCAGTTTAATGTCCCCAATGAAAGATCATGAAAACCTGGACATTTTTACCACTTAAAAAAACAAAAAAAAAACAGACGCCTAGGACAGGACGCAAAAAACTGACATGTCCGTGGAAAAACGGATGTTTGGTCACCCTATTATAGCCTACCTGCAGCCGGTGGGGTAGCTCTAATACAGATTTGATATGATCTTGTGGGTCAAATTTAATTATATCGCGGGCCAAATTTGGCCCTGACCTGAGTAAGACCTGAGTTTGGCATGTGGGGTTTAGATGGTGACGGTGTTTTTTAGGTTTAAATTTCAAACCATCCTCCAGAGTGGAAAAGTTGAATAGACTCCGCCGTAGTGTTTCCGTCTACACTGCCCAACACACAAAACTCTGGTCAGATCTGCTCAGGTCGTGTATACGTTTACATCACGTACATCACCACTGAGCCGCCTGTCATCGAATTCCACACACATTTGCATCACCGTATGCAGATTTCCTCCCTAAAATGCTCGTCTAATGGAATAAAAAGTGAAGACGCGACGCCACTTTTGCGTCTTCTGTTCAGACCGTCACCATATAAACGCAGCCTAATGCAAACTTTTTGACTCGTGGGCCACAAAAGGTTCTAAAATTTGACGGAAGTTCCGGACCAGGAGCAGATGGATGGAGTTTTTTGGTAATCCACCTCATAAGCGAAAAAAGAACACCTTACAATAAAAATCATGACAAAGCATCGCAACAAAATCTCTGTCTTTCAAGTCCCACTGTATTTACTATTGAATTTCCTGAAATTACTTTTAAAACTCTAGTTTCCCCACCTCTGGCATAAAGGAATGACGTCGGCTCCAGTCAAATGAAGCTCATGAGGCTTGCAGTTATGTGGTGAATCAGGAGCCCAGTTCCATATTAGGAATAGGAATTTGGGAACAAAAATAGTGAAATAAAAAACCCCAGGATCTTGTAGAGTGGCTTCAGACCAACATTTTCAGGTCAGAGTGAGGATCCTGACAGGAGCAGGTACAGAGACACGGGCTTCGCTTTTTATACACAAACTGAACCGGAGCCAGAGTCCTTGGAGACGAATCACGCCCGTGCTCACTTCCTGTTTGGACACAGCGGCGAGAGGGTTAGTTATGTCCATTTATGTAACAGTCTGTGGCTCTTCGTGTTTGTCTAATGGGTTTGGTGAGTCCCATGTGTCAGAGTTTTACATTAGTTCAGATTTGAGAAGAAAAACCCCAAAATCCAGGAAATGTGTGCGTCAGCTGAAATAACGAAAGTTCATCCAAAATACAAAAACAGTTAAAGCACAAGGAAGGACTTTTTCCTCACACTTTAAACCTTCCTGTCACTAAATAAATCTGCTGGTTTTTATCTGTATGAGTCTAATCAGAACTGTTATCTCCTTTAGATGTGTTTTGGCTCTTGTTTACATCGCGGTTGCTCGGAAACCATTATGAAATGACTTCTTTGTGGGTCACACCTGCTGCCCGTGACTTCATACACTTCAGCGAGTCTGACCTGTGACCTGTGACCTGAGGCTCTGACCTGAGGCCGGATCAGCGGGGTCAGAGCTGCAGGTGATAGGGCATCTGGAGGCTTTAAATCTGCTTTGACACAAAATCTGTTTCACACAATTTAAGATCCACGTTTGTAAATCCTGTGAAGACGGTCATGTAATCGGCCGTGAGATGGAGACTTTTGTGACAGTGAGGGACAAGAGGACACTGGAAAAACTGCTCTCCATCATGGACACTCCTGCTCACCCAGCATCTAGAGGGACAGATAATACTCCCTACAACTGTATAACAACAACAACAACAGCTCACTTACTGCACCAGACTATAGAGGGACAGAGGGACAAACTATAGAGGACAGACTATAAAGGACAGAATATAGAAGACTGACTATAAAGGACAAACTATAAAGGACAGACTACAGAGGACAGACTATAGGGGACAAAACTATAAATGACAGAATATAGAGGAACAGAGGACACAGACTATGGAGGACAGACTATAGAGGACAGACTGTAGAGGACAGACTATAGAGGACAGACTGTAGAGGACATACTACAGAGGACAGACTACAGAGGACAGATTGTAGAGGACAGACTATACAAACTATAGAGGACAGACTATAGAGGACAGACTGTAGAGGACAAACTATAGAGGACAGACTGTAGAGGACAGATTGTAGAGGACAGACTATACAAACTATAGAGGACAGACTATAGAGGACAGACTGTAGAGGACAAACTATAGAGGACAGACTGTAGAGGACAAACTGTAGAGGACAGACTGTAGAGGGACAGAGGACACAAACTATAGAGGATAAACTGTTAAGACAAAGTATAGAGGATTTTCCCTACATATGTACAACCTTATGGAACAGATAATACTCCCTACAGCTGTACAACAACTGACCCTTATGCAACACAGAAGCCAATGCATCATCTTTGCTCTGTTTCCTTGCCCTCTTGTATATAACTGTGATATACTCTATTTATTTTTTTACTCACTTTATATACTTTTGTATAACTTATGTCTTATTTAACACTAGTCTCTTGCATTTTTTTATTGCTACATATACAGAAGTGTATTGCCATTTTTATATTGTCTAAGTTTAAGTCTATATTTTTTATATGTGTGTTTATATAAATGCAGTATTTTTTTTATACGTGTGTTTATGTTCCTGCGCTCTGTTCTGGTGGGTGGGTTTTTCCGTCTTGAGCCTGGAGCTGTGTGGGCCTCTGCTGCTACTGCTGCTTCTGTAAATGTTCTACTGAGACGTGAGGATGTGGGTCTGAGCAGAGGCGGAACAAGTACAGATACAGGAGCAAAAAAAACAACAAAAATACTCACATAAAAGTAAATGCACCACATCACAAAATGTACTCAAGTAAAAGTATTAAAACACCTGTTTAAATATGGATTTAAAGAGCAGAAAGCAAAAGTAAAGTAAGCTTCAGTTGCAGATCTAATGGTTTTGATAAATAAACAACTGAATCGAATTGTGTGTGTGTGTTTTTTTTTTCTCCAGCTGTTTTATTTGTATATTTTGTTTGCTCAGACTATAAACGTGTAAAAATAAACCCTCAGCCTTTTCAGTTGGTCTCAGACTATAATAAAAACACTAAAAAACACACTCCAGACAAAGCAACAGCATCTCCTTGGAGACAAATCCACCAGAAATGTTGTGCAGTGCAGCTTTAACTAAATATAGACAATAAACGAAAATATTTAAATCAAACCATAAAGCAGAATTATCCCCAAAAATGTTCTAAATGTACAATATTGTTAAAATACTTGTACTTTTCAGTCTAAAATGTAGTGGAGTAGAAAGTACAAATACCTGCTCTCAAATGTAGTAAAGTAAAAGTAAAAAGTCTGAGGATGACAAGAGTTTTACTTACTCTCCAAATCTTTCCATGCCATTTTTTTTTTCACAATATGCTTATATAATAAATATGCTACGATATTTATTACAATATTTTCTGGAGAATAACAAAATTTTCTGATATTTTAAATAAATAATATGTAAAAATGTTTAATATCAGTTATTTCCTCATCTAGATTGGATAGAAACAGAGCAAAGCATCATGGTCAGTGTAGTTCTCTTTGTTTTTTTAGGTGCTGCTGCTCCATAACAATGAATTTAAGCAAAGAAACTTGTAATTTGATATGCTGATGATGGCTGAAGATATTTTGTGAGACTTTTTAATGATATGATGTTACAATATTTTGGTTATTGTTGATTTTTTAATTAAAACTCGCTGTATTTGAGCGGTATGTGACCTGCTCTGTGTGAAGGGCAACACTTTTTATGTACAGTGTTCCCGGGATGTAAACAAATACATTAAATTAAACTAAATAAAATAAAAATGACATTGTGAGGCTCTGATCTTTAACCTGATGGACCTGAGTGACCTTTGACCCGTGACCTGAGGTGAGGCACTGACCTGAGGGAGACTGGAGCAGAGCCGGTCCGGTCTGGAGACACAGTCCACAGCAGAGCCACAGAAAGAGACCCGACAATCCACGGGCCATGGTCCTGGTTTAGACCTGGTTTAGATCCGGTTTAGTCCTGGTTTAGTCCTAGTTTAGTCCTGGTTTAGTCCTGGTTTAGTCCTGGTTTAGTCCTGGTTCAGACTGATTCAGGTGCAGTTCACGTTTGGTCCTGGTTTGGTCCAGATCGAAAGATCCAGATCACAGACTGAGATGAAGTCCTGGATTAGACCTGGGTTGAAAGTGGTCCAAACATCCAGAGATTATGATCATACTGTAATCCTGGTTTAGTTCTGGTGTAGTTTTGTCATAGCTCTGGTTTAGTTCTGGTTTAGTTCTGATTTAGTCCTGGTTCAAACCTGGTAAAGTCCAAAGTCCTGGTTTCATCCTAGTATAGCTCTGGTTCAGACCTGGTTTAGTCCTGGTTAAGTCCTGGATCAGTCCTGGTTCAGTCCTGGTTTAGATCTGGTTTAGACCTGGTTTAGCCCTGGTTTTCAAGTGCAGAGTTTATAAAATGTCCTCAGTTCTGATCCAGATGTGCATGAACTCTGGTCCTGGTTTAGTCCTGGTTTAGTCCTGGTTCACTTCTGTTTTTAATCCAGTTTCAGTCCGGCTTTAGTCCTGCTGCAGTCCTGGTTTAAATCCTGGTTCAGATCTTGGTTTAGACTGAGTTGGTCAGAGACATGTGCGGAGGAGTCTCTCTCTCTCTCTCTGCTCCTGTCAGCCGTTTAACCCTTTAACCCTTTCCTCTCTCTCTCTCTCTCTCTGTTTCCCTGTGCTCCCTCTCTTTCTCTCCCTCTCTTTCTCTGCGCTCCCCTCTCTTCTCTCTCTCTGTTTTTCTGCTCCCTTAACCCTCTCTCGCCCCATGCTCTGGTCTCCGGTTACTCCTCCTCCTCCTCCTCCCTCTCTTCTGAACCTTGCGCTTCTCTATCTTTCTCTCTGCCTCTCCCTTTTTTTCTGCCTATATTTGTGGTCTCTCTCTCTCTCTCTTTCTCTCCGTCCCTCACACACACAAACTCACTCACCTCTCTCCTGACTCTCTATCTCCATCCCTCTTTCCCACCTCCCTCTCTCTGTATGGTTACCCCCCTCCTTCTCTCTCTCTCGCTTTGAATAAAATCAAACCTCAAAATCTCTCTTCCCTTTCTCACCCTCTCCCTCTGGTCTCTCTCTCCCTCTCCCTCTGGTTTCTCTCTTCCTTCTCTCCCTCTGGTCTCTCTCTTCCCTTTCTCATCCTCTCCCTCTGGTCTCTCTCTCTCTCTTCCCTCTCTCCGGACTCTGCTCTGTCATTACAGAAAAACACACAAACAAATCAAACATGACATTTGTGAACGAGAAGAGGAGGAGGAGGATAGGAACAGCAGAGGAGGAACAGAGGAGAAGAAGAGGAGAGGAGGAAGAGCAGAGGAGGAACAGAAGAAGAGAAACAGATGAGGAGAGGAGAAACACAGAAGAGGAGAGGAAGAACAAAAGAGGAGGAACAGAAGAGGAGAAACAGAAGAGGAGAGGAGAAACAGAAGAAGAAAGGAGGAACAGAGGGGGAGAGGAGTAACAGATGAGGAGCAGGTCTATGGAGATTCCTCAGGACCTTCTGCTCCATGTCTCTCCTGGACCCGCCTCAGATCTGCTCCTGAGGTTTAACCCGGACACTGGAAGACGGGTCAAATCAGAGGACACATCCACAGCGACTGTAAAGTCCATCTAATGAAATCAAAACACTGTGTGATAGTGAAAGCAGATTTCAGGAGCAGAGAGAGAGAAAAAAAAGCAGGACTAGACCAAAACGAAACTGGGGTCTCATTTATAAAACCTTAAGTGCAATTTGGACCAAAGCTCGTGTCCATCATGTCCATGTTTGTGTTGTTTTATCAGAGAAGGTCACAGGCCACAGGAGCCTGAGGACTTCAGTCTTCACAGTGTGTTTAAGTGACGAGTCTCAGTTCAAATTAAAGTTTAAATCTTTTATTTAACACATTTGAACAATAATTTTATAATACAGGTCACACAAAGGTCACACGAAGGTCACACAGGGGTCATTTGTTTTGCACGAGTCCGTTCAGAGCCGAGGCCACTTCATCACACGACATGTTCTCCACAGAGACACTGCGCTCCCGACCGTGAGCTAAACAAAGAAAAATATATTATTCTTATTATTATAAACACTAACACTCAAAGACATAAAATACTCAGATTCTCAGAGTGTTCACCCATTGCTTGACAGCTGCAAACCCTTGGCCTGAGTCTCTGAAATGGTTTTCACATCACAGCTGTGCCTCAGGGTTAATAAATGCTTAAAGTTTATTTAGAGTTTATAATCTTTACTGTATCTGGCCCAAATCATGGCCCTGGGTCATCAAATGCTTAAAGTGGAAAGCAGTGACCAAAGCAAAGGGTAAAGTCTTTTTTTAAAAACATCTAAAACAGGTTCAGAGTTATTTTGAGTGGATTTTGTGTTTGTTACATTCACATGTGTCACTCAGAGTTCTGATGCTTCAGTGTGAACAGTCCACAGTGTGAACCAGGGTGTCCTCAGGTTTGACTACCACAAATTTAAGACTTTTTAAAGACCTTTTTAAGACCACTTAAATGAAAATTAAGACCAACATCGCACCCATTATGCGAGCAAAAAAACTCCAGATCCAATTCTAATAATGACCATTACTCACTGCTTCAAATAAGAAAAAATACTTTTATTATAAAATCTCATTCAGAATTAATTTATAATCGGACGCATTGCTTGTAAAATGGCCAAAAAACATTTATAACATTCTAACAAGACAAACTATGTATTGTTTGCACATACTCCAAATTAGATGTTCATTCATGTTACGTGATTTCATGTTGTTTTTTTCCCTCCTTCCATTTAACATTGCACCGTAGACCGGTTGAGTATACAGAAAAATAGGCTAATGAAATTTAAGACATTTGTGAAAAAAATAAGGCCTTAAAAAGTCTTAAATTATGTTGTCCAAGTCTTAATTTAGGAACATGAAAATTAAGACATTTGAAAAACTTTTAAGACCCTGCGGCTGCCCTGGTGAACAGTGTTCTGTGTCATATTGTGTAACTGTTATTGTTTAGTAGAACTACATTTCCCATGAGCCCCTGTACTGCACATGCTCAGTAGACTATCTGTGAAAAGTGCCATTCCACAGCTATAAGTCAGCCCAAAACAGGTGTAAAGTGAATCTAAACCCTGACCTGTGACCTAAACTTAAGCCCTGACCCATGACTTTGTTGTGTCTGACCAAAGTCTCTAAATAAAACTGTACATGAAGACCCGGGTCACATGTTATATAGTTTAAAAATTACCTCTTTGTGTCCTTTGATTAAAAATTAAACTGTTTCAGCATAATTTATGCATGTCTGTTTTATATTTACATTAAGGCTGACCCCTGAACACTCTCAGATGACGAGGTTTAGTTTATAACAGACAGCAGATTACCAGTTAGTAATTAACTTGTTTACGGTTTATAATATTTACCGTATCTGGCCCAAAGTGTGGCCCTGACTCCAGAACATTCTCGGATGAGGATGGGGAATTCGGGGTTGGACCTCTTCAGAGTCACGTAGTGCTGCTCCACAAACTCTCTGAGATCATGAAAGGAGAACAACACAGAATGAATAGAAACTCACACCAGAAAGAACATCTGAAACTCACAACAGCCTGACCACAAGACAAGTCTGTTCTCCTGTTTGCTCCTGGTTTAACCCATGGTTTTTAGAGCCTGTTTTTTAGAGCCTGGTTTGGTCCTTGGTTTAGTCCCTGGTTTATTCCTGATTCAGTCCTGGCTTAGTCCTCTCCCAGTCCTGCTTTAGTCCTTGGTTTTTAGAGCCTGGTTTAGTCCTTGGTTTTAAGAGCCCGGTTCAGTCTCTGGTTTATTCCTGGTTTAGTCCCTGGTTTAGTGCCTGGTTTAGTCCCTGGTTAAGTGCCTGGTTTAGTCCTAGCTTAGTCCTGGTTTAGTCCCTGGTTTTTAGAGCCTGGTTTAATCCTTGGTTTAGTCCCTGATTTAGAGCCTGATTTAGAGCCTGGTTTCTCTGGTTTACTCTCTGGTTTACTCTCTGGTTTACTCTCTGGTTTACTCTCTGGTTTACTCTCTGGTTTACTCTCTGGTTTACTCTCTGGTTTACTCTCTGGTTTACTCTCTGGTTTACTCTCTGGTTTAGAGCCTGGATTGTAGTCCCTGGTTTAGTCCTAGTTTAGTCCCTGGATCACTCCCTGGTTTTTAGAGCCTGGATTTTAGTCTCTGGTTTAGCTCAGTCCTGGTTGAGACCTGGTCTGGTTCTGATTTAGAACCTGGCTTAGACCTAGCTCAGTCCTGTTTAATTCTAATTCAGTCCTGGTTTGTTGTTAGCTCTGTTGTTAGCCTTTAGCCTCGGTCTCCGTGTGTTTCTATGACATTAGCATTAGCCTGTTAGCTCCGCTTGGGCTGTCCGCTGTTTCCCCGTTTGTTTCTCTTCGTGTTTCCCCGCATGAGCTTCACTCTCCGCGGGCACACACACACCCACCTGGCGCCCTGGCTCCCGGCGCAGCTCTGGCTCAGGTGAAGCCGAACCTCGCGCAGGTTTTTGGCCAAACTGGAGCCGAGGGTCCGAACCACAGACGCCGCCATGTTTGATCTGAAGGACGGCGGGAGGGGCGCCAGATAAGCAGAGAAACCAGCGCCCGAGCCTGTGAAAAACAGCTCAAAACAGGGTGACCAGTCCCAGTTTTGAGCCCTGTGTCCCCTGTCTCAGCAGATTTATCAAAAATCCAGTGATTTATCCCAGTTTTATACCAGAAATATTCCAAGTGTCCCTATTTTTTAACAAATTTGATCCTTGCCAACAGTAAAGACAGGCATACATTGTAATTTGTTAAGGTAAAATACAAAAAGCTAATTAAAAATGATCAAACACAAAGAAAATGTGACTGTACTGACTCACATGTTAACAATGTTCCTTAATTATGCACTCGTTACACAATTTTATTATTACCAACCGCCGAAAAACAGGAGGTGTCCCGGTTTTTTAATTTTGAAATTCTTGCCACCCAAGCCCAAAACAAACGACCACAAAGAAGCAACGCCTGATGAACGAGCCGTAATCAGATGTGCATATTTTCATTGGCATATTTAACATCTGGTAAACGTGTTAAAACATGAACGGCTTGTGTTTTGAGTCATTACTTTAGACCAGGGATGGGCAATTATTTTTTCCACTGGGCCACGTGAAAAACAGAAAATATTATGGAGCGCCGGGCCAAAACACTCAACTCAATCCTGCAGAATATTAAATGTATTTCTTTATAAACAGCAGTGAATAGCATTGTTTTGACGAGCTGGTGGGACTGGGAAAAGTTTATATTATGGCTAAACAGTGAAAAAGTGAGGTAGCCTTACAAAATATGTTAAAATATGTTTATTTTGTAATTCCAAATGAGCTTAAAGGTTGTATGGAGGATTTTTTGTTTTTGTTTCAAGTTGTCAGTTAAATTAAAAAATACCATTACAGAGACGCAGCAGCCTTGTAATTATGATGGCCAAAAAAAAAAAAAAAAAAAAAAAAGAACGAAAATCTATCAACTGTGGACACAGTGAGACCAGATAAACATCAGCCAATAGAAAACGAGGCTACCTCATTTTCTATTGGCTGTTAGGTTGCCAATCAAACTCCCTAGTGTAACTGACACGCCAGCGCACGGGGATTATATGTGGTTTATGCAATGGTTCTTAGCAGCTTTTTCAAACTGCAGCTTCCTCGCATTCCGCACAAAATTTGTTGCAATGGCCGACAAGAATCCATGAGCAGTTTCCCGCAAAAGAAAGTCTGTTTTTGAGGTCGCTGAAAGAAGAAAAGAAGGGGGAAAAGGAGCAAAGCCAAACTGAGGTGATTCTTGGAGATTCCTTCCAGCGATGGCGCGACTGAAGCAGACAAAGGGTCTAAAAACTGACACGTCGGTCGCTAAATTACTTCTAGACAGGAAACTTCAACAGTAATTCTAAATGAGCACAAGGACTGTCGCTGTATTTCTCCTTCCTTCAAAAATGCTCAGAGTCAACCAAAGGCCTGTATGTGACCCTGGAGCTGGACAATCCCCACATCTGATATAGGCTGTATATAGTTATTACTGAGCCTGTTAACCTGAAAACAGAACTAAAGAGAGATTAAAATCACCTCACCTTTTATGAAGTGAAAGTGCCATTTAGAGCAAGCCCCAAAACACCACTTGCAACATTAACAAGAGACTTTCCAAAAACAGGAGCTCAAAGTCGCTAAAAAGAAGTAGACTTGGCAACTCTGGAGGTCAGGAGAGGCTTTGGGGCAGAGGGACAGAGGCTGGACTAATATAAAAACCACACTTCATGTATTTTTTGTAAAGCTGCTATATCACACAAAACTAACTCTTGTGAGCTTTAAGTCACGTTATAAAGTTGTTACCTTTTCATAAACTGAGTTGGAGTTGTGTTTTGTTTCATTCATGTTTGAGTAACTCTTTATTATTAGTCTGTTTACATCTGTAAAGCTCAAAATGCTCTGTTCCACCTTGTGATGTCACAGTAGTTTTCAAGGTTTGTCGAGTTGTTGTGCACAGTTTTGTATCATGTTTTTTTAAATTTTTTTATATTTATGCAGAATTGTCGTGTGGGAGCGTGGGTGACATAAGCTTGTTGTCAGTAAGGAGGGTTTGAATAGGGGCCTGGGTGAGATCCCTAGATTACTCAAACATGGATGGATGATTCTAAAACCTCTTCAGGCAGGTTTGTGATGAGGAACAATGTTAGAACATGGGAGAAAGTGTCTGTGTGTGTGTGTGTGTGTGTGTGTGTGTGTGTGTGTGTGTCAGGATAAGCAGCTCATGTTCCACGGGTCCTCTCTGAATCACCCATGACATCACCCAGTTTGGGGCCAGGCCAGAGTCTGGTCTCTGGATCTGGTCCAGTCTTTGGTCCTGGCTCTGGTCTGGTCTCTGGTCTCTGGTCTTGGCTGGAGTCCTGGATCAAACCTGCTGAACTGGGTCCAAAATGTGACTGACAAACTGGTTTAATCAGAACATTACAGAGTCTCTCCTCCACTTCTCCCTCCTCATCTCCCGTCCTCCCCCTCTCTTTCCCTCCTTATTTCATCCACCTCTCATCCCTCCTTCTCTAATCCTCCTCTCTCTCCCTTCTCCTTTCCTTCCCCTCTCCCTCCTCCTCCTCCTCTCTCTCTCTCTCTCCTCCTTTCCTCCTCATCTCCCTCCTCCTCTGATCCTCCTCTCTCTCCCTCTTGCTTTCTTCCCATTCTCTCCTTCTTCCTTTCCTTCTCCTCCCCCCTCTCTCCCTCTTCTTTTCCTTCTCTTCCTCCCTCTTCCACTCATCCCCCTCCCTCTCATCCTCCTCTCTTTCCCTCTTCCTTTCTTCCCCCTCTCTCTTATTCCTCTCTCTCCCTCTCCTCCTCTCATTCTCCTCACTCCTTTCTCCCCCATCCTCCTCTCATCCCCCTCTCCCTCCCTCCTCCTCGCTCTCTCCTCCTTTCTTCCCCTTCTTTCTATCCTCCTCTCATCCCCCTCTCCCTCCCTCCTCCTTTCCTCCCCCCACTCTCTCCTCCTTAATTCCCTTGCTCTCTCCCTCCTCCTCTCATCCTCTTCTCCCTCCTCCTTTCCTCTTCCTCTCACTCCCCCTCTCTCCTTCTCTCTCTCCCTCCTCCTCTCATCCTCTTCTCCCTCCTCCTTTCCTCTTCCTCTCACTCCCCCTCTCTCCTTCTCTCTCTCCCTCCTCCTCTCATCCCTCTCTCTCTCGTCTGTGTGGTTCAGAGGCAAAACATGTTTTTACATTTACATTTCTGTCGGCTTGTGTCAGATTCTTTTGGTTTATTAGAAACACAAAGTTTGACACGTCACTCTTTGTGATCGCACCATCACATGGTTTTCATATGATGACCCTTCCTGTGGGAGAAAGGAGCGGCACAGACCACAATCTTAGAACTCCGTGTTTACTTTTCAACTCATTTTTTAAAAAACAGCAACATGTTCTGAGATGTCAAACTTCTGGAGCTCAAAGGAACGTGCAAAACAACAACAAAGCAAACCTGGAGTCAGATCCCCACAGACCCACACAAAGTCAGACTGAAGTGTTTTTCTCTTCCACACGTGCCTGTCCGTGGCCTCTGAGGATCTCCGTCTGCTCCTTTGGGTCCTGAGGAGATCCTGCAGAACCCGCTGAGGCCACACGAGGGCGACACTTCTCACACACACTGTTACGTCACGTTATTATTTAATCCACAGTTTAACGCCTTTGACTTTTGTGTGAATAACGTTTAACATATAGAAATATTATCTTTATACAGTCTTTGGTTTGTATCTGATGAAGTTTGGTGTTTCTGTAAAAGAAATCTCCAAAAGTCAAAAGCAGAAATGTTTTTCTCCAACTACAACATCTGGGAGGGCATCTGACACACCACAACATCTGCAGATTCACTAGAAACATTTGACCTGCCCACATCTCAGTCTAACACTACAGGGACGCAGGAGGATGGGAGGGCATCTGACACACATGGGGAGAGACGATGGAAGGGCATGTGGTTTGTTGGTGTAGTTCGCGCTCTCTCCTGAGGGGGCGCTCTCACCACCGGAAGCCTTTAGCCTTTAGCCGCAGTGCTCTGGCTTAGCTTTAGCTTCTCTTTAGTGTCATTCGGATTGAATTATCTCAGAATCCAGACCCCGTGAGCTGAACCGAGCTCCAGCCCGGGTCCAGACCGAGGACAGACCGGACTCTCCCCAACAGAACCCAACCGGACCGGAGCCATGCCCGAGAGTGAGTGTTTTTTTTTTTTTTTTTTTTACGGAGGTTTAGCGTTAGCTCCGCTGTTAGCCGTTAGCATTCTAGCTCCGCAGTAAACACAAACTTTAACCACATGCACAATCAAAAACTGAGACACCCTCAATTTGTGGTGTTTGGTAATAATAAAATGTTGAAACGAGTGCATAATTAAGGAAAATTGTTCTGCACTCGGCCCATTCATGACCAACGTGAGTCAGTATAGTAACATTTTCTTTTCAGCAGCTTTTCTGTTTTTTACCTAAACAGTTTATGCTTCTCTTTACAGTTGGCAGGGAACAAATTGGTCAAAAATAGAGACACCTGGGGCATTTCTTGTGTAAACTAAACTGGTTTTGGATAAATCTGCTGGGACAGGGGACACAGACTCAAAACTGGGACTGTTCCTGGTAAACTTGGACATCTGGTCACAATATTCTAACTGTGTTTCCCGGTTTCAGAACGATGAGATCACAAACCACAGAGTGACCTCACGGAGTTTAAATCAGATTTTTCAAACAACAAGTCTTCTATTTAGTGTTTATTTCCCATAAGAGGGATTTTAGAGTCATTTCAGCTCCAAACATGAGCTCAACACTGCACATCAGACTGTGGACAAAGCTCTGATGGAGTCCAGGCCAGAGACCCTGTCCAGGCCAGAGACCCTGTCCAGGCCAGAGACCCTGTCCAGGCCAGAGACCCTGTCCAGGCCAGAGACCCTGTCCAGGCCAGAGACCCTGTCCAGACCAGAGACCCTGTCCAGACCAGAGACCCTGTCCAGACCAGAGACCCTGTCCAGACCAGAGACCCTGTCCAGACCAGAGACCCTGTCCAGACCAGAGACCCTGTCCAGACCAGAGACCCTGTCCAGTCCATGGTCCAGACATACACTCACTGATGTTATTCTGGAGTTTGTTCTGTTGTTAATAATTTCCACTCTTTTACTAATCACCTTAATCCTAACAAGTGCATCAAAACATGGAAGAGAACACGCACAGCACGAGTTTGTGCCAAGAGAGAAAAATGAATCCTATACGCACTGCGTATATATTATAAACAACAGAAAAGCACATTTCTCGAAAAGGAGTGGGAAGAAGAAAACTTGACCCACCCCTGTTCATGACATAAACATTCTGCTCGATGTTCTGTTCCACGTGATTTACAGCTGTTTGTGTTTCAGCCGAGAGTTACTCCAACCCTTTGGCCCCGGAGGGACACGATGTGGACGACCACCGCTCTGCCGCTCAGTCAGTACTACTACTAATAATACTATTACTACTATAAATACTACTATCATTAGTCCTGCAAATGCTACTATAACAGGCAGTCCACAAGTAAGTCGCTCAAGCACTGACCCCAACCCACCATGAACAGAACCATCAGTGTTAGTCTGGTGGTGGTATTTCTACAGAAGAATGGGAGGGCATCTGACACACAGTTAACTGTATATGTACAAGTAAAAATATAGTAATGCAAAATATATGTAGGTTATAAATAAAAGGTGGGGTTAGGAGAAAGAGATGGAATGGTGATTTGATATGGCATGGAGAATGGGAGGGCATCTGAGACAGAGGGGGAGAGATTTCTGCACTGTTATTTACGTATGTTTATTTGTTTGTCCAGGGCCAAACTGACCAACGATGACTTCAGGAAGCTGCTGATGACCCCCAGGGCGGCGCCGTCCTCTGCCCCGCCCTCCAAGACCAGGACCCATGAGTGAGTTTCAGAAACATGAGAGTCTGAATCAGCTCTGTGCTCTTCAAAGTGCCATATATTCATTTTTACTAGTCATTAAAGGTCTTATATTACGCAAAAATTGATTCTTGTAAGTTTTAAAGGGATACTTCGGATTTTTTGACATAAATCTGTCTGGCATCCCCATCATCAGTGTTGTACCCCCCGAAAGCGTCCGGTGAGCCGAGATACTGGCCAGTTTTGGTGCTGAGGAAAGTAGTTCGGCAAGTTGTGTGGGGACTGTATACTAAAGCGTTTTTCTTCTCAAAGCAATATGTGTTCAAAAGAGTGATACATTTGCATCACAAAACCATCGTCGCCAAAAAAGTCAGATCTCATCAATCGCTTGGCACTATTTTCTTTCTGTTCGTATCACTGCACGCTGCCGCCAGGTGACAGCCGCGCACGGATCCATCACTTTCTTCAGTTGTTTGGCAGTGTTTACATGCGCAGACCGCCGCCACGTGAGAGAACTAACGTGAGAGCTAGAGCCATAAGCATATAAGCCTGGTTCACTTTGTTTACTGCTCGGAATGTTAGCGACAACATGTCTGATTACGACACCGACAATAAAGACTTTGCCTTTACCACAAACCCAAGGGGAGATCTTTGTGAACCCGAATATACTGATGCTGAATTTCGCCAGATGGAGTTAGAACGGGCAGAGAGAGAAGAGAGACAGAGAAGTGGTACAAGTTGAAGCTGGAGCCGTGAGAGACCGAGTGAGCGACAATCACCATCACGTCATTTATAAACTCATATACAGTGAACATAGAGCCTACCACTGTGACTGAAGCATGGACTACTAATAGAAACATGGAATCAGCCACACGTCCACGTAGCTGCTGCCAACAGTGTACGTGACATTTACAATAGTAATAACAGTCGACTTATAAAGTTACGTTTTGTAGAAGCTTCACTGGTGATATGACAGAGTAATTTACTGCACACAGCGTTACAGCTGATTCTTGAGCCTGTCCTCTTGTAAACATAGCGGCACGTCTTCGTTCTTACCTGGTTTGGTTTCCATGTTGAAGCCAAAGGCAAGAAGCCAAAGTTTCCTCAGCGCAAAGTCCGTGAGAGGAAGACAGTGGAATGTGCGTGGAGATTCAGCCAGATTTTTGTTGTTACAGCCTGGATAATCAAGAGTTCGCACCATTTTTTAGATATATTCATATGTATCTTATACAAGCTTATATACTTATGGCTCTAGCTCTCACGTTAGCTCTCTCGTGTGGCGGCGGTCTGCGCATGTAAACACTGCCGAACAACTGAAGAAAGTGATGGATCCGTGCGCGGCTGTCACCTGGCGGCTGCGCGCAGTGGTACGTACGGAGAGAAAATAGCGATTATGAGGGCTGACTTTTTAGAGGACGATGGTTTTGTGATGCAAATGTATCAGTCTTTTGAACACATATTGCTTTGAGAAGAAAAATGCTTTAGTATACAGTCCCCACACAACTTGCCGGACTACTTTCCTCAGCACCAAAACCGGCCAGTATCTCGGCTCACCGGATGCTTTCGGGGGGTAAGTCGGTGTGGATGCACAACACTGATGACGGGGATGACCATACAGATTTATGTCAAAAAATCCGAACTATCCCTTTAAGCCATGTTATAATGTTATTTCCTCCTCAAAACCTGTCTCTCCAAAGCTCAAAATGCTCTCATCCACTTTGTAATGTCATGTAGTGGTAGTTTTCAATTTAACAGCTCATTGTATTTTTAGTTCAGTGGAGATAGTAAATTATAGGGCTGAAATTATTAAAATGATTCTCGTGAAGGATGTATGGCATTTAAAAACACAGTGGAGCACTTCCTGTTACACCAGATGATATCACAAGGTTGAATAGAGTGAGAAGATCTAAATCTGCAGGGTTTGTATGTTAAACATGTGTGAATGAAACAAAACACACCTCAACATTATTACAGCTCAGAAAATGGTGTAATAGAGGACCCTTTAATAATAGTTGTTGTGTTTTTTCCCAGAATGCCACGGGACTATAACGAGGATGAGGACCCGGCCGCCCGTAGGAGGAAGAAGAAGAGGTGATGCCATTTGTAAAACTCCAGAGCGCCGTGTTTATTCTGGCACTTTGCACTTCATATATTTAAATTTAGTGATGTTTATTTAATTTTAAACATGTTGTGCTTTTGTTTTTCAGTTACTACGCGAAGCTCCGGCAGCAGGAGATGGAGAGGGAGCGAGAGCTGGCAGAGAAATACAGAGACAGAGCGCGCGAGAGACGAGACGGAGTCAACAAAGATTATGAAGAAACAGAACTCATCAGTACTACAGCCAACTACAGAGCTGTGGGGCCCACTGCAGAGGCGTGAGTCCAACTGCAGCCTACGTCCTACATCCTACACCTACACCCTACACCCTACACCCACCATCCTAACCTCTACACCCAACGTCCTACACCCAACGTCCTACACCCAATGTCCTACAGCCTACACCCTACACCCTTTAGCCAACATCCTTATCCCTACATTCTACATCCTAAACCCTGCATCGTACATCCTACACCCTACATGCTAAGCCCTACTCCCTGCATCCTACATCCCAACTTCTATAACCCTAAACTCTAACCCAAACTGTAAAATCCTACAATCCTGATGACCCTTAGAAACACAGAGAAGAGAATCCCAGTAAAGCCCTCTGAAAATGAACTGAGAAAAATTAAACCTTAACTAAAACCTGAGCTGCTTTGCATAAACCGCTGTTCAAAACCCAAAACATGCCACAGATCATCTTCACTGGGTGAATAAAGATACTCTGACTACTGATGATTATTCCTTCATTAAAGTGGTTCTGTTTGTTTTCTGTTTCAGAGATAAATCTGCAGCGGAGAAGCGTCGTCAGCTGATCCAGGAGTCTAAGTTCTTGGGTGGTGACATGGAGCACACTCACTTGGTGAAAGGTCTGGATTTCGCTCTGCTGCAGAAGGTGACACAAAATAGCCGTTGCACGAGCTCTGATGCCCTTTCTTGTGTTAATCTCTGGTGTTTGTGCGTCAGGTGCGAGCGGAGATCACCAACAAAGAAAAAGAAGAGGAGGACATGATGGAGAAGGTCCAGAAGGAGGCAAAGTATGAAGCTCCATCAGACAAAACATAATAAGACTATGATTATATAACTATTAAACAAACTTTATTGATCCACAAGGGAAATTATTTGGACACAGCAGCTCACACATATAAATAGAAATATGAGAAAATAACATCACGTGTGATCTGAAATCTTCTGTTAAACTAAAAAAATGTCTGAATGTAAATATTCAGACCCACGAGACAAAGTGACTCTCTGTTACACCCCTGTATTAGAGGACACCGCAGGGTTATCTGAAAAATACAGCTCATTTTAATAAAGTCATGTTAATGTGTTTCAGGAAAGAGGTGGAGCCAGAGGAGAAGATGGAGTTTAAGACACGCCTCGGTGAGAAAACACTACAAACAATTTTAGAACCTGGGTCTCCAATAGGCAGCCAGCGGGCCAACTTTATTATTTTTTATTTATATAGTGCCTTTCACAGACTTTTTGTCACAAACACGCTTTACAAGAGCATTGTTCAGTCATTGCATACCTGGTGGTGGTAAACTACTATTGTAGGTACAAATGCCCAGGGGCAGACTGACAGAAGCGCGGCTACCATGTCAATCTGCGCCATTGGTCCCTCTGACCACCATCACTCATGCTCACACCACTTTCACAATAGGCAGTGTGGGTGAAGTGTCTTGCGTAAGGACACAATGACAGTTTTTGTGACTGGACCCACTGTGGCTCCTGATTTTCACAGTGTCTCCATCCAAATACTAACCAGGCCCGGCCCTGCTGAGCTTCTGAGATCTGACAGGATTAGGCATTGACAAACCGGTATGGCCACGTATCAGTTACTGACATTGCTCATGGTCAGACTGTCATCAACTTTTTCTAAATCTAATAATAACTGACCACTAGTGCATTTGATTGTTTGTATATATTTGTATATATGTATGTGTGTGTGTGTGTATATATGTGTATATATATATATATATATATATATATGTGTATATATATATATATATATATATATATACACACACACATATATATATATATATATATATATATATATATATATATATATATATATATATATATATATATATACAGACAGACAGACAGACATACATACAGTGTGCACATAGATTCAAGTATGAACATAAGAGTGTGGAGCTCTGTCAAAGTTTGAGTTAAAGGTGTTTTTAACAACAGTCTCACAGCATTCATTTAGTTCAACAGCAGCACGCGCAGACACAGAGGTGAGGCTGGTGTTAAAATGTGGCTGTATTAAACCGTAGACTGCTTTATTTTGTTTATAAGTATAAAATAGTATTACTTAAAAAGTCCTGGTAGGAGTTGGAGTCGTTTTGGATAAGTAACCGCTCCTATCCTTTTAATTACTTCAGTTCACACATGCTCAGGCAGCTTCAGGGGTGAGAAATCAGGATACTGTATCTACAGTCCACAGTATCAGATACTCTCAGAAAAACCCAGTGAGAGTTTCCTGGTTTCTCACCAGCGGGACACTGGCTCATGTAGGAGACTGAAACCATGACAGTGTGTTTACATGGACACACACAATACCAGGATATCAGGATAACCACTCAGACCCGGGATACTGGAGCGCATGTAAGCACACTTGACTATGTGTTTGTTTCAGGGAGGAACATTTACCGTGTGGTGTTCCGCTCGGGTCAGTCTGAGAGGAACGAGCTGTTTCTTCCGGGGAGAATGGCGTATGTGGTCGACCTGGAGGACGAGTTTACCGACACAGACATCCCCACCACCCTGATCAGGAGCAAAGCCGACTGTCCCACTATGGAGGTACTGATATCACTACTGCTACTGCTGCAGACCAGTCCTACACATGTTGACATGTGTGATTTTATTGTAATGAATGAATAGGACACGTATTAAATCTTCATGTATTTGTTTGTTTGTTTGTTTGTTTTAGGCTCAGACGACGCTGACGACCAATGACATCGTAATCTCCAAACTCACCCAGATCCTGTCCTACCTCCGAGCAGGAACCAGGAACAAGAGGCTCAAGAAAAAGGACAAAGGTACAACATACACCCTACACCCTACACCCTACACCCTACACACGGTCCCCTAACTCCTGCACACTGTCCCCTAACTCCTACACATTGTCCCCTATACATTGTCCCCTACACACTGCCCCTATTTCCTACACCATACACACTGTCCTCTACCTCGTACACTGTACACACTGTCCACTACCTCATACACCCTAACCCCTACACCCTACACACTGTCCCCTATCTCCTACCTCCTAACCCCTACACCCTGTTCCCTACCTCCTACCTCCTAACCTACACCCTACACACTGTCCCCTAACTCCTTCACACTGTCCCCTAAGTCCTACACACTGTCCCCTAACTCCTACACCCTAACCCCTTTCACTGTCCCCTACACACTGCCCCTATTTCCTACACCATACACACTGTCCTCTACCTCCTACACTGTACACACTGTCCCCTACCTCATACACCCTAACTCATACACCCTTCACACTGTCCCTACCTAATACACACTGACCCCTAGACACTATCCCCTAACTTCTATACCCTAACCCCTACACCCTACACACTGTCCCCTTGCTCCTATACCCTAACCCCTACACCCTATACACTGTACCCTACCTCCTACACACTACACAGTCCTCTACCTCGTATACCCGAACCCCTACACAATGTCCCCTACATTATATCCCCTACCTCCTAACCCCTATACCATGTCCCCTATGCCCAAACCCCCTACCACCTAAACAAGTTCTGGGACCAGGAACACAAGGCTCAAAAAGAAAGACAACAGTAACCCACTCTCCCCCCTTGTGGCCAAACCAAATATTACTCACATAATGCCCACCTGATGGCCCTCGCCTCATTAAGATTCACCTGTTGTTCTGGGTTTCAGGTAAACTGGACGACAAGCGAGCTCCAGAGGCCGACCTCAGGTGAGTCCTGGTTCAGTCCTGGTTCAGTCCTGGTTCAGTCCTGGTTCAGTCCTGGTTCAGTCCTGGTCCTGGATTCTCCTCTCATCCTCCTGTTTTTGTTTTTCAGTATCTTTGACGACATCGGAGACTACATCCCGACCTCGTCCAAGTCCAGAGAGAAAGAACGCCACCGCGAGAGAGAGAGGGAGCGAGAGAGGGAGAGGGACAGAGAGAGAGACCGGGAGAGAGAGCGAGAGAGGGAGAGGGAGAGGGAGGAGAAGAGCCGACACAGCTACTTCGACAAACCACGAGGGGGCGCTGAGGAGCAGGTCAGAACCCACTAATACACGGGACACACAGGGAGGGCATCTGGCATGTTTGCATTAGACTTTATATTTCGCTCTTTTGGGGTTAATAATTTTAATATTTTACTTTTCTGTTTTCCAGGCATTGGAGGTGGACACAGGTGAGACTCTTTTAAACATTCCCTGGTTTAGTTCAGTTCTACACCTGCATTAGACCTGATTTTGGTTCTGCTTTAGTCCTGGTTTAGATCCCCCTAAACCGTTTTTATTTGTGTCCAGGTCCTGGGTCGGTCCGAGATCAGATCAAACTCATCAACGAGAAGTTTGCTGGAGCTGCAGGACCCCAGTGGAACCAGGAGGCATATCCTTCACTGCACTGGTCCGGGGTTAAACCTGGTTTAGTCCTGGTTTGGGTCCTGGTGTAGACCTGGTGTAGACATTGGTTTAAGGCCTAGTTTGGATCTGATTTGGTTCTAATTTAGTCCTAGTTTGTTCCTTAATCTCTCTGTACTGGGTCTCGGAGGGACAGCAAAGAGCAGCTCGGCGACTTCTTTGGAGGGTCCAACTCCTACGCCGAATGTTATCCTGCAACGTAAGAATCAAACCCACAAACTCCCCACCGGGAGGCGGGACAACCACTCTGCCACAGCAACCACAATGACACCTGTTTTAGTCCTGTTTTAGTCCTGTTTTAGTGGTCAGGCTGATCTAACCCACAACCTCCTCACTCTGCCACAGCTCCACCCTGATGTATTTTTTATGCAGCTGAAATAACTGGACCTATGTCTGTTCTGTAGAATGGACGATCTCGCCGTGGACAGTGACGAGGAGGTGGACTACAGTAAAATGGACCAGGTGCCTACATTTCCCATCAGCCCTTGCTCCTGTGGCGATGACATCATGGGCTCATTTAAATGTTGTGTTTTCAGGGGAATAAGAAGGGTCCTCTGGGACGCTGGGACTTCGACACTCAGGAGGAGTATTCAGACTACATGAACAACAAGGAGGCCCTGCCCAAGTATGTACTGCCCCCTACGCCCTGCTTTCTACACCCTGCTCCCTACGCCCTACTCCCTCCATCCTACCCCTACGCCCTGCTTCCTATGTCCTGCTCCCTATGCCCTACTCCCTACGTCCTGCTCCCTAGGTCCTACATACTACTCCCTACGTCCTGCTCCCTAGGTCCTACATACTATTCCCTACGTCCTACCCCCTACGCCCCACTCCCTACTCCCTACGTCCTAAGCCCTGCTTCCTATGTCCTGCTCCCTACACCCTCGCTGCCTACGCCTTATACCCTGCTCCCTACACCCTACTCTCTACGCCCTGCTCCCTACGTCCTATGCCCTGCTCCCTATCTCCTACCTCCTAACACCTAAGTTCTATGGCATAACCATAACTGATGATGATAGTAAAATTTCACACTAGTTCAAAGTAGGTAGTTTATATTTTCACAGTACATTTGTGTATTTCAGAGTGTGGTTCCAGTACTTCTTATAGATTACAGTATTAGTAGTAGTTGTATTTTGTAGTAGTATTTGGTGGTATATATGTACATATTCACATGTACTTGTGTATTTTCAGAGCTGCATTCCAGTACGGCATCAAGATGTCCGAAGGCAGAAAAACACGACGATTCAAAGAAACAAACGAGAAAGCCGAACTGGACCGACAGTGGAAGAAGATCAGTGCTGTGAGTTTGGACCTGCTTAAGATCTAGTCCTGGACCTGATGTAGTCCTGGTTTAGACCTGGTTTAGTCCCGGTCCTTGATCCTTAGAGACCTTTTTATTTATTTATTTATTTATTTAATTTTTTTCCAGATCATTGAAAAGAGGAAGAAAATGGAGGCGGACGGGTGAGTCTTGACTAATCACAGCTCAGATCTCATTATGACACGTTTAGGACACTGAAATGAAAGATGAGTTAATGCCACACTCTGGAACATTTCTGAGGCACCCTCATCCAGAAAAGTGACGCAGTGCAGCTTTAATGAAGTAATCGATAATAGTCACTTGAGTTAATTTTATTTTTACAAATCTGAAAAACAAATGTACCATCAGTTTATCTGTTTGACTCATCACAACTCTCTCTCCTCGTCTCCTTCCCTCCTCGTCTCCTTCTTTTGTCTCCTTCCCTTGCCTCCTTGTCTCCTTCCTCCTTCTCTTTCTTCTTTCCTCGTCTCCCTCCCTTATTTCCTCGTCTCGTTCTTTTGCCTCCTTCTCTCCTCTCCCTGCCTCCTTCCCTTGTCTCCCTTCCTTGTTTCCTCGTTTCCTTCCCTTGTTTCCACGTCTCCTTCCCTTGCCTCCTTCTCTCCTCTCCTTGACTCCTTCTCTCCTCTCCTTGACTCCTTGCCTCATCCCTTTCCCTTTCCTTCTCATCTCCATCTCTTGTTTCTTCATCTCCTTCTCTCTTCTCCTTTCCTTGTCTTCTCCTCTCCTCTCCTCTCCTTCTCTCCTCTCTTTTGCTTCCTTGTCGGTTTCCTCAGGGTGGACGTGAAGAGGCCGAAGTACTGAAGACTCTGGGTTTACGAGTTTAGGTCCGATTTACAGATTTGTAGAATATTGATCTGTGTAATATGTGTTATTAATGAAACGTGTGTAAATGCTTAAAAGTGAAATGTCCAATAAAAACCTCTGATCCCGTCCTCCCCTTCTGCTGTGTTGTCCGATCAAAAACCCTCTACCACTTCATGACATCACAAGGTAGAACTGAGCATTTTGAGCTTTGGAGTTACTCAAACATGTGTGAATGAATCAAAACACAACCACAGTCTGTTTTTGAGGAGGAAACATTAGGACATGACTTAAATCTCTCAAGGTTTGGTTTGTGTGATATAGGACCTTTTAAAATACTGTAGAAGTGACTGAGTGCTCCCCCTTGTGGCAGTAGAGGAGACTTACACTCGCTCACAGTCACATCGTGTCTTTTATTCATGTTTTCACAACAGAAAAACAACAGAAGAATGTAAAAACACAAAACAGATGCTTCTTTTTTGATCATGACTCAGGGGAATGAAAAGGAACAACAGATTTGAAACATACGCATTTTTTTTTAACTAAAGGAAAATCAAATGTGACTCTGACATTCACATTGCAGCAGATTTGTACCCCACGCTCTGTCTGAGGACGGACACCTGCACCTGTTTGTCCCTGTCACTTTTTCAGCTCGAGCTAAACGCAGGTGCAGGGTTATGGATCTAAACTCCTCGCTGAGACCAAGAAAGTTTGATTCTTTTCTCTGGTTTTTGCTCCTGAATCCTCCCTCAGGTTTACTCCTTCATTCCTTGGTTTTCTTTGGGACAACACGTAATATGACACATTTGATTGACAGCTGAAAAATGAAGGATCGAGGAGAGAAATCGAGGAGAAGAAAGTGAGGAAAGAGAATTGTGACGCGGCCACAGCTAAGCCTTGAGCCCAGGGGTGGACAATTATTGTTTCCATGGGGCCAAATGAGAAACAGAATATATTGTGGAAGCCAAAATGCTTAACTCAATTCTACAGATTATTAATTATATTTCTGTATAAAAAGCAGAAAATATCATTGTTCTGACTCGCTGCTCAGACTGTTAAGAGTTTATCTTATGACTAAGCAATTAAAAAGTGAGGCTGCCTTACAGAAAATGTCATAAAAACACTTTTACAATAAAAGTAATGCAGCTTTAGTCCATGCATGAGGTAAAATTATAAAATGTGTTTATTTTGTCATTCCAAATGAGCTTAAAAGGGACGGTCAGAGTCAAACAAAGGACCATATGTGGCCCGGGAGTTGTACAATGCTCAGGTCTGGTCTAGCGTCACTGTTCTAAACAGAAAGTGAGCATGGATGTGATTCGGTGCCATTGACTCTGGCTGGAGTTCACGTTGTGTATAAAAAGCGTAGCCCCTCTCCAGTGGTGGAAAGTATCAAAGTAAAAGTAGTAAAGTGTATGGAGCCTCCTAGGTTGTTGCAAATCATTATTCAAATGTGACTTTATTGTGTTCCATCAAAATTATTAAAATATAAAATGAAAGTTTTATATATCAAATGTGGACATATAAATGTAAAAATATAATTCTTTGTTTTAGCACTCATCAGGTCCCAATCAACCCAATTACCGTATTTTCCACACTATAGGGTGCACTTAAAAGCCTTTAATTTAATCAAAAAACGACTGTGCGCCTTATAATCCAGCGAGCCTTATATATAAATTTTGTTTTGTAAAGTTTGTCTTAGTATGACTTTATTAAACTACAAAATCGCTCCACTTGCAGCATTCCGGCTCCTGTAGTCAGGAGCATCAGGAGTAATACATACTGTGACTGTGATTCCTTTTAATATCAACATGCACCTGTCAAGAGACACGCTCACAATGCCCACTTTAAACTCAAGACTGTTCTATAGTGAAAGTGCGAGCTGTGTGGGAGCAGTGGATGAGAGAAGGAGAACACACATTCACCAAGACAGAGAGACAGCGCCGAGCCACTTACGCCACGATCTGCCAACGGATCACTTTAACTTCTTAGGTTCTTTTTAAAGACAATGCAGTAAAGTGTATGTACCTTGTTGACATGTTTCGGTTGCTAGCTGCAAGCCATCTTCAGAAGTGTCACCGGTGTTGGTGGTGACGTGTCGTATATCAGCTGTTGTTACTTCCTGTGGGCGTGGTCAGCCTGATGGACCTGGCAGGTCGCTCAGACTGACCACGCCTCCCGTCGCCCGGTGTCTCTGGAGGAGGGTGTCCCAGGTGTGTGAAAGGAGGAACGCGCCATCATCACGGTTAATGCTGTCCGTGCCTCGTTTCCTGATTTCAGTGTCTTCCTTGATCCAGCGTTTAAACTTGTTGTTTTCTGATCCAATGACCCGAGCCCCGTCCCAATCCATAATGTGGTTGTTTCTTTTACAGTGTCTGATGTGGCGGATTTTAGGTTTTCCTGTTCTGCTTTATCTTTTTGTGTTCTGGTGAGTCTCCCTGACGTTTCCTTTTCGCATTCCTTTTGGTGTTCTTTTTTTCGGATGTGAAATGCCTGGCCTGTTTCCCCTATGTATGATTTATTGCATGATTTGCGTTGGATTTCGTAGATGGCATTGCATTTTTGTTCTTGTGGGATTTTGTCCTTGGGGTGTACGAGCTGTTGGCGGAGTTTTGTGTCTGGTTTTACTACAGTGCTTATGTTGTGTTTTTTCATGGCTCTCTGGATGGGTTCGATTATGCCTCTGATGTACGGTAGTGTGACTACGTTTTTGTGGTCCTGCTGCCCTGTGTTGGATTGTTGTGTTTTTTTCCGGGGTTTGTTGGTTTTATTGATAACTTGTTGTCTGCCTTTGTTTATGGCCCAGCTGGGATATTGGCATTGTTTGAGTGCTTGTATGATGTGTCTCTCCTCTTCCTCTCTGTCGGTCTGTGATGAGTGTGGCCCGTTCGAATAATGTTCTTACTACTAAAAGTTTGTGTGCAGTGGGATGTTCGGATGCCAGGTCCATCAGGCTGACCACGCCTACAGGAAGTAACAACAGCTGATATACGACACGTCACCACCAACACCGGTGACACTTCTGAAGATGGCTTGCAGCCAAAACATGTTAACAAGGTAAATACACTTTACTGCATTGTCTTTAAAAAGAACCTAAGAAGTTAAAGTATACAAGAAGACAAAATGAACATCATTGGCTTGCCAACGGATCAGTATCAACTGTGGTCCGAGCTTTCACCAAGACCGGAATCATCACTGAACTGAACTCCAGGGAACAGGAACCACACTGACTGGGATAATGATGAGAGGGATGTTGGTGTACTGGATGCCGGAATCACCCAACTGTTTCAACTATTACGACTTATTGTGAATACACGAACAATTTAGCGTCTCAGACAGTATTTTTTTTACATGTTACAAATAAAGAAATTTGAGAGTTATTGTGAACACGTTAAATAAAGTTTGACTGACTTATCGAACTGTTGTGTTTCGTTTTTATGTCCGGTGCGGTTTATATGTGAAAAAGCTCATAAATAGACCATTTAATGTCAGTGCGCCTTATAATCCAAAGCATCCTATAGTACAGAAAATACGGTAAAAAACACAAATCAATAAAGCTGCAAGAGCTCGGGTCCTGGGAGGTTAAGTATAAATTTGAGGTATCTGTACTTTACTTAAGTACATTTTACACTGGATACTTTTTACTTTTACTTCATTACATTTGAGAGCAGGTATCTGTACTTTCTACTATACTACATTTTAGAGCAGGACTGAAAAGTAAAAGTCTTTTTTTTTTTTTATTATAGACCTGCTGAAAAGCCTGAGGGTTTATTTTAACACGTTCATAATTTGAGCAAACACAAATATACAAAGAAAAACTGCAGTTAAAAAAAAAAACACAAAAAACTAAGCCCTCAAAATATGTCCAGAATGCTTTTACTTTTTACTCTTTAACGAGTACTTGAAAAAAGTAAAAGTACTGAAACTGAGTGCTTCATCCATCACTGCTCCTCTCTTTCTCTCTCTCTTTTTATCACTTATTATGTAAACTCTGCATCCAGCCGTGAAGAGGTAGCTAAAGTCATCTTCTTCTTCTGAGAGTCCACACTGCACTGTGATTGGTCAGATCCACCTGTCACTCAGAGCACTGCTAAACCTGACCAATGAGAGGAGAGGATGAAAAAGACAAATCACAATATGATCAATTTACCAAACGCTGACAGGGACCAGACGATTAAATTTTTATCTTCACATCGCTCAGTCCTAACTGCACCTGCCCCTGCACCTGCCCTCCTGTGGCGCACCTGTCAGGAGCAGTGGACCAGGTCTGAGCTCGGATCCTGACCTGATCTTGCCTGAAGGAGTGGTCTGAACGTGTTTTAGTTTCCAGTCTTTGGTTGGTGTTTTCCAGGTTTCTCTGGGTCAGACTCTGGTCCAGACCTGGTCCTGGTCTTGGTTCTGCTCTTGGTCTGGACCCTGGTCTAGGTCCTGGTCCTTCGTGGTCCTCCTGAAGCCTGTGAAGGTGGGGCAGAAGGGGAGGCGGCTCAAGACTGGGACTTTCCAGATCAGGTTCATCCCGAATGGAAACTCATACGATGGAGAAGATCCAGAACCGGACGAGGAGGTCCAGTGAATGAGCCCACGCTCCTCCAGAGACCCTAGAACACAGAACCGGGTCAGAACCAGGACTAAAACAGGGCTAAAGCAGGACTAAACCAGGAATGAAGCAGAACTGAACCAGACCTCACTCATCCAGAGAGCCTAAAACACAGAACCAAGTCAAAACCAGGACTAAACTAGGACTTAAACAAGACTAAAACCAAGACTAAAACCAGGATTAAAACCAGGACTAAATCAGGAGTGAACCAGGACTGAACCAAGACTGAACCAGGACTGAACCAGAACTAAACCAGGAATGAAACAGGACTAAACCAAAACCCGCTCATCCAGAAATCCTAAAACACTGAACCAGGACTAAAACCAAGACTAAAACCCGGAGTGAAAGAGGAATAAACCAGGACTGAACCAAGACTGAACTGGGACTGAACAGAACTAAACCAGGACTAAAACCAGGACTAAAACCAGAACTAAACAAGGACTAAACCAGGACTAAAACCAGGACAAAACCAGAGCTAAACCAGGAGTGATACAAGACTAAACCAGAACCTAAGCCAAAGATTCATTTTGTCTTCTTATATACTTTAACTTCTTGGGTTCTTTTTAAAGACAATGCAGTAAAGTGTGTTTACCTTGTTGACATGTTTCGGCTGCTAGCTGCGAGCCATCTTCAGAACTGTCACCGGTGTTGGTGGTCCACCACCGAAACATGTCAACAAGGTAAACACACATTACTGCATTGTCTTTAAAAAGAACCCAAGAAGTTAAACCAGAACCTGCTCATCCAGAGATCCTAAAACACAGAACTGGGTCAGAACCAGGACTAAACTGGGACTAAATCAGGATTAAACCAAGACTGCACCAGGACTGAATCCTGGCTCAGAACCATAACCCACACTGCAACGTGAACCTGATTCTGTCTGAAATCTTAAATCTGAGCCCAGGTGGGAGGAGGAGTACCATCGCTATGGTTACCGGAAGCGTTGTTGCTACGGTTACCAGGTATAGAGATAATAGGTGCGCCATTGCTATGGTTACCAGGTATGGTGTTGTCGAGGCAGAAGGCGACGAATCCTCCCACGAACATTTCGGTGGAGAGCAGCACGGTCAGGATCTGGTCCAGCTCCTGCACTCCTGAAAGCAAAAGGACGGGAGGGCATCTGACACAACTGACACACACAAGAGGAGGGCATCTGACACAGAGGGCACAGAAAGAGGGCATCTGGCGTACCGGTCTGGATGCAGTCCGGGTGTGAGTCCAGGTACGTGGGCAGCGTGAGGCCGAAGAACATCGAGAAACCCAGAACGAAAAGGTTTCTGCTCGAATTCAAATCCACGAGCTGAAGGTTAGAGAGTCCCACCGCCGTGATCATCCCTGAAACAGAACCAGGACTGAACCAGGACTGAACCAGAGCTAGACCAGGACTAGACCAGGACTTACCGAACAGGGTGCAGAACATGCCTCCGAGGATGGGATCTGGTAACGAGGCGAAAAGGGCCGTGAACTTCCCCACAGACCCGAGAAGAAACATGATCCCAGCCCCGTACTGGACCACACGCCGACTGCCCACCTGAGACCAGACCAGAGACCAGGGTTAGACCAGAGACCAGAGACCAGAGACCAGAGACCAGAGACCAGAGACCAGAGACCAGACCAGAGACCAGAGACCAGAGACCAGAGACCAGAGACCAGAGACCAGAGACCAGAAGACCAGACCAGAGACCAGAGACCAGAGACCAGAGACCAGAGACCAGAGACCAGAGACCAGAGACCAGACCAGAGACCAGAGACCAGACCAGAGACCAGACCAGAGACCAGAGACCAGACCAGAGACCAGAGACCAGAGACCAGACCAGAGACCAGAGACCAGACCAGAGACCAGAGACCAGACCAAAGACCAGACCAGAGACCAAACAGAGAACAGAGACCAGAGTGAGTACAGCTTGAGTGACCTCATGTCAGATTGGTCATAACCCTAACCCTCTGTGACCCCTGTGTGACCTCTGTGTGACCCTGTATGACCTCTAACCCCTGTGTGACCTCTGTGTGACCCTGTATGACCTCTGACCCCTGTGTGACCTCTGTGTGACCTCTGACCTTGGTGATGCCCAGGACCCCGATGTTTGGGCTGGAGGAAGTGGAGCCGTTTCCTGTCCCCAATAACCCGGCGATGATACAACACAAACCCTCAGTGAAAATCCCTCTGAAACATGAACACAAACAGACACACAGACACAAACATAAACACACACAAACACAAACACATGAACGTTCTGACTGATCACAGGAAAATGAAAATGTGCTCTTTAAATCATTTTAAAATAAAATGTAACCCAAACCTGAAGGACTGACAGAGGCGGGGCTTAGTGACAGGGATGAAGCTCACCTGTATGGGAGGGCTCGGGGCTCACCTGTTGATGGCGTGTACGGGACGGGGCAGGGCTCACCTGTTGATGGCGTGTACGGGACGGGGCAGGGCTCACCTGTTGATGGCGTGTACGGGAGGGGGCGGGGCTCCAGACAGGCGCGCACAGGCGTAATAATCTCCGATGGACTCCACGATCCCGGAGAGAGTCGCACTCATCATCCCCAGAAAACCTGCCAAGGTGAAGACGGGCAAACCCCACTGACCTGAGGGATAGAGGGCATAGAACCAGCAACCTCACCGCTACAGGGCCACAGTCTAATCCCCGGTCTACACCAGGTCTAAGCCAGGTCTATGCCAGGGCATAGGACCAGCAAACTCACTGCTACAGGGCGAGGATGGGTCAAATGCAGAGGGCACATTTCCCAAGAGACACTCAAGTGGACCTTAATCATAATACAGGACCAAACCAGGTCTAAACCAGGACTAAACCAGGTCTAAACCAGGACTAAACCAGGTCTAAACCAGGACTAAACCAGGTCTAAACCAGGACTAAACCAGGTCTAAACCAGGACTAAAGTGGATCTAAATTGTAGCTGAACAACAGTTTGGGAAGCACTGCTCTTGGGCGGTTTGAATGTGTGCTGCACTCTGATTGGCTCACAGGGGTAGGGCACTCGTATCCATGGCGCCGAGCTGATGATGTCACCGCGGGCGTCAGTCCGGGCGCGGTGACCGTAGCGACCGGGGTCAGACGGCAAGAGGTCGGTCAGGGTCATGACGTAACACAACAGCCACACCAGAAGGATCGCCAGAATAATCTGAGGGAATCAAGGGAGTTGTGATAGAAATTTAGATTGTGAAGAGATTTCTTTCAGTCTATCTTTGTGTAAATGAATGTGATTTCTACCTGAAACCCAGACCAGTCATTAACATGTGTAAAGGTTCATTAGGCATAACTGTCTCTGCCTTCAGGAAGCCCTTTGTTGTCCTCAACTGTATGTTAATTTAGTACCACCCTCTGAAACCTAAGTGACTCTGCTTTGGTATGTATGTAACTTGTATTTCTGTATAAATACTCAGAGCTCAAATGCTCTGGGGAGAGGGAGATGGGAAGAGACGGGAGGAGACAGGGGTGAGAGGCTCTTGGGCTTTGGCCGAAACAGGCCTAGGCCCTGTCCATATCTGCTGTAACAAGAATAAACCTTGGTCTATATTCCAAAAACTCATCGAGCTTCGCAAATGGATTCATTATTTATCTTCAAGAAAGATATTTTTTTTTTTCCACAACAGGAGTCAATTAAATTTAAAACAGCAGCAGGATCGAAAGAATCATCTGAAATAAAATACATTTGTCCAAGTCTGTAAGAAGTTCCATGGCAAGACTAAACCAGGACTAAACCAGGACTAAATCAGGACTAAACCAGGACTAAACCAGGACTAAATCAGGACTAAACCAGGACTAAACCAGGACTAAAACAGGACTAAACCAAGACTAAATCAGGACTAAACCAGGACTAACCCAGGACTAACCCAGGACTAAACCAGGACTAAATCAGGACTAAACCAGGACTAAACCAGGACTAAACCAGGACTAAACCAGGACTAAATCAGGACTAAACCAGGACTAAACCAGGACTAAACCAGGACTAAACCAGGACTTGGGGACTTACGGGGAACATCTTGAAGATGTGGACTCTGGTGGAGGACAGTCCTCTCTTGGGGCTGTAGACAGGGACGGGCAGAGAAATGGAGCGAAGGTACTGAGCGAAGAGAAGGATCAGCAGAATACACCTGCAAGTACAGGAAGTACTACTACTATTACTACTGCTAGTACTACTATTACTACTGTTATTACTACTATTACTACTACTACTACTACTACTACTACTACTAGTACTGCTGCTGTTACTTTACTACTACTACAACTACTGATAACAGCCTTTTCCGATCTCAATACACTTGAAACAGAAATAAAGTCCGGGTAATTTACTTATTTAAATATTATAAATTCATACTTGTACAAGGAGTCTGTGCCTACATTTCCAAGCACACACTCCATGTTTATGCCGGTACAATGACTTTTAAAAGAAAAGGTTTAATATTACATATCTCGAAAGAAGAGAAAACATCCAGATGCTGTTGACATTTTTCAGTAAATATTTCATTTGGCCCACGACTTAGTCGCAGTTTTTAATTTCAGCCTCTGTGAATTTGACACCGCTTGTTCGACACCGCTGTTTTAGCGCCTTGTCGTCGGTGCACAGTCTGATCAGACTCCATCCGGGCTGTTATCTGACTCACATGTCATGACATCGTCTCTATCTGTACTTCTTGACCTGTTTAGTGAGTTTGTGATTGGGTACATGGGAATATCCTGCATTTGTCTTGACACAGATCTATGCCTTATCTTCACAATGACCTTGGTACAAAACAAAACAGTTAAGCCTAGATATTTATCCTAACACTACTATTACTACTACTGCTACTGCTACTACTGCTACTATTACTACTTCTGCTACTGCTACTGCTAAGCACAGTCCAGGGTCTTGAACACTCAGAGATCACACTCTGTTCACTTTTGAAATTACACTATATTGACTTTTCATGTCCCTGTGGGCCTTATTATTGACGGTAAATAAACTTCTCCTGCTTAAGATGCCCAGACTTTTACTTCCAGACTTTCTTAGACAAACTGAAAACTTCTACAACAACAACTACTACAACTGCTGCAGCTACTACTACTGTAACTACTACTACTACTGCTAATATTACTACTACTCCAACTACAACTACTACTACTACACGACTCCTACTACTACTGCTACTGCTACTGCTACTGCTGCTACTACTACTACTACTACAACTACAACTACTACTACTACACGACTCCTACTACTACTGCTACTGCTGCTGCTGCTGCTACTACTACTACTACTACTACTACTACTACTACTACTACTACTACTACTACTACTACTACTACTACTACTACTACTACTACTACTACTACTACTACTAATACAACTACTACAACTACTACACTATTCCTACCACTATTACTACTACTACTACTAATACAGCTACTACAACTACTACACTATTCCTACCACTATTACTACTACTACTACTACTAATACAACTACTACACTATTCCTACCACTATTACTACTACTACTACTACTACTACAACTACTACTCCTACTACTACTTCTACTACTACTAATACAACTACTAGTACAACAACTACTCCTACTACTGCTACTACCTCCTGTAGTACACCTACCTGTAGGTCTGTGTATCTGTCTCTGTGTGCGTGTGTGTGTGTGTGTATGTGTGTATGTGTGTGTGTGTGCGTGCGTGTGTGTGTGTGCGTCTGTGTGTGTGTTTGTGTGTGTATATGTGTGTGTGTGTTCCGTACAGTGCGGACAGGCCCCAGTGAGACCCCGCCCTCTCGCCGGCCGTCGTGAACACGCTCAGACCAATCAGAGACACCGTGGGGGTGATGGTCAAAGGGCCAATGAAACGCAGCATCAGGCCAGGAAGTCCAAATGCACCAATCACAACCTCCGTCAGGCTGGACGCAATGATGGCGCCCTGGATCTGAGCCAATCAGAGGAGAGAGGGTTTAAACGCACCAATCAGAGGAGAGATGTGTATCACCCAGAGTTCAATCAGCCAATCACAGTGCAGCAACGGCACATCAGTCACTACAATACTATAAAGGATTTCCTCACTACTGTAAAGTATTTGTACTGCAATATTTGTACTTTTACCTCTCGGATCCGCGGGTGCCAGATGTGACTCGTGTTCAGGGGCAGAGTCCAGTTTCCATAGATCTCCTCTGGAACAGAACCAGACTTTAGAATCATCCTGGTTTAGTCCTGGTTTAGTCCTAGTTTAGTCCTGGTTTGGTCCTGGTTCAGTCCTGGTTTAGTGCTGGTTTAGTGCTGGTTTAGTCCTTTTTTACTCCTGGTTCAGTCTTGGTTCAGACCTGGTTTAGTCCTGGTTTGGTCCTGGTTCAGACCTGGTTCGGTCCTGGTTCAGTACTGGTTTGGTCCTGGTTCAGTCCTGGTTTGGTCCTGGTTCAGACCTGGTTCAGACCTGGTTCAGTACTGGTTTGCTCCTTGTTCAGTCCTGGTTCAGTCCTGGTTCGGTCCTGGTTCAGTCCTGGTTTAGTCCTGGTTTGGTATTTTTTTTACTCCTGGTTTGGTCCTGGTTCAGTCCTGGTTTAGTCCTGGTTTAGTGCTGGTTTGGTATTTTTTTTACTCCTAGTTTGGTCCTGGTTCAGTCCTGGTTTAGTCCTGGTTTAGCCCTGATTTAGTTCTGTTTTAGTCTTGGTCCAGACCTTGTGGGGGACACTTCCATCGGTCCAGACTGAGGATGGCCTGGGCCGGGATGAGGAAAGCGAAGGCCGAAGCCTGGAACAGAGGAAGCCTGAGGAGCAACAATAAGAACATGAACCAGGACTAAACCAGGACTAAAACGGGTCTAAACCAGTATTAAACCAGTACTAAACCAGGACTGAACCCAGTCTATAGCAGGACTCGCCTGATACCCAGTGTGGTCTGTATCAGCGTGGTTATCCCGACCGTGGTGAAGATGGTTCCAATGAGCTGACTGATGGTGCTCTGGTCCCGCCCCACGCACATTGCCTCGGCCAACAGGAACGGTACTGCCACCGTGCCCGAGAAACACGTCAGGTAATGCTTCGACAGGGGAGACAGGTGCAGCAGGTGTGACAGGTGAGGCAAGAAACAGACAAAAGGTTATGTATGACTATCTTTTATTATCAGAGCCTGAACTGCAGTTTCGTGTTTCAGATACCCTCCCTTTATGTCAGATGCTCTCCCTGTGTGTGTCAAATGCCCTCCCTGTGTGTCAGATGCCCTCCCTCACCTGCAGACCCAGCAGCACACACAGGTACCAGGGCGGCACGTCCTCGATGGTGTAGATCATCCCCGTGTCGACCTTCTCTGCTCCCACTGGCTGACGACGACCTCGCTTTGCTCCCATTGGTTGATGGGATTTTTCTTCTGGGCTCTGAGTGGACAGAGGAAACTAGGTTAGAAGTTCAAAGTCCTAGAATTATGAATATTAAGGTCAGACATGCAGATATGACATGGCTTAGTCCCAGTTTAGTCCAAGTTTGGTCCCAGTCCAGTCCCAAGCCCAGGCCTTTAAACAGTGACCTCACAGTTAGTTATTGCTGCACACTCAGAGTTGATTTCTTTATAAAATATTAAAAAGACAAAAATCCTCGAATGAGCTTTAAATTATGAAAATGTGTTTTTATTTCAGGTCATGTCCTGAACTTTTGTGCTGAGCTCGTACACTCAGATAATTATTAACATCACAATAATAAGGTTAAAGTTTATCCCAGATTCAGCTGCCCTCGTTTGTTTTTTCTTCAAACAGTTAAAGGGATTTTAAGACGGATGCCCTCCCTGTGTTCAGTCACTGGGACAATAATAAATACAATGGTCTATAAAGATACGAATCTTAAACTCACAAGAGGCTCTGACCTGATTCTGAAAAATCTACAATATTTTACAGTTTTTATGAGACCCGCTTTCTAATGAATGACAGGAGCCTGAACCAATCACAGCGTTCACAGGGTATGTGTGATCATCTTCTGGGTTTTAATGTTAGATTAAAGATTATAAGTATCGTTTAAAGTCTTACCTGAGACTCTGGCATTCTGCACTAGTCCAGTCTGAAGACGCTCTGAAGGAAGAGGGAGGTGTGACAAGAAGAAATGACAGGAGCAGGCAGGAGCAGACAGGAGCAGAACTGAGAAAGACAGACAGAGAGAGAGAGAGAGAGAGAGAGAGAGAGAGACAGGGGCAAACAGGAGCTGACAGGTGCTGTGGAGTTGTCTGAAGATCATTAACATCTCCAGGACTTTACTGTTACTGCACTCTGATAGTACATAGGCCCGGTACTGCAGTTTAACAGTACAGTCAGACTAAATACTGCAGATCCACAGCTTTGTTCAGTCACATGTGATTAACTCCTGTTTATAAATTAATTAGTTTAGTCCTAGTTGAGTCCAGGTTTAGTCCTGGTTTAGACCTGGTTTATACAGTTAGTGTTCTCGGGGGTTTTGTTTTATATCATTTATGCTGAACGTGAGTCTTGTTGATTTTACCGTGTTATTCTCATAGGCCTTCAGTGTGTTATTCTCATATTATGCTTTAGTGCGGCCCCTTGGACACACAGGGTCCCGGGACTCAGACCCGGGGCCGGAGACTCAAACCCGCGGCCGGTTTTTGCTGATATTGATGATTCTTGTTGATAAAAAACAGATGTTTTTGTTCTAAAACAAACGGACTCCTCGCTGCGTCAGAAACAGCCAATTAAAGCGCACGCTCTGCGCGCTGTCTCTGATGGACAGCTCCTTTATCCAATAGGAGCCCGCCTGCGCAGTGCCGCGGTCACAGAGGGCGGGGCCTCGCGCCGCTCCGCATCACAGCGGAACAAAATGGCGGCCGTGGCCCGCGAGCCCGGAGCTGCTGCGGTTCCGACGGTGTCTCCCCCCGAACCCAGACCTCCGGACCCGGCCTGCTCCGGCCCGGGCCTCCCGCTGCTGCTGCCCGAGCCGCCCGGGCCTCGCCTCTGCGTCGCCTTCAGCGACAAGGACGAAGACAGGCGCCATGTTACCGCGGCTCCCGTTAGCTCAGAGGCTAATGCTAACGCCGAGCTCCAGAGCCACGACTCTGCCCCGTTCTCTCCCCGCGCAGAGCAGCCCGAACTCCCGCCGCTACTGCGAGACTCTGCCCCCGGGGCGGAGCAAGACCCGGTGCAATCCGCCGTGTCCCCGCTGTCTCTACCCGCGGCCCCCGAGGCTCCGGAGGCTCCGGAGGCCGGACTATCTCTGGGCCAACCCAACGGCCCGGACCGCGCCTGTACCGAGAGGACTATGACCGGTAGCCCGAACCGGACCGAGCCCGCGGCCTCGCGCTTCACGGCGCTGCGGGAGCCCGGAGGGGACAGCGGGGAGAACCGCGGGCAGCAGGCCGCGAACAACGCTCAGGACCCCGCTCAGGACTCCGCGGATCCCCCAGGGACAGAGTCCGGTCCGGAGCTGCGGCCCGGGACACAGGTGCGGGTCTCTCTGGATCACGTGATCGACGACGCGCTCGTGGTGTCTTTCCGCGTGGGACACAAGGTGTTCTCCGGTGTGCTCATGGACCTCTCCCGCAGGTAAACAGCAAACCCCGATATTTATAATTATAATATTCTATTTAATAATTACAAAGAGGGCTGCTCATGGACCTGACCTGTAGGTAAACAACCCTGGTATTTTTTATATTTAATCATTATAACAATAACCGTACAAAGGAGTGTTCAGGTAAACCTGTGTTCAGTCTGCTTTATGATAAATTATAATGTAGAATAATAATAATATTATTAATAAATAAAATATAGTTCAAATTTAGGAAATTTTGATTTCATTTAGCATTGCATTTATATAGCGCCTTTCATGACACCAAAAGCACTTTACAGAGCATTATTCATTCACTCTACACTCAGTGGTGATACTACTGTAGCCACAGCTGCCCTGGGGCAGACTGACTAAAAGAGGCTGCCAAACTGTGCCATTGGCCCCTCCAACCATCACCAGTTTTTGACACTGGCGTTCCATTGTACCACTGGTCTCCCATCCAAGTCCTGACCAGGCCCGACCCTGCTGAACGTCTCAGATCTGAGGAGACCAGACTTTGACGAGCTGGTATGGCCACATAAATGCACTTCTGTAAGGGATTATCCAAGGCCTTACTTGGGTAAATCAAATATTTATTACACAAATAATGAGTTTGTCATACATTTAGGATGTTAAATGTAACAAAACATTAGACTAAAACATGTTTTTTTGGTTTATAAGTGAATTCAAACATCTAAAAATTGGACAGCACAAAAATGCTCTGAGTCATGAAGCAGTCGTTGGTAAGTTAATAGTTCCTTTTACCTTTAGTTCAGAAAGGTTTGGTGATTCCATGGCTGAAAATATCCAAATAATTCTAGTGTGTGGAATTTAAAAACACAGTGGCGCACTTCCTGTATTACCGCATGACATCACAAGGTGGAACAGAGTGTTTTCTGTTGAGAGAAGAAGTAGGTAGGTTTAATCTATACTGTGAAATATTCTAGACAAAACAACAACATTTCCATAGAGACATCAGGTGGTGGATCCTCCAATAGAATTGTTACGCATGCACCCTTATTGTTTTATGAAATCTGACTTGTTCTAGTGATTCTCTCATCTCTAAATCTCAGCTCATGACAAATGGACAGAGGTCGGGCCTGATTAAAACTAGAGCTGGGCCCATATGGGTTATCGGCTCAAAACTAAATCCATCTCTCTCATTTTAAATCCAAAGAGAGACCCACAAATGTCTCTTAAGTGAAGCAACAACCACAAATTAACTTTTCACTTTTGTAAAAATAAAACCACACTGTATTTCACTGGGGTGTAAAACAATGTGTGACATGTTTGTGTAACACTCTGTTTCCATTTGGACTCATGGGTGTGTTCATGAAGGGCACACAGTGAATGGAGTATAAGAAATATCGGTGTCGAGTATCGATATCGGCCAGTACTAGAGAATGGGCTTGGATATGGCCGATACGATACTGTAATCTATAAATGGCCCGTCCTTGTGGTATCGTGTGTGTGACTCTCCTCTCTCTGGTGCAGGTTCGGCCCGTATGGAATCCCCATCACCACGTTTCCCACTCGAAGAGAGTCGTCGCGGCGCCACTTCCCGGCCCCGCCCCCTGCTGCAGATACCGCGCCCCCTGCCACAGCTGAAGCCCCGCCTCCTGACCCCGCTCTGATCCCGCTGTTCCACCAGGGGGCACCCTATCCTCCTCCGCTGTTCCTCAGAGACACGTATCACCAAAGCCTGCCTCAGCCCCCTCCTCGACGAATCAAACGCTCCCGCCGTCGCTATGGCAACAGCGAGGAGCCCACCTGCATGTTAGTGCGGCTCCGCCCCCGACAAGTGCTGTGCGACAGATGCAAGGGCGCAGCTGGCCCCAGACCCGCCCCCTCGACGCGCCGCCGCCCCAACCCCGAACCCCTGGACGAAAACCTGCCCACCGAAGTGAAACGTCTGCGCTGTGATGATTCCCGCCCCCCGCGGCCGCGTCGAGACGCGCCCAGAACGCCAGGGGGAGGAGCCACAGCCCCTAACCCCGCCCCCCGACGACCTCAGACCACCTCCAGCGCCGCCAACGCCAACCACACCAGAGACCCCCGCAACAGAGACAGAGAGCCCGCCCGCTCCGGCACCCTCAGGTCCGGCTCCGGTCTCAGGTCCGGCTCCGGTCTCAGGTCTAACCCAGCCTCCGGAGCCTCAGCTGGGACCAGGGTTCTGACCCGGAGGATCTCTTCGGCTCTGTCTCCGCCCAGAATCCGACTAAAGCCGCACAGGTACCGAACAGAACCAGAGCCCCCCCCTCCCCCCAAGACCAGACCCAGACCCGGACTAGACTCAGGACCTCAGCGGACCAACAAGAACCCCAAAGTCCAGACTAAGACCCCCAGCAGACTGCAGGGTAGGCTTCAGAGCAGACAGGAAGTTAGACCTGGGTCTAAACCAGGAACTAAACCACGGACTAAACCTGAGACCAGGACTGAGACCAGGACTGAGACCAGGACTGAGACCAGGACTGAGACCAGGACTGAGACCAGGACTGAGACCAGGACTGAACCCAAGACTGAGCGGAAGGACCCAAATTCCAGACAGAATCCAGAACCAGACCGAAAACATGAAATCAAATCCCAGTGCAGACCAGAGTCAGCAAACAGGACTAAGACGCTGTTAGATCAGGGCCCAGACCAGTCTCTGGAAGACCCCAAACGAGACCCTAAACCCGAACCCGAGTCTCGGCCCTGTTCGGATCCAGACTCTAGACCGGCTCCCTCCCCGTCACGCAGCCGCCGCAAACAGGTCTTCCCCAGACCAACCCGGGACTTCGACCTGGACTTTATCGGCTGGTGTGACCCGGATCCAGACCAGACTCAACCAGGCCAGGACCGGTATCGGACTAAAGCAGGACTAGATCCAAAACCAGGGCTAGACCCAAAACCAGGACTAGACCCAAAACCAGAACCAATATTGAACCCAGCTGAGGCAAAGTCTGTGCGTGAGGAAAGGTCAGAAAAAGGGGCTCAGATCAGAGAGACTGAACCAGACCAAGACCCGAGACCCAGACCTGGATCAGAACCTGACCAAGACTCGAGACCTGGACCTGAATCAGAACCTGACCAAGACCCGAGACCCAGCCCTGGATCAGAACCTGACCAAGACCCTAGACCCAGGCCTGGATCAGAACCAGACCAAGAGTCTGAGACAAACTTCAGTCTAGATGCAGCAGTGATGGATGTGTCTATGGACGGTTCACAGGTCCAGTCCAGGTCGAGTCCTGATCCAGAGTCTGGCTGTAGTCCTGCTAAATCCAACTGTAGTCATCCAGAATCCTGTTACAATCTCGAGTCCTTAAAATCGGATCTTGAACCTGAAAACAGAGCCATAACAGATCTCGAGCCCGAGCCGATGGACTTCTCCCCAGAATCCAGGTCGAAGGACAGTTCAGACCCTATAGTCCGGTCCCAGTCTAAGTCCCCATCTCGGTCCCGGTCAAAGTCCCGGTCCCGGTCTAAATCCCCGTCTCAGTCCCGGTCAAAGTCCCGGTCCCGGTCTAAATCCCCGTCTCAGTCCCGGTCTCGGTCTGGCTCTGTGGTGGACTCCAGGCCCTCGTCTCCGGCCTCTTCCTCTGAGTCCAGGTCTCGGTCTAGATCGGGGTCTCGGGCCTCTGAACGGTCCCAGCGCAGCACCCGGTCCAGCACAAAGTCCGTCTGTAAAACTGAGGGACCAGAACCTGAGGTCTCTGAGAAGAAACCAAAGCTAGTGGAGAGTCCAGGCCTTAAACCAGACCTTAAACCTGAGTCTAGACCAGACCCGAGACCAGACCCGAGACCCGAGTCTAGAGCGGCGCAGTCTCGCGCGGTGCCCAAGTGCGTGGGCGCAGACGGGCGCTGCGTTTGCGTTGGGGACATCGTGTGGGCGAAGATTGCCGGGTTCCCGTGGTGGCCGGCGCGCGTGCTGTCTCTGGCGGTGTGTCGCCGTGGAGACGTGAGTGGGGCTGTGAAACAGGAAGTGCGCGTGGCGTGGTTCGGCTCCAGGACCACGTCTGTTTTGCCGCTGAGTCTCACGTCTCCGTTTCTCGAGACGTTTCAGGCACGATTCGACAGGAAACGCCGTGGGCCGTACCGCCGCGCCATCGCCGAAGCCGCCAGCGCCGCCAAGCAGCTCACGCCCGAAGTGCGAGCGCTCATCACGCAGTTTGAGACGTAGCAGCGACGCAAACACGCAACTGAAGCTAAACGCACTGAGCTCTGGGGAGAAGGAGAAACTAAAATTTAAAAAATAATAAAAACATAGGAGCAGCAGCCATTTTGTGTGGCGCTCCTGTGGCCTCATGGGAAACGGTGAGTGAGGACCTAAAGGCCTGGTTCATCCTGGGAACTGTAGGCTGTAAACTGCTGTAAATGACCTGGTTCTGGTCTGAGGCCTGATTCTGGTATGGTCCAGGTTTTCAGAAAGATTTCTTGTGCCATGTTTTATCTCAGTTGAACTTTATTTAGTGCCAAACTCGTCCACAGATCTTGCTTAGTCCTGGTCTAGTCCTGGTCTGGATCCAGTTTACTGTGACTCACTTTTCAGTTTACTTCTTATTTTATTTAAGTCGTCAAAAAGCGAAACAGAAATAGAACATTAGACCCACCCCTCCGCCCTGTCCTCCTTTGACCCGGTCCTCCTTTGACCCGGGTTAGGTCTAAGGACTGTTGAACTGTTGGACAGAGTTGGACTGCGGTTCTGGCTCGGTGTGGCCCAGTTTGGCCCCCGTTTAGCCCGGATGTTCTCCCTCTGTTTGCAGAACAGAACTTGTGTAAATGTTGAAACTGTTGTTAAATAAAATGTTGTGAATCTTTTTTGTGTCTCTGCCTTTTCACTTTTCTGCTGCAAACAGACGGAAAACGCATCCTCCATTTTACCCCCTCCTCCTCCTCTTCCTCCTTCATTTTATCGCCTCTTCTTTCATTTTATCCTCTCCTCTTCCTCATCCTCTTCCAGTTTACTCCTTCCTTCTCTTCCTTTATGTCCCCTCTTCCTGCATTTTACCCCCTCCTTTTTCCTGCACAAGCCCGCTCCCCTCCTCACCCTCCTTCCTCATCAAGTTTGGTTTAGTTCTACTTTGGTCCTGGTTTAGACATAGTTAAGTCCTCACTTAGTCCTGGTTTAGTCCCGGTTTGGAATCTGAATCTGGTTCATTTAAAAGTGCAGGTTGAAGAGAGTTTATCATATTTATGTTTAACAAACACTTCATGAGAGGAGGTTTAGTCCTGTTTTTATTTTTAAATGTCCCTCTCTTTGAGCTGTTAAAATGAAGTTTCCTTATCATGAACGGACCTGGACTTGTGTTTTGTTTCATTCACACGTTTTTAAACTCTACACATTCTTCATTAGAATTATTTGGATCGTGAATTTCTTCCCTGGAATTGACCCAAGCTCTTCTGAACTAAAAGTAAAAGGAGCTGTTCACTTGAAAACGATTACTTCATGACATCACAATTTAGAACAGAGCGTTTTGAGCTGTGGAGATGCAGACAGACTAATAATAAAGAGTTACTCAAATGTGTGAATGAAAGAAAACACAACTCCAGGTCTGTTTTTGAGGAGGGTTTAAAGCTTTAGAGTCAGTTCAGTGTTATTCAGTGTAGCAGCTTTACACACACTCACACTTTAATATCACAGAAACCACAGCAGGGGGCTCGGAAGGCACTGATCCGACTTTTTCAGTTCCAATACCAGTTTCAATACTACACCTTTAAATATAAACTATACACTAAAATAAAATAAGACCAAACTGACCCACGTGTGTGATGGAGCTGTGCTGTGTCGCTCAGGTAACACAGAACAACGATTGTAATGTAACGTCTCATTACGTCACTGTAAATGTCCAAACAGAAGAAAGATAGATAGATGGATAGATGGATGGATGGATGGATGGATGAATGGATAGATGGGGAGAGAAAGATTGAAAGAGAGATAGATGAGTAGATAGATAGATGGGAAGAGAGAGAGAGAGAGAGATAGATAGATGGGGAGAGAAAGAGAGATTGATAAATAGATGATAGATAGATGAGAGAGAAAGATGGATGGATAGATGGGGAGACAGATTGAGAGAGAGAGAGATAGATGATAGATAAATAAATACATTAAATAGATAGATAGATAAATAAATAAATAGATAGATAGATAGAGATAGAGACTGATTGAGAGATGGACAGATGTCAAAGGTTAAAACTTGAAACTCATGCTGAGGCCCCCTCCTGGGTGACTGAGGGATTACAGTGGTCCTTATTCATCTGAGTTTAGATTTGAGACACTTTTATTGATTTATTTTAATACCTCTAAAAATGCAGTTCACAAACTCTGCTTAAATCATGTATTTTTCTAAATGTCTAAGATCAAATCAGACCACATTTGTCAAAAGGCAGGTCAAAAGTTTAGAAAATCAGACATGATACTAAAACTGGTATTATTAATTTTTGGCAGATCTGGATCCTAAAAATGTCCCATTCACAAGACAGAACAGAACCTTTACTGAACGTGTTTAGAATGATCTGGAGCTGGATCAGAACAAGTGTAAGAGCACAGAGACTAGTCTATGCCCACAGACCACTGACAGATTACAGCCATATAAGGACACATGGGAATAGAAAAGAAAGTACTCGTTCCTGGTTTGGTCCTGGTTCGGTCCTGGTTCGGTCCTGCTTTACTCTGTGGTTTAAAGTTGACCCTGTGCTCTGTGGTTGCAGGTCGGCACTGACGGGCTGCTGAGGATCTGAGGAGCTGATCACAGATATTTAGATTTAATATATTATAATGAAAATAATTATTATTGTGAATAAATTCTATAATCATGGAATAAGAGCTGCTCCCTGCGTCAGCCAATCAGATGTCTCTCTCCTGCGTCGACCAATCAGACGGCGGCTTCCTGGAATCCCGTTGCCGTGGAAAGACCCCGTCAGCCGATCAGGGTCAAAGGTCGTGTGTGTTTTCTACTCCGCCCACTTTCTGTGAATAAGATTTTACTGCAATAAATACTGCATGAGTAGTACTCTGACTCAGTACTTTAATATACGAGTACTTTTACTGCTGAGGATCTCAGATGGTCCAGGGGTTTAGACCTGGTTCAGTCCTGGTTTGGTTCTACAGTTCCACTGAGGAGAGTGTAAAAAGTCATATTTTCACACACAAATTAAAGGTTCATGTTTTTTTAAATTCAATTATTTATAGTTATTTATAATCTTTAGGTTTAAATCTCAGATGTGCAGAGTCACACCATAGTCTGATTCATCAGACGGTTTCACTTTGTAGAGACCGTCTGACCTCGCAGCATTAGGATTCATTCACTTGACAGTAGCTGCTGTTTAGTCGTGATGTATGTAATGCTCTGCTAACGGGGCTAACTGGTATATTAAACTTTTCCCAAATCCTGTAGGAAGAAGGACAATAACGTCTTTGCCCTTGATAAAATTCACCAAACATTCTCTTTGTTCCAGCTTTAAATCCTTGATCTCGGGAATCGTTGCCAACACAGAATGTCTGTCTCTTTGCTGATTGGCTGGTGCCCGAACTCACACTTCAGGGGTTTTTTCGAACTGTTTGTTGTATTCTGATTCCTGACCTGGAGAGAAATGTAATTGAGTGGAGGCACTAGGAGTCACACCCACAGACTCTATAAAGAAGTGTTCTCAAGCGAGTGTCATCCACAGCGTTCAGCTCCAGTCAAATGAAGCTCAGGTTGCGAGTACTGTTAGTAATGTCCATTTATATCCTGGATCTATTATAGTTGTGATTTATTTACACGATCTACGGTTACACCAGAGTCACACCACAGAGTCACCGGCAAGACAAGACAAGTTTATTTGTACAACACAGTTGGTACACAAGGTAATTCAAAGTGCTTCAAAGTGAAGATTCATCGATACACAAAATGATCTTTTGATTTAGTCTCTCACATTAATAACAGGTTTATAATTTTGCATCAATCTAGATCTTTCTAGATCTTTTTTACAACACAAGGAGACCAAAGTGCTTTGCAAATCAACACAATATACAATAAAAACATACACAATATCCAACAGAAGTAAAACAAATAATGCACTATGAGAGTTAAAACCAGTCTGAAAAAAAAAAAAAAAGAGCTTGAGTCTGGATTTAAACAAGACAAGTCTGACGGGGGGCAGTTTGTTCTCCTATTTCTCACAGTCTGACCCCATCTGAGAGAATGACATCATCACAGGGTTATATTTACTATTTACACTGAACCCTGGGATTTGTAGTCCACATGGAAGAGTTGTAGTCCTCTGATCTCAGCCGTAGTGGGAGTTGTAGTCCTCTGGTCACAGCTGTAGTGGGAGTTGTAGTCCTCTGGTCACAGTTGTAGTGGGAGTTGTAGTCCTGTGGTCACAGCTGTAGTGGGAGTTGTAGTCCTCCGGTCTTAGCTGTAGTGGGAGTTGTAGTCCTCTGTAGTTTAGGTGTAGTTTAGCCGTGCGAGCGTTGCATCTGAGTGATCCAGGAAGTGAAGGCGGAGACTCGGGCGTAGACTCCGGGACTCTGAGGGTCTCCACAGCCATCGCCGAATGATGTCACACCTGAAGCAGCCAATCAGAGCACAACATTTACACTGAACGTGCCTCTCAAGGTTTGCATTTCAGTAACAATTATGATGATATGAATGAAACTGACCGATCTGAGTCCAGTGACCGTTCTGCAGGATCATCAGAGGACCTCCCGAGTCGCCCTGAGACACAAACAACACGTGAGTGCAAGATCTGAGACAGGTCCTGGTCCAGACCTGGTCCTGGTCTAGACCACAGGCTATATAAAGTCGTGTTCTGAGGGAGTGTGATGTGACCCGCAGTGTTCAACTCCAAAGGAAGCTCATCCAGGCTGGAGAATCCATGTGGCATTCGTTGATTTGTTTTTCAAAATAAAACCAAAAGGAAGAAAATGAAAAACACTAAAATTTTCTTCATTATTTGTCTCCAAAACCAAAATGAAAAAAACGATAATGATTTATTTATTTTTTTTTCCAGTTTTCGATTTTGTGTTCAAATGAAAAATGGAAAAAACAGATAATGGCCATTTCTGTGACTTTAAACCGCTATGCTGGACTAAACCAGGACTGAACCAGGACTAAACCAGTCTCAGTCCTTGTCTCAGACCTGGTCTGGTCCCGGTCTGGTTCCGGTCTCAATCCTGATAACCTGACACGCACCTCTGGGCCTGTCCTGACACTCCTGGTTCAGTCCTGGCTGAAGTCCTGGTTTAGGACTGAGACCGGGACTAGGGCTGAGACCAAGACTGAGACCGAGACCAGGACTGAGACTGGGACCAGACCGGGACAAGATCAGGCTTGAAATCGGGGCTGAGACCGGACTAGACTAGGACTGAGACCGGCTTAGTACTGGTTCAGTCCTGGTTTAGACCTGGTTCAGTCCTGGTTTAGACCTGGTTCAGTCCTGGTTCGCAGGATCGCAGGTTAAGTCACAGAAACAGGAAACAGTCGTTATCCATTTTTTCCATTATTCAAAACACGCACAAAATCGAAAACTGAAAAAATTAATCATTATCTGTTTTTTAATTTTGGTTTTGGAGACAAATAATGAAGAAAATTGTTTTTTTTTTTTTTTCATTTTCTTATTTTTGGTTTTATTTTGAAAAGCAAATGAACGAATGATACACGGATTCCGAATCACGCCCGTGCTCACTTCCTGTCTGAAACACTTTAGATATGTCCAGACACATGTATACGATATGGTCCAGACCTGGTCCTGGCTCAGACCTGGTCTTGGTACCAGCCAGACTTTGGCAGGTGTTGTACCTGGCAGGTGTCGGTGCCGCCCTCCTCCCGTCCCGCACACAACATCAGGTCTGAGATGTTGTACTGAGGCAGCTGCTCCTGACACAGAGTCTGAGGAACCAGAGGAACCTGAGCCTCCTGCAGAACATCAGGGAGAGAACCTGAAAAACACACAGCTCTGTTACACCCTCTCTGCTCCTGTCTGCTCCTCTGCTCTGATTGGCTGCTTCGAATTCGTGCTGCGCTCTGATTGGCTCTCACCTCCACTCGACAGGCGTCCCCAGCCCGCAATGGAGCAGAGAGTCCCGGGGGGCGGGTCCAGCTCCGCCAGACACACCGGCTGCACGTAATCTGTGGAGAGAAGAGACACGTCAGCTCTGTGGAGAGGCAAGCTCATACAGACACATCAGCTCTGTGGAGAGGAGAGCACACAGAGACATGTCAAGTGTGTGGGGAAGCAAGCTTATACAGAGACACATTAGCTCTGTGGAGAGAGAAGCACACACAGAGACAGGTCAGCTCTATGGAGAGGCAACCACACAGAGAAATAAGTCAGGTCTGTGGAGATGCGAGCTCATACAGACACTTAGTAAATAGTATAGAGAGTTTTATACAATGAATGACAGAAATTGACTTAGTGACTTATTAAAATAATTTACGGAGCCGATCATGTGACTAATACTGAAATATCAAACTGGAGTCAAGACTAAGAAACAAACTCGATTCAGATCCCACGTTAATAAAAAAAAACAAAAAAAAACTCTTTTTTTAGACAATCTCCTGTGATTTTCCACATTAAATGGTAAAACTGTGACTTTTTTCTTTCCATGTGTCCTTATATCTGTGTAATCTCTCAGTGGTCCAGGTCTAACCCAGGTCTAACCCAGGTCTAACCCAGGTCTAACCAGGTCTAACCCAGGTCTAAACCCAGGTCTAAACCAGGTCTAAACCAGGTCTAAACCAGGTCTAAACCAGGTCTAAACCAAGTCCATGGGTGTATACTAGTCTATGTGCTCTTACACTTGTTCTGATCCACGTCCAGATCGTTCTACACACAGTCAGGAAAGGTTCTGCTCTGTCTTGTCAGTGGTATTTTTTTAGGATCCAGACCTGAGAATAATGAGGATCTAGTTCCAACACTAGTTTTAGGCTCGATTAGCGTCGGCTCGTGTGACTCACCGCTGAAGCTGACTGGCTCCTGCAGCTGCATCAGGGTGATGTCGGCGCGTTTGATTCGCCGGTCGTACAGCGGGTGTATAATGATGCGTTTGATTGGTCGGGACTGCACCTCGGGACTGGAGGGTTGTGATTGGGCGCTGAGGCCCAGCACTGCCTGCCACCGCTCCACGTGCATGTTCTTCCTGCAGAGGTCAAAGGTCAGAAAAGGGGAAATGTAAAGCACCATAGATATAGAATGGTAGATTTCGCGTTCAGCCTCTTGATGCGCAATAATACCGCCGCCATCTTGGTACAGAGGTTCCATGGTCTAAACCAGGACTGAACCAGGATTGAACCAGAGCTGAACCCAGACTAAACCAAGTCTAAACCAGGACCAAAACAGGACTAAACCCAGACTGAACCAGGAGTGAACCCGGACTAAAACAGGACTAAAACAGCACTAAAACAGGACTCAACCAGGACTCAACCATGACTGAACCAGGACCAAAACAGGACTAAACCAGGACTAAACCAGGTCTAAAACAGGACTAAAACAGGACTGAACCAGGACTGAACCAGGACTGAACCAGGACTTATCTTGTACTGCTGCTTGGTCAGTAGGAAACATTGATGATGTTCATTCATTTAAAGCCGCGTTACTCCAGTACCAAGATGGTGGCTTTGTTGACTCAATCATTTGGTCGTCAATGCGAGATCTACCATTCTACATCTATAGTGAAGCACCGGCTGTGTCCAAATGCCGCTTCCCTCGATCTGTACAAACTTATATATTCTTTAAATTTATTATTTAAAACAGTAAAACCAAGACCCAGACCCGTAGACGCAGTGGGCGGCCGTCAGGACCCAGTCTTCACCAATCAGAGTTCCTCCACACACGTGACGCCCCGACCACCAAAGAGACACAATCCACGGCCACGCCCCCTTCGCCGCATCAACTCCCCCCACGATCCGCCCACCTCCTGAAACACACAAAACAAAAAAGTGTATACGAGATTTTTGCGATTCTTTAATTTTGACTCAGTTTGGTGAAATAAAACCAGTTGTAAATATAAATTATATTTACACAAATCAAGAAATAGTTTGTGGAAAAAAAGTCAAGAAATGTGTTGAAAATGACAATTCCTTATATTTTCAATTAAACCAGGACTTCAACAACAAATGGTATGAGGATGCGATGAGTCAAACAGATATGGTGATGGTACATTAGTTATTTTTATTTTTACAAATCTGAAAAACTAAAGTGACTCAATTAAAGCTACACTTAAGCAAAATAAGTGATTAAAGATTATTTAAACTATAATTGAAAAATCTCAATACTCACCGGCGTCCTCTGATTGGCCACCTGTGTCTCCTCTCTGCTCTGATTGGTTAAACTCAAACGTGAGGTTCACCTGTCGGACTCCACAGGCTGAAAACACAGATCCACAGTCAAGACTAAACCAGGACCAAACCAGGATTAAACCAGAACTAAACCAGGACTAAATCAGGGCTAAACCAGATCTAAACTGGGTCTAAACCAGGACTAAACTGGGACTAAATCAAGACTAAACCAGATGTACACTGAGTCTAAACCGGGACTAAACCAGGACTAAACCAGGACTAAATCAGGATTAAACCAGATCCAAACTGGGTCTAAACCAGGACTAAAAAAGGTCTTTCTTGTGTTGGACTCACGGAGGTTGCTGCAGTTCAGAGACACGACGTTCTCACACTTCTCCCTGTGACAAAATCACACTAGCGTGAGACACCAAACACACACACGCACGCACACACACACACACACACAGTAGGGGGCGCTCTTACAGTATATCTGTTTGGATGGTCTCGTTTGACACAGACACGGAGACAAACGGAGAATCTTCGGGACGAGACGCGACCGGGCTCCAGAGTCCAGACCTGAAAAACGCGCACACTTTAAACCCAGAAGCACAGAGGAATTTTTGGATTTCTCAGCGTGAGTATCATAGCAACCAAAGAGCCAATCAGGAGCGAGTCTACTGAAGGCGAGCACGTGCACACACTGTCAATCAAACCTGTTGCTAAGACTAACGGGAATGACCTCAAGGAAAGAAGGTGCCCATCAATCTGTCATTATGATGCTTTTCTGAAACCTTCAAGGCTCAAAGCGCTTTACAACAAGGAACCGCTCACACATTCACACACACATTCATACACCAGTGTTCACAGACACTGGGAGCAGGGTGGCTGAAGTGTCTCGCCAGCATTCATCTGTGGGAGCTGGACCAATATAGCCTAATTCATCAGCCAGTTTCACTTGGTGGAAACCGTCTGACCTCGCAGCATTAGGATTCGTTCACTCGACAGTAGGTAGAAACTTTTTTTTATTTTTTATTTAACCAATCGCTGCTGTTTCATCGTGACGTATGTAATGCTCCAAATCCTGTAGGAAGAAGGACAATAACGTCTTTCCCCTTGATAAAAATCACCAAATATTCCCTTTGTTCCGGCTGGGGAATTGTTGCCAAGACAGAATGTCTGTCTTTGTCTACGTCCATCTCAATGCTTTGTTTACTGTTTACGGCATGCAGGGACTCACCTGTATCCCAGGTATCTGCAGGTGAAATTGGACAGAGGCTGGCTCCACGAGGATGAACACACGGAGAAGTTTGCGGAGGTCACCTGGAACTGAAGACGCTCCGAGTCCAAGAACACTGAAGATACAAGACAAGATCTAAACCAGTTATAAACCAGGCCTAAACCAGGACTAACACAGGACTAAACCAGGAGTAAGCCAGGATTAAACAAGAACTAAACCAGGTCTCACCGCACTGGGCCTCGTCGCTTCCGTCTGGACAGTCCATGTGTCCATCACACTCAGAGTCAGCGGAAACACAGAGACCAGAAACGCACTGGAACTGTCCAACAGGGCAGGGATCTGAAGACAGACATGGGGACAGATGAGACAAGGGGACAGGTGAGACAGGGGGACAGGTGAGAGAGGGGGACAGGTGAGAGACGACAGGGGAAGAGGCAGGGACAGGTGAGGGAACAAACAGGGGATAGGTGCTCTGACCTGGTGACCCCAGATTGACCCCGGAGCTGAAGTTTGCCTTGAAACCTCGGCCCGAGGTTGAGCTGTCCGTCAAGAATATTAGGGACATCTGATTGGTCGAGGAGAAGAGGTCGTGGGTGGGGCCTCTGGTTCCAGTGAACACACCTGAGGAAAGAAAACCGGTTCAGATCCTCCCTAAACCAGTTCCTCTTGACCTGATCCTCTTTTTGACCTAATCCTCCACCAGACCTGATCCTCATCTAGACCAGACCCTCCTCTAGACCAGACCTTCCTCTTAACTAGACCCTCCTCTAGGCCAGACCTTCCTCTAGACCTTATCCTCATCTAGACCAGACCCTCCTCTAGACATGACCCTCCTCTAGACCAGACCCTCCTCTAGACCTGAGCCTCCTCTAGATCCAATCCTCTTCTAGACTCGATTATCCTCTTGACCTCATCCACCTCTAGAGTAGATCCTCGTCTAGACCTGTTCAGACCCTTCTAGATCCCTGATTTTTCCAGACCCCTCTAAGTCTGGTTGAAATCCCTGGTCCAGACCGAGCAGAGTAGAATTCGGCTCTGGTCCGTCTCTGATCTCCAAAGTGTCGTAGAACGTCTCCAGGTCCAAGTCCAGAAAATGGAGCTGAAGGTTTTTCCCCGCATCAGTGTGAAGCCTCCACAGACCTGCACAGAGACCGGGTTTAGACCGGGTTTAGACCGGGTTTAGACCAGGTTATACCAAGTTAGACAGTAGTAGTACTCACAGTTGGCCTTGTTGCCGTAATAATCGGGGTAGTTGGGCGAGCTGAAGGTGCCGTTGTCATGGAGATCGAACGGCCCTCCGCAGTCGGCTGAAAGACACAACAATCAACCAATCAGAGAGCAGAACAGAGCACAAACCCCACCCCCTGGAGCCTTAAGTCGTTGTTACTTCGTCAAAAACAGACCCGAAGTTATGTTTAATACCTGGGAGGGGGCGGGGCATACCTGGGAGAGGGGCGGGCGTGGTCGGGGGCGGGACGTTGGTGGGCTCTGGGGGGGCGGGGCCACAGGGCTGTGACGTGAAGGTGATGTCATCAAGAGCGATGTCGTTCAACCGGCCTCCATTTTTCTGAGCCTCAAACACCACCTGAAAAAAAAACAGGACTGAACCAGGTCTAAACCATGACTGAACCAGAACTAAACCACGTCTAATGCAGGACTGAACTAAGACTGAACCAGGACTAAACCAAGACTAAACCAGGACTAAACCAGAACTAAAAAAGAACTAAACCACTACTAAACCAGGGCTAAACCAGGACTAAACTAGAACTAAACCAGGACTAAACCAGAACTAAACCAGGTCTAAACCAGGACTGAACCACAACTAAACCAGAACTAAACCAGGTCTAAACCAGGACTGAACCAAGACTAAACCAGGACTGAACCAGGACTGAACTAGGACCAAACCAAGACTAAACCAGGCCTAAACCCGGCCCCCGTACCTGTGTGTGACTGTAGTTGTGTAACTGGACTTGGCCTTGATACCAGAAGTCCCCGTAGTCCCCGTGTCTCTGCAGCAGGAGCAGGTCTGGCAGGTCCGGCCGGAGCAGCAGGACCCTGAGGAAGAACACGTCTGCTCCGAACATGTGATACCTGAAAAACACGAGAGACAAACAAATGAAACAAGAGTCAAACAAACATAATTCTCTCAAACTCATTCTCTCATCGTCCTTCTGCTCTCGTCTTCTGTTGAGGTCTAAGGGGACTTCAGGCGGCAGTCTAATGGGTTTACGGGGTCAGTTGTAACAGGGTCAGACTCTGGCCTAACGATGAGTTCAGGGGCGGAGATTGCTCTTACCAGAAGGACAGACAAGAGGCGCCAGAGGATGGTCTCAGAGGAACACTCAGGATCCGGAAAGTCTTCAACCAAGACCCAGGACTGGTCGGAGTCGACACATAAAACCCTGAAACAAAATCTGGTTTAGTCCTGGTTCAGTTGTGGTTCAATCCTGGTTCAGTTGTGGTTCAGACCTGCGCTGGTCCCTGTGGTGTGGTCCTCACTGGGTCCGGTCCCTGTGGGGAACTGATCTCCTCTGGTCCTGATCCAGTCCTGGTCTTGGTCTGGGTCTCGTCTCCAGAAACACCAACCGTCCTCGAAGGTACAGCTCAGCATCTGCTCATCTGCAACACAGCACCCTGCATTTGACCCGTCCCCCAGTGTCTCTGTGTTAAACCTGCATTTGACCCGTCCCCCAGTGTCTCTGTGTTAAACCTGCATTTGACCCGTCCTCCACTGTCTTGGGCTTAGACCTGTCAGTGGGACCCATCTCTAGATCTTGAGCTGGTCTTAGTCAGGACTACCTTAGCTCCCAGAGACTAGAAGAACATTCAAACTCCACACAGACAGACTAAACCAGGGTTAAACCTAGACTAAACTGGGACTAAACCACATCTAAACCAGAACCAAACCAGGTCTAAACCAGGACTAAGCCAGGTCTAAAACAAGATTAAACCAGGACTAAACCATGAATAAACCAGGCCTAAACCAGGACTAAACTAGGACTAAACCAGAACTACACTAGGAATAAACCAGGACTAAACAAGGACTAAACCAGGGCTAAACCAGAACTAAACTAGGACTAAACCAGGACTAAACAAGGACTAAACCAGGTCTAAAACAAGATTAAACCAGGACTAAACCATGAATAAACCAGGCCTAAACCAGGACTAAACTAGGACTAAACCAGAACTACACTAGGAATAAACCAGGACTAAACAAGGACTAAACCAGGACTAAACCAGGGCTAAACCAGAACTAAACTAGGACTAAACCAGGACTAAACAAGGACTAAACCAGGACTAAATCAGGTCTAAACCAGGACTAAACTAGAACTAAACCAGGCCTAACCCAGGTCTAAACCAAAGCTAAACCAGGACTAAACCAGGACTGAACCAGGACTAAACCAGGTCTAAACTAGGACTAAACCAGGTCTAAACCAAGTTTAAGCCAGGAATAAACCAGACCTAAACCAGGCCTAAACCAGGGCTAAACCAGAACTACACTAGGACTAAACCAGGACTAAATCAGGTCTAAACCAGGATTAAACCAGGACTAAATCAGGACTAAACTAGCACTAAACCAGGACTAAACAAAGACTTTTCTGTGGCTCTCTGTGTTTGTGTTTGAATGCGGGACAAGGTCAGATGATCGGGACATGTGAGCGTAAATATAATGTAAACATAAGTACAGGGTGGGTGTATTGCGGGATAGGGTCAGAGGATCTTACTGCTGAGGTCAGTTAAATTCTCAGTGTTGAACGTGGCCCTGAAACCCCGCCCCTCTCCCAGGTCATCCGACACAAACTCCGCTGATGATTGGTCGCTCAGCAGCCACACTCTTCCTGGAGGGGTGGAGCCTGAGAGGTCAGCTGATCGGGGAGAGAGGAGAGAGCCAATCAGAGACGAGCGGGTGAGAGGACTTCCGAACAAAAGGTGAATACGAACCGATCAGCCGCCGGTTCGCTCCCACGCCCTCGAACAGCCGCAGGAAGTCCCGCCTCTCCTCCGTCTCGAAGAAGAGGAAGTCTACTCTGATTGACAGGCCTGGCTCCGCCCTGAAACACACCACCACAATAAGATCCAGTCCACATTTCATAAACAAAAGCCCTATTTGACTCCACTTGTCCTCATTAAGAGAATAAAACTGTAAAATCAACTAAGAGCAAGAATACCAATAAATAATAAACAGGTAAAAAAACATAAAAATAAAATAAAAGACACAAAGGAGCACGCGGTGTTAAAAGTCACAGAATAAAAAAACTTCCCTGGTTATATGTCTCGGCTATGTCTACGTTTATATGATGACGGTATGACCAGAAGACGCAAAAGTGGTGTCGCGTCTTCACTTTTTATTCCGCACTTAGACAAGCATTTTCGGGAGTAAATCTGCTGCATACGGTGACGCAAAAGCGTGTGGAATTGGACTGGGTGTGTTTGTACTTAAAGCAACAAGAGTGTCTTTGGATACACGGAAGTTTTCACGTCACACATTTTCATCAGCTCCTCCTTCCACAAAGTTGGCCCACCATCGACTGGTTCTCCAGGTCTCGTCCAGATCCGTCTGACTCGACTGCGATGACCTGGTGCATCCAGAATTTGACAGAGGTGATTACAGATCCTTCTCTGTTCACTAATAGTGTCTCTGCAGATTCTCCACATTTGTTGGGAGCCTCCTGTAAGTTTATTAGAGCTGGAAATGATCCGACATGTTTGTTTCTGTGTACTGTGTAGGGGCGGCAGTAGCTCAGTTGGTAGAGCATTTGCCCACTGATCTAAAGGTTGGCGGTTCGAATCCAGCTCTCAACATAAACATCACAGGTTGAGTGGTCAGATCCACTGACCCACAGGTTGGCTGGTGTGATTCCAGCTCCCACAGATGAATGCTGTCGTTGTGTCCTTGGGCAAGACACTTAACCCACCTTGCCCACAGTGTCTGCGTACACTGGTGTGTGAATGTGTGTGTGAATGGGTGAGTGGTTCCTTGTTGTAAAGCGCTTTGAGTGCCTTGAAGGTGGAAAAGCGCTGTAGAAAAATGTGACCATTTACCATTTACCATTTACTGTATGTATGTGACGTAAATGTGTACATGATCTGACCAGAGTTTTGCGTCTTGGGCAGTGTAGATGGAAACACTACGGTGGAGTGTATTTAACTTTTCCACTCTGGAGGGTGGTTTCAGCTTTTTGGGTTTTTAAGCCACAAAAACACCGTCACCGTCTAAACGAAAGACACTTCAGATTTCAGATTTGATAACTGCATTTACCTGTTTTTCAAATTTAAAATAATTATTTTATTATTTTTAGGACTGGGTATCATTAAGAAGTTGCTGATACGATACATACCTCGATACATAGGCCACGATATGATATGGTTTTGGATACAGTGCACTTTCGATTTGATACAATTCGATATGATATATTTCAAAACGATTCAATATGGTTCAGTAAAAAACTAAGGCTAAATCATAGCTGTGATACTAAATATGAAAAACGCCCATTTTACTCAAAACTGTGGATATGTCAAGTCTATCACATAAACAAGTGAACTTTCTCCAAACAAGCAATAAAACTGAAGCTCTTTCACGAAATAATCTACTAAGATAAACCAAAAAAATACTCTTGGTGATATATCGATACAGCAGCCGACGATAGCAATACTCTATCATCAAACAAATCATCAATATTTCCATATTTTTGCACAGCTCTACTTTCAATACTGATAGAGATTTGTGGTTTTACCTTCATTGAGACTCAAAAAAAAAAAAAAAGAGAGAGAGTACAGAATAATACGTGAATCAAGCTTTTATTGTGAAATACCTGAGGATCCAACGACAGGAAGTGGAGCTGCTGTAGTTCCCACTCACGGAGGAAGTGAAGGAGCCATTGGGGCCCTGGAGCAAGAAATTGCCATCGCACGACGTCGCTGTGAAGAGAGAGAAACAGTTAGGACCGTTGCCATAGCGGTTAACAATTAGACACACATTGTCTCTTTGAATGGTCCACCGTCCTCAAAATCTCTAAAACTGTGTGTCTGCGTGTGACAGGTGCTGATTTGTGACAGGTGTTACCGCAGGTGCTCTGGTTCTCGTCTGATCCATTGGGACAGTCTTTGTGTCCGTCACAGAATTGACCAATCAGAACGCAGCCTGAGCCGTTGGAGCAGCTCATGTGACCGTCCGGACACGGAACTGAAACAGAGAGCAGGCCTTAAGGGCGGAGTGCACTTTTAGTTTCACTTTTAGTTACAGAGACTTTAAGTGTGATGAGAGCAGGGTGTGGGGGGCATGGCAGATTGTAAAGTTTTGAATCAAACACAGGGGTCATTAACTTTTTTCTCTGGGGGTCACATTATCTCTCCTGACTGTGATGGGGGTCAGGGCCATATAACAGAATTGTTTGACCCTGACGACGCAGATTATATTCTTTGAAAAGCGCCGCACTTTCTTTACATATCAGACAAACTGCACGGTCCTCACACTGAACAAAAAAATAATCAGTCGTCCACTGTTCTTTGAAAACTTGGAACTCTATGTCAGCTTTTGTTGTCCTTAACTTCACTACAGAACTCTACGCATGTGACTGCCACTGTTTGATTTCGAGTTTGTCAGGTGACGAAAATTCGGTTGCAAATTCAGCAGCAAATGTAAATATGTTATATAACTATTTAAATCTAAATAAAAACACTGAATATGAATACACATTTTAAATTGAAAAAAAAAAATCAACAAAATACAAGATACAGACGTATTATTATTTACCAAAAAGTAATAAAAAAAAATAGGCCTTGACACTTTTGAGGATTGCCTCATAGGGCCAGTTCAAGTGGTGGGGGCAGAGGGGCTCAGGGGGCCATTCAGAGGGACGTGGCGGGCAGGAGTCGGCCCACGGGCCTTAGTTTGATGACCCCTGATCTAGAGGTTTTGTCCCTCTCAGAAAATAATTGTTTGCAGATTGTCTGATGTAAAGAAACCTGGGTGTTTATTTCTTATAGTTTCTGTCATAAAGAGGCACTCACCTGGAGAGGAGCTGGGGGTCACACCTGGAGTCACTGAGGTGGTGGGAGGGGTCACAGTGGTGGTGGGAGGGGTCACAGAGGTGGTGGGAGGGGTCACAGAGGTGGTGGGAGGGGTCACAGTGGTGGTGGGAGGGGTCACAGAGGTGGTGGGAGGGGTCACAGAGGTGGTGGGAGGGGTCACAGTGGTGGTGGGAGGGGTCACAGAGGTGTGGAGGGGTCACAGAGGTGGTGGAGGGGTCACAGAGGTGGGTAGAGGTCACAGGGGTGGTGGTGGTGGAGGGTCACAGAGGTGGTGGGAGGGGTCACAGAGGTGGTGGGAGGGGTCACAGTGGTGGTGGAGGGGTCACAGAGGTGGTGGGAGGGGTCACAGAGGTGGTGGGAGGGGTCACAGAGGTGGTGGTAGAGGTCACAGTGGTGGTGGGAGGGGTCACAGAGGTGGTCGAAATGGCTCCTTTGTCTGAATAAAGATAAAAATACACAAACCACATGTAAGCCTGGTTGACTTTAGAGCAACAGATGTCTCCAGCGTTTAAAGTGAACCATACTGCCCCCTGGAGGGACCAGTTCAGGGTCTGGGGCCGATAAGGCGCGGTTAATGACCAAAAATGATTGGACAAGAGAGAATGCTGAGTCAGAACAAAACTAGATTCAAGCAGATCTAATCTTTGACCAAACTCTGACATGATCTTGATTTAAACCGCCATATTTCCAGTGATGACAACTTAATATGTTGAGCTGAGAGCCTCCGCAAAACAAAACTAGTGCACAGAGAACAGGTCATAACGCCTCTGAGCTGAACCAGAGCCACTGTTACAAAAGAGAGATTTAGACACAGAAGTGAAAGACACAGAAAAAAAACCTGACAATAAACAGGGAGTTTAGTGTTTATGATTCCCTTTTACATTTATGGAGTTCACAAACTTCCAAAGCCCATTTCTCAAGACTTTTTCCACTGTTAGGATCCAACAACCACACAATTACGATGTCCAAATCCCAAAACTAAAATATGACAATATCAGAACCAGAAACAAAAGTGAAATGGTTCAAAAGACTTGAAAAGATCAACTTTGTCAATAGACAAACAAACATGGAGGTTTGACGCTCACTTTTTCGGAAAATCCTTCCCAGTATGAATTGCGCAATGACCAGAAGTCCGAAATTCCTGATGCATGTATACTAACATTAATGAAGGCACAAAAGTTTATCGTGTATGATTCTACAAAATAAAAGTTAATGTTAAAGAAAATGTTAAAGAAGAGCATGTGTTTAGGAGTTAGTAGTCGTGTTTTTTTTTTGTCTTTTTTTTTTTTTTTTTTACCCCCATTCCACACAGGAACAGGAGCAGACAGTGACAGGAGCAGACAGTGACAGGAGCAGACAGGACAGGAGCAGACAGTGACAGGAGCAGACAGTGACAGGAGCAGAGAGGGACAGGAGCAGACAGTGACAGGAGCAGACAGGGAGAGGAGCAGACAGTGACAGGAGCAGACAGTGACAGGAGCAGACAGGGACAGGAGCAGACAGGGACAGGAGCAGACAGTGACAGGAGCAGACAGTGACAGGAGCAGAGAGGGACAGGAGCAGACAGTGACAGGAGCAGACAGGACAGGAGCAGACAGTGATAGGAGCAGACAGGGACAGGAGCAGACAGTGACAGGAGCAGACAGTGACAGGAGCAGACAGGGGCAGGGGAGTGAGCTGACGAACTGAAATGTTAGTCACCTGTCACGTTCACGCTGCTCAGGTCAACAACCAATTCCGAGCCTTGGACGAGCTGAAGCCCCACCCCCAGTTGTTGCTCCGCCTCCGGGGCACTCATGGGAAGTAGGAAGCGCAGGTCAATGGTCACCACAATGCTGCCTTTGCTGGATATACCAGTTTAACATGACAGGATCAGTTATGAGCTGAACTGGTTATGATCCTGGTCTGAACCACAGACGGGATCAAAAAGTGGACGGAGTGAGCGTGACGACACCCACAGCGTCCAGCTCCAGTCAAATGAAGCTCATTGAGGCTCACGGTTACAGGAGTGAATCTGGAGCTAAACTCTGTATTATGAAGAGGAATTTAATAATGTAAAATAGCAGAATAAAACCCTCAGAATCATGTAGAGCAGGTTAATATGAACATTTTAAGACCAAAATGACGAGGCTCACAACAGTAGGTACAGAAAGAGGAGCAGCCACAGTTTTCCAGTGTAAGTCAACGGGAGCTGGAGCCAGAACGAGCCGGAAGCTTTGTCCATTTGTTGAAACCGTCTGTGGTCTGGACTCAGATCTGGTTATGATCCTGGTCTGGTTTATTGGTTCTCACCTGAAGTACAGCACGGAGCAGGATTTGAACTGGAGCCTGAGGTCACTGAGAGAAAAGGCCTCGCCCACCTGGAGGTCACAGAGAGGTCACACAGAGGTCACACAGGGGTCACACAGAGGTCAGACTGTATCTTTACAATATTCTGTCCCATCCACAGAGAAAGAGGCCAATAGGAAACAGCGTCTCTCATCTGTGGGCGGGGCGAGCACAGAACAGACGAGGAGAGAGGAGACGAGAACAGAGGAGAGGAGGAAATGAGGAGACAAGGAGACGAGTGAAGGAGGTCAGTGCTACAGGAAGTGTGCATGTCTCTGAGTATGGGTGTGTTTCTCTGACCAGCTTCTGGACGTCAAAGGCAAGAGTTTTGAACTGAGGAGACGAGGAGTTTGTGAGGTCCTCAGAGAAGTTTGCTCCTCCCGAGATCCTCAAGTGGGCCAAGAACACGCCCTCATCTGCTCCTGAAATATCAAATATTTACTATGTAATAATTTGTAATGTAGTTTAGTCTAGTTTAGACTTGGGTAATCCTGGTTTAGTCCTGGTTTATGGTTTAGACCTGGTTTAGTCCTAGTTTAGTCCTGGTTTAGTCCTAGTTTAATCCTGGTTTAGACCTGGTTCAGTCCTGGTTTAGTCCTAGTTGAATCCTGGTTTAGTACTGGTTTAGACCTGGTTTAGTCCTGGTTTAGTACTGGTTTAGTCCTAGTTTAGACCTGGTTTAGTCCTGGTTTAGTCCTGGTTTAGTCCTAGTTTAATCCTGGTTTAGACCTGGTTCAGTCCTGGTTTAGTCCTGGTTTAGTCCTGGTTTAGACCCGGTTTAGTCCTGGTTTAGACCTGGTTTAGTCCTGGTTTAGACCTGGTTTAGTCCTGGTCTGTGGTCAGATTTACCTGTCTTTTGGACGCAGGTGAAGCCGACGACGCTGAGGCCGATGGTGCAGGCAACCAGAATAACCACCATGAGGCTGAGGAGCAGCTCCAGAGACGAGAACTTCTTCATCCTCCAGAGAGAGAGAGACAGGAAACACATTTACACGGCTTTAAAGTGTTGTCATGGTGATGAGCAGAGGCAGCCACAGCTCTGTCAGTCTGGTCTGGGAGAGACTACATTATTTCTACCTCCAGTAATATGTTTGTGAATCATTTTTAGAATCACTGAGTCTGGACACGTTCTCCTTCTAAGACAAGAGAACCTTTCATTTTCACACTAAAATTCCAGCAGAGAATAAATCAAGATAAATAACTGTTGAAAAGACTGACTTCATAATCTAAACCACAAACAATATTCAAAAAAATTAACTTAGTTCAACATTTGTCACGTGATTTTCTGCATAAACCTGATGATGTTTATGTTTTTTTCCAGCTGGGGCCCCTGTTATTCAGAAGATCACCCGGGGCTCCTCTGATCATATTTTACACAAATATAAAAGAGTGAGTCATGTTTTCTCCTGAGATAATATGTTAAAACAAATTTTCCTGTGGGTTTAATTCTGATAAAGACATATAAAACATATCTCACCTGTGTCAGAGGAACGCTCAGGCAGAGTCTTCAAACACAACGAACACCAGAGCAGAAGCAGGTTTGGTCCTAAATACACCACATATAAACGTTTACCTGTCTGCACCTGTCTGCACCTGTCTGCACCTGTCTACACCTCTTTAAATCTGAATATTCTCTTTGTTGTGTTCTACATGGAGGAAACGTGATTGCACCTGTCGCTGAGCTGATCTGTGAACACGAACCTCGGACCTGTCGCTTTTATCTGCTGTCGTTATCGTCGTGGCGCCGTAAACTCAACTGTAAAATCATCTGGAATAATAATAACAGCCCATAAATCATCTGAAAAATCATCTGTAAAAGCATAAAAATCAAACCACAGGAGCTGTTGAGGGAGCAGCGGCTCGGGCACAAAGCGGCCTCCATAAAACCAGAGGATTTCCTGTTCAGTCCCTGCTCCAATAAAGAAATGTTGCTGTTGTGTCCTTGAGCAAGACGCTTCACCCACTCACCTGTGTGAATGTATGTGTGTGGTGACAAGAGGCGCAGATTAGCTGCCACATTTCCATGAGTCTGACCCAGGGCAGCTATAAAAGGAGAGAAGGAAGCAAGGGACCAAGGAAGCAAAGAAGCAAGAAACAAAGGTCTACTGTTTAAAGATTTTTTAAGGTTTAAGGTGATGGTAGAATTTACTGTCCTCTGCATTTGACCCATCCTCCAGTGTCCCGGGGTTAAACCTGAGCAGTGGGACCTTCTCCAGATCTTCTCCAGGATCCTAATCAGGCCCAAACACAAACACAAACACAAACAGATGAGTGCAGAAAGACATGGAGGCAGCTGATCTGAGGATTTCATGTGTTTGTGAAGAGATTTAACTGTGTTTTTATCCAAATAAACCTTATCAAACTTTCTTTGGTGACTCCATTTGACTTCAGGGAAGGAGAGTTTCACTGTGAGAACATTTCACAGTTTTTGGAGTCAAACATAAAAAACAAAGTCAGGTTAACAATCTGTGTGTCATTCGTTCATTCGTTTTTCAATATAAAACCAAAAGTAAGAAAACTGAAAAAACAACAGTTTTCTTCATTATTTGTCGCCAAAACCAAAATGAAAAAATGGATAAAGGCTGTTTCCCATTTCTGTGACTTAAACTGTGATGCTGGACTTTTGAACTGAACTGAACCAGGACTAAAACATTTTCAGCCCTGGTCTGGTCCCAGCCTCAGTCCCGGTCTCAGTCCCAGTCCTGGTCCCGAACTCAGTGCTGGTCTGGTCCCTGTAGTCCTGGTCTCAGTCCCGGTCTGATTCGGGTCTGGTCGGATCTGGTTTAGTCCTGGTTCAGTCTGGCATCGCAGTTTAAGTCACGAAAACGGGAAACGGTCATTATCCTTTTTTTTTCATTTTTCATTTAAACACAAAATCAAAAAATGAAAAAACAAATCATCAGTTCTTGATCAGTCACATCAGTTATCAGTTTTTTCATTTTGGTTTTAGAGACAAATAATGAAAGAAAATAGTTGTTTTTTCATTTTCTTATTTTTGGTTTTATATTGAAAAACGAATAAAAGAATGACAAATGGACTGTTAGCACAAGAATGACCCTGACCTCGGGACCCTGCTTCTGTGAGGCGAGTGTGGCGCCCCCTGTTGGCTGCACTCACATTTGAACAATGAAGGCCGTTTTATAGTTCTGCGTCGATTCAGCGTACACTGCCGCTGTCGCTCTGTCACCATCGTTTTTGATTTATGGATCTGTGTCGAGGTCTGTGTGCCATGAAATAATTCACTGCTATAACATTAGGAGGCTAAGATTTAAAAATGTTGTTCATGTTTACAAAATGAAGCGGGAAAGTGGAGTACTGGAAATGTATGTAGAGCGGATGTAGAGGCGACCACGCTTCATTCACGCTTACAAACCAGGAAGACGTTTGGAAAGATGCAGTGACAACTTCCGGAAGGCTCTGTTTGCAGTCATAAATCTACGGAAGCCGGGAGGGCTCATTACAAACGCAAATGCTGCAACAAATACAAACGCGACAACACAACAAAAAGCCACAACAAACCAAAAAAAGCCACAGCACACCAAAAAAAGCCACAATGGAAGTGACCGCAGGATTTTCCGACGGTCAGACAGTGACATCGATCCTGGACACAAAACAATAAATTACTTTTACTCATGTTTCCAACTTCCTTCAGTTCTCCATTCCTTTACTTTTCACGTTCTTGTTCTTCTTCAACTTTTCCCATTCACTTCCCGCTTGATCCTTTAACACACCGCCTCATCTGTCGGAAAATAGAGTCCCGCAGTCACTTCCTTTGCGGCTTTTTGGGTTGTTCTTACGTTTGCATTTGTGTTGTGGAGTTTGCATTTGTGTTGTGGAGTTTGCATTTGTGTTGTGGAGTTTGCATTTGTGTTGTGGAGTTTGCATTTGTGTTGTGGAGTTTGCATTTGTGTTGTGGAGTTTGTATTTGTGTTGTGGAGTTTGTATTTGTGCTGTAGAGTTTGTATTTGTGTTGTGGAGTTTGCATTTGTGTTGCGGCATTTGCATTAAAATAGAGTCCTGTGGTCACTTTTGTTTTGGCTTTTTGGTGTGTTATGTGTTTTTGTTGTGTTGTGGTGTTTGTGTTTGTCATGAGCCCTCCCGGCTTCTGTATAAGACTGACCAAAATCTAGGAAAAATTTGAAAATGTCCCAGTTTTCTTCATCTCCATGTCATGCCAAACTCAAGATGATTCCAAACAGCACATACGTATGCGGTCTTCATTTTACCACTGATCACATTTACTGAAGATGCATGGGTCTGATAAGTCGGGCGGCTAACCTAGTGTCGGGAACTTCACTGGAAGTTGTTATCGCATCATTCCAAACGTCTTCCTTGTTTATGACATAACGTGAATAGAGCCCATTATCTGCGTCAGTTTAACACGTAGTTACAAAATTTTCGGTCACGTGCGCCGTCGCTCTGCGGAGGGGATTCCAACGACGTGTACGATTTGACGCCCGACCATAAATTGGGCTTGACAGTTTTAGTTATTGAGCGATGAGTCCAAATGTCACTGGATCGATACAGAAATGACCTGATGCCCTCCTGCAAATCACACTTTATCATTTAGAAAACACACTATCATGTTTACTTGAATAAAACGGAGCGGGTTTTAGGGTTAATGGAGTTACAGCACATTTACAACCACACGAGTCAAAGGTGAGTTAAATAAGACAGTATTTGTTCATTTATAAATCATTAATTATTAATAATGAATGATAATTTGAATACAATGTTAATGACTTCCTGCTTAAACGTTCCAGAGGTTTCCTCGTCACAAACGGACCTGGAGTTAGAGAGTTTTGTTTCGTTCACTCATGTTTAACACAAAAACCCTGCAGATTTAGGAGTTTATCTCTGAAACAAAAACAAAACAAAACACTCTGTTCCACTTTGTGATGTCATGTGGTGATACAAGAAGTGCTTTACTGCGTTTTTAAACTCCACACACCTTCACTAGAATCAATTGGATCATTTCAGACCTTAACAGAATTGTCTACAGAACTAAAGGTAAAAGGAGCAACTTGAACACTACCACTTCATGACATCACAAGGTGGAACAGAGGAGGATCACGGTAAAAACAGAATAGAGAAGTGGGCCAATGAAAGGTAAGGTTCACTTTAATGTCCCGTCCTTCAGTTTCTCTGGGTTTTGCTCCACACAGACACATTGAGAACATACAAGCTCCACACAGAAGAGCTGGGGAGTTGAACCGGGGACCCTCTGACTGTGAGGCGAGGTGCCTGGAGTTGCGTGTGTTTATGAGGACTGATGTTGATGGATGAGTTTATGGAGCATTACAGTCAGATTAGAGCAAAGTTTATCTGAGACTGAAGTCCACCTGGACCCACCCAAACCAGGACTAAACCAGGACTACACCAGGACTAAACCAGGACTAAACCAGGACTAAACCAGGACTACACCAGGACTGAACCAGGACTAAACCAGTACTAAACCAGACCTGAACCAGGACTGAACCAGGACTAAACCAGGACTGAACCAAGTCTAAACCAGGACTACACCAGGACTACACCAGGACTGAACCAGGACTAAACCAGTACTAAACCAGACCTGAACCAGGACTGAACCAGGACTAAACCAGGACTGAACCAAGTCTAAACCAGGACTACACCAGGACTACACCAGGACTGAACCAGGACTACATCAGGACTACACCAGGACTGAACCAGAACTACACCAGGACCGAACCAGGACTAAACCAGGACTGAACCAAGACTAAACCAGGACTACACCAGGACCAAACCAGGATTACACCAGAACTAAACCAGGACTGAACCAGGACTACACCAGGATTGAACCAAGTCTAAACCAGGACTAAACCAGGAGTAAACCAGGTCTAAACCAGGTCTAAACTGTGTGTATGTGTGGTTCAGAGCAGAAGCAGGGTCTCGGGGTCCAGAGGGAGTCCCAGGCAGTCCTCTGCTTGTGGGGCGGGGACTGTCTGGACACTCGGGGACCAGAGTGGACTCGTCTCTGTCTCTTATCACAGGAGAGCTAGAGTCTCTGCAGAAACAACTCTGACACCCACAGCACACTGAGGACACAAACCCAGAGACACACAAGAGGCTCTATTCACACTTACTGGAAGACCTTTAGGTACAAACTCTGTTCATGAGATAAAACTGTGCATTCAGCAGCAACGTCTTCACAACCTGTCAAAGCTTTCCATTGTCGTGTCTTCAACATTAGAGATGTAACAATAACCGAAATATCATGATATCGTATTGTCAGAGTTCTCACAATAATATCATGGACCATCACAATATATCAAATTACAAGTCTCTTTGCTTAAATGAAGAGTTCTGGTGCAGCAATAGGTAAAAAAGACAGAGAGAACTACATAGACCATGATCCTTTGCTCCATTTCAGTGCAGACGACAAGAAGAAATCAGTTCTAACACTTTTAAGTCTTAGTTCTTTGGATTAAGTCTTGTCAACGCATTTTAAAAGGAAAAAGAAGCATATTAACAGTTTAGTTTGACTCCACATAAATATCCTACCATGAGAAGTATATATCATGAAAATAACACACAGAGAGATCTGGATATTGTTACATCCCTAATTGTGACCTTTCCCACGATATCGTGAGCTTTCCCACGATATCGCAATAAATATCGTACCGTGAGGTTCATACTGTGATGATATCGTATCATGAGACTGGGGTATTGTTACACCTCTATTCAACATCACTTACAGGCAGCTGGTTGGAACCATTAATCTGCACAACATAACATTACAATGACATTTTTTAAATGTATTAATTTATTTTTTATTAAGTTAGACAAATTATAATACACCAATGAATAGACAATTTATATATAAAAAAAGAAAGAATACAGTGACATCTGGATGAAAAAAAGGGCAATTTTCTCAGTTTTCCAAGATTTTGTCAGAGTTACTACATCCAATAGATTCTTCCGGAAGTCCTCATCCACATGCAGACACGCTGAGGACAGAGGACAGGGACTGAGCAGTTAACTGAAGAAAGCAGCAGACCCTACCAACCCTGTCAACCCATGTCAGACAGAGGAGTGAGAGTGTGGAGTGGAGATGGATCTTGAGTCTGAGCATGAACATGTGAGTGTGCAGGGGGAACTCTGTGACGACGCTGGGGGCAGTGAGTGTCCGACAATCAGCAACACCACTGCACGGCTGCGGGGGTTCGTCTGCGGGACCCCAAACTTTGACCTCCCGCCGGGGTGTGGAGCCAAGCCTCTCCTCCTTGTGGTGTTGGAACCTACAGTTTATTAACATGTTTGAGATGAGGAGCAATTTACGTTCAGCAGTTTAGTTCATGGTAAACTTGGTCTACATTCCATCCAATAGTTAAGTCTACTTACGATCGGATCTTTTTCTTTGCATAAAATATTTAGAAATTGACGTGAGATTAATATCCACCGCGGCTGAATTGTTTTGATAGTGGATAATGGATATTTGACTCATTCAAAGACATTTAACTTGTAATACATATCACAGATTTTTTTCAAACAACTTGTGACGTCTTCATAATCATCCAGGGTTTATATCACAAGACTAATTATTAAAAAAAGAAAAATAAAATCACACTGAGCTGATGATGATATGATTTAGTGCATATTTGTGGATTCAACACTTATTTAACTTGTGTACAGATGTGGACAAAATTGTTGGTACCCCTCAGGAAAGAAAAATCAACAATGGTTAGTGGTCAGTGTTGTATTTGTAGTTTTCCTCACTGAAGTATTAGGAGAGAAAAACCCCTGACCACCAGAGGGCAGTGTGGCTTGAAGCAGATCAGCTTCACGTGGATGCAGTAGAGGCCGGTGTTGTGCTGGTGCTGTGTCGGGTCTGCGCAGGTTTGTAGCCCACTGTTATTTTATACTTTATTGTCCTGGAGGATTGTGCCAAACACTCGCGCGTAATTGGCACCGGCCTCAAACTGTGCCAAAGCGCGCACTGACACTTCTCCTGCTGCGTTTTGCTCTGAAAGGTTGTGACACTTGCGCACGTGGGAAGTCTCCTGTGGTTTTCAAAGTGTAGTGCGCAGTTGTTGTTTTTTTTTAGGTTTTCTACTGCGATATGTCCTGCGCATGCTTGAATTGTTAAAATGTATTGTCTAAAGTTAGTTCACGGTCCGTTCTGGGTTTGTCCTGTTTAAATTTGACTTAAAATCTCCGAGTGTGTGTCTGTGTGTTTGTCTCATAGAGTGTGTATTTTCTCCATGGAGATGTCATTTGTTCACCTGGAATGCTGCACAGTATTGAATTAAACAAATATATCTCACTCATTATTTTAATTACATTTTAAAAAAATGTCTACATTTTTGGGATGAAAGAATTGTTAATTGAGCAGGCTTGCCTCTCCACAGATCTAACCTATAACCGCATGTCACCTGCTTATCAAGTGTCCATGGAGATTGAGAAGTTTAATGCCATACTGCAGAATAACTACTCCATGGAGATTAGAAGGTGGTGGATCCTTTAACCAGAGGAGTTACAGAGAAGTTACAGCGCATGTTGCTTTTTGCTTAGTTTTGTCTTGGGTCAGTGCTGTTATTGTCTATTACGCTTTTTTAAAATTTTAACTCATTCTGATAAATTAGAATATTTAAAGGGCCAATATTATGCTATTTTTAGATCTATGCTATAATGTTTCTTGATCAGAAACATACCTTGAGTTTTGTTTTGTTTTATTCATACATGTTTAACATACATACCTGCATATTTAGGCTGAGTTCTTCTCTCAAACAGAAAATACTCTGCTCCGCCTTGTGATGTCATGTGTTAACACAAGAAGTGCTCAACTGTATTTTTAAACTCCATCCACCTCTCTCTGCTGAACTAAAGGTAAAAGGAGCTGTTAATTTGAAAAGTACCACTACATGACATCACAAGTTGACACAACATTTTGAGCTTTGGAGACAGGTACACAGTAGTAATACAAACAAACAAACACAAATCCAGGTCTGTTTTTATGGAGGCAGCAACATTCTAACATGGCTTAAAGCTCATAAAAATGTATTTGGCGTAATATAGGATATTTAAAAGTGCATTATGTAGCTTTTCAGGTGGAAATGTTATTGCTTTATCTGAAATGTTTCACAGTATAGCGTTTAATCTTTCTATCATCACCGAGACTGAACCAGACCAAGTTACAGGTCAGATCTGTGGAGAGGCGACTCACAGTCAGAATGCCTGTTCCAATCTCATCGGTCTGTGGAACATAAATGGGCGTTTATTCCCTAAATGGGAATGCCTCCCGTTTTCTTCTTCTCTTTCTGCGAGGAACTGTCAACATCCGGTCTAACAAATATGTCAGAGTTGTAGATTGACGTTAGCATTGAACCATAGACATATATAGATGTATTTATGTCTATGATTGAACCGAGTAGTAAAAGCAGGAATTTCAAGTTTAAACGCTACACCGTCACCAAACGTTACGTTGTAAAAAAGTTACATAGTGCACCTTTAAATATAAGTGGTTTGCTTTAAGTTGTGTATTTATTTTATTTTTCACTGTCGTATTCTAATGTGTGTGGTGTCCTGCAGGTGATGATGCCAAAGAAAAGCAAAAACGCAGTTAAAAGAACCAATGGCACAGCGGAGGAGGAGGAGACTGTTCCCTCTAAACGTGCCGCCGAGGTGGAGTGCCCTTTGACCTTTCACAGCCCCGCGGAGCTCTTCGCCAGCCTCATCGCCCCCTTGAGTCCAGAGCAGTTTTTCTCTGAGTACTGGGAGCAGAAGCCGGTGCACCTGCGCAGAGATGAGCCCGGGGTGGCCCAGTATTACTGGTCTCTGTTCAGCCTCTCCGACCTCCCCGACCTCTGCTCGCATGACCTGGAGTTCTACCGCGATGTGAACGTGGTGCGCTGCATCAACGGCAAGAAAAAGGTCCTGAACAAAACGGGGAAAGTGAAGTATCCAGCGCTCCACAAACTCATCACGCAGAACAAGGCCACGGTTCAGTTCCACCAACCACAGAGATTCAAGGTCAAACTCTAAATTATGTCAAAGGGCCCATGCTAAGCTTTTTCTGATCTGTTATAATTGCTTGAGTAGTCCTTTATTATTTGTTACACCTTGTGATGTCATGAACCAGCCGTTTTCAAATTAACAGCTCCTCTTAATGCAAGTTCAGTAGAGAGAGGTGTATGATGTTTAAAAATACAGTGGAGCACTCCTGTATTACCACATGATATCACAAGTAGCGTTTTCAGGCCAACAGAGAACTGTGCCAGTGCCAGTTCCTGCACATAATCTTGAACTTGAATCTTGACTACGCCAAAAATCAGAGCATTAGGGAACTGAAAAGTTGGTTCCCGGCAAGTAAAACTTGTTTTTTCTAAGCAAACAGTGACGACACAGTGGACATCAGCAGGTTAATCCAAGTCACATGTGGGAAAATAAACAAACAAAGAAAACGTGTGTGTGGAAAATGGTGGAGAAATCAAGAAAAAAGAAGATTGTGCAGTGGGCAGTGGAGGAGACCAAATATTTGCGAAGGTTCTCTCTTTGGATTGGGCGTCACTGCAGAAGTTGTAGTAGAGCTTAGCACAGAAAAATCATGAATTGTATGAGTACAAAAGCTCACTGGTGTCGGTGATGCGATCCATTATTATTTTTCTTGCTGTGACATCTGTTTTTGTACGACCTGGTGGCAAATCCACACCCTCTGTCGATGACGCATCATAGGTTCACTTAAATGGTTTAAACGCGGGTCGTTCACCATTGAAAACCAGTGTAACTGTTGCAGGAACTGACACCGTTCTGAAAACGCCTGAAAACAGCAAAGGTGGAACTCTGTGTTTTCAGTTTGAGAGAAGAACTTTAAACCCTAAATTTGCAGGGTTTGTGTGTTAAACATGTGTGAATGAAAGTTAACTGCTCCTTTTTACCTTTAGTTCAGATGAGATGTGAAATTCCAGTCATCCACATGATTCTAGTGAAGGTTTGTGGAGTTTAAAAACACAGTGGAGCCCTTCCTGTATTACTGCATGACTTCATAAGGTGCAACAGTGTTTAAGAGAAGAACTCAGTCTAAATATGCAGAGTTTCTGTGTTTAATGTGTGAAAACAGAGCAAAACTCCAGGTCTGCTTGTGATTAAGAAACTACATTATAACATGTCAGAAAACAGCGTAATTTGGGCCCATTTAAAATCACAGAAATGTCATGTGAAACTTGCTGTTGCCGTAGACGATCAGTCAGACTTAACAGTTCTTGGTGCGTGATTTCAGGATGAGCTGTGGCGCGTGCAGGAGCGTCTGGAGAGTTTCTTTGGAGCTTTGGTCGGCTCCAATGTTTACATGACCCCAGAGGACTCCCAGGGCCTCCCCGCGCACTATGACGACGTGGAGGTAACACGGACCAAAAAACAGAACTGAAATAGGAATTAAATCAGACCTATTCTGCAAAATCAACTTTTCAGACCTTTTAGTCTTGTTTTAGATGTTTTCTCTCACCATTTACTCAACGAAGTTGTTGAGTAAATGGTGAGAGAATTGCTTATTTTTAAGACACCGTATTGCGATCAACTCCTGTTTTCACCGCCGTCGGTACACGGCCACTGTTTTGTGCTGACATCGCTCTGTAATCGTATTTTCTTAATTGGTGATACACATAGGGCAGCGTCGCGTCGTCATTTTGGTCCAAATATAAAAAAAAACCAAGCATGACATTTTGGGCACTGTGTTTTTCTAAAGCGGAAGTCAGGGCACTTGTTTCTTTTATTAAGTCGTTTTAGATCAATATTGCGGTTTAAAATTTGCAAATTATAACAGAATGATCCACGGGTGTCATAGATTATAGCTATATAAAAGACAAGCACAATATTTGTTCTTTAAAAAAAAAAAGGAAAAAAAAAGATGAACTTTTTTTTCTCATGTTGATCAATCACAGTTTTCAATTCTTTTTTTGCCTCATCAAAAACGCGTAAATATAAAAGGAGCTGTACCTGATTATTATTTATTTTATTTGTATAGAAACATGAAAAACTTTCATAGTTTCTAAGCACCTTTCACGACTTTTGCTGTCACGATAAAGCCAACAACAACTAGCATGTTAACGCACATTTCCAGATTCTCGAACAATACAACTCTTTACAGACTGAAAGATAGACACTTTTATTGATCCTGAGGGAAATTCAGGTTTATCTACGGGGGACCCACCTGTGTGTGTCTGTGTCAGGTGTTCATCCTGCAGCTGGAGGGGCAGAAGCACTGGCGCCTGTACACCCCCACGGTCCCCCTGGCCTCAGACTACAGCCTGGTGCCCGAGGACCAACTGGGCAGCCCCACCCATGACATCCTGCTCCAGGTATGTACTCACACATGTGCAGAAGATGTGATTATGACTGTGATATCGAGAGAAGGTATTGTAAACAGTATTGTATGAATTAGAAGTAGATATTTAGCAGAAAGAAATGCCATTGGATATGTAAGGATTGTGTGTAGATTCAAAATGCATCTTAAAATGCAAAGATGAAATGTGATCTTTTTTCAGGAAGGAGACTTGTTGTACTTTCCCAGAGGAACGATCCACCAGGCCAACACTCTGCCCGGACACCACTCCACCCACCTGACCCTCAGCACCTACCAGAACATGTACGGCTGTATATAACAATTACTTTTTCTAGTACCTTACCACTTAGAATTATTTTTTTCATTGTTGCAATAGCAGCACTTTACTATTTTTCAAACATTCCACTTTTCTGACGTGAATAATATTAATGTGACAGCCTATTATACTTTGCGCTCCCATATATCATAAGAGACGGTGGGAAAATGTCGTAACTGAACCATGGGAAACTAGCCAGGCTGGTGCCACCTAGTGCCTCCACTCAGTTTTATTTCTCTCTAGTGACTAGGTCAGGAATCAAAATACACTAGACAGTTCGCAAAACCCCGGAAGTGTGAGTCCAGGCACCAGACAAACAGTGAAGAGACAGACATACTGTGTTGCAACAATTCACGAGATCGAGGATTTAAAGCTAGAACAAAGAGAATGTTTAGTGAATTTTATCAAGGGGAAAGATGTTATTGTCCTTCTTCCTATGGGATTTGGGAAAAGCTTAGCCCCCTTAGGGGTGTGTTACATACGTCACGAATAAATAGCAGCGATTAGTTAAATAAAAAAGTACCCACCTAACGTTGAGCAAACTAATTCTAACGCTGCGAGGTCACACGGGTTCCATGAAATGAAACCGGCTGAAGAATCAGTCTGATGGGAAACAGTCATGCATTTTAAAAGAGAGAGCAAAGAGAGAGTAGATAATCTGCGGAGAACACCATGTATGATGTGTCGGAATAGTGATACTATAAAAAAGTGTCGTAATACCGGCATGTCTAAATAGAGACGTGTCGGAATAGGCAGCAGACACCGTTCACAGAGGTGCTTCTGGCTCCATCGGCAGTGACTCCAGTTGACTTTACATTGAAAAATTGTCATCCCTCTGTATGTGAATGCTGCTGTGAGCCTTATCATTTTGGTCTTAAAATCCGCTCTACATGATCCTGGTGTTATTGATTTTGGTATAACTGCTGCATCGTGAGCTTCATTTGAGTGATGTCAAACTCCTTTAGTTCACTTCTATAAAGTCTATGAACGTACCGCCACCAACCAGAAATTGTAGCCTTATACCACCACCTCCTAGAACAGAACCACTAACCTCCTTCGAGTTTGAACAGGAAAATCGAGCAGCAGTCAGTTATTGAGTAGGTCAGAACATGCTGTGGTGCTGCCCTCTGCTGGAGATGACGAGGTTTCTCTGCTGCAGGTCCTGGTCAGATCTGCTCCTGGATGTTCTTCCTGGGTTCCTCAGTGAGAGCAGCAGAACTGACACACACCTTAGACAGGGCATGCCCAGCAGGGTTTTACTGGTAAGATTTATCATTCTTAAAGTGAGCTCTGTATTCTCAAATTGCATTACAGCGCAATTCAAAATTATTCTGTATCATTAACATGTCAGAAAGCCAAGTGAACACAAGACTAAAATGTGTAAATGTGGGAGATGGTTGTGTGTTGTGTTTATAAACTGGCCCTGTGTTGCAGGGGGGCTGTGATAACGCGGGCCTTAGGAATCAGATGGCCGCTCGCCTGCGCCACCTTGCAGACAGAATTGAGACGGGCACCGGGGAGATGTGCTCTGCCAGTCTGAAGAGGGACTTTATCATGAACAGACTGCCCCCACACTGCCCAGAGGAGCAACTCAACCCGGGTATGTCCACTCACACTCATTGTCTCTCTACTGTGCTACACGACCACTTTCAAATCGTCTTTGCCTCAAAACCTGTCAAACTGTTGTCCCAGTTTACAGCAGGTCAGCGGCTACAAGGTGTTCAGGTGCTTCAGTAATTTAGCAGAAGCACTTAATCTTTGCAGCTATAATTACTAATAGGGTCATTCCACGCCAAATCTCCGAATGCGCCCAATCGACCATCTCGGATTTGACTGAAAAAATTCTAGGAGGTTCACACACTTTCCAGTAAGAAAATCCTAAATTTTAGCTCCTAACTCCTTATAGTTTTGTCATTAACATAAAAAATATTTTGTCAACTTCCCCCTGACCTGTTTTCTTTTCCGAGGAGCCGCTTTCAGACTGCAAAAACAGACAGTCTACTCTTTCTAAAACAGTCCATTTTATGTTGGTGGGTGCTGTCAGTTTTTTGGTTTAACATGGTAAAGATGGAACCAAATATACATATATATATTTTTCCATTTTGAACATTTAATGTCTTGTAGACGTTCATCACAGAGGCTCAGTTTTAAAATAAAGTCCACAATGGCGTGTGTGGGAAGGCTTATGTTCAATATCAAACCTCTGTCTTTGAAACTGCACTTCCCACAGTCCTTCAAAGACGCCCTCAGATTTGAAGAGGAGAATTTTCGAGGTAATTCAAGCCCCCAGAAATCTGTGATAAATCAAAAAAAGTGTAAAATTGACAAATTTTTAACCCTTGAAAATTTGAAGGACCGACCTTCAATAGTTTTTTAGATACAACAATCTGAAAGTGGCTCCTTGGAAAACTCAAAACAGGTCAGGGCAGAGTTCACAAAATATTTTTAAATGACAAAACTAGAAGGAGCTGGGAGATAAAATTTGGGTATTTTCCTGTTGGAAAGTGTGTGAACTTTCTAGAATTTTTTCAGTCAAATCTGAGATGGTTGGTGTGGTGGTGTGGAATGACCCAAAAAAACACAATCATACATATGTTTGGGCAAAAGTGTGGTTATAAGCAACTCAATCATCAGCAGACTCATTTACATTTTAACATCTTTACAGTAACATTTAACATTTTATTCAAGAATATAAATATTTTTTGTCACATGTGTGTTTCAGTGGGGAGACTGCCCCAGCTCCACGACACCGTGTCCCTCACCTTCAGAGAACACGTGCTCCTCACAGTGGAGCCCAAACACAGGACCACGGTGAGTTCAGTCCACCTCTGCCCCACCTCTGCCCCACCTCTGCCCCACCTCTGCCCCACCTCTGTCCCACCTCTGTCCCACCTCTGTCCCACCTCTGTCCCACCTCTGTCCCACCTCTGTTCCACCTCTGTTCCACCTCTGTTCCACCTCTGTTCCACCTCTGTCCAACCTCTGTCCAACCTCTGTCGACCTCTGCTCCTCTCTGCTCTTTCACCAGACAAGACTGCGTTCAAATTCTAAAGAGTCGTGAACACAGTTTACTTTTTTAAAAGGGACAATCTGGAATTTGGACATAGGAGCTCATTTCCTCATGAGCCAGAGTGTCAGAGACATGTGGAGATACTTTAAAAAAAAAAAATTCCATCCAGTCCTGGTATTCGCAGAGGTTGCTGGTGCTAGACTAGTGCATGTCAATGGTCATAGTTTATCCTGCCACTAAAAACAGTCTTACCCACTCCACAAAACACCCGAACCAAATCTATTATTACACCAGACTGTCCATGTGAATGTCTGTGTTGATAGAATCATGTTTGAAATAAAACTAACCTTGCATTGCATGAATCGTCGCATCGTTGAGGGACTATTTTCTCAGCAGCAGCGGAATTTTACTTGGCTGCTAAGATAGGTGCTAGGTGATGTCATTCCGCCGCCGCCGAGCTTTCTATCAGGAAGTACAACTCACTGCTGCTCAGACATAAATCCTTCAAATGGAAGGTTGATTTACTTCTGAAGTTATTCTATCAACACAGACATTCACATGGACAGTCTGCTGTAATAATAGATTTGTTTCAGATGTTTTGTGGAGTGGGTAAGACTCTTTTTAGTGGCAGAAGCGACCTCTGCAAATACAAGGACTGGACGGAATATTTAAAAAAGTGTCTCCACATGTCTCCAACACTCTGGCCCATGAGGAAATGAGGTCCTATGTCCAAAATTCTGGACTGTCCCTTTAAAATAATTGTATGTAAGATTTAGATTTCAAATTCCATAGGCTTGTCCTATGTGTGCCTCCAGATACGAGGTAAACGTTAGTCAGTGCTTGTGCAACCTTCAAGATTGATAGCTAATCTTACAATCACAGATCACAGTACAAATTTACCGTAATAAGCAGTGGATTTTAGTTTTTATGATACACACAGTCTTTTCTTTCACCTGTGGTAAATGTACCATGAGGACGCCTGGTGGAGCTGTGAGGCGAGAGTTCTATGCTCAACCACTGTGCTGCCTAATAATATGCTTTTCGGCACTTTTTAATGCTACCTAACTCTCCTCTAATATTATAGGGATATAATCTACACCTGAGAGATCTAGAGCTATTTGTCTGAAGATGTTTGAGAAGAAATAAAAGGTCATAACGTTTGTAAAACAGACTGCTGTATGCTGTTGCAGGACGAGAGCCCGGAGATGGCTGTGTTTGTCCTGCACTCTCTGAGGAACCAGAGGAGCCACCACATGATGAGTCAGGGGCCCCAGGAGAGTGAGGGGCCTGAGGACGAGGAAGGCCTGCATGTCTCTGCTGTAAGATCTCTGCAACACACACTTTAAATAGTACACAAAATCAAAGGCTGGTTTAATGTTTTGTCTTTCAACTTATTTTCACTTTAAGCTATAAATCAGATGTTATGTCCATATAGTTTGCTACCCAAGTAAGAGTAACTTAAAGACAGTTTTCTCAAATATGTTTTTACACTTATTTGAGTAATGTCTTGGCCCACTACTTTGTACTTCTACTTAACATTAGTCTTACTTGAGTTAAGTTTTTGGCTACTCTACCACCACTGCCACTAAGCCATGTGTTTGTTGCTGACTTCAGTGATGGTTTATGGGTTTAAAAACTGTGCAGTAGACTTCCATAGTTTTATCTATGACGAAAAGATGAAGTTAAACATTTGTGAATCATACAGTATGTTTTTATTGTGTGCTATGATTTCCAGGGCTTGCAATTCCCTCTGTCCCACCTGGGGGCGCTGCAGCAGCTGCAGAAAGAGGAACAACTGCCTGTGACTGATCTTCTACTTCCTGGGCCAGAGGAGCAGCTCAGCCTGGTGGTGGCGCTGTGGAGCGAGAGCCTGCTCAAAGCACTTTAACAGACACTCAAATAAATTAACTGTGAATGAGTCGCTCTCTGGTCCATCCTCTTTAATAAACCTGTCTGTTGAGTCTAATATCCAACTTCTCTGAGACATGGATGATCTGGTTGACTAATCTTTCAGCCTGTGAATGAACTGTGGGTAGTGTAGGAAAGGTATGTAGTCCTGGCTGACCAGGTAAAAAATGTCAGTGTGATGCTTCATTCGTCCAGGAGTGGTTCAATGTAGAGAATGTTTCTTCTGTGGTCACCTGGACTTTTACAATTACCACTGATGAAACTTTTAGTAGTATTACACTACAGATCTTCAGCCACTATACTGATCTAAAGCAGCTTAATAATGGAAACTCATTCCTTGATGTTCTGTTAAATTGTAGATTTACATGTTTTTATATAATACCTAGTCAGTATGTGATGGGTATATGGCCCATTTAAGACTCAAGCCTCACTGGGGGCAAATATGGATCAATTTCAATAATACGGTTGGAACCCCTCCATAGTATGCAATTGTGATCTTTAAACCTCTAAGTTACACACGTTTACACAAACTTTTTCTAATACTTTAGACAGTATTTCACAAAATAAAGGCGTTTTCCTTCATAGCGAAATTTACACTTTAGAGTCAAACTGAAAAACAAATGAACAAAAAATGTCAAACTCGCATCAGTTTAACGTAAGGACGTCACAATTTCGAATTCTATTGGTGTAAAAAAATGGCCCGCCCTGAGACCGTCTTCTCCAACGTCCGCATAGTCTGCATAAAAGGAGCGGGGCAGCGCGCAGGTTGATCAGTTACATTTTTAACGAAGAAAAAGTGAAAATGAGTGGACGTGGTAAGGGAGGCAAAGGACTCGGAAAAGGAGGCGCCAAGCGTCACCGTAAAGTTCTTCGTGACAATATCCAGGGCATCACTAAGCCCGCTATCCGCCGTCTGGCTCGCCGCGGTGGTGTGAAGCGTATTTCTGGTCTGATCTACGAGGAGACCCGCGGTGTGCTTAAGGTTTTCCTGGAGAACGTGATCCGTGACGCCGTCACCTACACCGAGCACGCCAAGAGAAAGACCGTGACCGCCATGGACGTGGTGTACGCCCTGAAGAGACAGGGCCGCACTCTGTACGGCTTCGGAGGTTAAACGCAGCGTTCTGAATTAAACATCAACGGCTCTTTTAAGAGCCACCCACAACACGAAAGACCGAGCTTCTCTTGACTGTTTTAAGCCAGTCATTGTTCGCCTTTAAGTGATTGGTGTTTTAAAATTTAAACTGTTTGGGTAATGTATATTCACATGGAATAAAAGGTTTACATGGTTAACGTCGATTAAAAGCCATTCATTTATGGCTTTGCTGTAGGTTACTTGATAATAGAATGGTAATACTGATTACCCAATAAATTAAATCACAAATAATTTAGCAGATGATGCCATCTGTGATCATAAAATATTGGCTTAAATATGTATAAAATTTACTCTGGTGTTATAATGTTAAATTTAAACATGGACAACACAAACAATAACAGTAATTAACCATAGTTGTACCGATAGTTGTACAGTTTGCTCACAATCACAGAATGTAAAGAAAAGTACCATGGAACTTTTTATCACTGAATTCAAACTATTGTTATTAGCTATTGTTACATTAACGATTTAGCGACACAACAATATAAATCACTGGTTCATAACACGGTACAAGGCAATTTTTGGCTCATTATTTCCAATCTTTAACAAAATCATTCTGAAAAACAAACAATCACTTTCCCTGAATCATATAATAATGTATATTCTAACGTTTAAGACATCCATATAATAATATAAAATAAATAAATAAAATGTGTCTTGGCTAAGGACACAATGACACTGCTGAGCTTCTGAGATCTAAGAAAATCAGGCTTTGACATGTGCACAAATGTAGTTTCCTCATCACAAACAGACCTGGAGTGGTGTTTTGTTGCATTCGCACATGTTAAACACACAAACCCTGCATATTTAGGCTGAGGTCTGCGTATTTGGAAAACAGGATGTATATTTAGAAAACACTCTTCTTTTGACTTGTGATGTCATGTGGTAATATGATAATGTGCTAATAATGCTCCATTGTGTTTTTAAACACTAAGGATCTCAAATCAATCATGTTGAAAATGCAAGTGTCTAGATGTGTAGTGTTGTGTGAGATTTAGATGGTAAAGGTTAAATGTGTGATGGGACAAAGAGGAAGATCTTATTTGTTGTGTGTTTCCTGTAAATACATGCGTAATGAAATAAGGAGATAACATAGTTCATTAAATGGGCCCAAGAGAGAAGAGTGTGGGTAAAGCAGGAGTCGAGTCATTTTACATGGCCAGTTAAAATCTGTCAAAAATCACCACATTTACCAAAATTACAGAAGTTGTAATAATGTGCACATATATTGGGGGAGGCCAGAATGATGTTAACATCATTAGAGTGTCCAGTGTTTCATGTATGAACATGAAGAAAACACCAGCGCTGCAGCGCAAACGGACAGAAACGCTCCTCCACAGTTGTGTTTACTTCCGCCTCAAACTCGGTGAATTACAACTAAACGCTGGAGCCACAGCACGAGTTTCATGTGTAAATGTAATGTTTGACATCTATTTTCTTGGTTTAAACACAAAGTGTTTCTCATTTATCTAAGTTTTGTTCAATTTAAGACAAAATGTAGGAAAAAGTCGCAGCCGAGTGTCTCGCTTGTGTAGACACGGTCAGGGTTTGTTGGCTTGTAATTTAAAACGCAGGATTCTATTCGTACGAGGGTGTGTTAGATAAAAAGATATGAGTGTGCACTAAAATCTGATATGAAGAAATTCGTCAAAAATATGTCATATTTGTGTATTTTTAACTTTAAACTGCGAAGAGAAAACACAGAGAGGAGACACGGCCGCGCGGCAGAGAGAGTTGAGTCTCTACGGTTCTCACAGCCTTTATAAATATCCTCCGCGCGCGCCCCCGACACGAGACTCAGATCTAACCCGAGACTAACGATGACAGAGACCGTTCCCACAGCAGCGCCCGCCACGGCCAAACCTAAGGCCCCCAGGAAGAAGGCCGCGGGCAAAAAGAAGGAGGGTCCCAGCCTCCAGAAGCTCATCACCGGCGAGATCGCCGCATCCAAGGAGCGCAAAGGCATCTCCGTGGCCGCGCTGAAGAAGGCTCTGGCTGCGAAGGGCTTGGATGTGGCAAAGTACAACAAGCGCATCAACAGCGCCCTGAAGAGACTGGTCACTTCAGGCGCCGTGAGCCAGACCAAGGGCACGGGCGCCTCCGGTTCCTTCAAACTGGCCAAGCAGGAGGCCAAACCCAAGACTGTGAAGAAGAAGGCCGCCGCTAAACCCAAGAAGCCCGCGGCAAAGAAAGCAGCCAGCCCCAAGAAGAAGACGACCGTCAAGAAGCCCGCGGCCAAGAAGCCCAAGTCCCCGGCCAAGAAATTGGCGAAGAAGGCAGCGCCCAAGAAAGCTGCGGCCAAGAAGCCCGCCAAGAGCCCCAAGAAAGCGGCTCCCAAGAAGCCCAAGGCCGTGAAGAAGAGCCCCAAGAAGGCCCCCGCGAAGAAGGCCGCCCCCAAGAAGGCCAAGAAGTAAAGTTACAGCGACTCCCGCCACACAAAAGGCTCTTTTAAGAGCCAACACTTTTACTAAAGAGCTCATCTTTGTCTCGGTTTAGTAAAAAAACACTGGCCCAGTGTTTAATGTAAGAGTTATGTTACGTGACTGTGTCATATGACCAGATGGGGATAAGAGCCAGATTTCCCCATTACCTATAACTTTTTAACTAACCCAGCATTCTAGCTCCCTGCCGTCTGTAATAACCATTAATATACAGAATGCTGTGATATCAGTGATGAAAGTGCAAACCAAAGACCAAAGGTGCATGGGCCCATAAATAACTCCTTGTTTTGAAGCTTCAGAACTGAAGAAGCAGCTTGAATGAGCGCGAAAGTCATTGTTCTAAAACCCGTATCGAATAGGTAGACTAATTTTTCTTTTGTTTATGGAACATAAATAAAATATAAATAAAACATTAGCAGTATTAATACATCACAGGGAGACATGCACATAATGTCGTTATACAATCCAGATTTAACGGATATAGTGTTATTCCTTTGACGTGACACAGCAAAAGGAACTGGGACTATTTCAAACGCGTGACGGACCTCAAACTGACGTGAAGACTCCATATTCATGAATGAACGCGCGGGACGGAGGCGGGGTTAGAGTTTGAATTCAGAGCGCGAGCCCCACGCAGCCAATCAGCTTCGCCCTGGCTTCTATAAAAAGCCGCTGTCTCCGCTCTTATCGAAATACTCAGGTTTTCGCTGAAATCTTGAAGCAGAGGAAATGGCTAGAACCAAACAGACAGCCCGTAAATCCACCGGAGGAAAGGCTCCGAGGAAACAGCTCGCCACCAAGGCTGCCCGTAAGAGCGCTCCAGCCACCGGCGGCGTCAAGAAGCCTCACCGCTACAGGCCCGGCACCGTGGCTCTGAGGGAGATCCGACGTTACCAAAAGTCCACTGAGCTGCTGATCCGCAAACTGCCCTTCCAGCGCCTGGTCAGGGAGATCGCCCAGGACTTCAAGACCGACCTGCGCTTCCAGAGCTCCGCGGTCATGGCTCTGCAGGAGGCCAGCGAGGCCTACCTGGTGGGTCTGTTCGAGGACACCAACCTGTGCGCCATCCACGCCAAGAGAGTCACCATCATGCCTAAGGATATCCAGTTGGCCCGTCGCATCCGCGGAGAGAGAGCTTAAACGTCACGTGCCCTAAAACTACACAACGGCTCTTTTAAGAGCCACCTACACCAAACTAAGAGCTGACTTTTACCACACAAATGTCCAACATGTTCCTCTAAGCCAGTGCTTCTCAAATAGTGGGGAGGCTCCGTCAAGGGGGGCGCGTTTGACCTCGGGGAACATGCTTATTTTATTTTTTTTTACTGTCCTAGAATAAAGTGCAATTGCACTTCCACTACATTAGGGGGCAGTGGCGCTCTCATTGGCACAGTGTGCGCAGGGAGCATTCGCTCGGTGGTGTAGGAGTTTTGTTTGCACTGAGCATGCGCGCTTTGCACAGAGTTTGAGTATGAAGTGTAGACACGAAGTGTAGCAGACCTTCAAGTGACACCATGAAAAAATATTTAACAGGGATGAGAAGACAGGCGGAGAGAGACGGAGATAAAGAGACAAACGAAAATCTCCCGAAAGCTAAGACGAGGAAATATGACGAAGCGTATGTAGCGCTTGGCTTCACTGTGACTACGGTGGGAGACGAGGAAAGACCGGTGTGCTTACTGTGTCTAAAAATGTTGGCAGCCGACAGCATGAAGCCCAATAAATTAAGGCGTCACTTAAATACATTACACCCCAATCACTCTGATAAGCCGCTTGAGTTTTTTCAGCGAAAATGTGCCGAATATTGCCGACAATCATCCCGCTTTGTAACTGCTACTTCAGTAAATCAGCGAGCGTTGTTGGCATCATATAAGGTGGCAGTGTTATGCAGAGGTGTACTTATAACAATTTTATAGACAAATGATACTATTTATAGTCACGCGGGGGGGGGCGCAAGATGTTTTATTCTTCCTAGGGGGGACATGACAGAAAATAATTGAGAAGCACTGCTCTAAGCACAAAGTGTATCGAACTGTAATTAACATTGAAATATGTTTATACCTTTGCTTCGAGAGCACCAGGCTTATCAGATTATTTATACATTTGTTTTGCTTACCTGTTTTTATTTACCCGTGATAACGAAATCGCAATGAAACCTGACTGGTAAATGTGGCACTGCAGTTTATATTTATTAATTAAACAATATATACTGTAATATCTGGTTGTCTGATTTGCGCTGCTGTCCTGGCCAGGAACCCATTTAAAAAGAGATGAGTGATGTCAATGATACTTTTCAGGTTAAATAAAGGTCAAAACTATTAAGTTCAACAAAAACACAGTGGGAGGCCGTGGATGTCCGTGCTGGCTTCTGATTGGACGCGTGCACTAACGCTCAATCTAGCCAATCAGAAGTCAGCAACATTGTTATATATTCGCCGCTGCAGTAGTAAGAGGCATATGTGTCTTGAACGTGATATTATTTTCGGAAGTCATTGTGAAGATGTCTGGACGCGGAAAAGGTGCCGGTAAAGCCAGAGCTAAGGCCAAGAGCCGCTCTTCCAGGGCTGGATTGCAGTTTCCCGTGGGCCGTGTGCACAGGCTGCTCAGGAAAGGAAACTACGCTGAGCGCGTTGGTGCTGGAGCCCCCGTTTATCTAGCCGCAGTGCTTGAGTACTTGACCGCTGAGATCCTGGAGTTGGCCGGGAACGCTGCACGGGACAATAAGAAGACCCGTATCATCCCCCGCCACCTGCAGCTGGCCGTCCGCAACGACGAGGAGCTCAACAAGCTGTTGGGAGGAGTGACCATCGCCCAGGGAGGCGTGCTGCCCAACATCCAGGCCGTGCTTCTGCCCAAGAAGACCGAGAAGGCCAAGTAAATCTGCTTCTCCAAACCAACCAAACAACGGCTCTTTTAAGAGCCACCCACTTGTGGAAAAAAAAAGCATCATGTTCTATTATATCTTACCAGACTCTTTTTAGTTAATAGATCATTTGCTTATGGAGATGACGCATGCCCCAAGTATTTAAATAAATACTTGATTATCAAGTGATAATGGGTGTGTGTGTGTATATATGTATATATATATATATATATATACATTATATATATATATATATATATATATATATATATAATGTACGGTAGAAGTATGTTTCTGGTATAAACGTCAGAGAGTACCAAAAGTCTGAACCATGAGGGGTTTATTGTCTCGCAAGGACAGGAGAACCTCAGGTACAGTGATACTTTACAGCTGACAACATTCCCTGGGGGTAGAATGCTAGGTTTGCTCAAATTACACTTAAATCTGAGATTTTATTTAACACAACCTGACCATAAAGAACAGAACTGCAACAGGTGAACTGAAATGTGCTGTTAAATAAGTGCCTGTAAGTAGCCTAGAGTTTCTCAGCCAGTCACTCTCAGTTTTTTGTTGAAAACTCCAAATTGTTCAGGACCATGGACAATTCATGAGTTTTCAGACAACCTAACAAGTGGTGTTTGTTAATGTATGTATTGTGTCTCAATAGTAACTGCTGAATAGACATACATGTGGAACGTGTGTGTGTGTGTGTGTGTGAGAGAGAGAGAGAGAGAGAGAGAGAGAGAGAGAGAGAGAGAGAGAGATCTTGTGCTCCCTGCCGGGCCACATGGAACTCACAGCTCTGTCCTTAACTGTTTTTCATCAACATTAACTTCAGCATTAGTACATCAAGATCAAAGTTCATAGTAAAGCACATTGCTAAATGTGCATACTTTAGGCTGTGGTCACTTAGAGAAGGATTAAAGCTCCTGACCTGAAGAATGGCTTCCTGTGTTTTTCCTGTGCCCTTTTCAAAGACAGAAAAGTTGACTTCAAGTCCTTTCAAGTGTTTACACAAAATTACAAAATGAAAATAATTTGATAGATATCAACACTGAATAGAATAAGACAACGGAACTGTTATTAGTACTGTGTATTTCCGCATTCTGGCCAAAGAGGAGGGAGGACAAAAAAAAAAAAAAAAAACAGAGAGCGGTATGCCATTTAACCAATCAACTCTGAGAAACGGCGCAGCCTCTTTACATGGGGTGGATATAAATACAGCGGACAAGGACTTAGTGCAATACTTGTTCATCTGAACTCGGAAGAACACATTATGCCTGATCCAGCAAAGACCGCGCCCAAGAAGGGCTCCAAGAAAGCCGTTACTAAGACCGCAGGCAAAGGCGGCAAGAAGAAGAGAAAGACCAGGAGGGAGAGCTACGCCATCTACGTGTACAAGGTGCTGAAGCAGGTTCACCCCGACACCGGCATTTCCTCCAAGGCCATGAGCATCATGAACTCCTTCGTCAACGACATCTTCGAGAGGATCGGCAGTGAGGCCTCCCGCCTGGCGCACTACAACAAGCGCTCCACCATCACTTCCAGGGAGATCCAGACCGCCGTGCGCCTCTTGCTGCCCGGAGAGCTGGCCAAGCACGCCGTGTCCGAGGGCACCAAGGCCGTCACCAAGTACACCAGCTCCAAGTAAACTGTCCCCCTGCGCTTAAAAACCCAAACAACGGCCCTTTTCAGGGCCACCCACAACTAAAAGGGGCGCTTTCTGTTATTTTTTGACAGTGACAATATTCCTGTTAAAGACTGAAATATATGTGAATATGTAAGATGAGTTGCTGTGATGGGGTATTATTTTCATTGAGTACACTATGCTGAAGAGGCTAACTGTTTTCCTAACATTTTTACGGTTTTTAAACTAATGCAGAAAAGCAAAATGTTCAAAGACTCCTTTCCAGGAGTAGGATCTGGAAAGAAACCTGGAAGAGTTTTTTTTTTTTTTAAATACTGACTACATGTGCTTCCATGTCTTCAAAACTATCTTCACATTGTTTCCTTTGTGTTCAATTTGGTCCTTTTCGTCGTGCAGGGTGTTTTGTGTAATTTTTGTCACTCCAATCAAGTCCATCACATATCACCACGACACAAGAGGCATGGAGATTGATCACCCTGTGGTACTGCTTAGATGTAACGGAAGCCCAGGTAGCTTTGTTAGCGGCCTTCAGATCATCTGTATTGCTGCATCTGACGTTTCTCGTCTTGTCAATATCCCAACGATTTTCTGTGGGGTTTAGGTCGGGTGAGTTTGCAGGTCAATCATGCACAGTAACACCACAGTTTACAAAAGATATGCAAATTTAATTTGCTCTTTCAGTTTTGGAATTTGTGCTCAAATTAAGACTTATGTGTCAAGCGATTGAAAAGAACTGTAAAATGTCAAATAGTTTAACATTAGATCCACTGAAAATTCTTTGAGATATGACGTCACAATCCCGAATTCTATTGGTGAAAGAATGGCCCCGCCCAGAGACCGTCTTCTCCAACGTTCGCAAAGGCTGTATAAAATTAGCGGAGCAGCTCGTAGCTTCTTTACTTTCGTCGTTGTTGAAGAAGTAGTTAAAATGAGTGGACGCGGTAAAGGAGGCAAAGGACTCGGAAAAGGAGGCGCCAAGCGTCACCGTAAAGTTCTTCGTGACAATATCCAGGGCATCACTAAGCCCGCTATTCGCCGTCTGGCTCGCCGCGGTGGTGTGAAGCGTATTTCTGGTCTGATCTACGAGGAGACCCGCGGTGTGCTTAAGGTTTTCCTGGAAAACGTGATTCGTGACGCCGTCACCTACACCGAGCACGCCAAGAGAAAGACCGTGACCGCCATGGATGTGGTGTACGCCTTGAAGAGACAGGGCCGCACTCTGTACGGCTTCGGAGGTTAAACGCAGCGTTCTAAATTAAACATCAACGGCTCTTTTAAGAGCCACCCACAACACGAAAGACCGAGCTTCTTAAACTTGAGTGCTTTTTTTATACGCACAAGTACACTGATTATTATAGTAAAATCAACTGATAACAATACAGTTTATGCCACAATATCCTGATACTAAGGAAAATCAAACTGGAGTTTTCTGATTTTTTTATTTTTATTTTTTTTGAACAGGGGACTGTTGACATGAACCCATACAATACCAGGATACTCAACAAGCCTAATCGGAACACTGGAGTGCACTCAGTTTTTTTTTTTTTGAGCATCTGTAGTAGGTCACTTGTTCAGTTGGTTATAATAACATGCTAATACTGATTTAGACATAAATAGATGCACTCGACAATATAATTATCTAGTGATCTATGTGACTAAAAAGACCCACATTTCCAGCATGTCACACAATACACCTATTAAAGCACCAGCATAATTTTGCTGATTATACAACCTAGCAAAATATTGCTTTAAATATTTTGTGTCTACTTTTTACTACTACTACAGTTATCATTTTATATTAGAGACTTCAGATAAGTCACAGCTGTGGAAAGACTCAAACTGCAGTGAGGACAAGACCAGCAATATATATATATACATTATACACACACACACACACACACACACACACTCTACCTTTCAAAAGTTTGGGGTCACTTAGAAATGTCCTTATTTTTGAAAGAAAAGCACTGTTTTTTTCAATTAAGATAACTTTCAACTAATCAGAAATACACTCTATACATTGCTAATGTGGTAAATTACTATTCTAGCTGCAAATGACTGGTTTTTGGTTCAATATCTACATAGGTGTATAGAGGCCCATTTTCAGCAACTGTCACTCCAGTGTTTTAATGGTACAATGTGTTTGCTCATAGCATCAAAAGGCTAATGGATGATTAGAAAACACTTGTGCAATCTTGTTAGAACAGCTGACAACAGTTTAGCTGGTTAGAGAAGCTCTAAAACTGACCTTCCTTTGAGCAGGTTGAGTATCTCGAGCATCACATTTGTGGGGTCGATTAAACGCTCAAAATGGCCAGAAAAAGAGAACTTTCATGTGAAACTCAACAGTCTATTCTTGTTCTTAAAAATGAAAGCTATTCCATGCGAGAAACTGCCAAGAAACTGAAAATTTCCTACAACGGTGTGTACTACTCCCTTCATAGAACAGCACAAACAGGCTCTAAACAGAGTAGAAAAAGAAGTGGAAGGCGCCGCTGCACAACTAAGCACGAAAACAAGTACATTAGAGTCTGTAGTTTGAGAAATAGATGTTTCACAGGTCCTCAACTAGAAGCTTCATTTAACAGTACCCGCAAAATGCCAGTGTCAACATCTACAGTGAAGAGGTGACTCCGGGATGCTGGCCATCAGGGTAGAGTGGCAAAGAAAAAGCCATATCTGAGACCAATAAAATAAAAGCCAATAAAAGAAAAAGATTAATATGGGCAAAAGAACAGTCACTGGACAGAGGGAGATTGGAAAAAAGTGTTATGGGTGGACAAATCGAAGTTTGAGGTGTCTGCATCACACAGAAGAACATTTGTGAGATGCAGAACAACTGAGAAGATGCTGGAAGAGTGTCTGACTCCAACTGTCAAGCATGGTGGGGGTAATGTGATGGTCTGGGGTTGCTTTGGTGCTGGTAAGGTGGGGGATTTGATCAGGGTAATAGGGATTTTGAATAAGGAAGGCTATCACTCCATTTTGCAACGCCATGCCATACCCTGTGGACAGTCCTTGATTGGAGCCAATTTCATCCTACAACAGGACAATGACCAAAACACACCTCCAAATTGTGCAAGAACTATTTAGTCGCAGTCACCAGATCTAAACCCCATTGAGGTGTTGTGGAAGCAGCTTGACCGTAAGGTACGCAAGAAGTGCCCATCCAGCCAATCCAACTTGTGGGACGGTGTTCTAGAAACGTGGGGTGAAATTTCTCCAGATTACCTCAACAAATTAACAGCTAGAATGCCAAAGGTCTGCAATGCTCTAATTGCTGCAAATGGAGGATTCTTTGACAAAAGCAAAGTTTGAAGGAAAAAAATATTATTTCAAATACAAATTATTTCTAACCTTGTCAATGTCTTGACTATATGTTCTATTAATTTTACAACTCATGGTGGTATATAAGTGTGACTTTTCATGGAAAACACAAAATTGTGTGGGTAACCCCAAACTTTTGAACAGTAGTGTGTGTGTGTGTGTGTATATGTATTATATAATTTAATTCTAGAATTTGCTAACAGAAGTCAAAAAAAGAAAAGTGTTGGGAATAAATTTGCAATTGTTGTTATTGTTATATTGTTGTGTTGCTAAATTGTTAATGTAGTGTATATTATTTGTTAGTAAAGTCTGTTGTTATTATTGTGTTATTTACTGGTTCAGATAGTTGATTTTATTTCACAATGTGAAAACTTTTGATTGTAAAATGGTTTATAGAAATAAAGTGGAATGGATTGATTGGATTAGGTGTTGAAGCCAACTCAAACAGTTGTGCCAAAATTGTTCACTCAGAAAGTCTGAAAACCACTGGTTTAGAGCGTCACTGGCTCCTTACAGGGTACAAGGCAATTTATGACCGACTCATTATTTTCAACCCTCAACAACTCATCACTCTAAAAAACACAAACACTCCAGTCTCACTTTCTCTCATATTTTAATTTATGAGTATTCAATAATTCCAGATTTCAATCCACACAGAACTGTGTTGTGGCATTTATGTGTGGACAAAAAAAACAAAAAAAAAAAACAACGAAATTATGTCACAAGAGAAACTTTAAAAAATTATATTATAGTTCATTAAATAGGCCCAAGAGAGAAGTCTCTGTGGGCAAAGCAGGAGCTGAATCATTTTACATGGCCAGTAAAAATCTGTCAAAAATCACCACATTTGCCAAAATTACAGAAGTTGTAATAATGTACGCGTATATTGGGGGAGGCCAGAATGATGTTAACATCATTAGAGTGTCCAGTGTTTCATGTATGAACATGAAGAAAAACACCAGCGCTGCAGCGCAAACGGACAGAAACGCTCCTCCGCAGTTGTGTTTACTTCCGCCTCAAACTCGGTGAATTATAACTAAACGCTGGAGCCACAGCACGAGTTTCATGTGTAAATGTAATGTTTGACATCTCTTTTCTTGGTTTAAACACAAAGTGTTTCTCATTTATCTAAGTTTTGTTCAATTTAAGACAAAATGTAGGAAAAAGTCGCAGCCGAGTGTCTCGCTTGTGTAGACACGGTCAGGGTTTGTTGGCTTGTAATTTAAAACGCAGGATTCTATTCGTACCAGGGTGTGTTAGATAAAAAGATATGAGTGTGCACTAAAATCTGATATGAAGAAATTCGTCAAAAATATGTCATATTTGTGTATTTTTAACTTTAAACTGCGAAGAGAAAACACAGAGAGGAGACACGGCCGCGCGGCAGAGAGAGTTGAGTCTCTACGGTTCTCACAGCCTTTATAAATATCCTCCGCGCGCGCCCCCGACACGAGACTCAGATCTAACCCGAGACTAACGATGACAGAGACCGTTCCCACAGCAGCGCCCGCCACGGCCAAACCTAAGGCCCCCAGGAAGAAGGCCGCGGGCAAAAAGAAGGAGGGTCCCAGCCTCCAGAAGCTCATCACCGGCGAGATCGCCGCATCCAAGGAGCGCAAAGGCGTCTCCGTGGCCGCGCTGAAGAAGGCTCTGGCTGCGAAGGGCGTGGATGTGACCAAGGCCAACAAGCGCATCAACAGCGCCCTGAAGAGACTGGTCACTTCAGGCGCCGTGAGCCAGACCAAGGGCACGGGCGCCTCCGGTTCCTTCAAACTGGCCAAGAAGGAGGTCAAACCCAAGACCGTGAAGAAGAAGGCCGCCGCCAAGCCCAAGAAGCCCGCGGCAAAGAAAGCAGCCAGCCCCAAGAAGAAGACGACCGTCAAGAAGCCTGCGGCCAAGAAGCCTAAGTCCCCGGCCAAGAAAGCGGTGAAGAAGGCAGCGCCCAAGAAAGCAGCGGCCAAGAAGCCCGCCAAGAGCCCCAAGAAAGCGGCTCCCAAGAAGCCCAAGGCCGTGAAGAAGAGCCCCAAGAAGGCCCCCGCGAAGAAGGCCGCCCCCAAGAAGGCCAAGAAGTAAAATCACACCGACTCCCGCCACACAAAAGGCTCTTTTAAGAGCCAACACTTTTACTAAAGAGCTCTTCAGTTCATTCACACATACATACGGGACAGTTCATACGGGCAAATGCAATTCGATATTCCCACTAAACGCCAAGTGGGGAGTTCGTGACACAAAACCGGTGTAGATTAAGCAGTTACGATGCGTAATCGGTCTGCGTCTGCTCAAAAAACACGATACATCCCTCGATCCTTCCCTCACGCGATAATGTCATTTTCTATTTACTTTTCTGATTACAACCTCTCAAACTCACCAAAGGCCCTATTTGACCCACTGTATTTAGAGAATACATGTACATTGTGATTTTTTTTTTTTTTTTTTTTATAGCTTTACACAACACGAATCATAAAGCATCTGTGTATGACCCGCATGTTAGGAGAATGTGCGCGGGACACAAAGAGATTAAAATACAATCTATAACAACTAACAACAGTGACGATATTTTCTTGGTCTGAAAAGCCGCTGTGGATTTGTGTTTAGACGCAGACACGTGAGAGGGGGGGAGACTCGTTTCCGTTTGGGGGCGGGGTCGAACTGTTTGAATGCAGCGCGCGAGCAGCATTCGCCAATCCCCTTCAAGCCCAGGCCCTTCAAAAAGCCGCTGCCTCTGTCCCGCGCACACAGTTCGTCTAAACTGAAGACTTTCTTGCAACCAATATGGCTAGAACCAAGCAGACTGCCCGTAAATCCACCGGAGGAAAGGCTCCGAGGAAACAGCTCGCCACCAAGGCTGCCCGTAAGAGCGCTCCAGCCACCGGCGGCGTCAAGAAGCCTCACCGCTATAGGCCCGGCACCGTGGCTCTGAGGGAGATCCGACGTTACCAAAAGTCCACTGAGCTGCTGATCCGCAAACTGCCCTTCCAGCGCCTGGTCAGGGAGATCGCCCAGGACTTCAAGACCGACCTGCGCTTCCAGAGCTCCGCGGTCATGGCTCTGCAGGAGGCCAGCGAGGCCTACCTGGTGGGTCTGTTCGAGGACACCAACCTGTGCGCCATCCACGCCAAGAGAGTCACCATCATGCCTAAGGATATCCAGTTGGCCCGTCGCATCCGCGGAGAGAGAGCTTAAACGTCACGTGCCCTAAAACTACACAACGGCTCTTTTAAGAGCCACCTACACCAAACTAAGAGCCGACTCTTGACTGACTATGCTATCATAAGGTCTAAAGTTGTATTGTACTGTCTCCACATATGGAAAATGTAGTTATTGGTTAATGTTTTATCCCTCATATAATTTGTTGTTAGTACTCTTCTTGTTTTACTGCCACAGCACCCTCAGGTGTAAAAACATGAAAACAAAATAGAATAAATTAAACAATTACTTTATGTTGGAGAGTAGTATTATGATTTGTACTTTTAATTTTAGATTATGATTGTATGTGCTGCACATTGTAATCTGAAGAAAAGGAACCTCTTACTGACTGTCTAAATTTAATTTACTGCCGGCTACGATATCCCCCCCCTACGGAAGCCGAGAGGGGTCACATCAAACGCAAACGCCGCAACAAATACAATGCGACCACAACAAAAAGTCACAACACACCAACAAAAGCCACAACGGAAATGACTGCGGGACTCTATTTTAATGCAAACGCCACAACAAATACAAACGCCACAACACATCAAAAAGCTGCAACACATTAAAAAGTCACAACACATTAAAAAGTCACAACGGAAGTGACCGCGGGACTCTATTTTCCGACGGACCGATCAAGCTGCAAGTGAAGAAGAAAAACTACAACGTGAAAAGTAAAGGAACGGAGAAGTTGAAGACGTAAGTAAAAGTAATTTATTGTTTTGTGGCCAGGATCTATGTCACTGTCTGACCGTCGTAAATAATTTGTGGATTGCTATTCTTAACCTAAAGTTACGGAATTAATCTTAGCGACAACCATTCTCGCCCCTGACAGGTTACGATGTATTGTCCTTTTTGTGGCTCTGGGTTACCATCTGAAACAGTATTCTGCAGTTCTTGTGGCAAAAATATTAAATTCCTACAAGACTTTGACAAACCCAGCACAAGTCAAGGTAATGTTTCAGTCGAACTTTATTTAACACAAATGTGTCCTATATTGTACCTCTGTCAGATTCCTGAATGATTCTTAAATTCGCTTTAAAGAGGCTCTGTTTGATGCAGGAGGCATAAAGAAAGAGGATGCAGTGGAGTCATTACGGAATTTTAGAATATTAAAAGAGAAGGAGAGGCGATTATGTTTTAAAAAGAAAAAGAACCGCTGATGGAAACCCTTGTGGAAGAAACTCCTGTGAAGGTAACCTCTCTATGAATGTGTATGTGAATGAGCTTGCAGGTTGTCAACTTGGCCGTGTATTTCTAATATGTAGCCCAAAATAAACTGAATTAGGATAGTCAACAGAAGCTTTCTTCTGTGTTTCTCTGTAGATTTCGGTGGGCCTTATGAGGCTGAAAGATGGAGTCCTGAGTCCTGTGAGAGGAAAGACACTCCCCCTTTCAGTCAAACCAGGGATAGATGCCAAAGAACTGCACAAAGCAGCGCGCTGACAAAATTAAAGGCCTTTGACAGGAATGTACCACCAGGTCCCTACTTTCTGCTGTATCCTGATGGGTCAAAGATTGAAAATATACCAGGAACAAACAACCCCATTCTCTTTAAAAGAATACAAGGAGGCAGTGGGGAAGGCGTACCAACGCATCACCGTGTACATTTGTACAGCTGCAGATTTCATGACCTGTTGTGAGTTAACCTGAGACTAATTACCAACCTAGAGGAACACTCTGGTATTGGTTCAAAATAATAATTTAATATCTGATCTTGTATTTCCCAGCTCAGGAGCTCACCACAGATTCCGAGGAGTCAGACTCAGATGTGATAATCATGAGCAGAAGTGCTGCAGAGTTCAATACAGCTGATACAGTGGTATATACTTGTGTTTTTGTTTTGTTTTTTCCAATGCATTGCTCATATTTTAAATTTAACACCTAAATGGTTATATTTTGCTATATTTTGAAATAACCATTCCCTCTAATGTATATAACTGTTTGTACTGTATATGTTTTTTTCTGCCATAGTCTGAAGTATCACAGTAATACTTTTTTTTTTTAATCCTCAGATATGGGAACCTGTCTTGAACAGTACAAATAATAATGATGAACAGTCGCCCACTGATTTAACAACTCTGATGGAAACTACAAGTTACAGGTATTGTTCGTCACTTTTCAAATCACAAATATTATTTATTTAAAAATACCAAAATGTATTTTTTTTGTGTTAATTTCTTAGAAAATACACTGAGTTGTATTCACCCATTGTGATCGAGGATGAAGAAGACGTGGACGTGGACAGCCATATAATTCCAAAGGATACAGAGTAAGAACTCACTTGCTCAACAATTGTGGAGTTTTATTGTGGTTAAATTAATCTGCTGTAATTTACCATACATAGTATGTTTATGAAGTAAAAATAGTCTTGTTCTATTTGGTTTCAGGGTGGAATTACTGTCAGTTTCAGAAATAATAAAAAATCTGACACTCCAAATTGACCATAAACATGTCAGCAGATTTAACATATGTCGCTCTGACATCTGGGATGGGGCTGTTAGGGGACTCAAAAGGGGAACATTTGCTGAAAACTATGACCTCCTAGTTAAGTTCTCTGATGATGCTGGAAGGTTTGAGGAATGTGTCGACACAGGCGGGCCGAAGAGGGAATTCCTCTCACTGCTCATGAAAGAGCTGAACAAACGACCCATATTTGATGGACCTGTGGAGAGCCGCTACCTTGTTTACAATACAACAGGTTCTATTTTGTGTAAACTACTACATAATTCAACCATCCAATGCCTTAAAATATAGAAACAAATGTAATAATTGTTTATTTTGCATATCTACTGGCAGCAATAAGAGGGGATGAATATTATTTTGCCGGCCAGATGATAGCCTTGTCCATAGTACACGGTGGTCCTGGTCCAAATTTTCTGTCGGAAGATCTGGTCAGCTTCATCTCAGGGAAATCCAGTTTCAAGTCATCAGTAGCAGACATTACAGATGAGGAAATAGGGAAAGTGCTACGAGAGGTATGAGGCCAGGGCAGAGATTTTGTTGGTAAAAAGAAAGGTTTTGTTCATGTAAAACTTTTCTTTAGACCATGTTAATTAATGATTACTTTTAATTACTTTCGTACATGTTCGAAAGCACATTACTGAAACCTGCATAATACAGTAAACTATATATATATGTGTGTGTTTCTTTTAGATTCAGAATGCAGCGTCCCTGGAGAATCTGCGAGACCTGCTGGCAGAGAACAGTGCCATGTTGCAAACCGCTGGGTGTTTCAGATATGTGAAGTCATTGGAGGAAAAAGACACAATTGTGAAGGACTACCTGTGGTGGTTCATCATCGACAGGAATCATGCTGCTATTGACAGGTATTTTTTTTTTCTATATTTCAACAACAAATGTTTATTGTAAAAAAGGCTATTGTGTTATCTCTGCAAACTAGCAAATACAGTGTACATAAAACTCTTCTAGTACTTATCCTTAGAAATAGGCTATGGAAAAGTGTATCAGAAAACTTAAAATCTTAGAAATTTTGTGTTTGAAGTGTTTGAATGCTGAAAAGGCACCTAACCATGCTACAGGATTAACCACATTATCATCCTGCTGTTGTATTTTAGATTCAAAGCCGGTCTTGCCACTTTGCAGTTTTTAACGGCTCTACAACAGCATCCTTCAGTTCTGACCGATGTCCTCTGCCACGTCAACAAAAGGTTAACTGCTGCAGAGGTTGAACACATGTTCCAACCTGAGCTGAGTCCAAATGGAAGCAACAGGAAGGTCCAGGAGGACAAAACCATGAGCTTCTGGGCAGACGACCTACTTGATTGTGAAGGTAATTTGCTCTATTACAGGGGTTTTCAAATTGGGTGAGAGAGATAGACAGAGAGAGAGAGACAGACAGAAGTGAGAGAGAGCAGACAGAAAGTGAGAGAGAGACAGACAGACAGACAGAGTGAGAGAGAGACATGAGAGAGAGACAGACAGAGAGAGAGAGAGACAGACAGAGAGTGAGAGAGACAGACAGAGAGTGAGAGAGACATGAGAGAGACTGAGAGAGACTGAGAGAGACAGACAGAGAGTGAGAGAGTGAGATTCAGCTGATTATTTTCATATCTGTCAATTTTTAGAAAATAACACCTTGGTGTCCTTGGAGGAGCTCTTCATGTTTGCCACAGGGGTGCCACGCGTGCCTCCAGCTGGAATGGATCCAAAGCCACGTCTTGAGTTTCTCGCAAGTTCAACATTCCCAATGGCAAACACATGTGCCAATACTTTAAAGCTTCCTCTACTGGACTGCTACAGTACCTTTAAAACAAACATGGATTTTGGGATAAAGAATTCCCCTGGATTTGGATGTCATTAATTCAGTGTTAATGAGCTGTTCTGTGAGTGTTAATGTGTTAATGTTGTATCTTAATAGGATGTGTTGTGTTCAACAGTCAGTAAAACAAATGTGAAAAGCCATACAAGTTAACTGAGTGATTGCAGTGGCCACATGTTCAGGCTAGTGTTTAAACATTGTCACAGGAAATTCTACATTTTATCCAGCAACTAGCACTGTTTATTGTTACAGTCATCAGCGCTTCAGAAGCTGAATGTGCTACTTTTACTCAATTTTTTTATGAATATAAAAAAAAAACAGGCCAAAATAATTTGTGTGTTTGTTTATTGTATGGACTTGAACATTTGCACAAAACATACAGCTGTAATGTGTAATTTTATTGAAATGTACAACTTGTTACAACTTCAAGGATGGCAATATTAGGGCAGTGCCTTAAAAAATAACTCAGGGGACAACACTGTTCCTCAAATCCTCCACCCTTTCACTTCAATGGTTTCCTGAACAGCAGGGGTAGTTTTAGAGACCAGCCATGTCCTTCAGTAGAACATAATTCTCCACAGCAGATTCCCACTGCAGAGGAGCTGCCAGACCTCTCTGCCGACGCAGTTCATCAAAAATGGGTTGCAGTTCATCATGAGTTGTTGGTGCAGGAAGTAGGCTGTATAAGTGGTGAATTGTTTGTGACGAAGTTGGGAATCCACAGTTCCTCCCATGGAATCTAGGGACAGGTACAGAATAATGTCAACATTAACAAAGTATTCAAAGCCTTGATTTTGTTTCACTTTTACTTTTATGACTAACACTCTTTACAGTCTAAGGGTATTTGCAAAGACAAATGTAAAGCTAAAATACGAACAGAACCCTGGATGGATTGTGGCCCCTTGGGTGTTGTGGCAAAAGGGGGAATATGTGGGGCAGGAAATGGGGGTGTACAGGTGGGGCTGGTTTCATTAATCATTATTAAATTAATTAATTCCCTGTGTTTTAGACATATTTAAAATGACTATTTGTCCCTGTTTAAATATGTATTATTATATTATGTATGTATTACAATGTAATCCTCACCTGTGAGGCACATGATACATTGCTTCTGGTTTACCAGATGGGCATCTGGACTGGTGAACAGGACGGATAGTGTGGGTGTTCCAGTGCTGCCTGTAGGTGTCCAGTTCTTTTTGCAAGACCCCCAAAAAGCAGTATCGCAACAAAGAGATGTGCTCCTGACACCCATTGAAGAGATGCTTCTCCCTCAAATCAGCAAAGAGGTCCATCCAAAACTGGCTCCTACAGGGATAACACATATTTTACTGTAATGTTCTACCTAAAAAGGACTAAGTAATGGTTAACATTAGTATAAAATCAAGTTGTGAGGTTAAGTAAATTATACAAATGATAAAAACCTTTGTTTACGAAAGAAGGACCACCAGCTTTCAATGCGTTGGTTTGATGTTGATGTGCCATACATGTGGCTTTTGGACCCTGAAAATTCATCAGTGTGCTCTGACCTCAAGACACAGTGAAGTGCTGCCATTATTCCATTTTCTGTGCCACAGTCTGTACGGAGGCGCTTTGGGCATACTCTAAACTCAGTGACACAGTTGATATAATTTAGAGCAATGACCAATGGATCATTGTTGGATTTTGCACATTTAAGCCACATGATTTTTCTAGAATATCCATCAATACAGGCACTTATGGCGATTCCAAATGGCTTAAGTTTATCATACCCATCTACATGCCAGGTATCATTTGGTCCCACAGAACAATATGCTCTCCGGACAAATCTGCGACTGGAGCGATTTGCTGTTCCTGCTGGATCCAGGCTTTTCATTAAACACATGACATCATCTCTTCTGGCCACGATAGAGTGCTTCTGTTTGAGAGTCTGCCACATTGCTCTATATCCTAGGAGCTGGCCTACTCCCCTTTGCTCCTCAGCAATGACTGCCTGAACAGTAGCCAGAGGAGAATAGTTGGTCCTCCTGGAAAATAGAGTCCCGCGGTCACTTCCGTTGTGACTTTTTAATGTGTTGTAGTTTTTTAATGTGTTGTGACTTTTTAATGTGTTGCGGCATTTGCATTTGTGTTGTGGCGTTTGTATTTGTTGTGGCGTTTGCATTAAAATAGAGTCCCGCAGTCATTTCCATTGTGGCTTTTGTTGGTGTGTTGTAGCTTTTTTTGGTGAGTTGTGGCTTTTTTTGGTGTGTTGTGGCTTTTTGTTGTGTTGTCGCATTTGTATTTGTTGCGGCGTTTGCGTTTGTTGTGACCCCTCTCGGCTTCCGTACTAGTAAATCTGCTTCTCCAAACCAACAAATAACGGCTCTTTTAAGAGCCACCCACTTGTGACAAAGGGCATCATGTTATAACGTGTTAACACTTCATTTTTTGTTTATTTTTAGATCCATACATTAACTTTGCCTCCACTTTTAAGTAACAAATCACTACATTGACTGTTTAATAAAGACGTGTGTGGTGTTGGGACTGAATGCCCTTTAACCATTTTACATCTGTGCATTTAGAGAAATAACCCCAGTACTTCATTTAATCAGTTTACAGAACAAAGACAACAGCCCCCATGGGATCAGGAAAGGGGAATAAAAATTATCAAAATTTCATGAGTCTTTCAAAAGCAAAGCAACACAATTTTTTTTTTGTCCTTTTCAAGGGCTTACATTGTATTGGAACTTTTTAATGTATCGTCCCTCCAATAGAAATACAATGGTTTAGTAATGTATTCAAATCTTTTTTAATATGCCTGTTCTTGGTTGAAACTGACTCTACTCAGGAAGAAATACTTGCAGTCTAAAAACACGTCATCAGAAACATGGATTAATATATTTACTTTGGTCTCATATGAAGGAGCCGTTCATATTCAAAGCAATAATAAAATATCATAAGCGTATTTATACAATAACCATTGACCTTACTGGAATGTAAAGAGTACCGTAAATTTATAATATCCGAACAGCTGACACACTTCCAATCCATTTTAGAGGCTATTAGATTTAAAGCTAAGGAACAGAGCAAATATCTAACGTATGGCTACAATGAAATTAAAGTATATTCACTAAAGTGGAAAAAAGTGTGCGGTATGCAATTTAACCAATCAGCTTTGAGGAACGGCGCAGTCTCTTTACATGGGGTGGATATAAATAGAGCGGACAAGAACTTAGTGCAATACTCGTTCGTCTGAACTCGGAAGAACACAGTATGCCTGATCCAGCAAAGACCGCGCCCAAGAAGGGCTCCAAGAAAGCCGTTACTAAGACCGCAGGCAAAGGCGGCAAGAAGAAGAGAAAGACCAGGAGGGAGAGCTACGCCATCTACGTGTACAAGGTGCTGAAGCAGGTTCACCCGGACACCGGCATTTCTTCCAAGGCCATGAGCATTATGAACTCCTTCGTCAACGACATCTTCGAGAGGATCGGCAGTGAGGCCTCCCGCCTGGCGCACTACAACAAGCGCTCCACCATCACTTCCAGGGAGATCCAGACCGCCGTGCGCCTCCTGCTGCCTGGAGAGCTGGCCAAGCACGCCGTGTCCGAGGGCACCAAGGCCGTCACCAAGTACACCAGCTCCAAGTAAACTGTCCCCTTGCGCTAAAAACCCAAACAACGGCCCTTCTCAGGGCCACCCACAACTAAAAAGGGCACTTTCTGTTCTACTTGTACGGTTAAATCTGACTGAAACTGGTTTGGCAGCTTGGGTTTTGTTTTTTTCAGGTTTGCGTGCTGTGTATTAACGATAGTTCTGTCCCCCTTGTGCGATAATTTGCATTTCAGTCTTGCTATGCAGTTACGAACATATATTCAGACTTAATACATCAACTATGACTGTGTTTGTATATATTTAATAAAGAAAATTGGGTCAAAAGGAAAAAGCGTTTCCAGAAGTCTCAAACGAATCGATCAGACAGGGTGTGCTCTAGAGAGTACAACAGGAATTATGAGAAGCTCACATTTAAAATACTTAATACAATCTCCATAAAGCATGAATGCAAGAGCAAGAATGGGATGGGTCTCAGGACGCTATAGACTAGCATCTGAAACCCAACAATGATTTCAAGGCTAACGTAACGTTTTGGTGTAACGTACAAGTTTGGACATCAATGCCACATTAAATGTTGAAAATCCATTCATTATTAAATAACTCAAGTTTTTATTAATTGAGAATAAATGTTAGATTAGTTTAATACGTTGACGTCAATTATTAACACTAATACTACTATTAGATTCTAAAAACGCTCGCTCGCACGCACATTGTTTCTGCTGGGTAAACGACCGTTGGTATGCACCCCTCCCCTGACACGTGCCTATTGGTTTAAGATTGACTCCGCCCAGAGACCGTCTTCTCCAAAGTCCGCAAAGGCTGGATAAAAGTAGCGGGGCAGCATGCAACTTCATTACATTCGTTCTCAGCAGACGAAATGAGTGGACGCGGTAAAGGAGGCAAAGGACTCGGAAAAGGAGGCGCCAAGCGTCACCGTAAAGTTCTCCGTGACAACATCCAGGGCATTACTAAGCCCGCTATTCGCCGTCTGGCTCGCCGCGGTGGTGTGAAGCGTATTTCTGGTCTGATCTACGAGGAGACCCGCGGTGTGCTAAAGGTTTTCCTGGAGAACGTGATTCGTGACGCCGTCACCTACACCGAGCACGCCAAGAGAAAGACCGTGACCGCCATGGACGTGGTGTACGCCCTGAAGAGACAGGGCCGCACTCTGTACGGCTTCGGAGGTTAAACGCACAGATCTGAACTAAACACAAACGGCTCTTTTAAGAGCCACCCACTAACTATTAAGGGAAATCTTCTCTGGTGTAGTTCGGTCGTCTTATATTTAATTATTGCTATATTACTAACTCTTGGTGTGCGCCGTACCTGCCCCAACCCGCGCGAACTGAGTCACTGCAATAATGTTGGCTAGTAGCTGCTGAAGATTTTCTTTGACAAATGTCAAATGTGGATGGAGTAGAAAGTCACTCAAGACTTTTTTTTTGTCACAAACATGCAAACTCGCCCGGGAGTCTCATGAAAATCCACATAGCTTTTGAGTAACGAAAAAGACATTTAAGCAAGCGTCTTAAATCTGTTGCACTAGAAACTTGTACGTTACACCAAAGCCTTGAAATCATTGTTGGGTTTCAGACGCTAGTTTATAGCGTCCTGAGACCCATCCCATTCATTTGTATGCTTTATGGAGATTGTATTAAGTATTTTAAATGTGAGCTTCTCATAATTCCTGTTGTACTCCCTGTCTGCTGATCGATTCGTTTCTGGAAACGTTTTTCCCTTTTGACCTAATTTTCTTTACTAAATATATACAAACAGTCATAGTTGATGTTAATACACAGCACGCAAATCTGAAAAAAAACAAACAAAACCCAAGCTGCCAAACCAGTGTCAGTCAGATTTAACCGTACAAGTAGAACAGAAAGTGCCCTTTTTAGTTGTGGGTGGCCCTGAGAAGGGCCGTTGTTTGGGTTTTTAGCGCAAGGGGACAGTTTACTTGGAGCTGGTGTACTTGGTGACGGCCTTGGTGCCCTCGGACACGGCGTGCTTGGCCAGCTCTCCAGGCAGCAGGAGGCGCACGGCGGTCTGGATCTCCCTGGAAGTGATAGTGGAGCGCTTGTTGTAGTGCGCCAGGCGGGAGGCCTCACTGCCGATCCTCTCGAAGATGTCGTTGACGAAGGAGTTCATGATGCTCATGGCCTTGGAGGAAATGCCGGTGTCGGGGTGAACCTGCTTCAGCACCTTGTACACGTAGATGGCGTAGCTCTCCCTCCTGGTCTTTCTCTTCTTCTTGCCGCCTTTGCCTGCGGTCTTAGTAACGGCTTTCTTGGAGCCCTTCTTGGGCGCGGTCTTTGCTGGATCAGGCATACTGTGTTCTTCCGAGTTCAGACGAACGAGTATTGCACTAAGTTCTTGTCCGCTCTATTTATATCCACCCCATGTAAAGAGACTGCGCCGTTCCTCAAAGCTGATTGGTCAAATTGCATACCGCTCTCTGCTTTGCCTTTTTATTTTTTTGGTCCTCTCTAATCTTTACCCAGAATGCGAAAATACACAGTATTAAAAATAGTCCCACGACTTTATCCTACTTAAAACATCCTGGTCAGAGATAGCAAACAGAGAAGAGACACATTCCAGTTCTCTTTTTGTAGGAAAAGCATAGATTATTTGAAAATATACATTTTCATTTTGTAATTTTGTGTAAACAGGACTTGAACAGTAGACTTGGACTCAACTTGAAGTCGACTTCTCTGTCTTTGACTTCCTGTGTCCTTTTCATTCTTCAGCTCCGGAGCTCAGCCTAAAATATTCACATTTAGCAAATGCGCTTTACTTTTGATCTTAATGCTCAAGTTCATGTTGATGAAAAACACTCAAGGGCAGAGCTGTGAGTTCCATGTGGCCCAGCAGAGAGCACGAGATCCTTCTCTCTCTCTCACACACATAGACACTATTTGCAGTAACATGGTGGGGTGCTCTATGTCTATAATGTGTGTGTCTTCATGGTTTGTCTGAAAACTCAATACAAAATAGATTTAAAGAGCACAATTCACGAGGCTATGATTAGTCTGAACCCGTTTAGATTTTCAACAAAAAGGTGAACTGAGAAACTCATGACTTCTTACCCTGTCCTTTATGGTCAGATTGTTTTAAATAAAATCTCAGATTAAAGTCTAATTTAAACGATGCTCTAAACAGAGCTGTGCCTACAGTTAGCATTCCACTCAATATCAGGAGAACCTCAGGTACAGGTACTTGATAACAATCATGTGTATAATCTGCCCTTGGGGTGCGAACAACAACAGAGACTTCGTATGTCTGCTGCAGAGAAATTTTAACAGAATGCATTCCTGTTGAAGATCAATTTAAACCTGAAATAAACATGAAAATGCCCCACATGTAATACAAGACTAGAAAATTATGCTCTGTTACGAGTGGGTGGCTCTTAAAAGAGCCGTTGTTTGGTTGGTTTGGAGAAGCAGATTTACTTGGCCTTCTCGGTCTTCTTGGGCAGAAGCACGGCCTGGATGTTGGGCAGCACGCCTCCCTGGGCGATGGTCACTCCTCCCAACAGCTTGTTGAGCTCCTCGTCATTGCGGACGGCCAGCTGCAGGTGGCGGGGGATGATACGGGTCTTCTTATTGTCCCGTGCAGCGTTCCCGGCCAACTCCAAGATCTCAGCGGTCAAGTACTCAAGCACTGCGGCTAGATAAACGGGGGCTCCAGCACCAACGCGCTCAGCGTAGTTTCCTTTCCTGAGCAGCCTGTGCACACGGCCCACGGGAAACTGCAATCCAGCCCTGGAAGAGCGGCTCTTGGCCTTAGCTCTGGCTTTACCGGCACCTTTTCCGCGTCCAGACATCTTCACAATGACTTCCGAAAATAATATCACGTTCAAGACACATATGCCTCTTACTACTGCAGCGGCCAATATATTGCAATGTTGCTGACTTCTGATTGGCCAGATTGAGCGTTAGTGCACGCGTCCAATCAGAAGCCAGCACGGACATCCACGGCCTCCCACTGAGGATACAAAGACCTGTGTTTTCGTTGAACTTCGACTGGATTTGGTTTAATAGTTTTGACATAATTGACATAATGAACTTTTATTTAACCTAAAAAGTACAATTGAGATCACTCATCTCTTTTTAATGGGTTCCTGGCCAAGACAGCAGCGCAAATCAGACAACCAGATATTACCCAGATATTAAATATAAACTGCAGTGCCACATTTACTAGTCAAGTTTCATCGCGGTTTCTTTATCACGGGTAAATAAAAACAGGTAAGCAAAACAAATACTAAAATAAATCATTACTATATACACCTTACAGACTATATAATATTATAAATCTGATGCGCTCTCAAAGCAAATTAGCATAAGGCTTATTTCAGTATTGAGTACACTTTGATACACTGTGCTTGGACATTTGTGTGGTGAAAATCAGCTCTTAGTTTGGTGTAGGTGGCTCTTAAAAGAGCCGTTGTGTAGTTTTAGGGCACATGACGTTTAAGCTCTCTCTCCGCGGATGCGACGGGCCAACTGGATGTCCTTAGGCATGATGGTGACCCTCTTGGCGTGGATGGCGCACAGGTTGGTGTCCTCGAACAGACCCACCAGGTAGGCCTCGCTGGCCTCCTGCAGAGCCATGACCGCGGAGCTCTGGAAGCGCAGGTCGGTCTTGAAGTCCTGGGCGATCTCCCTGACCAGGCGCTGGAAGGGCAGTTTGCGGATCAGCAGCTCAGTGGACTTTTGGTAACGTCGGATCTCCCTCAGAGCCACGGTGCCGGGCCTATAGCGGTGAGGCTTCTTGACGCCGCCGGTGGCTGGAGCGCTCTTACGGGCAGCCTTGGTGGCGAGCTGCTTCCTCGGAGCCTTTCCTCCGGTGGATTTACGGGCAGTCTGCTTGGTTCTAGCCATATTGGTTGCAAGAAAGTCTTCAGTTTAGACGAACTGTGTGCGCGGGACAGAGGCAGCGGCTTTTTGAAGGGCCTGGGCGTGAAGGGGATTGGCGGATGCTGCTCGCGCGCTGCATTCAAACAGTTCGACCCCGCCCCCAAACGGAAACGAGTCTCCCCCCCTCTCACGTGTCTGCGTCTAAACACAAATCCACAGCGGCTTTTCAGACCAAGAAAATATCGTCACTGTTGTTAGTTGTTATAGATTGTATTTTAATCTCTTTGTGTCCCGCGCACATTCTCCTAACATGCGGGTCATACACAGATGCTTTATGATTCGTGTTGTGTAAAGCTATAAAAAAAAAAAATAAAAATCACAATGTACATGTATTCTCTAAATACAGTGGGTCAAATAGGGCCTTTGGTGAGTTTGAGAGGTTGTAATCAGAAAAGTAAATAGAAAATGACATTATCGCGTGAGGGAAGGATCGAGGGATGTATCGTGTTTTTTGAGCAGACGCGGACCGATTACGCATCGTAACTGCTTAATCTACACCGGTTTTGTGTCACGAACTCCCCACTTGGCGTTTAGTGGGAATATCGAATTGCATTTGCCCGTATGAACTGTCCCGTATGTATGTATGTGAATGAACTAAAGAGCTCTTTAGTAAAAGTGTTGGCCCTTAAAAGAGCCTTTTGTGTGGCGGGAGTCGGTGTGATTTTACTTCTTGGCCTTTTTGGGGGCGGCCTTCTTCGCGGGGGCCTTCTTGGGGCTCTTCTTCACGGCCTTGGGCTTCTTGGGAGCCGCTTTCTTGGGACTCTTGGCGGGCTTCTTGGCCGCTGCTTTCTTGGGCGCTGCCTTCTTCACCGCTTTCTTGGCCGGGGACTTAGGCTTCTTGGCCGCAGGCTTCTTGACGGTCGTCTTCTTCTTGGGGCTGGCTGCTTTCTTTGCCGCGGGCTTCTTGGGCTTGGCGGCGGCCTTCTTCTTCACGGTCTTGGGTTTGACCTCCTTCTTGGCCAGTTTGAAGGAACCGGAGGCGCCCGTGCCCTTGGTCTGGCTCACGGCGCCTGAAGTGACCAGTCTCTTCAGGGCGCTGTTGATGCGCTTGTTGGCCTTGGTCACATCCACGCCCTTCGCAGCCAGAGCCTTCTTCAGCGCGGCTACGGAGACGCCTTTGCGCTCCTTGGATGCGGCGATCTCGCCGGTGATGAGCTTCTGGAGGCTGGGACCCTCCTTCTTTTTGCCCGCGGCCTTCTTCCTAGGGGCCTTAGGTTTGGCCGCGGCGGGCGCTGCTGTGGGAGCGGTCTCTGTCATGGTTTGTCTCGGGTTAGATCTGAGTCTCTTGTCGGGGGCGCGCGCGGAGGATATTTATAAATGCTGTGAGAACCGTAGAGACTCAATGTCAACTCCTCGCCTGTTCTGGCTCGGCTTTGTGTTTTCTCTTCGCACTTCAAACGGAAAACCTCGCTCATTTTTAATATTTTTGGTCACATATTATACATCCACGTGTAGTTCACAACCTTTGCTTCCTGTGGATGTTGTCGTTGTTCGAGGTAAGATGTCTGTATGATATTATAAACGTCGAAACCACGTCAATGCCTTCGCGCATTCAACACTGGACGCAGACTTTCTTCCACGTTTTGCTTCGAAATTTGATCAAACCTATTCTAAGTTGTGAATGTTGACTACTTTATGCCAAAAGGGCATGTCTACGAATAGTCTTGAGTTAAAAACAGTGCCCGTGTACTTTGCATGTAGTTGAAATTGACGTATTTTTCAGGTACAGTAAACACACGTCTCGTGGGTCACGTATTCGTTTTACTTCGTGTCCTTCTACGACTATTTGGCAAATTACAGTTAACGCTTTTGTCCATCTGTAAATGTTTGCAATAGACTTTCAGATTTAACTTGTAAGGTGATTTATATAATTATTATTTTCAAAATGTCCAGACAGCAGTGATTCGCTCTATTCATTAAATGTGCAACAGCCAAATGGTGCCTGCTTTTCTCCTTGCATCTGTGTTTGACAAGTGTAAACATTTAAAACATCACTCTAAAATCTACGTAACACTTACTTGAAAAAATCTAGGAAAATTATTGTCTTGAAAAAAATCTGACTAAAATGGACTGTGATTCTAAAACTGAGCTTACAAGTAATTCCTCAGTGTAGTCTTCAGTAAATTCCTAAAAAAAAAAAAAAAAAAAAAAAATCTAACAAGGCACAGCAGGTGAAGTGAAATTTAGTTGGCACTGCTTCACAACATGAGTTTTATGAATGAAAACTAATCAGCCAGTTCCTCATATCTCAAATATGTACTAACCTTTACTTTAAGTTAAATTGGTTGCCTTGAATTAAGCAAGTTAGAGTAAAAACTGGTTCTATTCTACAATAATGACATTTAGATCTGCATCAGGATTTGAATATTTATTAGTCTTTGAATATAAGTTGAACAAACGTTTTGCTATGTTGTTTTTTTTTTTTTTTCAAACACATTGTAACATGTGTAAGAATAAAATAACACTGGTCATTCCATGTCAACAACTAAAGCTGCCGGGCTCAAAAACATGCTGGAAGAAACAAAACAGACGAACAAGTGAAATCGAGCACAGAGTGAATGAACAGAAGGAGTGTATAGATAGAACAGAGTGAGGATATAGAGGCAGCCCTGGGAGGATTATGAAATGAATGGCAGCTGTAGGAAAAACAAAGAGAAAACATAGAAAACTAGGAAATGGAGCTTGAGTACTGGCATTAAAAATATATTTCATAAACATGATTGACAAAGTAAAAAATTTGTAATATTTCTTAAACTAGTACAAAACCGGCTTAATGGGCAAAAAAATCACTTTTACAAATACAGTAAATATTGGATTCTTATTTCCTCTGTAGTAATAAACTTCAGCAGAATTCCTATTTTAAAAACTTTTCTGGTTTTGTCCTGGTTTAGTCGTGGTTCTGGTCTGGGTTTAGTCATGGTTTAGTCCCAGCCATGTACTTCTTGGACCTACAAACCTTATGAAAAAGTATTATTGTATTTTATATTATTTCTACTAACTATTTTCATACTAATTGTGTTCTTTGTGTAGGTGCCCTCCTCGTGTCTGTGTGGGACATGACCTCCCTCAGTCGGACCCTCTCGCTGAAGGTGAACTTTAAATACTCCAGCACTGTCTGAGTTTGCAAATGTTCATGTTCCTCAGTAATTATTCTACTCAATTTAAATCTAATTCTCTTTAGGGCCACAGTGACTGGGTTACAGATGTGTGTAACAGCGCTGACAGGAAGCTGCCTCAAAGGTAATTACTGTTTTTAATTAGAACACACTGTATATTTACTGTTGTCCAAATAAAATAATAAACTTCACCCGAATTGTCATGTATGGGTTGCAGATATGAATAATTTTTAAATACAACCATACTGTAAACAAGGGTGATTCTTAATTAATATTTTAGGTGGAATTTTGTTTACTGATGACAGAACTTTTCAACTTATTAAATTCAACTCTAAAGTTTCAAATTTAAAGTCTTTAGTTTTAGGCCTAAACTGGTCTGAAAGGTGGCCATATTGTAAACGTTGGCTCACTTTAATGGACGCAGCTGGTCTCTTTTGGTCTGATCTGGTCTAAATGTGGGCCAGATTAAATGTTTAAACTACAATTTCCACAGGTTGCGCTTGGGCTTGGGGTCTTGTGTGTTTTTGGCGTGTGCCTCGACTGGTCTAAATACGGACCAGATTTAAACAGGCTGGTAAAACATGTCATGGTTGGGTGAAACTGAAATAACTTCTTGTAAACTAACCCTTCAACAGTTTCCTTTGGAGTTAAAAAGGTCTGAAAACTGACTTGAGCTTTGGGCTGTGTGTATGTTTTATTTGGTTTGGTCTGAACTGGTCTAAACGTGGGCCAGATTTGGACTGCTGCTCTGGTCCTAACCCTGACACTAAACTGAAAGTCTAGTAGTTGTTTCCTAATCCAACTCTTCCACAGGTTTGCACAGGATCTGTTCATTTTAACCAGTTTGAAATACGCTGACATTTCTGTTTTGTTATTGTATTAACTTTACAGGGTTAAAGGTTAAATCTCATATTAATTTTGCCATTGTGTTTGTTGTAAAATTGTTTCGGGTTTGTCTTGTGAAATGACGGTTCTAACCCTAACTCTTCTGACTTTTCTCATTGCAGCTCTAAACTATTTAACCGAACTTTTAAAATAGTCTTCACAGGTCCAGAGGCTGCTGTTTACGGTGAGTATGTCTGCACGCACTTACTAACACACTAACTCTGTACGAGCACGGGCGGTGGGTCTAATCCAGCCACAGGGGGCGCTGTGTGTGTCCCTCTGTGCCAGTCCCCAGCCTGGAGAAATGGAGAGGGTTGCTTCGGCGTAAAACCTGCCTCTTTTAACCTGATCTTAAAGTGTGTATGACAGCTTTTTCTAATAATTTTTACTTGGTTTGGTGATATTTACTTGTGGTGAATATTTATCATAGTTTTACATCAGATTTGTATTAGTTCCCGGACAAAACTTAAAAAGAAAAGCACAAAAATAAAGGATGTAGTGGTTCTAAAAAGGAATATGTCTGTTATCAAAGCTTTCAAATGCAGGGTTAATTTAACTATTGTGTAATTTTAGACAATTTTCACAGTATGGTTGCTAGGTAAAAGTTATCAAATAAATTTAGAAATCTTCATAAATATAATTGCTAACAAGCCATATGCATTTTAATATATTGACTGTACCAACTTAAATTTGTCTTATCTTGTAGCTTTAAAGTTATATTTATAGGTTTGATTTAGATGGTCATTACCGAAATGCAACCTGCTGCTAGAATAAAAAGTACATCTGTGAACTATTCTGTAAATCTGTAAATATTTTAATGTTGAATAAAATGTGTAATATGTGTAGAATTTAGAAAAAAAAAAAAAAAAAAAACATGTTTCTCTAACAAAATTATGGAATGTCAGGAAATATGACGCCTGTGCTATACTTTTGAATTCTTGACTTTTGACTGAGTTTTACAGAGGAAAACCAAAGAACCAAGTCCCCGTGTCACCCAGAGCATTGGCGCCATCTGCTGGAGAAGGAAAACAAGAACCAGACCTCCAGATTCACAATACATTCATCCCGAATTTCGGACTTCCGGTCATCGCGCAATGCATACTGGAAAGGATTCTCAGAAAAAGTGAGCATCAAACCGTCATGTTTGATTTCGTAATTGTGTGGTTGTTTGATGTCCTAACAGCGGGAAACAGGCATCCCACAACCACACAATTACGATGTCCGAATCCCAAAACTAAAATATGACAATATCAGAACCAGAAACAAAAGTGATATGGTTCAAAAGACTTGAAAAGATCGACTTTGACAATAGACACATCCCACTGGGAAAACAAACATGGAGGTTTGAGTTTGCCCTTTAATCTTTTTAATCTTGACTTATAACAATAATAATAATAATAATAATAATAATGATAATTTTCAGTGTTTTAAAAGTAATTTCAATAAATAGTAAATACTGTGGGACATGAAAGACTGATATTTAGTTCTAATGCTCTGTAATGATTTTCAATTATGGGATATTTCAGTAACATGGGATATTTTTTTCTCTTATGAGGTGGATTACCAGAAAACTCCATCCACCTGCTCCTGGTCTGTAGACTGATTCATCAGCCGGTTTCACTCTGTGGAAACCATGTGACCTCGCAGCATTAGGATTCGTTCGCTCAACAGTAGGCCGTTACTTTTCTTCATTTAACCAATCGCTGCTGTTTGGTCGTGTGATGTATGTAATGCTTTTCCCAAATCCCGTAGGAAGAAGGACAATAACGTCTTTCCCCTTGATAAAATTCATCAAACATTCTCTTTGTTCCGGCTTTAAATCCCCGATCTCGGGAATCGTTGCCAACACAGAATGTCTGTCTCTTTGCTGATTGGCTGGTGCCCGAACTCACACTTCTAGGGTTTTTGCAATCCGTCTAGTGTATTCTGATTCCTGACCTAGTCGCTGGAGAGAAATGAAACTGAGCAGAGGCACTAGGTGGCACCAGTCTGGCTACCTGGTCCGGTCTTTCTGTCAAATTTTAGAACCCTTTGTGGCCCATGATTCAGAAAGTTTGCCCACCGCTGGTATAACCCAACCTACTGCGACAATGACTGCAGTAAGTTTTCCGTCCTGCCATTTTCTTTGGCTTTATCCAGGGCCAGGTTGCAGAGGCAGCAGTCTGAGCAAGGAGGCCCAGACTTCCCTCTCCACACACACTTCCTCCGGCTCTTTAGGAAGCATCCCGAAGCATAGAATATGAATAAAAGCATTATCAAACTGTACATAAATACATACTTAGTCTATAAATGGTGAGAGTCTGTGTGCAGCTCAGCCGTCCTTTGTCCAAAACATGCACAGATCAGTCTTTTAGTTTTTTTCATTAAGTCTGGGTTTTACTGGACAAAACATTAGATTAAAACTTGTCATATGATATAACATAAATCACAGAACATCACTTTTAATTAAAATTATAATATTAAAAACTATGATGAAAATTAACACAAGCACCCGCCCACCAACCAGATCACCTCCTGACAACCCAGAGTGACCAAATGACCCAAAATGTGAATAATAAAGTAGACAGAACTTTATATCGACTCGTTCTTGCAGTTCATCCTTAGTTCATTTATTTGCTTCCTTGTGTCCTGCTCCTTCCTCCTAGCCCCTCGCCTCCTCACTGCAGTAAAACTGTCTCTCTTTGGTCTATTGCCATCAGCAGTGATTACTTTGGTAAAACAGTGCTTCGTCGCAGAGATCCAATTTTCCTAATGCACCGCCGTCACACGAACGCACCGGCCGGTTATTGATGGGGCGGATTGGAGGGAGGGAGGGACGAAGGGAGGGTAGAGGGGCACAAAGCCTGCTGGGAAATGGGACGAGACAGGGACACGCCAGGACCAGACGGGACAAAGAGGCTGGACATGGAGGAATCGCGAAAGTCCTCTATGGCAGGACCACTTTCGGACATTGGAGAGAATTTCATAAATTTTTAAGCTTGAACCATAAGATCCAACTATAAGGAGAACACGCCGGATGTCTTGCCGTTACTGGATTTTATTTTATTTTATTTTTGAAAATGGGCCTTAAGGTCAACATTTGCAAAAACCAAAAATTTAGATTTCTTCGGCAAAGCGGAAAACTAGATGCCTTGTCTGGAATACAAATGTGAACTTACATTCAAGAAATTTTATTAGCGTTTTACTGATACAAAAACTGACAAGATTTCTACAAATGTTGGAATTTTGTTAAAGGAATTTTTGTATGGACTATCATCCTTTTTAATACCAAAGCTGAATTCTGCGTTGCGGTTACATTTCAGGTCATAAGAACCAGACTTATTGATTTTGGCATATAAATTCTGCCAAGGAGAGGAAACCAAATGAAATGTAGTTGGCTGATCTTCAAGAAGAGGAACTGGCAGTTTTTTTTTTTATTGGACCTTTTAAGCACAGCAGCAAGGATGGGTCTTGGGTTTGGGTTTGAGTTTTTTGCTGATTTAAAGAATGAAACGGTAGTCTTTGCAATGACCGTTAAGAAAAAATAACTCGCGAAACGGTTGACCTGCCACGTGCTTGTTGTGCCGTACTCATATTTTAGCATTTCTAGTCTCCAAATTGTTTAAAAGTAATTCTGTATGTAACATTTAACAGATCTGGGAGTAAATTTTAGAAACTATTTACACAACTGGGACAGCGTTTTATAATGTTAGAAAAACGTGAACCCTCAGTGAACTTAGAAATCGCAGTTATTGATTAAATCAATTCCAAGATGATTTAAAAATGCATGTAAAAGAAGACCACTAAACAGTTTTGGTAATGAACTGAAAAGGCAGCTCCATCGTTATGAAGAGGGCTGATGTCATGTAGCATCTTCTGGGAAAGTGAGGTGAGTTTTTAAAGGGGGCCCACACCGTTTTTGTATTCTATGTTATAACGTTTCCTCATCGAAAACACCGGAGTTGTGTTTTTTTTCATTCATTCGCTCACGTTTAACACACAAACTCTGCATATTTAGGCTGAATTCTTCTCTCAAACAGCAAACACTCATTCCACCTTTTGAGCTCATGATAATACAAGACAGTGGACGTACACCTTCACTAGAATCATTTTTGATAATTTCACTCCTGGAATTGTCAATCTCCCCTGAACTAAAAGTAAAAAGTAGGTGAAAGCAACCACTTCATTAGCCTGATTCATCAGCCGGTTTCACTTTGTGGAAACCGGGTAGGCGAGTACTTTTTTTTATTTAACCAATCGCTGCTGTTTGGTCGTGTGATGTATGTAATGCTTTTCCCAAATCCTGTAGGAAGGACAATAACGTCTTTCCCCTTGATAAAATTCACCAAACATTCTCTTTGTTACTGCTTTAAATCCTCAATCTCAGGAATCGTTGCCAACACAGGATTTATGACTCTTCTTCGCTGATTGGCTGGTGTCCGAACTCGCACTTCCGGGGGTTTTGCGAACCGTATAGTGCAGGGGTGTCCAAACTTTTTTCATCAAGGGCCACATATCTAAACACAGATGAAGCAGAGGGCTGATTAAGGGCTGTAGATTGATGCTCAGTACAGGGACTAATTGAAATGTGTGCATGTTTAACATGTTAGAATGAGCCATCAGTCTTTATTCATGCTAAGATCCTTAAAACCACACACTAAATAGGAAATATTAGCTTTATCAAGGTAGATTTTCAAAAAACTTGCAGTAAAAAATGATTTTTCAGTTGATGCAAGTTAATTTGGGCCAATTCACCTGGAAGTCTGAGGGCCGCATTTGGCCCCCAGGCCATAGTTTGGACATGCCTGGTCTAGTGTATTCTGAGTCCTGACCTAGTCACTGGACAGAAATGAAATTGAGGGGAGGCACTAGGTCATGATCTCATAAGGTGGAACTGAGTATTTTGAGCTTTGGAGATGTAGACAGACTACTCAAACTTAAACATGTGTAATAATAAATAAGTATAAATAATAAAAAAGTATTTCTTAAACATGCGTGAATTAAACTAAACACAACTCTAGGTCTGTTTTCGACGATGAAATGATATAACATTTTTAAAAGCTCACAAGAGACAATTCTGCATAACCAGAAATCATGTTAAAGGTTCTATGTTATGGCATATGACGAATACAGGGACATTAAAAAAAAAAAAAAAAAGACTGAAAGGACATTACTGAATATTTTAATACCCCAAGGTCTGCACGTTTCATCCATTAAGAACAAATGGGGCTGATTTGACCACTTTATGTAAATACTGTGCGAATCTGTGGTCCGGCTCATCCATCTCTGAGTGTAATAGACATTTGGAGCTTTCATCAAGTCACTATAAAATCACATGCTCCAATAATAAAATTACAGTGGAGTCCCCACGAGACAGTAGGAAGCTATTTATTTACAAACGTTTTATGATTTATATGATCTATTGCTGTGAGTTAAAAGCATCATGGACTGAATTAGAAGATTAAAACATTGCCCACATTAGACTTAGACTTAGACAAACTTTATTGATCCACGAGGGGGAAATGATTTGGACCCAGCATCTCACACATCACAATATAATCTAATAACAAAGAGTAAAAAATATATAAATGGTAATAATAAATACTACATACATAACAAAATGATACCAAGACAACTGTGTGAATAAGCCATAATTATATAAATGTAAATGTACAAGTCAAAATAAAATAGAAAATAAGTAATAAAAATATCTCAGCTGTAAGAAGTTGTACGGAAAAATGGTGCACAAATTGTATAATGATTGACGGGATATTAGGGTTATCTGTTACATAAGGGTGAGTTGTTGTACAGTTGTAGGGAGTATTATCTGTTACTTAAGGGTGAGTTGTACAGTTTTAGTAACATAACTGAGTTGTACAGTTGTAGGGAGTATTATCTGTTACATTAGGATGGGCTGTTGTACAGTTGTATGGAATATGTTAGGTAGACAAGGACTACAGTCACACAAGGATTCAATAATTAATCCAAACTGAATTAACAGCAAATACCAAAAATATAGTCACATATCTTTGTTTTCTGCATATTATCAATATAATATACATTATGATATCTCATTTCCAATGTTGTTTTTCTGTACAAGTTTACAAAAGTGAATATTTATGTAAATATATATAACAAAAATAACCTTTAAAATGGGTTGTTTCCTCATAAAAAACAGACCCAGAGTTGTGTTTTGTTTCATTCACGTGTGTTTAACACAAACCCTGCAGATTTAGGCTGAGTTCTTCTTTTATACTGAAAACACTATGTTCCACCTTGTGATGTCATGTGGCAATACAGAAATTGCTTCACTGTGTTTATAAACTCCATACATCTTTTATTAGAATCATCTGGAAAATGTCAGCCATTTAATTAACAAACTCTGCTGAACAAAAGGTAAAAGGGAGCTGTTAACTTAAACTATCACTCTGTGACATCAGAAGGTGGAACAGAGCATTTTGAGTTTTGGAGAAGTAGACAGACTACTCAAACTTAAACATGTGTAAATGAAACAAACCACAACTGACTCTTCTGGGAGGTACACCACCTGGTTGTCTCTTGCTTTGTCTGGACTGGTATGTTTAATGCCATCCTGTGGAATATTCCAGGCAAAGCATTAACATCTCCTTGGAGAGAGAGACCTTAACCAGAAAAATACACACATTCATTGTAATTTCTGATGGTTACAGTTTGAATGATGACAAATGACAATGATCAAAACAGTGGACACATGGTAATATACTGTTATAAAGACGCTCAATGTGATAATATAATAATGTCTGTAAATGTTTGTTTGCAGTTCTGTGTCGATTGGCAGGAGACTCTTTGGATCCAGAGCAGTGCATTATGGGACTTAGCTGCTTCAAGTCTTGGAAACATGACCGGACTCGTCATAAAGGTCTCTCCTAACCCTCCCTCTGTACCTTTTACTCACTCTTTGAGTGAGCAGTGAGTGAAAAAAATTGTAGTAAAAGTAATGAAAGTAGTAGGATTATATGAACATTCACATCACAAATTCAACAAGTGTCATGGCTTTACACTGTAGGCCTATATATAATGGACAGAGCTCACCTGCTAGCCGCCGGATTCCAAATAGGAAGTGAGCATGGGCGCACTTCTGGCTCCATCAATTCTGGCTTCAATTCACTTTGTATTGAAAAATTATTGCCCCTCTTTCTGTAACTGCTGCTGTCAGGTTGATCATTTTGGTCTTAAAATGTTTGTATTAACTCGCTCTACACGACCCTGGTGTTTTTATATCACTATGTTGTCCGTAAATCAAGATATGAACATCAATAACAGACAAATCAGGCGCCTTCTTTCCCCGAGGTCGCTCCTTCTGGCATTAAGAACAGGTTTGATTGACAGTGTTGCAAAGTGCAAAGTGTGAGGGCTGTTACCTTCAACAGCCTTGCTCTGGATTGGCTCTTTGGTTGTTATGATACTCGCGGTCAGAATTCCAAATATGGGTCTTCGCTCCATCAATAAATCAGAGTCAGTTCTCCCGACTTCCGTTGTAAATCTGTTCCATTGCAGCAGTTGGGGAAAATATGGAGCCTGAGAAAGTTTAATGTAATGTCAGGTAATAAATAGTCTGTTAGCTGACGTTATCTGTCGGTGACTCAATTCTGGCAGTTTGACTTTTACATGTTCAGAAAAAAAACTTAAAAACTGTTACTGTCAAATGATGTGAAAGAAAGTCTAAATGTTACTACAAAGGTTTTAGAAGACATTTTCTCTATACCAAGGGTCTCCAACCTTTTTCCTCCAGTGAGCTACTTTTACAAAATGAAAATGCCAGAGAGCAACTAGTTTTAGTGGTCACCAGAAATTGAGCAAATATAAGAGCCACAGCCTTAGATGAGGAACAGTTAGATGTCTATAAAACATAAACCTTTATCCATTTATTAGTGTACACAGTTAGGCATCATGTACATGTACAATGGTAAAAGGCATTTAGTTAATCCAGTTTTACTTATTCAGCACAATACGTGTAATTCCAAAATCCCTTTGGCAAGCTACTTGGAAGTGCGTGGAGAGCTACAGGTTGGAGACCCCTGCTCTACACAGACACAACTTAACACATCAAAATGACAAAAAGACAGTTCTCCCCATTTACTGTTTGCACCAAAATTTTAGCTGAGACATAAATCCAACTGATTCAGTCTGCACTGAACTCGCCCAAGTTTGTGTTTCATAACTCTGATTTGATTGTCTGTTCCATTGCACTTTCTGGAGGTGGAGGTCAGTTTTCTTCGAGTCCTGAGCTCAAGAGAATCCAGCATTAGTCCCTGTAAATGCCAGCTTTGATGAGCTTCTTTTGACTGAAGCCAAACGCTGTGGGTGACGTCACACTCGCTCAGACCATTTCTTTAAATGGTCATGGCTGAAGTGTGTCCTTAGGGGATTGGCCACTGAAACTGGTTGGTTTAAGATTTATGATCCTGAACACCGCAGTGCTTTTTGGATTTTGGGATATCGAAATCTCTTGATAAGATATTTTCGCAATAATTTATTCATCTCACTGTGCAATATTTACAGCAATATTTTTTGGAGTTAAACAAAATGTCATAATACAAATATTTAAGATTTAAAAGTACCTTATAACAGTTATTTCATTATGTAGATTTGACTGAAACAAAGCAAAGGATCGTGGTCTGTGTAGTTCTCTCTGATTTTAGCTGTTGTTGCACCACAACAATGAATTTAAACTAAGAAACTTGCAATTCTATATAATGTGATGATCCAAAATATTATTGTGAGACTTTTGACGATACAATATCACAATATTTCAGTTATTGTTACTGTACATCTCCTCTGACGTGCTCATTCCCTGTGCTTTCTGAAGGGAACAGAGATGTCTTGGCCAGTCCTGGCTCGTACTTCTTCCTCTCAAACAGCGCAGGACAAGGAGACGAGTGGCTCAAGACTCTCAACAAAGGAGCCTGGATCCCATTCACAGGTATTTACTGGTCATTCACAAATGGTCCTATATCAGTTATATGGTAAATAGAAACCCACAAATGGTCCTGAGCAGCACATAATTATTTTCATGTTTTCGTTGCAGGTGTTTTTGGTCAGCGTTTGGAGGAGACGGTTCTGTACGAGCGTAAATACGGGGTACGTCTGGTGCCCCTAGTGGTGGAGCAGTGTGTGAACTTCATTCGGGACAGGGGTCTTCACGAGGTTGGACTGTTTCGACAACCTGGACAGACACGGATGGTCCAAGCACTGAGACAGGCCTACGACTCTGGGGAGAGACCCATGTTTGACAGGTAAGGCCCACTCACACTAAGTGGGATTATCAGTGTGCACAGAAGTGCTGTCATAGGTGTACTTACGGAATGATTTCAGACTAATTGCTGGATTTCACATGGTGCAATAAGTATATCTCTACTACACTAGTGTAAATATGTATAGGCTTTATGGCCAAACCAATATACTTGCCCATAAGTTCTCCATGTGTTCCAGTGATGTCAAAACAGTGGCCTAGCATGACTCTTTGAGAATATTACTAAAAATGTTGAGGTTGTGTAGTTCAAGTGAAACGTTTGTAAACTGTGGTGTGAGATTCTGTGTTGCTATTGTGTGTATTCATTTATGTGGAGAGCCATGAGTTTGAACAGTCAGATCATTCAAGCTCCAGTGTGTCCTGTGAGGAGCTGTGTCAGACTCACATCTAACATAAGGAGATATGGGCGATCTGTATACATGCATTGTATATTTACATTTTTGTTTCTTATTTTTATATACTTACTTACGATGAACCAGATGTTATTTGTTCTTAATAAAGATTGAATTATATTGACTTGCTATACAATTGATACTTTGCAGTGACTTCACACTGGGTGTTCTACATGGATCATTATGGTGCAATGTTCAGAGGTGAATAGTTTACTAGTGACTAGCTTGTGAGAGAGACTTATTTAACAGCACAATCTCACCTGTTGTAAGTTGAACTAATATTTACCATGTGTACCATTTCTTTGGAATATTGGAGTGATTTTTGGCATTTTTATGTAATAACGTAAGCTTTAAGCTTTAGAGGGTAGAATAAATAACTTATATGGCTAATTATTACTTCATTCTGCTATGTATTTGCTGCAGCAACAGTCCTTTTAATGGTACAGTATATTTAAAAAGTGATTATCCTGGTTCATTGTTATTGTGTCAGGGGCATATCATCGTTTCAGTATTATCGTTTCTAGCAGTATATCACTGGATTAATATATTCTCCAAAATGTGCTATCACGCCTATAAAACAAACATATGTGGTCACATTTTCAGAATGAGAATTCATTTCAGTATAAAAAATACACAGAAATGGAACACTGTACTGTCCAGGTTATCAGCAGCATATAAAACAAAAATATTGTAATGCAGTCTTTAAAAACAACCCCCACCCCCATTTTCTAAAGTGCTTTTTTATGTCAGGAAAGCACTTTAGAAAATGGGGTTACAGTTTATTTAGTTGTGCTGTTTGTGATGATGAGCATGACCCCACAGCGAGTCCAGTTCATGGGAGAAAGAGGAGAGGGGGAAACTGGCAATAAACTGTATCAGAAAGCACCTTCTTTAACACGTCTCTCTCTCCTGCAGTAGCACAGATGTCCACACAGTGGCGTCGTTGCTGAAACTCTACCTCCGTCAGCTGCCTGAGCCTCTGGTGCCATACAGCCACTACCAGCACTTTCTGCAGTGTGGTAGGAAACTGTCCACTGACCGCACACGGGTAAATGTTCAGCAACACTAAAGGGCCCATATTGCTCTATTTTCTCTGTTCTAATGTCGTTTCCTCGTCACAACCAGACCTGGAGTTGTGTTTTGTTTCATTCACACACATTTAACACACAACCCCTGTAGATTTAGGCTGAGTTCTTCACTCAAACAGAACATATTTTGTTCCACCTTGTGATGTGTCACTAATTTCAGCCCTGGAATTTCAAATTTTTACTAAAAAGATTTTTGAAAAAGTAGCTGTTTACTTGAAAACTAGACAAGGTGGAACTGAGCATTTTGAGTTTAGAAGATCTAGACCAGGGGTGTCAAACATATGGCCCAAGGGCCAGATCCGGCCCTCCAAGACCTTTAATCTGGCCCTCGGCTGATTTTCTACTAAAATATTTGAATTATATTTTCTATTAAAATATTGTTAATTTTCTGCAGTGCTTATCACAGCAGCGTCTCTGTACGTGGCCCCTCCCACCAGAGCAGCACAAATGAAGACTTGTCTCTTTCCAAATGCTCTTAAAGGACGATCGTTTTGACTGTTGACCGTGACACCCTCATCAAAAAAATGTCCAACATGAGAAAAGTGGAGCCGAGTGCAGAATTTTACAACAAAAATTGACTTATTCCTATTTACAGACAAGTTCATGTTAAAACATTGTGTTGAAATTGTATTTTTCTTAAAGTTTCAGGTTGTTCATAATATTATAATATTTTGTGAAAGAAAGAGTTCATCAATTAAAAATATTTCTGTAATAGATTTGCGTTTCTCTGCACAAATATTTGAACTTATTGTTATTTTTGGGGTTTATATGACATGAGTTTTCTGATCCGGACACTTTGGGATCAAAGTAGGTTGGATACGACCCCCGGACAAAAATGAATTTGACACTCCTGATCTAGACAGACTAATAATAAAGGGTTAATCAAACATGTGAAAGAAACAAAACACAACTCCAGGTCTGTTTTGAGGAGGTAACAACAGTATAACATGGCTAAAACTTCTCAAGAATCAATTTTGCGTAATATAGGACCTTTAATTACCCTTATTTTTTGTGTGTGTGTCTTTTTTTCTCAGGGTTTGGTCGAGTTAAGATACCTGCTTCACGAGCTTCCTGTTGCAAACTTCAACCTCCTCAACTTCATTTGCCAGTATGTGTTAAATGTTACATCGCTAAATTACAAACATAATTACATTAAGAGACCGGATGAATTCTGTTTTGTTTTGTGTGTTTTTGGACAGATTTCTGAATGAAGTACAGAGTTACTCCAGTAGCAACAAAATGAGCTGTCAGAATTTAGCCACCGTTTTCGGGCCAAACATCCTTCGCTCCAAAGCCGAGGACCCGCAAAGCATTGTGGGAGGTAAGAAATTCACCAGAAACATGCTACCAGCTTCAACAAAGAAGATCTTGACCCACATATTGTGATGATGTCATAATCCCAGAGTCAAAATTTCCATGTTGATGACAAAGTACTTTAAAGGGCCCATATTACACTATTTTCTAATATATGTTTTAATGTTGTTCCCTCATCACAAACAGACCTGGAGTTGTGTTTTGTTTCATTCATACATTCACACAGACCCTGCATATTTAGGCTGAGTTCTTTTCTCAAATTAAATCCCATACATCTTCACTAGATTCATTTGGATAAATTCAGCCTAGGAATTGCCGATCTGTACTAAATAAAATGGTTAAAGGAGCTGTTAAGTTGAAAATTATCGCTTCATGACATCACAAGGTGGAACATTTTGAGCTTTGGAGATGTAGACAGACCAATAATAAAGGATTAATCAAGCATATGAATGAAACAAAACACAACTCCAGGTTTGTTTTTGAGGAGGTAACTACATTATAACATGATTAAAGCTCACAAGAGTCACTTTAACATATAATTTCCAAAAGATAAGTGTTGAATCTGTTTGTCTCTGTTATTGGCTAGACCCAAGAACTTCGTTGTCAACAAAAATGGGCATTTTAACAATTATAATATCTAATAACTGTAGTAAAGGTGCATTGTGTAACTTTTCTGTTGGTGGATCAGTCTTTGCTTTTCTCCATAGAGGTGTTATTGCTTTGTCTGGAATGTGTCACAGTATGGCATTAAACCTTTCTATCATTATGAAGACCAAACTAGACCAAGTTACAGGTCAGATCTGTAGAGAGGCGATGCCGCTCACAGTCAAAATGTCTGTTTTTTGGTATTTTTGAGCTATAAAACCACCTGTGATTGATTAAATGTAAAGTAGAGCTGTTTAATGTCACACTGTGGAACATTCCAGGCAGAGCAATGACATCTCCATAGAAAAAAGCAGGTGATGGACCCCCAACCAAAAAGTTGCATAATACACCTTTTAAATGTTATTGGACAATCGAATCTTGTGATGATGTTGTGTTGTGTGTTGCTCAGGGGCAGCTCTGGTGCAGGTCTTGATGCTGGAGTTCATCAGAGAGTATCACAGTCTCTTCTCTAAAGTGCCTCCTCCATCTCTGAGACCCCCTGTGTCTCCGTACAGCGCCCCCTGCCTGCGACAGATGTCTCTGCCGCTCATCACAGAGAAAGACAGTGAGGCAGGACAAAGGTAAGTGTTTTTTATATAAACCGGAAGAAGTTTTCAGGAGAATTCAACTTTCTTCTGATGTTCTTATGCATGAAAACCCAAGTGCTGTGAGCTGTCTGGTATAGGGTAGTGAAAAATATCTATATATTGAAAATTAAATCAGTAATAAATAAATGCATTGATTTTTATTGATAATAAGCAGATGAGTAATAAAACCAAGATTAGACTAGGGTTATATGCGTTTTAAGATCTTCTTAAACCCCCCCTTCCCCCTGGCTCTGTTAAAAAAAATAAAAAATAAATAAAAAATAAAAATCTTGTCCACATGAGGAAAAAAAGTTGGAGACTGCTGGTTTACATTATAATTACCTATTTAAAGGTCCTATATTAAGCAAAATCGACTCGTGTATACTTTAAGTCATGTTATAATCTTATTACTTCCTCAAAAACATAATTGTGTTTAGTTTAATTCACACAATTAATCCTGTGTTTTTAATCTGTCTACATCTCCAAAGCTCAAAATACTCTGCTCTACCCTGTGATGTCACAAAGAGGCAGTTTTGAAGTTAGTAGCTACTATTTATTCAATAGAGTATAGTAGTTCAACAAATCCAGGGCTGAAAACATCCAAATGATTCTAGTCAAGGTGTGTGGATTTAAAAAATACTGTGGAGCACTTCCTTTTTTACCACATGACATCACAAGGTGGAACAGAGTGTTTTCAGTTTGAGGGAAGAACTCAGCCTAAATCAGCAGGGTTAAATGTGTGAATGAAACAAAACACAAGTCCAGGTCTGATTGTGATGAAGAAACTACAACATTATAACTAAGGGCCTATTTACACGAGAACACTTGTGGGTAAAAATGACAAAATATTTTATTGGAAGTGCCTTTCGTTTAGATGATGACGGTGTTTTGGGGGCTTAAAAATGCAAAAATTTGAAACCACCCTCCAGAGTGGAAAAGTTGAATACGTTCTGCCGTAGTGTTTCCGTCTACACTGCCCAAGACACAAAACTCTGGTCAGATCTGCTCAGGTCGTGTACGTGTTTACGTTACAAACATACAGTACACAGAAACCTGACATGCTTCCAATCGAATTCCTCACACTTTTGCATCACTGTATGCACGCAGATTTCCTCCCAAAAACACTCGTCTAAATGCAGAATAAAAAGTGAAGACGCAACACCACTTTTGTGTTTTCTGTTCAGACCCTCATCATATAAACGTAGCCAAAAAAAAAAGTGTAATACGAGCCAAGAACAAAAAAGAACAACTTAATTCAGCATATTGGTAGTTCTTTAGTGACTGGATTCAGAAGGTTACATCACACTTAACCACATCTTCCTTTCTTTTCTCCTCAGCTCTGTGCCCAAATCTGAGTTTTATCAGAAGAAGCTCTTAGGTCACCGTCACACGTCATCCCACCCTGAAACGTGCATGTTCCTCGCCCCGGGCTCCTCCAGTCCCTACAACAACGTGAACCTGCATCACCACGGCGACCAGCAGGGCCATTCCGTACCTTTGCCGCTCCTCAAACCGGACGGCCTGAGCTGGACTGAGGCCTGGTCGGATCTACGGGACCCCAACGTGGACTACTGGACCCCTGACGCCCCGAACGAGGGTCTAGCCTCTCTCAGCGGTGGTAGTAGTATTTCAAATGGGATTAGTACTCCCTCTGCTTACGACAACATAGAAAAAGAAAATTCCAACAGTGGATCGTTTGAAAATGTCCAACCTGAAACTGCTGAGCAACCTCAAAATTTAGAAGAAGAACAAAATGAGGAATCTTCCACTTCTTGGTCGTCCTGCGAGATTATCCCACTGGAGGAAAGCCTAAGCCCCGCCCCTTCTGCAAAAAGACACACAAGTCTACCTGTAATGGAGCTTAAAGACTTAGACAATGAGGGTGAAGAGCCGTTTGAATCGCTGCATTACACCACGCCCACGTCGCGTTCAGAGCCCAGCATCAGCCCTCTGAGCACGGGCAGCTCCGAGGTGTTTCTCCCCTCAGGACCTCCAGAGCTCCAGGACCAGGAGGGGCAGATGGAGACGAGCGAGCCCAGAGACACACACTCTCTGCTGGTCGAGCTGCAGCGGCAGCTGGCCCGGCAGAGAGAGGAGTACCAGGCCCGGATTCAGAGGTGGGTTTCCATGATAAGCAAGTCTGTCAACAGAAATTTTGGGGTCCCAGAGCATGAAGACTGACGTGCCCCCCTCCTAATATTAATTAATAGGCAGAGGTTCCAATTTTGGCCCACTAAGACCCCAGGGCTCGGGACAACAGACTACAGTACTACTATAGAATCATTATGTTGTGTTAAAAATTACATTGTCAATAAAAGTTTTTTTCTTACTTTTAAAGGTGCTTTGTGCAACTTTTCTGGTTGAAAGCCCATCATTTGCTTGTCTCTATGGAGATATCGCCTAAATTGTTTCACATTATGAGATTAAATAGAATTACAGGTGGTTTTATAGCACAGAAATATCTTTAAAAGAGAGAGAGAGAGAGAGAGAGAAAAAAGGCATTTTCTGAAAAAGAATTTTCAGTCCTGCTCCCGCCTGCATCTGTTATATTTTGTCCTGCTCCCACTGGCAAATCCTGCAAGATGTGGGCGTTCACTTTCTTAAACTCAAGGAATTGTCTAAAATGTGCACAAGATTAGACCACATCCAGAAATTTAGAAAAGTTACATAATGCACCTTTTAATTATCCTTTTTGATATAAAAATTAGTATGACTTTTTTCTGGGGGTGTAATGTAAGTCTCATGATACAATATCGTCACGGTATGATATTTATTGCAATATCATGGGAAAGTTCAAGATATAGTGAGAAAGCTCATGATTAAAAATGTAACAATATCAAAATCTCTCAGTACGATATTGATTGCGATACTTTGTGGGGGCTAACAAAACTGACAATATGCTACTTTTTCCTCTTAAAATGTCTTGATAAGTCTTAATCCAAAGAACTAAGAGGAGTTAAAAGTGTTAGAACTGTTATTTCTTCTTGTTATCTGCACTGAAATGGAGCAAAGGATCATGGTGTATGTAGTTCCCTCTGTCTGTTTTTTTTTTTTTTTTTTTAGCTTTTGCTGCTCCATAACTCTTCATTTAAACAAGACTTGTGACTTGTGATTCGATATATTGTGATGGTCCACGATATTATTGTAGGAACTTTGACGATATGAGATCACGATATTTCAGTTATTATATTACATTCCTACATTTTTCCCCTTGAAGTCTATCAAAAGTGTGGAATTTTAGTATCATGACTCATTATTTCTGTATGTCCGTCTCCTCCTCAGTTGCATCATATAGTGCAATAGTCTAATCTCTGTTCATGACCTCACCTCTGTCTCTCCTCTCTCTTGACTTTCCGCCTTCAGACTGGAGCGCTGTAACGACGTCCTGGAGAGGCAGATCACCGTCTTGAGGCTGACCCTGGAGCAGCAGAAGCGCAGCCAGAGCGTGGCAGAAACTCAGCTCAAACACATGGAGTGCGCCAAAGCGGACGCCGACCGACGCAACCACAAACTGCAGCAGGAGATGGACAGGTTCTTCGAAATGTGCGGAGAGATCAGGAACTCAGAAGAGGACGAGACAAAGGAGGAGAAACCACGGACAAGAGTTTTACAAAGTCTATAATGATAAATTACATAAATATATTTAAATATGCTAGGCCTATTATCTGACAGTAAATTATACTAAAATGTCCAATTTCAGTCTTAAATGAGAGTATATCTGCTGTAGCTTGACTTCACTGGATTGAACCATGTCAAAGTTTTTCAAATTCTGACCAAAATATTATTAAACATTATTAAACTCACATTTTCTTACCAAATAAAGAGTATATTTGATTTTATGTTTATACAGCGGCTTACAGAAGGTCAAAGTTGTGCATAATACATAAAGATTTCCATAATACACCTCACATTGGATTAAAACTAATTTCTATCTGACATAAACTAAAAGTGCACTAATGTTTCTAAAGGGGAGTCCACCACCTGCTTGTTTCTTTGAAAATGTTGATTTCCAAAACTGTTCCACCGCACTTATCTAGCAGTTATTAAATTTTTTCTTCTGTAAGTGTATTTCACCCTCCACAGATCTAACCTGTAACAGTTAGTTTGTGTTTTATGAGCCTAATGTCTTTGTACATCGACCCTTCAAATAAAAACTAGAGATGTTCCGCACCAGATTAGATCTTAATAGTTAGTTTTAGGGGTGTAGTGATATCCAAATCTCACGATATGATATTTATTGCGATATTGTGGGAAAGCAATATCCAAATCTCTCTGGACGATATTTTCACGATGTACATCTCACGGTACGATAATTATTGCAATATTTTGTGGAGGCTGTGAACAAAACTGAACATGCTACTTTTTCCTCTTAAAATGAGAAGACTTAATCCAAAGAACTAAGACTTAAAAGTGTTAGAACTGTTATTTCTTCTTGTCGTCTGCACTGACATGGAGCAAAGGATCATGGTCTTTGTAGTTCCCTCTGTCTTTTTTTTTTAGCCTTTGCTGCATCATAACTCTTAATTTAAGTGGAGAGACTTGTGATTCCATTTATTGTGATGGTCAGTGATATTATTGTGAGAATTTTAACGATACGATATCACGATATTTTGGTTATTGTTACATTCCTAGTTAGTTTCCATCAGCAGTCCCTGGTTTACAGAAATAAATTATACAATGCAATTATAAGTGCCAAACTGCGGCTGTGATATTCCTTTCAAAGTAATAACATCGGAGCAAAAAGCTGCTATCACATTACCTCAATTCTTGCATCTATGCACTGGTTTTCTGTTCATTTTAGAATTGATTTTAAGATTTTATTATTTGTTTTTAAAGCTTTGAATGTTCTGGCCCCACAGTACGTCATCCAGATTAACACCCCGCACGTGCGCTGGGGTCCAAGGTCCAGCTCCAGCTCGTGGTCCCCATAACGAGACTTAAAACCAGGAGGACAGCCAGCCCCAAACTCTGGAACACTCTGCCCCTCCACGTCCGAACAGCCCCACAGTGGAGAGTTTTAAATCTCGTCTTAAGACCCACTTTTATTGTCTGGCTTTTAACACCGCATGAATTGCGTGTGCCTGTTTTTTTCTGTTCTTTTCCTTTCCTTTTCTTTTTTTTTCATTAGATTTTTTATTTATTTTTAATGTAATTTTATTTTTATTTAATTCATTTTCATTTTATTTGTACTTATTTTTATTTTAGTTATTTGTTTTTTATCTATTTTATTTTTTTAGTACTGCTTTTATGTATTGATTTTATTATTATTTTATTAGTTTCCTTATGGTTGAAACATAATTTTTTATTTTTTTTAAGTAATATGTTTTGCTTTGCTCGGTGAAGCACTTTGGAAACTGTTGTTTCTAAAATGTGCAATACAAATAAAGTTGGATTGGATCTCAGTGAAGACAAAAAGCTGATGGCAAATCCTCTGTTATCTTCAAATCCCAAGTACCATAATTTAATTTGTTCGCAATTAGTTCTTAAGCATTGACCTAATTAGATACTCATTTGATCGATCTGAACAGGACAAAAAAGGTGAAAAAAAAAAAAAAAAAAATCATACTATTGCCCACGTAATTAAACTAAAGCTTTGAGGAATGTGGTGTAGTAATCTTACATTAAATAAACATAAACAAAGCCAGTTTTTTTGGAGTTCTTCTCTAACATTTATTTCAGATTTGGCAGAGAGAGATAGAGATTTTTTCTTTCTTTCTTTTTTTTTTTTGAGACACACTCAAACTTAATATCAACAGTCTTACTTGAATTTTTTGCTATTTCTGGATTTGTTACAATTGGACAAAAAAAAAAAAAAAAAAAAAGAACAGAACCATCTGCACAGAAACACAAACATTCAAATTGTGACTGCACTTCATGTTTTAACAGTTTTAGGAGGAACATTTAAACTGCTATTTTTCAAGTCGTATGAAAACACAATGTTGTTCAGTATTATTTGACCTCTTTTTAACACATCAAAACATTTATTTATTTACTTGAGTCTTATTTTTTTTCATTAACCATATTGCATGAACTTTCAGATTTAAACTGAAACAACATAAGTGCAAAATCAAAAGTCAGTCAGTGGTATAAATACAACATTAAAGCTGCATTGTGTTGCTTTTCTGGTGGAGGGTCTGCCAAATTCGTTTCTCCGTGGAAGTGTTATTGCTTTGTCTGGAATTTTTCACCTTTCTATCGCCATGCAGACCAGACCAGACCAAGTTACGGCTCAGATCTGTGCAGAGGCGACTCCGCTCACAGTCAGAATGTGTTTTTCTATGCACTTTTGAGCTTTAAATGTAAAGTAGAGCTGTTTAATGTCACACTGTGGAACATTCCAGGCAGAGTGACGGACCCCAAAACCAAAAAGCTACACAGTGCACGTTTAAATCACACACATTTTAAAAACTTAAAACATTTAACTTAATAACAAATGACCTGTAGAATGAGGAACTGTTAACACACTTTTTAGCCGGCGTAACAGCTCGGTGACAAAAAAAATAATAAATTTCAATCAATATCATCAGCAAATTCAAAACTCACAAAACACTTGGCTGGAGAAAAAAATAACATTAAAACGAGCCAAATTCTATTAAGAAACCAAATATAAAACAACATGGAACAAAGATGTGCCCATTTACCAGATATACAACAAATAATTTTTTCACAATCGCCACTAAAAAGTCCATCAGTCTAATATTCAGTCAATTTTTTTTTACATTTTTGTCACGTTTAGTCACTCTTACTCCCATTATAATTTCACACTATATACTTTTATTTCAGCTGCAACTTCGAGATCATATGAAAAGCCTATAAGCAATAATATATGCAAGAATATTAGGTAAACTACTACTTAAAACGAGGTTAGTAAGAGAAAATAGAGCTATAGATCTGTAAGGAATGACCCAGTATTTATGATCCTTTTTAACTAAACTAACCCGTTTACTGACCAAAACGTTAATGCCCCTCATGCTTTGTCTTATCTTACACATCCAGAAATCTTTCAACTAAAATGGTCCATATTACGCAATTTTCTGATCTGTTTTTCTGATGTTGTTTCCTCATCGCAAACAGTCCTGGATCTTTGGACAAGTCAGTTTTGTGTAATCTAGGACCTTCTCATGCGTTACGTATCATTCTTACCATTTGTTTTTACTATAATGACCGACCAAACTAAAATGTTCCAGCACAAGTTTCCTGAGAAAAAAATTCTGGCTTTGTAAATTAAATTACAAAGCGAAGAATTTCCAGATGTTAACTAAAAACCATCAATGTGTTTAACGAGCAACTGTAACATGGAACTAGTGCAAAGTGCATTTTACAACAAAAAACAGAACTCATTATCCTGCACGTACGTAGCTCAACAGTGACCGCTTCAATTTTCCGTTCATTTTTACCCATAGACTTTTGGAAAATTAAAATCTTAAAAGATGCATCTTGTCACTTTTCTTTTCGCGGAGGGTCTGTCACGTGCGTTTCTCCAGGGAGATGTTTGTTGCTTTGTCTGGAATGTTTCACAGTAAAGCGTTACACTTTTCTATCTTCACGGAGACCAAACCAGACCAAGTTACGGGTCAGATCTGTGGAGAGGAGACCCCGCTCAGAGTCAGAATGCTGGTATTTTTAGATATTTGAGCTATAAAAAAAAAAAAAAAAAAAAAGGAGACCGTAGCTCATTTGGTCGAGTGATTATCCACTGATCAGAAGTTTGGCGGTTCGAATCTCGCTCTCGATGTCAGGCTGGTGGTGCAATTCCACCTCCCACAGATGAATGCCGTCATTGTGTCCTTGGGCAAGATGCTTAACCCACTTTGCCCCCAGTGTCTGCTTGATGATGATGATGTAAAGCAGTTTGAGAGCCTTGAAGGTGGAAAAGCGCTATATAAAAATGTGACCAGCTAATAAATCTAAGGTAGAGCTATTTAAAGTCATACTGTGGAACATTCCAGGTATAGCAATGACATATCCATAGAAACAAGCAGGTGACGGACCCCCATAGAGCACCTTTAAAACACAAGATTCACAAGTGATTTTAAATAAAATAATCGATTCTTTAGTAACTCCATTTGTTACCACAGAGCTGATCAGCCCTCAGCTTTCAAACTTTTATACTGTTCATTTTTTCCCCAGAGACTTCCAGAAAAAAATAATATTAAAAGAACCCTATTTAAGATGGGCACGTGAACTCTAATTCTGTAGGGCCTGAAACGTTGCACGGTTTGTCCTAATAAATCTCACAATTTGTAAGTAAGATGTATGTGGGATTTTTCTCTATGTTCTTGAAAAAATGAATGGGAAATTTTGTTCCAGAAGCAAAGGGTAGGGGTCACTGTTGAGCTCCATTGGTTCTCTTCATTATCTTCATTATTAGGTCCCTATTATATCGGTCCTTGTAACTTAAAGGTGCATTGCGTGACTTTTCGGGTCTTGTCTCCATGGTGATGTTGTTGCTTTGCCTGAAATGATCCATGGTACGACACTAAACACGCCCATCTAGATTTTATTTATTCCGAGTGTTTCTGTAATAATTCTCTCTGTGAATAGTGGTGTTTAGTCTCTACTGTGAAACTTTCTAGACAAACCTCTATGAAGACAAAAGTTCAGCAGCGCACCTTTAAAACGCGCCATAAATAAGACAAACCATAGAACGTCAAAACACCAGAGACGCTGCAGGAACAATGAGAGAGAGAGACAACAGTTCAATTCAATGGACCATTAATCACAATATTCAACATTTGGCAAAGCTTTTTTTTTTTTTTTTAACCAAACAACAAAATAAAATCCTTCTGAAAATGAGCAGAGACCCAGAAGTCTGCAGGCTGGCAGTTTGGGCAACACACTAACCTGCTTTGCCTGTGTTCAGATGAGATAGTGGTGGAGAGAATTCTTGTTATGGATATTTCAGTTTCTAATTTATGCTTTTTCCATTGTTTTGAGGTTTTAAAGTGTGCATGTTCTGTGTCCTTTCTCAGATGAGGCAGGAGTAAGTATTCTTCTAATGAGTATGTATAATTATCTGGTATTTTAGGTTGGAAATGTCTCCAGGTGTTAGAGAAAAGGTCCATTATCCAGCTGTATTCTTCAGACAACAACACAGATTCAGCAAATGAACAACTTTTACCTGTGCCCATCTCAGTCAAACATTAAAGAGCCCACATTACGCTGTTTTCTGATCTGTTATCAAGTCGTTCCCTTGTCACAAACAGACCTGGAGTCGTGTTTTGTTTCATTCACATGTTTACCTCACAAACTCTGCATATTTAGGCTGATTTCTTTTCTCAAATGGAAAAATACATTCTTTTTCAAATCGTGACGTCATGTGGTAAAGCAGGAACAGCCCCGCTGTCTTTTTAGACTCCATACACCTTCACACATTTGGATAATTTCAGCCAATTTCTACTGAACAAAAGGTAAAGAGTCCCTGTTCACTTGAAAACAGACCATTCTGAGCTTTGGAGAATATGTGAATGAAACAAAACACAACTCCTGGCATGTTTCTGAGGAGGTCATTATAACACAGCTAACAGCTCAATTTTGCGTAATGGAGGCCGGTAGAATTTTGTGGTGTCATTGATGAGATTCGATTGGAGCGAGGCGTGTCTCGTGTCGTGCCAGGCGAACCTCAGAACCCGGATGGCGTGAGGATATTCATGTCCCGGTGCTTGAGCTTGTGGGGCCTCGATCCCTGCTTGCGGCCTTCCACGGTGGGTATTTCCAGCTTGGGCGGGTTGACCTGCTGAGGGGTGGGGTCCGCGAGCCGGGTGGCCTGGGACTTCATCACCTCCATGGGGGTTGGCTTCTGGGCTCCACGGTACGCCTGCAGAGCAAAGCCTGCTGGGAAAAGTGAAGAGGAGATTTGATTACTCTGTTTTATCAATGAGAAATCCTGTTTTAATGAAAGGATTTTCTTCACATTTTAAACACAACTAGGGCTGTCGTGGTTCGGCAATTTCTTCTGCGGTGTGGTATAGCAGCTCAACAGTACCTCCTGTGAGTCCCGGGTGAGTCCCGGGTGAGTCCCGCATTAGACCCGCATTAGACCCGCATTAGACCCGCATTAGTCCCGCATTAGTCCCGCATTAGTCCCGCATTAGTCCCGCATTAGACCCGCATTAGACCCGCATTAGTCCCGCATTAGACCCGCATTAGTCCCGCATTAGCCCGCATAGACCCGCATTAGACCCGCATTAGACCCGCAATAGACCCGCATTAGACCCGCATTAGACCCGCATTAGACCCGCATTAGACCCGTCCCGCATTAGACCCGCATTAGACCCATTAGCCCGCATTTAACCCGCATTTGACCCGCATTTGACCCGCATTAGACCCGCATTAGACCCGCATTAGACCCGCATTAGACCGCATTAGACCCATTAGCATTAGACCCATTGGACCCGCATTGGACCCGCATTAGACCCGCATTAGACCCGCATTAGTCCCGCATTAGTCCCGCATTAGTCCCGCATTAGACCCGCATTAGACCCGCAATAGACCCGCAATAGACCCGCATTAGACCCGCATAGACCGGATTTGACCCGCATCAGTCCTGGGTTAGTCCCGCATTGGACCACGCATTAGTCCCGCAATAACCCGCATTAGACCCGCATTAGACCCGCATTAGACCCGCATTTAACCCGTGCATTGGACCCGCATTAGTCATGTAGACGCGCATTAGACGCGCATTAGACCGCATGGTGGGCTTCAGTACTGCATTGATTCGCATTGGACCCGCATTCCCGCATAACCCGCATTAGACCCGCATATAACCCCATTTACACTATTTTCAATTTTTTACCCGCATTGTAGTCCCTCATTAGTCAAACAGACCTGGAGTTTGTTTTGTTTACCCGCATTACACACGCATTAGACGCGCCAGCTCGCTTGGACCCGCATTAGACAAAAAAAGACCCGCAATGGAATTAGAATCCGCATTAACCCGCATTACCCGGTAAATTAACAAAGCAGACCCGCATTATATACAGAAATTAACCCGCAACTAAGAAACAAAACAACAGAATTACAGCATTTGTGACCCGGCTTGGACCCAATTGGACTTGGACCCGCAAGTGGACGCAAACCCACAAGTGGACCCCAAATTAAACCACATTAGCCCAAACATTAACCGATTAGACCCGCATTAGAAACTGCATGACCCTTTAACTCCACACACCTTCACTAGAATCATTTGGATAATTTCAGTTCTGCAATTGCCGATCTTTACTGAAAAAAAGATTTAAAAAGTGCTGTTAATTTGAAAACTACCGCACCACGACATCACAAGGTGGAACAGAGCGTTTTGAGGATTACTTAAACATGTGTGAACGAAACAAAACACTCCAGGTCTGTTTTTGAGGAGGTAACAGCATTAGAACATGACTTAAAGCTCACAAGAGTACATTTTGCGTAATTCAAGAGATATATTAAAATAAGCATTAAATTATGACAAAACCAAAATTCCATGCATTTCAGAGCGTCCCTGTTTAGCAGAAGGTTTTGTCCAGCTACACAGTAAACTGGATATTTGGTCAAATCAAATTGTAATTTAGACGCAGTACATTTTGGAGCTGTAAGATTTGCAACAGTGTTAAACAATGGGGATTTATCTCACTTCAGGTAGTTTTTAAAAAAAAAAATTCAATCTCTCTGAAGTAGTGCAGTAATTAATTGTACAACTAAATATATATATATTTTCTTTTAAAACTAAAACAAGTTCTAGTCTTTGAAATAATGCAGCTCAAATTCAACAAAGCCAAGTTCCATTTTACCCCTGGTTTAGTAGTCCTAGTTATGGTACTTCTTGTTATAAATCTGGTTTAAGAAAGTCATACATATTTTCTTAAATGGTACTGAAAAGTTTTAGAACAAATGGGCACTGTATACACTGTCAATCATGTAAATTGTTAAAATACAAAGGAACATTTTACAGTGTTAAGAGAAGAGACCCCAACCTATCATCAACAACACAGCCCTCTGCTCTGTCCTCAGCACTTCAGTGTAAAAGGCATTAAAAGTGCAGAACAGTTCATTTGTAAACAGGCTCATATCAGCCGACACAGATGTACGTCACCTACCTAAAGCCATGCTGGAACATAGAATTTTAACAATGTCCAAAAGCTCCCAATTTGCTTCATGTGCTCGTCCATATGTCTGACCCACTGTGCTCTCGCTCTGTCACGTTGGAGACTTAATATTCTCATGTAAAAAAAACAACAAAAAAACTGGAGTCTAAAGGTCAGCTCCACCAGGTAAACAACACAAGCGCAAACCAGCCTTGACCGACAAACTCGACAAACAGGTAAAACACACAAAAACATTAAAACCTGACAAACAAGAACTGTAAATCCCTCTTTTAATAAAAATTTAAAGCTGAATTTTTAAGTTCTAAAGAGATTATTATTACGGTAATGCTGCAGGCCTTACTCTGTTTAACACATATTATTGAGTTGGTTTTGTTCACTCATCTGTGTATCATTCACTCCAAACACCAGGAGCCCATCAGCTGATCGCCCAAACGTATTTCCATGACAACACGTTTCAAGTGAACAGAGCAGAGTGAACAGAGCTATACACACGGTGGTCTTCTCTTTTGGACTAAATGCACTGAGGACTTGAACGCTGGTGACAGCAGAGAAAAAGCTTTTTACAGGACACACAGACAGACCCAAGCTCACCTACACAGACAGAAGCAGGAGGAGATTTGACCCAAACTTCCTTGTCTGACAAATATGTCAAACAGCAGCTCTGCAGTAGCCAGGCTGGCGCCACCTAGTGCCTCCGCTCAATTTAATTTCTCTCCAACGACTAGGTCAGGAATCAGAATACACTATACGGTTCTCAAAACCCCAGAAGTGTGAGTTCAGGCACCAGCCAATCAGTGAAGAGACAGACATTCTGTGTTGGCAACAATTCCCAAGATTGAAGATTTAAAACCGGAACAAAGAGAATGTTTGTTGAATTTTATCAAGGGGAAAGATGTTATTGTTCTTCTTCCTATAGGATTTGGAGCATTACATACGTCACGACCAAACAGCAGCAATTGGTTAAATGAAAAAAAGTACCCGCCTACCGTCGAGCGAACAAATCCTAATGCTGTGAGGTCAGACTGTTTCCACAAAGTGAAACTGGCTGATGAATCAGACTAGCTCTGCAGCACCTATTCATACAAATATACATCTATACTATAGGAGTGGAGTCGGAGACCTGCTGGAAACTCTGAGCTTTTACTGTGGTTCAGAACGAGTCTGGAGCAAATTCTCTTCTACATCGACTGAACTTTAGTGACAGTGTGAAGTCGCCTGGTCATTTTACGTAAATTATAAGGATTTATATTAAACAACAGCAGAGAGAAGGAGTGAGTTACCTGAATATTTAGTATTTTTTGGTATTTATATGTAAAAGCACAGAACCTATCTGCATATATATGAATGAATGAATGAATGAATGAATTTTGAACCTTGGGTATTTCAGTCCTTGTTGGAAAAATCTGATTTTCAAATTGTTCAGCCCTAATTGACAATTTCAGAAAAAAAAACCCAAAAACAAACAAAACAGTAAGTCCAACCTAAATTCTGTTTCTCTCTTTTACATTATGAAATAAGCTGCTCTGATACTGGACTTTAGCAGGAATCATCTAACACATGTTATACTAACCCACTTCCTTGGTGTTTACCTGCACTGGTGGCCTCAGACCCCACATCAGAGGTGGACTTGTGTACTACTGGCCGTGGACCAAACACACTCCACCGCTCAACAACGCCCCCTGCAGATTCCACAGGGCCAAGGTCCACACTGGAGTTTGAGCTGGACGTGATACTGGCCTCAGAGCCAGCGCTTTGGAACCAACCTCTGCAGAAGCACAAACACAAACACAAACAGGTTTAAAGGTCCTGTGTTATGCAAAATTGATTCTTGTGAGTTTTAAGCCAAGTTATAATGTTGTGACCTCCTCAAAATCAGACCTGGAGTTGTGTTTTTGTTTTTTGATGAGGAAACAACATTATAACAGATCAGAAAATAGTGTCATATGGGTCCTTTAATTTTTATCAGTCCAAAGTGTTTTTCCAGTTAGTTTACCTGCGCTGGTGTCTGGGGGAGCTGTGTGGAGTGGTGGATGGAGTGGACTGAGTGGAAGAGCTCTGTTTGTCTTCTCTGGGCTCAAGGCTCTGAATCTGCAGCTTCTACAAAAGGCAGAGAACAATGCTACCAGATTTTCAAAAGAGAAATAATCAGCAAAGCATTTGAAAAACGGCCAACAATAATATAGTAACATCCTGATGTGAGGAAATACGCCAAAGTTCTCCTGGTTGTTTACTTTGTGAACACAGGGGCTACTTGTCGGCTGTGACCTGTGCCAAAACAAGCACAAAGGCAGACTCCATTCAGCAGAGCCAGTCTCCAAACTGACCAGTCACTGACCAGTAAACTTCAGCTGTATCATGTGTTACTTCATTAGTTTACATTTCAGTGTGTAATTTAGTGTCCATAGTTCATGAGCTGCAGTTTGTGTGTCACTATGGCACTTTTTTTTAACTTACATAATTTTTTTTACCTTTATTTAACCTTCTTCATATTATTATCTTATTCTAATGATCAAATGCAATATATAATCATATAAACTAGGGCCGGGCACGTTAACGCGTTAACTTTGCGTTAACTAATTAAGTCATTAACGCCGACAATTATTTTAACACTGTTAACGCAGTTTTTATTATTTATTTATTTATTTTATTGTAAAAGTCTGTTTCTCACTGGCTTTTATTTTGAAAAAGTCCACTAAGTTTGATGTCTTTTCTTTCAACTTTTTTCACTTTTTTCTGACCACGTGAGATGCAACGTGTCCGAACCTCCGCGAGCCGCGGGCCCGCAGGCTCCAGCTCTGGCCACGAGTTCGGCCGCAGGCTCCGGCTCCGACCGCGGGCTCAGCCGCGGGTTCGGTCGCAGGCTCCGGCTCTGGCCGGACCAGCCGTGCGCACTGAACTGAGCTTGTTTCTTTAGTTCAGCGCTGCAGGGAGAGTCACCGATTTACCCAGATACCATTGGAAGAAAAAATGTGATTGGTCCATTTCCATTTCATTATATTAACCCTTTGTTTCCTAAGAAATATCAGTCCAAGTTTATAACACTGGTCTAGAAATTATTACTAGTGTAGTGTTCATTACTCACGGCATAAAAAATATTCAATAAATATATTAGTAGTACAAAAGTCCATTCAATATTTTTTCTTGAGCCTTCAATGAATACCTTGAAGGCTCTGATGGTTCCCCTGTGAAAGAAATGATGTTTGCACAACAAATGTTTGGCTCTTTCATTTACATTTCCAATAAAAGAGCACTATACTCTACTTTTAATTCATTAATTGGTTTTGCGTATAACATGCGATTAATCGCTCGAACTCATGCGATTAATCACGATTAATTTTTTTTTTTTTTGCCCAGCCCTAATATAAAACATAATTCATTCCTCCCCATGTTAATTAAAGAGGACCCCACAGTCTCATTTAAGGAGAGACCTAACACGTTTCTCTGAAATACTTCATAACCAGGACAGTTAGGAGCAGAAATAAAACCCACAGTGGTAGTTCAGTTGCCTCAGGAGCGGCTCCCCTGGGGGAAGCACATTCATTATTCAGCTCATCTGTTCATTGCTGTTCACACCCCCCGCTCAGGTGTGCAGTTATTTCATTATTTATTTTCATTTGCCCAGTCTGCCCAGTGGTGACTAGACCCTAGATGCCCTTCCTGTGACTCAGTCCTGTCCTATGGACCCAGACCCTCCCTTGGATGAGCCTTATCTTATCCTTTTCTAAACTTTTGTTGGTTAAAATAATGATCTTGTTCTGCCCTCAGAGCACCGCTGTATTGATTTTAAACTGAGTTGAATCATAGTGATATCAGTATTTTAATGGCACAGCACCTTCTTATTTATCTGAACACCTTCAGCTTCTGTGGTTGGACCACAGCTGTGGAAGGGCCAACTTTTACTCATCAGAACAGCACAGTCACTGCAGCACTTTAAATCTCTACAAAAGACACACCTTTTCTCATTGGCGTTTAATATAAGTTAGAGGCAGTGACTAGTGGGCTTTATAAAACTGTGTTTTTATTTATTTTGAATACATATACCATTTTTGTATTATTGTTGTTCAGCACTCTGCTTTGGCTGTTTTAAATGCTCTAGAAACCTGATTTGATTTGGTATTATTTTACCACATGGTGTTATACTACTTCCAAAACACTGAAACAATTCAGGAATCTTTTTCCTTGCTCACATAAGTTTCTAGTATAAAAGTTAAATAAATATGATCTGCATTAGTATTATCATATATTTATATAACAGTGTGTGTAAGTGTTGGTGCTGGTTCTGACCTGCAGGGCCTCGGGCAGGCGGTGGTGGTGTTTGGTCTCCTCTGCGGTCAGGCCTTTGTGTGGAGTGTAGCCAGTGTCACTAAGCCCCGCCCTCTGCTCGAACTTGGACATGCTGTCATGGGTGTGTTCTGAACAAAAAAACACAATAATAGATCAGATTTAAAAGTCTTACACAAGCAGAAGTACACTACCATTCACAAGTTTGGGCACACCCTCTAATTTAAGGTCTTTTTCACACCGCTAGTTCGATTGTTTGGTCCACACCAGGCAAAAAAATTGTTATTATGTAGCAGATAGACTCCAGTGTGGTCCGCTTTCACACCGACAAACAAACCAAAATTGGTCCGATTGACGTGTCATCAATGTTTATCTTCCGGTAGAAATAAGCACCAATTTTCACACACTATGGAGCCACACGTACGCACTTTCGTACTTGCTCTTATCTTCCTATACTATCTTCTCTGTATTAGCCACTGTTGGCAAAATATCCAGTTCGAAAAACGAGTCACGGCTGCGCCTTGAGACCAATGTAATATTGCACTGGAGTCGGCGAAGGAGTATAGCACGTCACTTCAACCAGAAGAGACGCGCGGTTTTCATGGATATGGTCATGTTGACTACACGTAGACTGTTCCAAAGACCCACAAGGTAGGTAGGTTATGTCTATGGCTTTTACTGCAGAATCGGTTATGCTGTTGGGCCAATAGACTACAGGACAGTTTCGCATTGGCAGTAAATGAATCTACATGTAAAATTACGGACTTAATAGTCTAGCCTGTTATTATAAATTAAAGTATCCAGCTGTGTTCTCGCTGATCCTGTATTAGGCTGTTTAGTTTTATACATATATATTGAAGAGTACTATCACTCAGGTTTAAGGACTGTATAGGTGTTAGCTCGGATTGTGATATTCGCCCTGGAGTGCCGGTCAGGACATAGGAGACAGGATGCAGATGGTGTATTTAGAGGGTTTAATGAAGCTCAGGCAACATCGCAGAACATTACTGGTTGTATGTGTGGTCTATAAAGAAAAGAATAAACAAATAAAGTTTCTGTACTACAGATTACAGTAATAAAGTAAAAGGTGTACAGGTGTACTGCTAAGTATATAACAAACATAAATAATAAACATGGATGGACTAAATAAAAGCACACAATAAAGACATAATATAACTATAAGGAACATACACGGCATGACACACGAAAATAGCATTAGCGTCTAAGCCAAGCTAAGCCAACTCCCTTATAAACATAACTACACAGGTATTATAGGAACATGAACACATCCTGACTGACTGATATTGAGGTTGATATATAGTGTTGCCAGTTGTACTGAAGAAGATACATTCTCTTGCACCTTGCTGTTTTTTTATCCACACTGCCTCTTAACATGTAACATGTCATAACAAAATCACTCTGTAATGGCACATAATTATATCTCCCTCTGCCTTTGGGTAGCATGTGTGTTTGTATGGATGCCATAGGGCAGTACAGAGTAGTATGTGTATTTGTATGGCATAGTGTAGGGTAGTATAGGGTATGTCTATGTATGTATGTTTGTTTGTGTTTTTTTTTTTGTCTGTGTGCCTTGATATGTATGATACTTTAAGTATTTATCTAATCTATCTATCTTATAACATGAAGGCTAGGCTTACGGTTGGCTTGAGTCTATAGTAAATGAAAGAAGCACAAAACATCCTAAAACACTGCAACGGGGTGTTTTTTGATTATTAATTGCACAAATGCTCACCTTTAGATGTTATTATTACCGACATTATGCCATGCTTAGCCTACTCAAATAGAACAGCAGGACTACTAAGCAAAGTGGGAAAAAAAAGACTCACCATCATCAACATCTGGGTCACTTGGAGGGTTAAATCCGATGAGGCAGTAAGTGATACCGGCATAGGCTCACGTTCATCATTTTCCACTACATCCACTGGATCGACGACTGGCTTCGTGCCCAATATTTTTTCGAGTTCATCAAACCAGATAAATTTGTCCTTTTCTTTTCCACTACTTCCCGTTTTCTTCAGTTTATCAAGCACCTGTATATACTTCTGTCAAAGTTTTTTTTACTTTAATACGGGACTGCTCTGGAGACCGATGAAAGCCCTTCTCCCTCATCTGTTTGCTAAAAATCACAAATATTTCAATATTCTTGTGCGTTGACGATAGTTGTTGATTGATGTATTCGTCTGCCCAGATGTCCATGAGGGCTTGAATTTCTTCAGTGGCCCACGTGTTGCCCCGGTTCGCGGAGGTTTGACCCATATTTTCTTCTTTCACCACAAACAGGAAATGAAATAATATAGGATCCCCTCCCATGATGCATTTCGAGTAGTTTGTTTGGACCTACAGTCTGTGGTTTGGACCCGGGTTCGCATTCACACCAGAGGAACCGCACCAAAGTTGGTCATTTGGTGCGGATTCAAGCGAACCGAGACCACCTCTTTTTGCGGTCTCGGTCCGCTTGATTTGGTTCGGTTCTGAGTCCGATTAACGCTTTCACACCAACGCAAACGAACCGAATTAACCACTTTTGGTTCGAATGGACCGTTTGGTGCACACCAAATACTGTCGGTGTGAAAACACTCTAAATTCTTCTTTCTTTACTTTTACTACTTTCAACATTTTATATACACACAGGAGAGAAGTAGTAAAAGTAAAGAAAGTTGAGATAGTGAGAAGGAGTTCCAAACTTTTGAATGGTAGTGTAAATGTTCACAATTGTTGTCATCCTATAGATCTGCTGTATGTCTTACTTGTGATGATGGAGTTGACGATTAAAGAGGAAGCTTTGGTTTTCACTATGGCAGGGGGCCTGGGGGGGGCGCTGTCTAAGGCAGAACGAGTAGCTAAACTGGATTCATCCTCCTGAAGACAAAACAGTTTCAGTCTGAATTAGGTTAAATATGGCTTAATGTAGTGACACAATTAGTAGAAAAAAGAAAAAAAACACCTAATATGGCTTTAGATCTGACTTTGCATTAATTAATTAATTAATTAATTAATTAATTAATGCATTAATAAACTAAAGACAACAACAACAAAAAAGTCTAATAATCAATACTGGAATGTTAAATCCATCTGTGAGAAGGGCATCAGCAAATTTAATCTTTTATTACCAATAAAAATAAAAATAATTCTACAAAACTAGCCAGCCAAATCATTTTTCTAAGTCTGGTTTGGGTGTGACCTCTGCCAGGTGAGTGAACTTCCTCTCTGGGATGACGGGCCTCCTCCACAGGTTGTTGATGCTGATGTCGTGCGGGGGCGTGGACATGGGCGCCTCCAGGTTGTCGTCGTAGCTCAGGGCGCGTCTGGTCATCCCGATGGGCAGCTTCATGCCGCCCATGCCACCGCCTTCGATCGCTATGGAAACAACACACAAAATTTTAAAAAGACATTATAGTCCAGCGTGTACAAACACTGCGAGACCTTATTTACATTAGACAGATGTTCATATTTTTGGTGGAACAGGCCCGTGGGTAATATTTACATTATAAGTGTCAGTTTGTGAGTTCTGGAAAGGAATCAGTCAGTGATTCACAAACTGTGGTACAGGTCCCTCCAGGTGTACGCAGAAAGACCTACGGAGGTTCGCAAGTGCCATTTTGTCTCTATTTCATAAGAATCTTTATCTCCCATGTTAGTCTAAACCAGGGGTGTCCAAACTCTTTTCATCAAGGGCCACATCTCTAAACACAGATGAAGCAGAGGGCTGATCGAGGGCCGTAGACTGATGCTCAATACAGTGAATACTTAAAATATGTGCATATTTAACACATTACAATGAGCCATCAGTCCTTTATTCATGCTAAGATCGTTAAAACCACACACTAAACATTAAATTTTAACTTTATCAAGGTAGATTTTCAAAAAACTTGCAGTAAAGTCAATTTTTAATTGATGCAAGGTAATTTGGGCCAATTCACCTGGAAGCCTGAGGGTTAAGAAAAATTTGTCTGAGGGCTGCATTTGGCCCACAGGCCATAGTTTGAACATGTCTGGTCTAAATGTTTTAAATCTGTTAGCTAGGAAAATGTCTTTGAAAAATGAGAGACCTGCTCAAATACTACCCGTTATGAAGTATTAGTTATAACAGGTTATCCCCAAGTTTGACTACCCTAAATTTAAGACTTTTTAAAGACCATTTTACCTTAAATGAAAATTAAGACCAACATCACACTCATTATGCGAGTGAAAAACTCCAGATCCAATTCTAAAAGTGACCATTACTCACTGCTTCAAATAACAAAAAATACTTTTACTATAAAATCTCATTTAGAACTCATTTATAGTCATATGCATTCCTTGTAAAATAGCCAAAAAATCATTCATAACTTACTTCTAACAACACAAAATAAGTATTGTTTGTGCATTCTCCAAATTAGACGTTCATTCTTGTTACATGATTTCAGGGTTTTTTGTTTTTTTTTTGTTTGTTTTTTCTTTCCTCCCTTTGTTTAACTGCAGCCCAGTTGAGTAAACAAAAAAAAAACAGGCTAATGAAATTTAAGACCTTTGTGAAAAAAAATAAGACCTGGGCAACATAATTTAAGACCTTTTAAGGCCTTAATTTAGGAACATGAAATTTAAGATCTTTTTAAAGACTTTCAAGACCTCGCGGCTGCTCTGTATGAGTTGCGCTTTGCCATTACACTTTTAACTCCATGATGCTTGAGTTAAAGGTGCATTGTGTTGCTTTTCTGATGGTGCTTTTCTCCATGCATATGCTATTTCCTTGTCACGAATGTTTCACAGTATGGCATTAAACTTTTCTATCTTCATGGAGACCAACCCAGACCAGGTCACAGGTCAGATCTGTGGAGAGGCGACCCCACTCACAGTCAATGTCTGTTTTTCTAAGTACTTTTTTTTGGCTTTAAAACCATCTGTAACTGATGTAAAGTACAGCTGTTTAATGTCACACTGTGGAACATTTCAGGCAGAGCAGTAGCATATCCATAGAAACAAGCTGATGATGGACCTCAACCGAAAAGTTACATAGTGCATCTTTACTGGTCAATAGCAGTAAGATGCACACACATAGAATACAATAGCATATATTGTGCTTGAACTCAAGGGCAGGACTGGACAAAAAGCTCTAAACACACAACTCATTTCCTCTTCCTTTTGCTCTTTGTTCGTCATTTATAAGTTTCACAAAAAACAACGTGCAGGTTCCTGAACCTATTATGTTTCCACAGAAAACTCCCTCATTCCTGAGTGCATAAGCTTGTAGCATGTGCAGGAGTCTGATGAGAGTCCTGTGGGCCTGACTCATGGTGGATTCTTAAAACAGCTCTAAAATCAATGAGACACATGCTTTAATAATCTAAAAATAAAACTAACTATTATGTTTTATATGACGTGTCCTCAGAGACATTTTGAGTGGTTTGGAGTAAGAGGAACATGGCTGGTCATCTCAAAAATGTTCACACTGCTGTATGTCATCAACACACAGAAATCTGTGCAAAAATAAAACAAACAAACATAATTTCCTTATAAGTTAAACATCTATTCAAGACCTTGAAAGGGTTTGTCATTGTCTTATCCAAATTGGGTGAACTCTGGACCCGATTTACTGCCCGGTTCTCGGTAACATCACAGAATTACCTGTACTTATTACACATTTCCTATGTCCAACCAGGAAGTAAATTATAACATTGTTCAACTAAAGGAGAGGGAAATGAGAGAGAAATGTGTTTCCAGTGGCAACTAGATTTAAGTAAAACAATATATCCTTGAAATGGTAGAGATCTAAGTGTTTTCACTTGTTTACAAATTACTAGAGCCCGACCGATATGGATTTTGTTGTGGCCGATATGAAACTGATATAATGGGAGTTGGCGCTGCCGATAGCCGATATAATCGCCGATATATTTAGTGATGTAAAATTCACTGTAAATCTTGAATTGTTTAAAAAACTTAGGTTTGGCTCTAGTGGATTCTAAATTGGGTTTATTTAGGCAACATTTATTGTTATTCTGACTCTTTACATCATATTTACATACAGTAGATTGGCCTAATGGCATTTTTGCATCTTTTTCTATCTACTAGTGATGGGTATTCCAGTTTTGTTTTTTGTTTTTTGGAGAATCGTCTCTTTTGGCTCGGCTCACTAAAGCAGCTGGCTCTTTCGGCTCCCAAGCGACTCTTGAGATTGTTTTGTTGCAAGCAGGACTAAACCAAAACTGGACCAGGACTGAAAAAGGACTAAACCAGGACTAAAACAGATTTAAACCATGTGTAAAACAGGACTAAACCAGAACTGAACCAGGACTGAGTGTCGGGACTCGGTCTCTATCTCTCTCTCAAGCCCAAGATTAGTCCTGCTTTATTCATTTTATGCTGAACTGCAGCCAAATATGCACTTTTTTTTTTAATCCTATGCACACGCATATTTCTGAAAGTTTCGTTTTCAGCCGCTGCTGCTGTCAAACTACGGGTCTACATGCAGCTTGAAGAGAAAAGAGAAAACACGGCTCCCAATAAGAAGCATGCTCCCGTCGTTCACTTCAAAGAGCCGGATCTAAGAGCCGCTTCGATCGCGACCGACCCATAACTCCTAGCTAGTAAATAAACTACCGCTATTAGCCTTTAGCCGTAAAAACGTGCGCACCGCGGTAGTTAATTATATGCATAAATGTGGATCATTCACACGTCTATTCACAGTTCATTTACATATCAATACTGGTCCAGTAACAAATGTACGGACAATATAGTCACTTTACAATAGGCCAATAGAAAACAGCCTGTTTATGTGCGGGAGCTACAGCAGCTAATCGCTAACAGATAACCTAAACTAGCTTCAAAATCGATGTATTTCCAACACTCACCGCTCACACAGGCTCCTCCTCACATCACAAGTCTGAACTAATAAATGTCCTTTTAATCCAGACTCAAACCGATTGTCCATAAAAAGAATATAATCTCAGTGTTGCGCACGGCTGCGGGTGTAAACAATAGCACGTGAGTGAAGTGACGTGACTCTGGTGGTGTGTCCAGGGACAGTACGGACACAGACAAATTACACCGTAAATAAATACTGATGCGGAGCCACATATTAGGACATTTATCTGTCTATAAATTGGATTAAATGAACATAATGTAGAGAGTCTAAGCTTTATAACGAGGTATAAAGTGAAATACGGCCCATATCAGCAAGCATATCGGCCGATAGCCGATATGTCTCCTGTCTCCAGGTGCCCATATTGGCCGATAATATCGGCCAGCCGATATATCGGTCGGGCTCTACAAATTACCCACATAAAAGTCAAGATAATAGAGAAAACAAAAGCTTTTTTTGTTTTTGTTTGTGATGTGCAAAAATAGAATATTGAGTATATCCTTTGTAATGAATGTTATTACTTTAATTACATTAAAAACAACAGAAATGCCCAAACATAATATTATGGTTGATTCACATTTTGTAAGTCTTTGTAAGTCTTTATTTTTATAGCATTTTTCACAGACATTTTTTTGTCCCCAGAGACGCTTTACAGAGCATTATTCAGCATTATTCATTTGCTCTATACCTGGTAAGCTACTATTGTAGCCACAGCTGCCCTGGGGCAGACTGACAGAAGCGCGGCTGCCATGCCAATTGGCGCCATCGGTCCCTCCGACCACCACCATCACTGACACACACACCACTTTCATACTAGGCAATGTGGGTGAAGTGTCTTGCCTAAGGACACAATGATTGAATTGACTGTATTTAACTGACCTTGACTATCAACTGTTCTGGAGACCTGGAGCATGTTCTGGGTTGATGGGGGAAACCGGAGCGCCCGGAGGAAACTCATCCAGACACAGGGAGAAACATGCAAACTCCACACAGAAAGGCCCGGGCGACCCGGGGATCAAACCCACAACCTTCTTGCTGTAAGGCATGAGTGCTAGTCACTCAGCCACCGTGCCGCCTTTTTGTGAGATTTTTTAACCTCAACCAAGATGTTTAAATAAAATACCGTCTGCATCAGGAGTGTGTTAAACTGAGCCTGTTAAAACTGTTATGCAGAAAATGTAAAAAACAGACAAACAGGGCTGGACTTGGATGAGAGAGTGATGGAAAAATCAGGTGCCAGTGGTGCAGCAGTGGCAAAAACTGTTATTGTATCCTTAGGCAAAACACTTCACCCACATTAGCTAGTAATAAAGTGGTGAGCGTGTGAGTGTTGGTGGTGGTCGGAGGGGCCGATGGCGTAAATTGGCAGTTAAGCCAAAGATGTTCATTTTGTCTTCTTATATACTATAGGAGGAACGCTCCGTCATCACGGTTCATGCTGTCCGTGCCTCGTTTCCTGATTTCGATGGCCTCCCTGATCCAGCGTTTGAACTTGTTGTTTTCTGATCCACAACAAGATCCTCCTTTCACACACCTGGGACACCCTCCTCCAGAGAACACCGGACGACGGGAGGTGTGGTCAGTCTGGGAGACCTGCCAGGTCCATCAGGCTGACCACGCCTACAGGAAGCAACAACAGCTGATATACGACACGTCACCACCAACACTTCTGAAGATGCAGCAGCAGTCGAAACATGTCAACAAAGTAAATACACTTTACTGTATTGTCTTTAAAAAGAACCCAAGAAGTTAAAGTAAATAAACAGTCTCGCCGGTCTGCCCCGGTGCAGCTGTGGCTTCAGTAGTGTCTTATCACCACTGAGTGTTGAGTGAATGAATGATGCTCTGTAAAGTGCTTTGAAAGACGCTATATAAATGCAAAGAATAATTAATACATTTTTGTCCATATCACTAACCCTTAATACTGCCTTCATATATTGATTTTTTATTTTTTGTATAATTAAATGTGATAAAGCATTGTGCATGTTTCATTAATTCTATTTCAGATGTCTTTAATATCATTTTCTATTTTATTTAAAGTATTTCATTTTACCTATATGTTCTTGTCCACCTTTTGTTCTTTTGATTATGCACCATTCTTATATCTTTCCCTTCATATACTGATTTACACATGAATATTGCAACTTTTTTTTTTTTCCTTGTACAGTCTCTGGTGACACGCGTGACCAGGTATTGAATAAGCCAAAACTTGCACTTGTATTTAAAAACAAACAAACAAACAAACTCTTTCCTTCCCAACCTCATTCTCACATTTACTGGCACTGCATATAAAAATAAATTGCAACATTTTAAACATTTCTTTACCAACTCACCAGGAAAATCACTAGAGCCGGCCATTCTTTCGGGGGTCAAAGGAGTTCGATCAGATCAAACGAGGTCGGACGTCTGTGGACACATGACAGGACTGATTAAACACACACATGAATGAATGCCTGTATTTTTTTGTTCTTATTTAGTGAAGCTTGTACCTTATTGTTGTGAAGTGGATTGAAGAGGACAGCAGCTGAGGTTATGTGTGTCGGTCAGAAAGAGAACACAAAGCACTCTGGTGATGCATCGTGGGTAATGAGCCAGGCCAGATGTGACTGTCAACACAAGAAAAAAAAAAGAGAAAGAAGAAATGACGAGAGGTTACTGGGCCTGTTATGAAAAATACTGTAACAACGTCAATACATTTTAGATAGAACAAAAATTTTTGGGGGTCAGTATTTATTGTGGGGAGTTTTTCTTAGTACTAGTGAAAAACTATTTACTATTTTTCTATTCTATGGTGAGATTTGAGCTGTAGAAAGTTAAATTATGGAACTTTATCACTCATTACAAACACAAAATACTTAAAAGGTGCACTCTGTATCTTATGGTGGAGAGTTCATCATCAGCAGCTTCTCTCCTTGGAGATGTTGCCTGGAATGTTCCACAATATGGCATTATACTTCTTTATTTCTACGGAGACAGCAGGTGACGCCATAGGGCCAGGCTATTTGTCAGATTTGTGGATAGGCGAGCCCACTCACAGGGAGAATGCACGTTTTTAAGTAAATGAAAAACATGTTATTGAGTATTTGTATTTCTCTCTGGCTCTTGGAGAGGGTGGACGTGTTTCTCTCCTCTCCTGCTCCATCTTCTCTTCCCGTTTAGCCTCAGTGTCTCTGTTTTGTCTGGTCTAGTGTCTTTATACTTTGAGACTCTCTCCGCTCTGCTCTCCAAACCCAAATTAACTATGGATTCAATAACATGGTCACTTGATGCAACTGACATAATTTTTTCTACGAGAAACTGAGGAACGAGCGAACCGGGCAAAACTGGCAGATCGTGTGGCTGGCGTCTCTCTCCGTGGTGGACAAAGAATCTACATCTACATATTCAGAACCATGATTACAGGTATTTTGCTGATTAGATCAGGCATGGCTCTGATTTTTCAAAAAGTTCAGATTACTGAGGTGGCTCTTCAACGCCCCACTTGGCCGCCCGATCTAATTTAAAGCGGAGGTAAAGCTATGAACTCATGAACCGAGCCGTATTTTGGAAGGTTGAGCTGCCTCGCACCGCATGTTGGAAAACGGTGCGAGGAAAATGGAAAAATTTTATGTTAACGGTGACTGATTGCAGAATGGACGGGACTTTGGCCTTGGTTTAAACCTTGATGAAATGTGTAATTGTTTTTAATCACTGTAAGGCGTTTTGTGTTGAATTTTTGTATTAAAAGCGCTCTATAAATAAAGTTTGAGTGATTGATTGATTGATATGTTTGATGGAAACATTTAATGCCATATCGGGAATTCCAGACAATGCAATAACATCTCCATGGAGACAAGGAGATAGTGGATCATACCCTCTACCAGACAATTTACACAACACACCTTTAAGTGTTGTTAAGTTCTGTTATTTATTTATTTATTTATTGCAGGTTTTTTTCTCTCTCTCTCTCCATTGTCTGCTTTCTGAATGCTATTTTTTATGTTTTTTGTATTGTTCATTTCTGTTTGTAGAGCATTTTATAAACATTATTTTTAAAAGTGCTTTATAAATAAATATGTATTTATTATTATGATTTATTTATATCTGGTCACCCTAAACTGGATGAAAAAGTATTCTAAGTATTCAGAATTAAATACATTTTCAAAGTACTCTATTCATCACTGGTCTTGCATTTGAGATCACAACAGCTGTTTTTTTTTTTTTTTCCCACTAAAATCTACCAAACATTATATTTGTAAATGCATTTGCTCTGGCTTTGCAATAGAAGTAGAAAAACGTGCAAATATAGGCTAAAAACACAATAAAAAAATACACTTTAAACGGTATCAGCGGCGGGTTTAAACCGGTTTAAACCAGAGGATGAGAGAGACAGAGCTCTTGGCCATTACGTAATCCGCCGCTGCTGCAATAGGGGCTGCGCTGATGGATGAAAACAAACAAGCCGTGTGTCAATGAAACAGCCAATAATCATTAAACTCTCACGCGATAAACATGCATTACTTTGCGTTTTTCAATTATACCACTGTAGTTAAATGACAGCTGTTAAAATTTAGATTAAAAAGGTCAACTCAAAACATGACATGACACGTATTGGACTAGTTTGACTATCCTCCAAACCTTTGCATGACCTCACTGCATTAACTTCGTATTATTACGCACCAAAATCCCAATAGTATTAAGGAATGCACAATTGCAACCACCACTTTCGACTATTCTGTACAAACTTCCAAGCATATGTCAGTAAATTAGTACTTTTAAAATACATAATAATGTGATTTAACTGTTCTATGTTATCTGTAAACTCTTCTACTTTATGGATGAGAAATTTGTTAGTTAAATGTGACGTATTGTGCGTGTTTGTCACTTCAAGGAATCGTCAAAGTGAAACAAAATGTTCACGGTCTATATTAGAGCAAAAGCCAAAAATTTAAAAAAGCAAAAGCGAAATTCAAAAAACCGTTCAAGCTGAATTCAAGTAAACATATCAGGGTGTCGTAATGTGTTAAAATTACGTACGTGTCGTTTTGTTTAACAGTAGCAAAGCGTCGCGTTGTAAAATTGTAGTTTTCTCAGACGTGGTTTGGTGTGACAGTGGAGACGCTCCACATAACGGGGTTTGTTTGCCACGTCTTTTCGATGTGTGAACTAAGATGGAGAAGAAATGTCTTACCAGCGGGAAAGGCGGATCTATAGCGACCTCTCAGACGTCTTTGGCCCACCAATGTCGACTATATTCGACGGTGAAGAGGAGAACATTTGTAGGGAAGCAGCCATTATTGTGTTGGCGATAAATAATAAAGACGCTTCCTCGAATAAACGAACTGAAGCGTGGCTCTCGTTTTGTATCGCGAGAGATGAACGCGAGAACCTTCTGGTGGGGACATTATGCCGATTTTAACCTTTTAATTTCGCGTTATTTAAAAAAAATATATATTAAAAAATCCAGCTAAATAATTTTGGTAAATATTAGGACGATATAAAAAAATATATCTATAAATTGATTGTCAGGATAAATGATCTTCGCGTAAAATTAACAAAACCCTTCCGGTGTTGTTGTAACTGGTTGCTAGGTAACCACAGATAACCATGTCTATAAGTACAAGGTTTTAAAATGGATCCACAACTTAAAGATGCACTGTGTAACTTTTCTTCATATGGAGGTGTTATTGCTTTGTCTGGAATGTTCCACAGTATGATATTACTTTTTTTTTAACTCATGGAAACCAAACTTTTCTTTTCTTTTCTTTTCTTTTAAATTAAATTAAATTAAATTAAATTAAATTAAATTAAATTAAATTAAATTAAATTAAATTAAATTAAATTAAATTAAATTACATTAATTACATTTTATTAGTATTAGTGTTAGTATGGGTATGGGTATGAGTATTAGTATTAGTATTAGTATTGTTTTTTTGTTTTTGTTTTGTTTTGTTTTGTTTGTTTTTTTCCTAAGTATTTCTGAGCTATAAAAACACTGAATAGATGTAAGGTAGAGCTGCTTAAAAGTCACACTGTGGAGCATCGCAGGCAGAGCATTTACATATTCATAGAAACAAACAGATGATGGACCCCCAACCAAAAAGTTACACAGTGCACCTTTAAATTGTGCATCCATTTTAAAACCAAGGATTACGAGCTCAGGTTTAGAAAAAATATGATTTACCAGATTAACAAAGGTGATTCCAGCACCACTAATTCAAAACAACATGACCTCTGTTTTAAAATTCCCTTTCTATGACATTACACATATCCATCGAGCATTTATTAATTACAGGTGTTTCTACTGCTCAAAAGTACCATAATTATTTCTATGAATGAGGCGACTCTCCACAGATCTGACCTGTAATGTAGCGTTGTGTTGTAACCGGTTTATCTCTCTTGTGAAATATAGGTTTAGTCTATAGTGTGGAACATTCTAAACAAAGCAATAACATTTTCATGGAGACAAGCAGGTGGCGGACCCTAAACTAGAAATGTTAGGCAGTGCACCTTTAAGTCTTTGTAGGATACCATCGAACTTTAACAAACATTGCATTATGAAACAAACATAAAATCAGTGCTCTGAGCCAGGTGTTTGACTGTTCATAGCAATTTTAATAAAATGCATTTAATTAATAAATACAATAATCGACTCACTGTATTGCTCTTTTAATGTTTCTTTGTGAAGAAAGATTTGGATAACCCTGGACAAGATAAAACAATATAATTTTATACATATATATCATTTTTGACTGCACATATCTTCCTGAAATGGATATAACAGAACTTGCAGCATGAAAAGAAAAGTGTAATTCTCACAGATGTACTTTCTTCACTCTTGGGTTCCCCCTTGTGGCCTCAAGCTACCTGACCTTTTGAACGCTTAACTCCGGCCCCTCCCATTCCAAAGTATTTTAATTTGCATACAACCTCATCCACCCAGCAGAGCACAGCACGGGGCGCCTCCCTCCAGGACTCTTCCTTTCCCAGGGTATGTCTGTGTGATCGGACTTTCCTGCCCGCTCTGTTCCGTGGAGGAAAACGTGTATCTGCGGCGGCGCGCCTCACCTCCGCTGCTCCACAACCAACAACGTTTTATCGGGAAGACTTTTAAAACTTTCTGCTTAGTGTTGGACCTGAGCTGATCTAAAATGTCGGTTCAGACGACTCACAAGACGACTACCACCTCGTACCGGAGCAGCAACCTGGCCTCTCAGGAGCAGAGTCCGACTTCCACCACGTACCGGACTCTCTCCGTGGCGTCACCGGAACCCACGGCCACGACGTACCGGACCCTGTCTGTGGCGTCACCGGAACCCACGACCACCACGTACCGGACCCTGTCTGTGGCGTCACCGGAGCCCACGACTACCACGTACCGAACCCTGAGAGTCGCGACACCGGAACCCGCGACCAGCGCGGTGATCTCTGCGGCCCCCGTGTCACCGCTGCCCGTGTCACAGATGCAGTACGCCGTGAACGGGTCCTACGATGTCCGGTACCTGGTCCCCGTGCAGACCGCCGTGCAGCAGCCGTCCTACGTTTTCATGCAACAGCCCATGATCCAGCAGCCCGTCATGCAGCCCGTTTACGTGCAGAGTGTCCCGCAGCTCAGCGTCAGCAGCACTGAAACTGATCACGTGTTCCAGCGGCAGACCCTGGAGGTGAGCCCGCACCCCGCACCCCGCACTCTGCACCCCGCACCTCCTCACGCCACAGGGAGCACAATATAGCAAGCCAAACTGTTCACACACTAAACTAGGACTAAAACCAGGACTAAACCAGGTCTAAACAGTAGGTGGACATACTTTAAGGCAGCAGTGATCTCATATAAAAATCATTTCTCTATCAATAATATTTTAATCTGGTTAAGGAAAGTCTGGGCTTTTTATTTTCTTTTAGCACATAAAACGTCTTATGTTCAGATCCTCGTCTTTGCTTCTCCACAGCAAACAAAAGCCTCTTCATTTAGCCTTGGGCTCAATTTGAAGAGACCAAACATGAATTTTCAGGATGTGGTCCCTATATTCATATAGTTTTAAAAAGCATGACAATATCAAGTAATCCAAAAGTATTCAGATTACGTTACTCACCTTAAGTAGCTTGTAATACGCGTCAAATAAGGTGTTAAACGTGTTAAATATATGTTTAAATGTGAACAGTTTGGCTTGCCATAGCACAACAGAGACACAACACGCACACACACGCACTCTGTATCATCTAACAGCAACTTTATCTGATGTTGAATGACTTTATTTTGAACTGAGAGAAACACAAAGGCGACAGAGCGTGATTAGGCTTTTATTGCTCATTGTGCCCCTGTTTAACCTTCCTTACACCTGCACAATAACACGATTACTTTATGCATTAGTCAGACAAATCAGACCAGCTCCCCTGTTTGTTTGTCTGAGTCAGTTTGGCCATTGTAGCTAAATCAACAGGAATTTGACTTTTCATTATTTGGCACAAAGAGACGTCGCTTCACTGAGTTGAGACAGATTCCCGCTAAAGGCTGATATTGTTGCCTCAAATGTTGCATGAAATCCCTCGGAGATTTTGATCCCCTCCTTTTGAAATGAGAGCAATAATCTTGTATAACTTGTGCAGGTACCTGAGGGAGGAAATTATAAACTCAGATGTGTTGATTCGTCTTTGACACATCAATGGAAGGCTGCTGTTGAAGTCGTATAACAATAAAGTTTAGTTACAGAGAAGAGCTTTAATTGCACAGTGGGCAGGGACTCTTTGTCAGTTCACACAAGATGACTGTTGCATTTGTAATAACCATGTTTTTGTTTAATCTCATGACTAGATTTTCTTACATTAGACCTAATTATATCATAAAAGTGAGTTAGAGATTTACAGATGAGCTCCAGTAGATGTTGGTGAGCAAATCAGTGATGAAAAAATGACAAGAAATCATTTTGTTTTGTTTAATTTTTTTCTTTTGGAAGTCCGTCACCTGTTTGCTTCTATGAATATGTCATTGCTGTGCTTGAAATGTCCCACAGTGTGACTTTAAACAGCTCTACTTTACAATTATTCCATTACAGGTGGTTTTATAGCGCAAAAAAAACTGTAGAAAAACAGGCATTCTGACTGTGAGAGTGGGTGTCGCCTCTCCACAGATCTGACCTGTAACAACCTGTAACTTGGAATCATTTGGTCTCCATGGTGATAGAAAGGTTTAATGCCATACTGTGAAACATTCCAGACAAAGCAATAACATTTTCATGGAGAAAAGCGTTAGACACCACAATGCACTTTTAATAAAATTTTGTTTTATTAAATTTTTATTTTAGGGAAAAAAAAAAATAATAAAAATTAATAAATAAAAATAAGTAAATAAAAATTAATAAATAAAAACAAAGAAATAAATACATAATAATAATTTTTAAAAAACTTATAATACTTAAAAAAAAAAAAAAGTTTAGTACCATTTGAGCCTATTGACCAAACTTCTAAGCAAACAGCTGCTGTTTTGCGGACATTTCTCCAAACCAGTTTATTTTAAAGGAGCCAGAGCAAATATTTTGTTGTTGTAGAACTTGAATGGTTCCTTTTTTTTTTTTCCCCCTCCTGCTCCCTGACGTTTGACCTTGACCTTTATGAACACTTTTATGTTGAGGATCACTACAAATTTCAATGAGACGACCTGCTCTTTACCATGCCAACATAAATACACGCTTTTTCTTGGCAGTTATTACTTGTAAAACATGATGAAACTGTGATGAATGAAGGGATAAGGTCATATTATATTACGCAAAACTGTCTTGTGAGCTTTAAGACATGTTTTCATGTTGTTGCCTTTTCAAAAACAGACTTGGACTTGCGTTTTGTGCGTTTCTGATTGAGAGAAAAACTCCAAAAACATGTAAATGAACCAAAACACAAGTCCAAGTCTGTTTGTGATGAGGAAACAAGATTATAACGTAGTTAAAAATAGCATCGTTAAACCTTATGATAACAGGAACACTTGGTTGGATGTTTAAGTGAATGACATGTTTTTTGGAATGGCTGAGTAACTATCAAAAGTTGCATTCATTTGTCATGGTTTGGTCCTGCTTTGAAATCACTTTAGTCCTGGTTTAGTTCTGCGTTTGATCCTTGTGTTTTTCTTTTTGATACGGTGTACGCCAGTGCCAAAGCAGCTTGTGTAATCTCTAAAACCGTTTGTGTGGTAGGGTGTTCCTGGTTTTCTTTGGTCAGTTTCAAAAGTGATTCATGGAAGGAACAAAGATATCACCATTTGAGTCCGTCGTGTTGGAGCTTTGGGAAAAAATAAGGCCATTTTCTTATTAGGTAATGACATGTTCTTTATATGATTTGAACAGATGCCAGCGAACGTAACATTTGAAAAACTCAGTGTAACCAGTTGTGCAGGTTAATTACAAAATGTGTTTATAGAAAGTTTGTGGGAAAGTGTCTGTATGTATCTTTTTTATGATTTTGACCATGTTTTGCGATATTTTTGTGCTTTAATGCAACAAAAATCTAAGGGACAACATCCAAACTCAACACAGAAAGATGTCTTAGCCTGGAAATGGAACTTTTTTGGTATATTTGGCCTGATATTTGCACTTTTTAGTGTAATGGCCTTAAAGGTTTCACTGCGCAACTTTTCTGGTGGAGGGTTTGCTACCTCCTAGTCTCCATGGAGCTGTTAGATGCTTGGAATGTTCCATGGCATGACTTTAAACATATTCATCAATAATTTATTCATTACAGTGTATCATTCTTTCATTAGTTTTTCAGTATAAAACCAAAAGTAAGAAAACTAAAAAAAAATATATGTATATTTTCTTCATTATTTGTCTCCAAAACCAAAATGAAAAAGCAGATAACGATTCATTTTTTCAGTTTTCGATTTTGTGTTTAAATTAAAAATGGAAAAAACGGATAACAGCTGTTTCGGAGACAAATAATGAAGAAAACTGTTGTTTTTTCATTTTCTTATTTTTGGTTTTATATTGTAAAAGGAATGATACACAGATTTCTGCTGTTCAAAAATATAATAATTCCTTCTGTAAATAGGGGCGACTCTCCACAGATCTGACCTGTAATGTATTGTAGTGCTGTAACCTGCTTGTCTCCTTTGTGATACGTAGGTTTAATCTATACTGTGGAACATTCAAGACAAAGCAATAACATTTCCATGGAGACAAGGAGGTGACGGACTCTCCCCTAGAAATGTTACGCAGTGCTGTAGTTTCCTCGTCACAAACACACCTGGAGTTGTGTTTTGTTTCATTCACACATGTTTAACACACAAACCCTGCACATCTAGGTTGAGTTCTTCTTTCAAACGGAAAACACTCTGTTCCACCTTGTGATGTCATGTGGTAATACAGGAATTGCTTCACTGTTTTTAACCCCATACTCCATGTGAATGAAGCAAAACACACTCCAGGTCAGTTTTTGAAGAGGGAACAACATTAGAACATGACTTAAAACTCACAAGAGTCCATTTTGCATAATGTACGACCTTTTATTGCAAAAAGATAACAGTGCAAAATGTGACTGCACAGCTCTCTTGTGGGTTTGTAGTGAAACCGGGCTGTGGGTGAGTTTGAAGTACATTTAAATGACATAATTTGGAGAAAAGTAATCAAAATCAGCTCTATATATCGGTCCAAAAATATACTGGTCATCGATTTCTCTGGATTCTAAACAACTGCTGGGTTTCAGGTGACATCACAACATTCTATAGACAAATAATATTTTAAAATGCATTTTTTTGTTGTAATACAAGAAGTTAATGGGTCTAGTCCAGACCAGACATGTAAAATTCAGGCCCGGGGGTCAAATTTGGCCCACGATATAATTATATTTGGCCCACGAGATCATATTAAATCTGTATTAGAGCTGCCCCACTGGTGACAGATCGACGATAGAGACATTATTTATTTAAAATGTTGTTATTATTTAATATTCTGCGTGTTCTGGATTCAATGTTTAAGCAAAACTATTATTTGACATTTATTTTAATAAGAAAAGGTTTAATATTACTTATCTCGAAAGAAGAGAAAACATGCAGATGTTGTTGAAATTTTGCAATAAATATTTATTTTGGCCCAAGACTTGGTCCCAGTTTTTAATTTTGGGCTCTGTGTATTTGACTTTGACACTCCTGGTCTAGTCACTAATATAAATAATCAGATTAAACATTTGGGAGTTTTCTTTTTAGACACTGCATAACAAAGTACAACGTAATCAGTAGGTAAATCTGACTCTCGACTGCCCTCAATTGAGATTATGGCATCATCACATTTTAAAATTTGAAAACCACCAGTCGGTATCGGCATCGGCCATGAAAAAAATAAAATAAAATAAAAAAACATATCGACTGATCTCTAGTCAAACTGTTTCACAACTAAACAGTAAACAGTGACTTCAGTTTAGTCCCATTTGAGATTCCAAAGTCTTAATGTTGCCTCATAAAACTCTTAACTAACTATACTACGGTTCAATATTCGCCACACTTTTTTTTTTTTCAATTTTTTTACTGTTTACTGTTGACCAAAACATATTCTAAACATTTGATTCATGAAAGTGTCCACCTTTGTCAGATAGAACAGCTGAACACACTCATGGCTCGTTCTTTTTACAACAGAAATCAAATATTGTTCAGAAAGTTCTTCCCAAGTCTGTGGCAGAAGTTTCC